GGTAGCGCAGCGTCTAAGAAGCTTTTGAACCTTCAAGGGGTCAATCGTTCGGGTCCTCTTGAGGTAGATTTTTTTTTTTTTTTTTGCAAAAGGGAAGCAAAATGGATAAGTATTTTTCATAACCTATGAAAAGCCACGGAGTTTTCCAATACAGATTTTTTCAAAGTAGATTCTTCAAAGTCCAGAGGGTTATCAGTTAAAATCCGCTCAGAAAAAAATGATTCAAGACTTCATTTTATCTTTAATGATTTTTTTTTCTTCGTTCAATTCCTTTTTCTAGCACAAAATTCAAGCTCCTATAATTCTTTAGATTCCTCTTACAATGCGTGTCTGACCACATTCAATTTAATTTCCTATAAATCTTACAAATAAAAAGTCCAAAACATTCCATGGAACCTCGACTGCCCTCCATAAACTCTTCCTGAGCGAATTTGAGATAAATAATAATAAAAACCTCGTTCAGAACGGTGAGCTGATGGTGGAGTTCAAGCCGATGAAGTTCAGCCGCATCAACCGACACAAGATGTTCAAGCTGAGGAAGATCCGAAGGCCCGCCGGTCCGGAATACGACACGAAACTCTGATTTTCTACATCTTCCGTTCAACTTCCGTCAGAGCTTTCTCTGAAAATCGACAAGCTTTCCACCGATCTTCACAGTTTCCCACATAGTTGTATAGCGAATAGCTTTACCGGCCCACCCAGTATTACAACATTTGTAAACCGCCGATGTACCTTCCCCCCTTCATAATATTCCTTATACGGCCAATTTTAATGGCTCGTCTTGTAGATATCAACTATCGGACGTCCTCTTCGCTACTGTTTGAGTGGTTAATAAAACGACCGGAAAAAAAGTTGTGACGGCTATTTGACGCCTTGGGTAATAAATGTTCCGTCTGATGACCTGTTGTCTTTTCAAGAACACATTGAAATGAAACGACGTTGCTAGGACTTGAAACTCGTTCCGCGGGTCAATACAAGTGTTGCGAAACGGAGAATAAAACGTTTGAAACTTCAATAATAGTAATATAATGCAAAAGCTGAAAAATCTGGATTTTTTACAATATTGTGGAATGGAAACCCATTAAAACTTTGTTAATATCAAGCCTCCGAATCAAAAAGGGAAGATGAAGAAAAAAAGAAAAAAAGATAAAAAAAGAGAAGATTTTTTTGGAAAAGGTAAAAAAACCTGTACAATTTCTCACAAAGTTTACTTTCAAAAAGGAACATAATCCAATTAGAATCTGAAGAAAAAGACGATTTTTCTTAAAAATTTGAGACAAATATTTATTAAAAGATTATACCTCCAGAAAGAAAAAAGTTCAGAGGCTACTTAAGTGGTTACTAGAAATTCCCCTTCGTTTCGAATTACCAATTTCTGAGGTTTTTCTTCCTTTTGACGTTTTTTCATGGCCTTCTCGACGTGATCCCGCAAAATTCAAAATAGCGGTAAGACAGTGAAAAAGAATTCAACTTTGGAGAGTCAGAAAAAACAAAAAAGGAATTTCGTGATAATTACTTCAAAATTCTTTATGTTTCCACAAGAGGACATCAAAGATAAAAAACCGCGTCATAAGAACCAGAGTTTCATTCAAAACAAAAATTTACTTCTTTGCAAAAACATAAAACGTGAACTTCTTGGGAAGGCGTCATTTTCTAAAATCGAACGCTCACAAAAACCACGTGGCAACGGGTCATTTCTTCTTTTTTGACTTGGGTGCAAATCTCATTTCTACTTTCTTCACGAAGCCGTCTTGCTGCTCCTGAACTCTACGTGAAGATGAGTTTTAAACTTCCAAAAAATTCCAAATTCCAAAATAGTTCTCTTAGTAGTAAGCGCTAGTAGAATAGGCCCGTGGGACTCCCGGAGTGCCGATCCTTTTTGCTTGCAAATCGGATACGCAAAGTCACGCCGAAGCCCATTCCTGTGGCCGAGGCATAAACTGTTGGCAGCGCGATGCTGACAAAGCGATGATGGGACCCCCACGGAAAATGCCGTCACGGCCTTCGGCGCCTAGGATACTTAGTTCTGACAAGGCCGAGCGGAGCTCTAGCGCACCGCCTAGTTAGTTCTCCTGACTGAATAAGACTTCCCTAACTTACTTGAGACTTTACATAGTTAATCAACCAAAACATTGCAATTCTAATAATGCCACCGACTTGGTTTTTTCAATTTTGAATTTATTGCAGGAAACTTTCAACGAACTTGTCGATAGGAGTTCATGGAGGATCGACGAAAACTTCAAATAAAGCAGTTTGATTTCTTAAAAATTTTTGTTTAATCAATTTTTCTTCAGAAAGAACGAATGAAGTCCAAGATTAAGGAAAAAGAAATGCGAATAATCTATCGAAATTACTGGAACAACTTTTATGAGGTTTGGAAGTTTTCGAAAAAACAATTCATTTTTTGTATTTATCACGCTGTTTCTGGAATTATCAAAATCTACGAGTACTAAATTTTTTTTCATTCGATTAAAATTAAATTGTAACCAGTGTTATCCTATGACGTCAGAATTAGGGACCCAACTTTTTGAGCTATTTCCTCCAACCGTAGCCGGGTTACGGTAGGTAGGTCGACACCTGCGTATCTAAAAATTGACAAGTTTTTTTTTCTAGACAAGTTGTATACTTATCGATAGGTAATGTAATTTTATAAATTTTTCGAGAAATATTATCTTGGGTTGCTGTAGAATTTTTCGTTGAAGTTACCTCTTTAAAAATTTTTTTAAGTTGTTCTCCTAAAAAAACGATGCGGAGCGCATTCCTGATTTCTGCGGAACGCGCGCAAAGTGAGCTGTTGAAATCATTGCCTATGCATTTGCCGTAAATTTCGAAACTCCAATTCCATATTAACAATATTTGTTGATAAAGCCGTGTTCAGAGTAACTTCCGCAAAATGCAAAGTGTACTATGACTCTCCAAAATTTAGTATTTTTTTTTTCTCTGACGGCTATTTTGAATTTCGCGGGATCATATGAACACGGTATAAACGAAATATGATGCCATGTTTAATTTGATTTCGCGAAATGCAAAATACCCGTTAGAGAAAGGATAAGATCACTAAATTTTGGAGAGTCAGAGATCATTTTGCATTTCGCGGAATCAAATTGAAAACAGCATGACAGTCGTTTTTTTCAACTTTCTCACAACACGCAAACCAAAAAACAACGTTTACTTTGAACGGTAGTAAAAAAAAAACAAATGCCGTGTTCAAAGTAATTTCGGCGATTTCGAAATAGACGCGTTATTCGTTCAAAATGATTTCAGGAAATATGCGGATTTGCTATTACGGGAAGGCGCAAAAAAGTGAGTCCTACAACGATATATCGTTGGATACGCATTTTTACGGTGATTTTTACGCGCGAATTTAAAATATCAGTAGAAAATGCCCAAAGAATTCCAAAATTTTGAGTTCCCGCGAAGAAATTACGGTAAAAATGCACATTTAACGATATATCGTTGTAGGACTCATTTATTCTGCGCCTTCCCGGAATAGCAATTATGAATATTTCCTGAAATCATTTTAAACGAAAAACGCGTCTATTTAGGAATCGCCGAAATTGCTTTGGACACGGCAGAAACATTTTTCAAAGAAGCGAAATGAGAATAGGCGTCAAATAAAACGCTTGGTCGTATTACTTCGGCGTGGCCACGTACGTAGAGCGCATCGTAACTTTGTCCTCAAACTTCCCTCTTTTTGCACAGCTTCAACGGGAAATAACTATTGTGAGCAGGGTGACCGAAAAACTAAAACACAAAAAGTGACATTTCAAAAAAAAAAAATTTTAAGGTGGATTACCTATTAATTAATATACAACTTGCCTAGAAAAACTCCTCAACTCTTAGATACGCAGGTGATCTCTGCCTACCGTAACCCGGCTATGATTAAAGGAAATGACTAGTTGTGTCCGCAATCCTGAAGTATATATGATAACACTGGTTGAAACTTCATCAACATCAAAAAACATTTGTTTTGTTCTCGCTGTTTCTGAAAAATTGCTGAGAATTACAGAGACAGCGTGTTATGTCCTCTATTACCGCATTTGAAAGTCTTTTATCTTTGAAAGTTTAGTTATCGCGATGAAAAGAAGTCTGCCTCCCTGTATTCGCGGTGACGTCTTGAAACAAAATCCGTGGCGGACGAAGTTCCAACTGCAGGCTAGACAATACCAGGTACCAGCCCAACGCTCTTAAAAGCAGCTGAGGGTTTTTTATTCTGTGTTGAGTTGCAAAGGAAAAAAGAAATAAAAGTGGGCTAGCCAGGCTTGTGCAAGGCCTGGATTTTCAACCTAACGGCCTCCGTTCATTCCCATAACTTTTGATGTACTTTAATGAAACAAGTGAGAAGTGTTTTTCTGGTGAAAAATTCTAGTTAAGATGGCAATGTTTTTGAAGATGTTTTACAATTTTTATCGAAGCCTGGCTTGGTCCGAGCCGGCGCAAGCTTCATTGCTTTGGGCTTAAATTGCTTGGACCTCTGTAGCGCAAATGTGACTCGTCCCGGACTTTTCTTGGGATTTCTAGTAAACTTTGAGAGGGTTGATGCCGTCCAATGAGTTATTAGAAATGCTCAGAAACGTCCGGGGCGCGTACGGTTTGGGTTATCGAGATCGGGGCTGGACTTGTTTCTGAGAAGAATCTCGCGCTGGCTTGGGCCAGGCCAAGCTTCAAAAAAGTTTCAAATTTCATTTCGAAAAACTTTCTTCCAAACTCCAATTTCTCACCGAAAAACGCTCATTTTTAAAAATTCGTAGTTTCTGTTGAACTTTAACTGTAAAAAAAAAACAAGAAACATGATTTTTGCTATAAAAAGAAGGTTGATGTTCGACTTGAAGAAAACCTTAGCTTTTCGAGCCTGTTTTGCTTGAGGCTTCGCTAAGCCCAGACCGGGCTCAAAGAATGACTTAGACCATTAGGCTGAAGAGCCGGTCCTCGCAGAAGCCTGTCTCGGCCTTCGGTAACGAAAACCGAACGCGCTCCGGACTTTTATGAGCATTTCAAGGGACGCCATTAAAGTGGTCACTAGAAATGCGTCCAGTTTGCGTTACAGCCGATTCACGGCTAGCTTGGGACGCAAAAAGGAGTGGCAAGTCTGTGATCTCCAGCAACCAGCAACTGTCTCTTTTCTCATCGTGGCAGGACCCATTTTTCGATGGCCCAAGCCAGCCGTGAATTAGCTCTATGTTTGTTTTTGCAGATAATGACACCTTTTTTTTCTGATTTTTTGTTTCTGGACTCGTTATTCGGTCTCTCTTAACATTCTCATTGATAGAAAAATGCGCGTTTGCGGTCGTGAGTAAAATGGTACAGAATTTAATGTTGCCTTTATAATCTGTGCAAGTGCCAACTTTTTCTTCAATTCCAATACCAAATTATCCCAGTCTTTATCCGACATTCAACAAGTCAGAGCGACTCTTCTCTGTTTCGGGGCTGATTAGCTAGCCTTTGCGAAAGAGCCTTGATACGTTGAAATCTACCAAAATTCATTTGGCCACTTTTGAAAGTTCGTCACGATTCTTTTGGCTACGGAATTCGAAATGCTCAGGCCATTTTTCGTTTGAAAAGTTTTCGCGATCTTCATGAAAATATTTTCTTTGATGAAATTATTATTTTGATAGATTTGGTTCAGTTTTCCAGGGTGTTTCGCTAATTTTACGTTTCAAAGAACGCGTTCCTTCTCCAAAAAAGTTTTCAGTTTCTGTTCTTTTTTTCAAAATCTTCCCTTCCGTGCAACCCTGGAGCACACGAGGACCGATCCATGTCGAAACGGGTCTAATTATTTCAGGGCATCGGCGGTTTTGAGTAGAAAAAAGAAGACACGAATCGGCCATGTCAGGGCGTTGCTAGTGACCACTTTAGTAGCGTCAGCACTCTTAAGTGATCTCTTAATTAGCCCCGAAACGTCCACTTTATGTCACCGAGATGCAGGCATTTTCGAAAAACAAGAGCACGTCTATTAGCGCACCAAATTTGCTCCAAATCAGTATTAATTTTTGTTTTAGAACGATCTTTTTGCTTAGAAACAATCTTATTTTTTTTTGATGATATACATCAATATCCTATGCACTTTTCTCACCTTTCCAATAATGAAAAAAAAGAACTTTTTTAAAAATCCCTTTCCATCGATCACACCGCCCGTCCGCCCTACTATGGCCAAAAACCTTTAAAATAAATAAATGTATCTCGAAAGGCAAAAAGAGAACGCCCTTTAGAAGAATCCACAATGAAAAGACGAAAGGAGAAAAATGAGATCGCGGGGAAAATTGAGCAGACGGATGACGCTTCCAAATCGATAGGAAGAGAACAGAAAAATATGAAGACGTAGTAAAAATTAAGACGACGAGTACATCTGAAACATTTTCAATTTAAAACTGATAAATTTTTCTTTCAAACGCACCAAAAGCCGGAAAAAACGTCCATTCCGCTCAATTATGAGCTTGCTTCAAAATATGCTCCAGTGGGACGAAACGATCAAAAGAGCACGAAAAGAGGCACCCGTCGTTTAGTCATACACTTACAGCCTTCTTACAAGCCCAGGAAAACATTCCATCCATTCCGCCCAAGGATAGGCCTACCACTGAGTTCCTTTCACCAAGCTTCAACTCAAATCATCATTTCTTCTCATCTATTCTGAATTTCAGTGAGACCCATAGACTATTCCAAGTTTCAAAAACTAATGCCGTGCACAAAGTAATTCCGCTAAACACAAAAAAGCCGTTAAAGATAGAAAAAAATAACAAAATTTTGGAGGATAAGAGGCCATTTTGCATTTTGCGGAAGCTACTCTGAACACGGCATAAGCTTTTCCTAACTCTCAAGGATAAATGCCAAAAATTCTTGATGATCTACCCGACGCCGATCGTGATTTTCCTTATTTTTGAAAATTTTGTAAACTAGGGACCACAAGCTATCTCTAGAATATGCAAACTACTCGTTGGATTTTTCATTTTTCAAGCCCGAAAAAGTAGGAACCGCAGGCCATTTTTTCAAAAAGACTTGAATAATTTTGTCAATCTTTGATAGAAGACATTGTCAATAATTATAACCCGTTTAGTTCTTGAATGAAGGACTACTAAGAAAAAAGTTATGGCCAAAAAACTAGCACGCGAAACGTTCAACTCAAGGCTGAATCTTCGAACTTCTCATTGAAATTCATACTTTCAGATGAAGCAAATCGTGAAATAGTCAAATAACTTTAGTTTAAAAAAAATTGAGTTCGAGCCAAGTTTGGAAGATTTTATTGAGTCACTAACCAACCAAAGATTTAGTACTGCCACCAAAGTTTTACGGCTCATAGCCAATCCACCGCTGACTGAGCCATCGGAAAACGGGTCTTGACACGATTTGTAACCAGACAAAAGCTAGCCGTGATTCAGTTATACTCGCTCCCGCACGCTTTCTTTTTAAATCAGTTCGAGCCTTTCTGGACCGTTTTCGAATGGGGTTTCTGTTCCGAGAGGTTGTCAGAACTGAGCTCAATGTTTTGACATGATGATTTTGAACAAATTTCTTGAGAGTTTTCGATGAAGTATCAAATAACTACCCAAAAAAAAGATCAGGGGGGATTTTCCGCTCATTTATCTCTCTTCTAATCGAAAAGTTATCATCATTTGATTTTGGCAAATAACTAAACTCGATAGAAGGCCTATTTTCAAACTGATAGAGGGAAATTTTGCTGATCATAAACGGCTATTGCAGATATTGAAAACGAGATACAGTAGGATTGACGCAAACTCAAGCACAAAAAATCTCTCAAAAAAATTCAAAAAATCGCCTACTTTTGGGCTTTTCATCATCGTTCGATTTTGTGCACTGTCAGATTTTTCACAGCGACGGTTTTTTTTAGATACTTAACAAAATATCAAAAATTGATTTTGCCGTCCATGAAAGACATTCGAACGAAAAAAGTGATACTTGCTTATTTTTGTAAACTTCATTCAGTGTGGTGAAGAGGCGAGGCTTCGCACTTCCTATTTTGAAGTCGTTGAAATTTAATGATTTTGATACAATGATGAGGATTCTATGAACTTTTTTCTTTGGATTCTTCAGGATTTTGCTATTATCTCCTGTCGAAGTCACAAACTTGATGCGACCAAAATTTGTGTTCCTAAATACAAAAAACCTAGACTCTCTCTCCCTCCAAACCGGAAAAGTTTCCTGATTTCCCGTCTATATTTCCCATGAATCTTATGGTTCCCTAATGAGAACTCAGCTTTCCAATATTCTTCTTGGATTTAGATTTTCTCCCGGATTTTTTCCCAATATCAGTGAAGCCAATCACCCATGAATAATAGTTTGAGAATCGAAACTTATGTTTTGAAAAGCCACGGAGGGTTAGCGAACCCGTTTTTGAAAAGAAGGAAGTTGTTTCCTTCTGTGAGGAAGCAATGTCTACCGAAACAAGAAGAACGAATGGTGATTCGAAAGTTTCGAGCACTCAAGAAATTGGGACTGTGCAGATTTTCGAAAGCCATGTCTCCCTTCTTAATATAGTTTTTCGGAAACTTGCTCTACCCAGCCAGGCTTCCCTCAAGGAAACATATAGCTGGATGAGGATCGTTCCATCACGCACGACAAAGGGGTTGTAATGCATGTCTTTCAATCTAGCACGGGGGAATGTGTGGGGGGTGGGGGGCGGAGAGGGGGCTCGAGTGCTCTCTACTTTGATTTCGAAAACTTCCTTCTGAGTCAGTAGAAAAACTTCTCCGCAGAAAGAAAAAACTACCTGCTCTAGAAGTTTGCGAGAGACCACAGTTATCTTGTTCTCTCTTTCTTTTTCTCTTTTTTTTCTCTTTTTTTTTCTTTTTTTTTATCTCGGTGTTAAGTTCACCGAGATGGGACAAGATAACTGAAGCTCGAAACTTGCTAGAGACTTTTTTGAACGTTTCTTTTCTAAGTATGAGTTTCAACCCCCAAACTTTTATTTATTAGGAATTGAAATTACTGATATTGGGAAAGAGTCCGGGAGAAAACCTCAATGCAAGAAGAGTACTGAATTGCTGAGTTTTCACTAGGAAACCATGAGAGACAAAGGAAATATAGACGGGAAATCAGGAAACTTTTCCGGTTTGGAGGGAGAGAGAGTCTAGGTTTTTTGTATTTAGGAACACAAATTTTGGTCGCATCAAGTTTGTGACTTCGACAGGAGATAATAGCAAAATCCTGAAGAATCCAAAGAAAAAAGTTCATAGAATCCTCATCATTGTATCAAAATCATTAAATTTCAACGACTTCAAAATAGGGAATTTTGATATTTTGTTAAGTATCTAAAAAAAACCGTCGCTGTGAAAAATCTGACAGTGCACAAAATCGAACGATGATGAAAAGCCCAAAAGTAGGCGATTTTTTGAATTTTTTTGAAAGATTTTTTGTGCTTGAGTTTGCGTCAATCCTACTGTATCTCGTTTTCAATATCTGCAATAGCCGTTTATGATCAGCAAAATTTCCCTCTATTAGTTTGAAAATAGGCCTTCTATCGAGTTTAGTTATTTGCCAAAATCAAATGATGATAACTTTTCGATTAGAAGAGAGATAAATGAGCGGAAAATCCCCCCTGATCTTTTTTTTGGGTAGTTATTTGATACTTCATCGAAAACTCTCAAGAAATTTGTTCAAAATCATCATGTCAAAACATTGAGCTCAGTTCTGACAACCTATCGGAACAGAAACCCCATTCGAAAAAGGTCCAGAAAGGCTCGAATTTATTTGAAAAGAAAGCGTGCGGGAGCGAGTATAACTGAATCACGGCTAGCTTTTGTCTGGTTACAAATCGTGTCAAGACCCGTTTTCCGATGGCTCAGTCAGCGGTGGATTGGCTATGAGCCGTAAAACTTTGGTGGCAGTACTAAATCTTTGGTTGGTTAGTGACTCAATAAAATCTTCCAAACTTGGCTCGAACTCAATTTCATAAACTAAAATTATTTGACAAGTTCACGATTTCCTTCATCTAAAAAGTATAAATTTTAGTAAGAAGTTAGCAGATTCAACCTCCAGTTGAACGGCACGGGCGCTAGTTTTTTTGGCCATAACTTTTTTTCTTAGTAGTCCTTCATTCAAGAACTAAACGGGTTATGATTATAGACAATGTCTTCTATCAAAAAAAGTGACAAAACTATTTAGGACATTTTTGAAAAAAAACGGTTTGCGGTCCCTACTTTTTTTCGGCTTGAAAGATTAAAATTCTAAAAAAAGAAGTTTGCACATTCTAGAAAATGGCTTGTGGTCATTACAAATTAAAAAAAGAAAATCGCGATCGGCGTCGGGCAGATCATAAGAAAAATTGCAATTATTCTCAAGAAAAAAAAAAAAAAAAGAAATTTGAGAAAAAAACCTTAGTTTTGAATCTTGAAAAAGCCTATGGGTCTGATTAAAATTGAAAAAAGATAAGAAAAAAATTGAGAATTTGGGAGAAACTTTGTGAAATTAACATAGTGGAAACCTATTCTTATGCCGAATAAATAAATAATTCTCCAAAACTTGAAAAAATGCTAGTAAGCTAACGAGTAAACAAAAAAAGGCCTCAATTCGGCCTTTCTCAGACGGCTTTGACTGGAGATAAGGCTTCTTAAAAACTTATTTTTACGAAATAAAATCGACTGATGACGACTTTTTTTTAGATTTTTTCCAGTCCAAAAAAAATTCTCTCACAACTAATCTACAGAGTTTGATCGAGAATGATGTCAAATTTGAATTTTGAAGAGAGCTTTTTTTCTATTACTATAATAAAGCAATAGATAAATCGAACATGTTTTTTTAAATGAAGTAAATTAGAGAATAATCATCTTTAGAAGATTTTGAATTTGAGGGAATTATTTGATAACCTCTTTAGTTTCATGGTAAAATAGCTTTCAACTTTTTTTGCTTCGAGATAAATCAATTTGAAGCTGAATTCGCAACGATTCCAGTACATTCAAGCAATCTTCATGTTCAGAAACACTTTCAGCTTAATATTTTCCAGACAGAAACTAATGAAAATTTTCAAAGCTCGTTCGCAGAACTGCGAAATTTCCAAAAGAGAATTCCAAACAAAAGTTTTTAAGCTAGACTCGTACAAAAAAATCTTGAAGACATCTACCGATACTCATCAAATCAAATTCCATTGAGAAATTAAAGGAACAAATGTGATGTGCAAACATACTTAGAATCCTGCTTCTATCTTCCTGAGGATCCTTCCGAACTGGACGTCCGTGACAACGCGTCCTTTTTCAATTGCTTGGAGCGAGGTCATCGCCGAGGAGAGTCGGCCAACCCGGCGCAACTCTTCGTCCCCGTAGCCACCGTCCGCAACCTTGGCCTCCAACTCCTCTCTGATCTTGACGAGGAGTTGGGCCGCGGAATGACCAGCGAGGGCCGGTGGCACACGGCGGACGGCTTGGCCCACGCCCAGGCCCCTGAGCCGTCTCGAGGCTCTCTGAGCGACGGACCTGGGTCGCTGAAAAAAATTATTTTTTATCAACTGCTTCAACTCAAAAAAGCAAAGCTCATAAGATAAGATCAAAATTCACGAATCTCCAATTTCCAAAAGAAAAAAGGCTCAAAGTCTAAGGTAAGTGGGCAGGTTGAGACTTCAGGGTCTTCAGTCAAAAACATTTCAGATTATTTTGTGGCTTTTTTCTCAAATAAAAATAACTCTTTTCGTAAGCTCTCGTCGAAAAAAGAGGCAAAATCTTGCTTTGAAAACGCGCTCTACAGATCAATGTCTATCAAAACCTGAAGCCTCTTCAAAAAAAAATTTCTTAGCCTTGAGTCTGATCTCATTGAAAAAAGGCTGAAAAAACTCAGTAGTACGGGAATTCGCGGCTTTAAGAAATTTCTGGATTCTTAGTGGAGAGAGTAAGCTTTCTAATTATTTTTTCTAAACGTTGTTAGTTACCTGGCCGGCGCGTTGTTGGCGGGTTTGACCAGGGCCGGCAGCACCAGCCGCAGCTTGTTGGGGAGCTGCGGCGGGCTGGGCTGCTGGACCGGTCTGGTCGTTGGCCTCCTCGTCCTCCTCGACTTCTTCTCCGTCCTCCTCATCATCCCCGTCCTCCTTCTCTTCTTCCTTCTCCTCACCGCCATTTTCTTCGGCTTCTGGGACTTCTTCGTCCTATAATTTCACCATCAGCCTTTCAGAAAGATCTGAGATCTCCAAGGTGAAAATCAATTTATCTCAAATTCTCCTTCCATTTTCAAAAGATCCGAAAATTTTCAATTCACCTAAAATTGGATTGATTGAAGTCTAATCGAAGGAGGAAAATTGCTAAAAATCCAAAAAAACGGTGTAAAAATTCCTTCTCTTCCCAATCTCAGCCCTTACGTCTACTCAAATCAAAACTTTCAAAATTATAAAAAAGCTGGAGTATTCTACATGAAACCTAATCACCAATTCGATCAAATAATGAGGCTCATAGTTTCAAAAGTCGAGCCTTTTGAGGCCCTGAATCTTTCACAAGAAAACTCGTAGAAGAAAATTTTTTTGAAAATTTTTCTAATGTTTAAACCAAACGACCAGTGGAAAAGGAACTGGAATAGAAACCTGGAGATGGAGGAGCTCGGCGGCCTCATTCATAGCCTCCTCGGCGACGAGTTCTGCGGGGTCTTCGGCACGCGGGGCTTCGGCCACATCATCTTCTTCTTCTTCTTCTGGGGAGTTCAGAAGGTTGCGTCGGGCCCATGCGAGGGCGATCCTTTCCCGAGCGCGTTGGCTCAGGAAAAATGAGTCCGACGAGTCGGACGAACCGGTCTTAAACAGCATTTTTTAGACATCATTAATCGAACTAAACTTTTTTCAATGAATATTCACTAAAAACTTAGAACTCGCCAAAGTTCGTGTTCCGGAACTCTATCGAAACTCCGAACTTTATCTATTTCCAGATATGAGAGGTTTGTGATTCTGGCAAGGAATTTTCGTAGTAAAATCGAATTTTCTGGCTTTTGTTACTCTTTTTCATTTTTGAGAAAGAAAAATCAAAGTTGATAAGCAAGAAAATGCCATTTTCTTCAATTACTTCGTCAGGCTAGACCTATGAGAATTTTTCTATAATTTTTTTGTTTTTTTCAAATCTCGAAATGCTTACTGAAATTTAAAGTTTCCGTGAAGCCGAAAGAGGAAAAAGAGAAGATTTGAAAAAAACTAACCTCTTCGTCGAATTCTTCGATCGACTCGAGGTCGAAGAGTTCGTAAACGTCCTCTAGCTCTTCCGGCCAAGGCGCCTTAAATAAATATTTACAAAAAAGAAGAAGAATATTCGGAACGCATTTCCATTTTGAAGCTCATTTCGATTTTATTTCTTCTTTTCATTTTACCTAGGACACAAAAAAGGGATGGCGAAGTTTTTTAACTTCAAAAATTAATATTTACCAAGTCCCTTCACCTCATTAAATTTATTGAAACAATTGACCTGAACTCATTTTTTTTTCCGGCTTCCAATTCAAGGAAAATCTCCTTTTGATTTGATTTTTGAACAACGAGAATATTTGGACAAACTTGAGATCTAAAGAATTATTCGGGATTGATTAAATTCCTCATACACAAGCTCAGTTATGACAAAATTAGATTTCCAAGGCTTCGAAATTTTGAAGTTTGTCAAATTTCTTTAATTCGCATCAAACAGGTTGAATCGATATATTAAGGAAATTGAGAAATTCAAAGTTATATAAATTCTTTGGATTGGTTATGATAGAAATGCTTGAAAAGAGTACAAAAAAAGATCTAGAGGATTCTTTTCGAGGAACCGAAAGAACAGCTTGAACTTTAAAGCCAAATTAATATGTGATTAATAAAGCGAAAATTACCGATGAGGAAGAGCTGGAGGACGTCGACTCTTCTTCCTCTTGCTGTCCTTCTTGTCTGGCGTCCGGTTCCGGTGAGTGGCGCTGAATCAGTTTCGTTTTTTTTTTAAAGTTCAACAGGTTCTCATTGTAATTTATCCTTGAGATCTTCCGTTTAAAAAAATCCAACGACTACAAGCCATACCCAAGGCGTAGGAAAAATAATTCACTTTTTCGATTCGATCAAATTTTTTGAAAGAATGAAAACCAACATCGTCAGCCTCAGGACGACTGCTTTTCCTCTCTGGGCCTTCTGAATCCTCTGAACCTTCTCCTTTCCGTTTCTCAGCTGAACCCCCGGGTCCTTGGAGGGCGCGCTGAATTTTGTTCATTATTTTATTTGTTGGCAAAAAATTTTATCTCAAAATCATAAGTAACATCTGCGATGACTTCACTTATTCATGCGCTCTTCGAATTTAGAAAACTTTAATTTTTCTCTCCACACTTTTTCTTGCACATCTTGAGCATTATCGGAACGCTTTGAAAAATTGAATCGATCTAACATTTTGCTTCTAACGATCAGGTTTGATGAATTTCTGGTCAAGATGGTTACAAAGATCATCAGAAGCTTTGTTATGTTTTTTACGAGTTTATTTTTTTCCCAAACTGACTTTCGGCGGCTGCGCGGAGCGGCTCTGTCCCGATCTCCTTTTGCGCGCCGTTATGCCGAAACTTGCCCTCGTGGACGGCTGTAAATTTTACTTTTTCTTCTGTTTTGTTGGAAATCTGGACAGAAAACTTAATTTTCCTCAGCGCTATATTGCTCCTATTTTTAGCGTTCGAATCTCGTAGCTTTCTAATTTTTTCTACATGTAGAAATGAAAAATGAACAGCCCTACTTCTATTAAAAAAAGTTTTGACTGCCAAATCTTGAAAACAGCCTTTTTTGGTCCTACTCAACCTATATCGGTCTTATACTGTTCAATAAAGTTAAAAAATATCATTTTCTTTTCTTTGCAAATGGTACCAAAATGGTATGGTAGGAATGGTAGAATTTCGTGTAATTTATGATTTTTCAACTGAAAAATAAGAGACGGTAGAAGAAGTCTAGTTTTCATTGTTCTTTTTAGAAAGAACTTGTCCAAAAAAAACTTATTAGAATGGCAAAACATAATACTATTCGAGCAAAGCTAAGAAAGATTTCACTACATCAACAGCTTTCATTTTCGAGTTGCCTAGTTAGCTGTTCTGAAAAAGCGGACCTGGGGGGGCTCAGCTCCTTCTTCTCCTTCTCCTTCTCCGCCTTCCTCTTTTACTTCCTCAATTTCTTCTCCTCTTTCTCCATCCGTTTCTCCAACCACGTTGGAGTCCGAGTCTTCGCCTGTGACGGCCTCTGCACTGTCGACCTTAATCAAAATTTTCAGTAAAGACATGGAAATCTTTTCCGATATTTGTCGACTCAATTTGAACGTTGATAATTCTCTTCAAGTTCACTTTCACCATCAGGAAAAAGGTTATCAGCCAAGTCGATAATATCTCGTTGTTTGATCTTTTCGAAATAGAACTAGATTCGTTTGAGCAAAATATTCAAGTCTCACATTCTGTCAACGGAAACGTCGAAACTGAAGAAGCGAACAATTTTCAACGTTTGAAAAAATCTGTACTTTGAAACCACTTGCCGTAGGTCCAGCTTTTTCGGATTCTATTTATTTTTCCGGATATAAAAGGCCACTTGTAAAAAAATAACCCCGATTTTTTTGATTTTTAGTTCGAAGTTTGATTATTCACAATTTTTTTCGTGTTCTACCAAACTCATTCTAAACGAGAATCTCGCCGAAACATAAGGAAAACAGAAAGTTGAATTTCTTCTGAAAAAAAGGAACCGATTTACAAGATTTTCGGTATTCATGTTCTCTTTTTTCTGAGGGTTTCTTTTTCTCTTCTCCCAAGAAAAACCCGGGAATAGAAGTGTTTCGAACTTGAAAATGTTGAAAAAGGCCAGAAAACTAACCGTATTGGTCCGTGCCCCATTCCCATTTCCTTCCGGTTCTTCCCGGGACCTTACGGTTCCCTCTCCATGATCTTCCACCTGTAAAAACATAATCACAAAGATATGATCGACATGATTCTTGTGCCTCGATCTTATTCATAACTTTTAAAATCTGGATTTTCTTTTGGGAATTCATTCGATTCATTTGAGACATGGATCGATCAAATCGAAACAGTAGATCCAACTTAAGTCTGTTTTCATGTTGGGAAATCAGACGAAGACGGTGTTCCAAATGAAAAAAGATTCAAACGGGTTTTCTCAAATTCTTTTCGGTCCTACAGAGAAGCAAAACACTGATTTCTGCCTTAATCATTAGTTTTTGAAAAAGATGAAAATTTTGGGAAACTTATAGCCGTGGAAAATGACCGAGGCATTTTTTTTGTTCTTCAAGAACTTCAAATTGCAATCTTTTTTTGAGCTAAGAACTGTTTCGAAATTTTCGAAATGAAAATTTTCGAAAAATTTTAATTTGATTTTGAGACGTTCTTATTGAAATTCCAGTGGTCTTAGGGATAGTTTTTCAATTAAAAATTTCCGTTTGAAATTAATCTGAAATAAAAAAACGAACCTGATGGGCCATGGCGCCGGCAACCAATGTGAGCTCCAGGCGCTGTAAAACGGAAATTTTTCTTTTTTTCTTCACAGTCCCACTCTGTCCTATGAGATGTGAAGGTTTTAGGACTCTTACAGATTTTCAGTTTTTAAATCTACTACTGATTTAATTAACATTAATTTTTTTCATACTAGATTCTGAACGAGTTCTTTCAAGCTCTCTTCGCTTCTTGGGGTCTCGATAAGAAACCAATCGATACTAAATCTGTCTATTTTCTGGTTTCCGGATCGGTTTATTTCAAAAGCAGTTGAGGATCGCAGAAACTTTTCGGCTAAAGTTGATCTCGTAAATCGAATTTCACTATCCCTCATTTGATTCAATTTAAGATAGTTTGAACAATGAAGGTTTTTCTGAAGACAAAGAATCGGAAGAAGACTTCTTTTTGAAGATTTTTGACAAGAGATGGTTTAAAAAGGATTTTGATTTGAAAAAAAGCCGGACGGCTCGAAGAACTTACAGCTCTTCCCCGACGATCCCTGCGGACCGCGACCTCGTATGTGGCCGTTTCTTGCCCCCTCAAGAGTTGGTTCCATTCCAGGAACGAGGTCAGCTATAAAGTAGCCGAATTAAAGGTATCAATCAATATTTATCAATATTTCTTAGTCATAATTGATCTATTATATGTAATCGACAAGTCAAAAATATAAATGTGACAATCTTTCTTTTGGTCACTGGACTCATCGCTGTATAGAATTTCCAGAAGTTTCGATAATTCTCATAATATTTCTACACACGGTACTTTCAAACACTAAGTCGTTAGACTAGTCCGGGTCCGCGAAATTCAAAAAAACCGCTAAAAAAAATTGGTAAAAAAGTTTTTGAAAGTCATGGAAGATTTTGAATTTTGCGGAAAGCACTGTGAACACCGTATAATGTCCAAAGAACCGTACTGAGATTCTCTAGAGACAAAAAAATTAGAAGTTTTCAAGCGTTGGCTATTTTCTTTCTTCTTAAAAAATTCTGGAACTGCTCCGAGTAAGTTCCTTGCAGAAATATTGAAGCCGAGTCGAAAAAACTAACGTTTTCGACCTGGTGCGGTGCAAGGCGCACAGAGTGGGTTGGAGGCGGCTGTAAAAACAAATTTTTTTTTGTTTTTGCAGTTGAAATTTAGAATTTGATAATTTTCGAAAGATAAGGGCTTGCCCCAACTTTTTGAGGTTTTCTGAGAAAGTAGGTTCTTCAGTTTTATTAACTCTTTCTTTTCATAGCATCTAGAGAAGTTTAGAGATTCTTCAGTAACTTCAACGTTTTCGGATTTATTCACCAAAAAAGACATCTGTACTGACCAGGACTACAAATTGGTCAAGGAATAACAATTGAGAGAAAACGCAAAATTCAAGACAATACATAAACTGGGTTCTTTCAAAGACCTTGTGAAAGATATAGATTCATTGAAAAAAGTCCCAAAGTTCAGTCAAAACAGCAAGGTTCAAATATATCAAATTCCGAGAGAATCGAAAAGAGACACGAGATGTTAAAAAAATTCGAATCATCTATTTGAAAATGACCTAGGAACACGTTTTCATCCCAAAAATGATAAAACGATGCTACACGTTTCATTTTGAATTAATATTCTGGAATGTCTGCTTTTCTAATAATTTTAGAGCAACGAACGGATTTTTCAATCATTTGAACTTTTCGCAAAGGATTGTTTTGAGTAAAAGCCTATATTTTAAAGACTTGTATCGATATTTCTGCCTTTTTTCATTGAAACATTGTCTTCATATGGCTGAAAGCCTTTCTGAACCCTGAAATATTGCAATCGAATCGAAAACTAACCGGGTCATGGGCGTCATCTGCTTGTGGAGGCCTTTGCCTTCCTTGGTCTTGTTGGCGACTTTCGTCGCGTGTTGTTTCGTCCATACGGACTGAAAAAATCATTTTTATTAAAAATAGATCTGAAGAAAATTCAGTCTTTTTGAACTAAAATTCTTTTTCCTATCCTAATCTTCTTATAAAACCTTACATCTAGGGTCCGCAAGCCATTTCTTCAGAACGATTCAAAAAAATATGTTTTTTTCACACTGTTCGATAGAGGAGACTGTCCATTTTCATAATCCGTTTAGTTTTTTTGAAAAAAAAGGTCCACTAAGAAAAAAAGTTATGGCCAGAAAACTAGCGCGCGCGGCGTACAACTGGAGGCAAAATCTCACGGTTTACCCGCTGCCGCACGCTTTCTTTTTAAATGTTTTTTTGCGCATTTCTGAACCGTTTTTCTAATCAGTTTTTCTGTTCTGAGAGGTTGTCCGAACTGAGCTTCATGTTTTTGGTATGAATCTTTTGTACAATCTTCATAAGAATTTTTTTGATAAAATATCAAAAAAACTACTTAGAAAAAAAGGTCAGAAGGAATTTTCAGCTTATTTTTTTCTTTTTTTCTAATCAGAAAAAAATTATTATCATTTGGTTTGGAAAAAAAGAAAAAAAATGAAAAAAATAATGTTATTTCGAAATAAAACAGGAAAATGTGCAATTTGACTCCAAAAAACGGCTCCTGCAACATTTAAAATGGCGCATCGGTGTGTTTGACGCGAACACAGCTACGAATGCTTGCACGAATTCTTCCAAAATTTCAAAAAAAGTTGTCATTTTTTCGAGGTTTTCAAAGCCGTTATTTTTTTCGCGTCGTTAGATTTTTTTCATAATTTTTTTATTGATAGAGTTTTGAACGCTTAATAACCTGATCAAAAGTATAAACGCGATCCTATTCTCTCATGCGACAACGAGGCAGGCGAAAAAAGGTGGTTTTGGTAAAATTCAAATATAATTTAATTCGCTGTCCCAATAATTATTTTCATTCTGAATTTTTATTTTTGAACACATTGTGAGTTTTTAAATCAAATAAAAAGTATACCATGTCGCTGAAATTTTTTTCGCATTTCAGCTTCAAAGTTTGGTGTCACTTTACAAGCTTCGATTTTTTTTTCGCGTCGTTAGATTTTTTTAAAAATTTTTCCCTCGAAAAAAATAAAGAAAGTGTTAATATATAACATACTCAAAATTTAAAAGCGTTCCTCATTTGGTTTTCTGAAACGCGACGATTTTGTGAAACTTGTCAGTTTTTTTCGTGTTAAATCTTACTTTTTCGCTTATTTTTGAAAAATACATAGTTTTAAAAATATTCAGTCTTGTAGAGCGTTGTCGATTACATAGATTAAGAGAAACAGTTAATTTTCAAAGTGGGACTTTAGCTAATATAAACGCCTCAAAACCGTTTTTGCAACAAAAAAATCGTCATTTTGGTGGCGTGAAGGGGCGGGGCTTTGCGCCCCCTACTTATATCATCAGAAGTCGCAATGAATGAACTCCTAGAGAGTTTCAGGCCTACATACTATACGGCTTCTGAGGATAAATCCCCGTTTGATAAATATTTTCTGAACTTTATGATTAACCATCATGATAAGACTGAAAGTTCCGTTTTAGTTCGAAGCAGTTTTTTTTTGGATTGAACATGGTATTATCAAAAAAAAAACCTTCGCTTGTTTGAGCTTTGCTCAGTTCGCTGCGTTCTTCGTGAACGGATTGCTTGGCAGACTGTACCTGTAAAAAGGATTTGGGAATAAGGATCAAGAAGAAGAAAGATAAAAAAAAAAAGAATCTTTGAAAATCTCCGAGGTCCCTGTTAAGATTTAAGAGACATCGCGAGAAAATCGTGGAAAAATTAGTTGAGGTTCTGTGAATTTTGAGGGTTTTTTTATTAAATCGATTTCATGTAACAAATTGTTTTTGAAACGAATAAAATGAAACAAACTTTTTGGCACAGTCGGCTTTTTTTGAAATGCTGAATGATTTTCACGTGCTTCGTGTTTTTTTTTTTTCAAGGTGAAAGAAACTTTTCGGTCATAGCAGAACCGTTCATTTGTCACGTTTATTTATACGTCTGCCAATTTTTGTAAAGACCATTGTGAGATGAAACCTGTGGAATTTTGTGGATATAGTTGAAGAAATTTTGTTTCAAAAAAATTCGCACTTTTTTTGGCCCTGTGAAGTTGATAGGAGCCCTGTGGTTTAGACATAAAAACGTCTAGAAGATGGATAATATAAATGGAATTTCTAGAAGGAAATGTTCAAACTTTTTTCATCAACTAGAACTTATTTTTCGGCGATAACTAGTTTCAGTCTATCGCCTTTTTCTTTTCCGTGCAGGTATGAGTCTCACAAGGCACTGTGACTGGTATCTTTGATGCTTCCGTTACTTCATATCTGTTCCGACAGCCCTGACACTGTTCAAGATAGTACAAATAGATTTCTTGATTGTGCCAAAACTTGAGGTCTCCCGGTTGCGGCCAATAAAAGTGTTGTTTTTCACCTGATGTATAGTCAATGTTTCAATGTATACTCGGTTCTAATCACGTTTTCCGTGGGAGAACTACTATTGCTCTAGTAACGCTCCAAAAATTTGTCCTGAGCCTTTATCACTTTCCAAGCGCAGAAAAGTTTCTCAGTAGAAGTCGTTCACCACGGTACCCTTTTCGTTTGATTCAGACTGGTTCCAGATTTAATACTTATTTTAGCACTGTCATTCCTCTTCGGAATAGACTCTGCTCAAGATTCAACTCTAACACGTCTACCACCCGTTCCAGAAAGTTTCTCGACTCGCTCAGCAACGAATAACTCTTTTCCAACAATCCCTTACGTCTAATCTGATCAAAATCTTTTCACTAGTTTCATTCCCTATACTGGTAAATTCGCTCGTGAAGGCGTATTAAAAGCGATTCTAATGTCACTCTCATATAATTCTAGCTCAAGCTATGTCTCTTTTTTGTAGCTCATGTTGTTCTATGTATTCGAGGGAAATAAATATTCAAATATTGAAAATCTTCAGCATTTCAACCGACAAAAAAATGGTTAGCTCACCAAGAAAAGCTTTAGGAAGCTCTACAATCTCAAGTACCACGTTCCGTTTTTTTTAAATTGCAGCGGAATCAAAAACTTGAGGACTTTTAAGCAAATCAGTCAATGTTTAAATTAGCTAACACAATTTTTGGGACAGAAAAGTACGAAAATTATTTGGAGAGGCTCAATCGACGGCATTCAGTTTATCGACTTTGACGGTCGCTAACTTTTTTGACAGGTTTTTGAGCAAAGATTAGAAATCATCATGAAAGACTGGAACTAGTGAGCCTAATATAATTCAGAAGTCCCACTGGGAGCTGAGAAAATTACTTAGTAGGTTAAAAGATCTGCCAAAAAAGGCTCAAAAAAGATATTGAATTTAAAAATTCTAGAGGTTATGAACGTTCTCTCATTTCATTTTGCAGAGCGAAAAAGGCATCTACGTAGTTAACCTGTACCCCTAAGTCTCATTGCGAGCAAAGGTTTTTTTTTAAAATTGAAGACGGACTACGCAAGCCACAAAAAAGATCAGCATGTCTGCTCCTACACATACTTGGCAACTTCATGAAACACAACAACAACAACCAGAACCCTTGGTCGACAGCTGTTGCCATTGTGCCGAGCCAAAGGGAACTCTCGTTCGTATATCGATAGGCGGAGGTCAGGTCTCTCGTCCCAATCGCTTTATCATTCGGTTCGCTATGATGCGCGTCGTGGTCCTGCTCCACGTGCTACTTTCCCTTCCGCAAGGTTTTTTTTTGGTTTTTTTTTCTTGGTTGATCTCTGCAGTGATTGGAGGAGAGAAGAAAAGCTCAAAAGTTCTCGATCCCAAGTATTTGAAATGTCATTTCGTCATAAGCTTCTGTAAGATTTGAGAAAGGCTGAAGGAAATGTGCTAGAGAAAACTTTGAAAATTAAAAAATTTCGAAAATTTTTGACCGGCCAAAATTAAGCTCGTTCCAGATGCTCCAACAGAAATTTGAAGATTTTTTGGAGAAAATTTGTAAATTTTCAGTCTGATTGACAATTTGCTTTTCAATAATTCACACGCTTTTTTGAGCTCTAAGGTATGGTCTCCGTTTAAAGTCCATATTAGAATGGAGACCTTGTGGAATAGGAGGCCTAGGTAAGAATACTCGGAATCAAAAAAGGCAATCTGCTGAACCCGGAAAAGCTCGTACCCTAGTATGAAATATCCAAAACGTTTTCCAAGTTCAATTTTCAGGCATCGAAAGCCTCGGATGCATGGTGAAGGTTTGCGGAAACAACGCCGAGAACGAATTCCGACGATGTCCAGACATCGACGGCTCCTGCGGCAACTACCACACAGAGAGGTCCAACGGCGAGATCGTCGATGGCGTCGACGTCCGTTGCCATCCTGGAGAGCCGATCTACGCTCCGTTCGAAGGAGAAATGTACTTCTGGAGGCCGTTCAGCGGAAAAAAGGACAAGTCTTGCGCTGATCAGGGAGTCCGCATCGAGGGGACCGGCCAGTGGCAAGGTTACTTTTTGAATCAGACAAAACTAAGGCCTCTCAGAAGTAAGAACAAGACTTCAGGCTACGCTGTACATATTTCTTCCGTCAAGCTGTCCTTTTTCGGCGGTCACGTCCAAGCTGGAGACGAAATCGGCGAAGCTATCGATAGGTGCGGGAAACTTTGTAAAAAAATATATTAAGTCCAATTCTTTTTTTTTTTAATAATCAGTTTTTTCTGTTTCATTCCGAATTCAGAAGCTGTTTCCTCGGACAAAATCAAAAAGACGTCGAAGACCACGTCCAAATCAAACTTTTCCGAGGAGGCGTTCAGGTCGACCCAACACATCACTTGCAAAACTGTTAGTTGGAAAATTTCCTATTATAGAAATTTAATATTTTCAGGTATGTGCACCGGCCAAATTTGTGAATCAAATAGTCGCAACCAGCTTTTCGGCGAACCTTTCAAAGCCGATAAGTCAGGCATCGAAGACAAACAGACAGAACGGGAATAAATTGAAGACGTTACAACGGCGTCCGAGGCTGGGATCTTCTGTGTCCGATCATCAACGACGACGACGAAGATCCGCGCGTTCCAGTCATTTATTCTCCGATTTCTGGCGAAATTATGGGCAGGGTCCGCCTTTTCTCGGATCACAACGGAGCCTACAGCGGTTGTGACAACGAGGGAATGTTCATTGTCGGGACTGAACAATGGATCGGTTTTAACCCCATTTGAAACAGAATTAACTCCTTCTTCAGGCTTCGAGGCCAGAATTTATAACGTTAGAACGCGCTCAGACATAGGATTCGGCCGGAAAAGAATTGTCCAAGGAGAGCCGATCGGAGCGCGTTTGGACTGTGATAATAGCCCTGACAGCATATTTTTGGAGGTGAACTTCATCGAAAGTCCCAGTTTAAAAATATTCTTCAGCTCCGATACCAAGGACGCGTGGTTAATGTTACTGACATCATTACGGCCGAAAACTGCAAGCTTCCCGAGCTTCCCAGTTTATAAAATCATCTTTGCGAATATCTTTCCTATTTTATTGTTTGATGAACTTTTTGAACATAATAAAAGTTTACCTCTCCGTTTTTGAGAAAATACTTGTTGCACATGTGAATGTGTCTCTTTCGCGTGTTTAGTACGCAGGGGTGATTACACTATTCCACCGAAGTTGACGACATTTCAAATAAAATGGCACTTGGGTTTTCGAATATTTTTAAAATTTAATTCATTTAGATGTTTATTGAAGTTGTCAAAGTTATAGCTGTTAAAATTTTTAAAATTTGTTAATTTTATGACTTGGTTGGACAAAAATGCATTTTTGAACAAGACAGAGCCTGGAAAATCATCGTCAAGTACCTTCCCTTTTTTTTAGATAATAATTTTTTTTGTCTTCTCTCATTGATACCGATTATTATTCTGTTTTTTTTTCGAAGGAAAAGAAATTTTGTAATTCATCAACTTCACTTTTGCCCCGCTTTTCTCTTTTCTTTTTATCCATTATAAATTTTCCTGTTGTTATAATGGTCTTTTTCAGACATAATGTCGTCGAGAGAAGGCGGCGTCAAGCAGCTTTCTTCTTCTTTGCTTGATATGAAGGTGAAAATAATGTTTACTTTTTTTCCAATAAAATATTCAATTTTTTTCAGTTTATGCTTCGAACTAAGAAGAAAATTGAAGAGAAGGAACGGAAAAAGAAGGAAAACGCTTTGAAAAACGCTATCCAACCAGCCGAAGTTGCTTCTAGTAGCAGTGATTGTAAAGACGATTCGAAGTTAGATCACAGTGATAACTGGAAAGCTTTTATTTTAATTTTTAGATATGAAACGACGAAAAATTTAGCCATGTTAGAGGGTTTGACGTATGGAAGAATGTCCTTTAAAGGTTTCAACAAAGAAGTTGAGGTTGGTAAAAAAATTTTTTTATTGATTTTTTTCTTGATGCGATTTTTCAGCAACTTATGGAATATTATGAACGGATACGCAACGGCGAAATTTCTGACGACGAGGAGGAAGAAAAAGGACATCAAAGATCAGGACATGGCCCAAACGTTAGTTTATCCGAAAGGTGTCGAATTCTCTTAATAATAACTTTTTTCAGGTTGGGGAATGCCGCTCTAAGCAAAAAGTTCGCGTCAAGACGTGAAAGACAGGTAGATTTTTTTTTTAGAATTATAATAAATTTTCAAGTCATTTCATAAAATTTAGCAGTTTGAAAGTAAAAAGTTTAAGTTTTTGAACCTTTGAAAAAAAATTTTCTCACTATTTCCTCGAAATGCTTTGATTTGTCTATTGTTATAGATGGATTCTAATAAGATGGACGAAAAGAGCGGGAAAAGGCTGAATTTTTCGGATTACCGGAAACGAGGCGCCAATGTCGACACGGACGCTCCGGAACGCAAATTTTTGAAGCCTTCAGATTAGTTTTTTGCCATTTTCACTTGTTACTTTCAAAGGTTGTTTCAGTTGTTTCGGTTACGTTGTTTTTAGATAAATGCTCAGTTTTTCGAGTTCTCTCCGTGAAATTTCGAAAGTTGAATTTTGCTTTTGAAACTTGATTAATAAAAATTAAAAGCGGCGTAAAACTTATATAGATTTACTGTTTTTAAAATAGTCTAATCCATTGTCAGAAAGGGAAAAATATTTCTCTGTAGTTAAGTCTTCTTAGATATTCTTTCATGCTGCGATTGGATCAAAAGGTCTTGTAATTGTAATTTTGAGTTATCTAATGGATTAACGTGAAGTTTGTTGAAAAAAAAGAAAATAATGAAAGCGGTTTATTTGTATATGAATAAATTTTTAAAGTTTTGTTAATTTCTCTCTGACACTTCTTCTTACTTTTCTCAGTTCTTTACGGTCTTAACTTTCAAATCAATCTTTTATAATATTTGAAGGGACGTTTTATATGACTATATGACTAATTTTCTGCTATTTCGGTTTCTTGTAATTTGTTTTAGCCCTTATTTTGATACATATGGTTTTTGGAAAAGGTCTACCATTCTACTTTTCTTAATTTTAAAATTTTCGTGTAGAAACCTATTCATATTAGGATATTTTTTCATGACCTCTGAGCATTTGCAAGAGTCGGTCAGTGGGAAACAGATATGTTGAGAAACTAAGTATCTCCAAAAGTTTTAGGAATCTATTTGGGCCGTTTTTTTAGAACTCTTTTTGTGACCACAATGTTTTTGGTGTAGATAATATTCAGAATCTTGAAAAAACCGTAAAAAAAACTTTTTAAATTGTTTTTATTTTTGACACACTTCGTGGCGGAAACCTCGGAGACATTCTAGTCGATGAATTTTCAACAGTGCTCCTCAGAAGAAACAAGATATTCACTTCAATTTCTCAAAAAGTTCATTTTATACATTTGGAATACTCCGTTGCGCAAGGATGCCCAACAAATGACTCTCGGACGATATTTCTCTCCGAGATTTGCAGTTGCAAGAAGCGTTCGAAAACCATTTTGCGACGGATCGCTTTGCGGACCCAATAAGCCGTACTTATAAGGTGTGAAGACGGGGATTTGAAGCACGTGGGCGATTGGATGAGAAGAAGAAGAAGATTGGGGGGCTCGGCTCTTCGTGTTTCTTCCTCGCCTTCCGCCCTCCACCGCAACTATCGACCCGCCTCTCTACTTTCCGCTTTTCATACTTGGAGCTTTTTCTCTCCGCACCGCTTGTTTTGACCATTCATCCGTCACACCCCTCGGCTCCCTCATTATCCTCTTCTTCTTCTTCTCAAATGCGGTAAACGCCGACGAGGTGACTATTACTTTTTCCTTTCTCTCATTGATTCTCTGAGATTCCTACAAGGGAAGTCATTTTCCAACACTTCTCTTGAATTTGACGCTAAGAATCTTCAAGATTTTCTATTTTTGAAAAAAGTAAACGTTTATAAAGTTTTCTCAACCTCCCTAAACTGCTCTGCTCAGATTTCGTAGCGCTAATCACTGAATACTAGTAAATTTTTTTATCATTTTTGAAAAATTTATGATAATTTTTCTTTAGAGAAATTTAGTGGGAAGTGACCTTCCTTGTTAATTTTGCGTTTTATAATCGAAAAAGCGTCTTTTTTGGCGCTGAAATCGAAATGTGGCAGTTATTCCGACAACATTCAATCAAAAAAAGCGAAGCTATTTTTCGAAATCCGACCGAAATAGTCGTAAATTTTAAATTTCCTGTTCATTTTCATGAGATTTAGGTTTTTAAAAAGTTCTTTATCATTATCGTCTCAAAAACGTATGGGTTGGCTCTGACCCTATATCAAAAATCCTTTTTCGGAAAAATTTTTTTAGACTCGAAAAATATTTCAGATATATTCAAAAATGTTCGAAAAATGACTGTCTCATATAGAAATTGATTTTTCATCCTTAAAGTCCAAAAAAACGCAAAAAAAAAGAGAGATTTTCATTGGAAATAGTCCATTTCTTCTCAAAGACGTGCGATAAACACGAAAAAAAAAGTGATTCACATGCACTTTGGAGCGGAATGGAATCGATTAGAGCCGATTTCAAATCTTCCGAAAATTTTTCATTGAATATATATATATATAGTTTCTTCTCAAAAATGTGAGATGAAAAGTCGATCCGAGCCGGTTTTAGATTTTCCAAAAAAATCTTTCAAATAATAACCTTCTCGAACAGTTGAACATAAAAACAAAGTGATTCACATGCACTTTGGAGCGGAATCGTTCGAGACGAGCACTTTTTTCAAAAATTCTCATTCAAAGTAATCCATTAACATGCGAGATGAACAATCGATTCGAGCCTCGTTCAGTTTTTCGTTGTCCTGTCAGATCACAAACAACGCATATCCGTGAGACAGCTGTGGCCAACAACTTGGAGCCTAATCGGATCCTTCGCTCGCTTAGGGGCGCCTCGAAGCGAGAAAAAAGAGAGTGAGGAGCCGTGAATAGAGGAAAACTCTCCCGTCTCCACTTCTAGAGATGCCGGCCTCCTTTCAATTGAACGTCGCCATCAGGTTATTTTTCTTCTTTTTGTTTATAACTCTTTTTGTTTTTGCTCTTTGACCACATGTCTTCTGACGGCGGGGGCAGTGGCGACAAAAAAAAAATAAACATGGTTGATTCATTGGCTTGACACATTTGCACAAGGGGTATCCAGTTAAAAGTTGTCTTTAAAAGCTATAATGTCAACGCGACATGTTAATCTCACGTTTTTTTTTCTGAATTTTAACTCCATGGTCGCATTTGGAATGGATCGAAGTGTTTTAGTCGCTTTTTAGACGAAAAAATCGGTTATCTCGATATGAAGTTCCTTTTTTCTCGCAAACATCCTTTAAAGCGGAGCTTAACGAAATTTCTCTCAAATTGAATCGAGCGAAATTGAATTCGCGGTTGTTTAGGATATCGAATTTCTGTCGCCTCCAGCCTAGAAATTAGATTGTTTTAAAACGAAGAGAAGGGTTTGAGGGTTTTTTCTAGACTTCCTGCTTGAAAATGGATAATTCGTTTTTTCATTAAAAGTTGGAGCAATCAAAGTTGGACAGCACTTTTACGGAACTTTTGTGGTTTACAAAAAAAGTTTCACTATGATATCTTTAATCAGTCGTTTCATGCTACCATTTTCCTTTTCCGGCAATTCTTGATACTTATAGGAAAATCGAGAGGCTTTATATAAGGCGCAAAACGGGATCCTTTATCAGCCGCTCCTTTTTTGCGCCCGTTTTCGGGACTTTCTCAACTTTATATCCCTATTTCAGAGAGCACTCGAATGGCGACCAGGTGGCTTTTAAAGTCGACGGTCAGAGATTCGAAGGAGCGGAAAAGACGCTGAAATTCTCCGTCGACTCTCATTATGACGTCAGGATTTCGGCACGACCATCTGTCGACGTACGGTATGACTTATTGTGTGGGCTTCTTAGTTATAGACTCTTCAACATTTCAAGGTATAGTCAGAAACAACATTCTCGCTTTAAGACCCTTCATTAAGTTTTTCCAAGCTCCTTTCAACAACAATTTTTTGAGCCGATCATCTTTTTCTTACCAGTTTGATTAGATTCCTTTTCTGAAGTTTGGTGAGAGAAGTCTTTACAGAGCACTAAACATTGCCGGATTTGATCTGGACCTGAAGAAAGAGTCGGAAAATGAAACGCTGGCCGTGTGGAACACGTCAGGGATGGAAGTCTCAAAAAAAGGCACCCGCCAGAATATCACCCTCGTTCTTCGAGTTCGTTTACATTTTATTTAAAAATTTATTCTCTCAATTAAAAACTTCTTTGATCGTTTCAAAGAGAAATCAGATTATCTGTAGAATGCAGAGTCGAAAGTTTTTTTCTTCATTTCTCAAAAATTTTTTTAAATTTGATCTTTTCGGCTATTTTAAAGTTTGATTTGAAAGCCGTCGAAAGATTTTTTTGCGCCGGACCCGGAACGGCTTGTGCGCAAGAGAATCGAAAACCATTGGAACCTTTCGTTTTAAGCACCCAACTGAATGGTTTAAAATTAAAAATGTGGTTTTTTTGCAGAACACTTTAAAAAAAAACAAAACAAAAAACATAAATTTTCCCCACGCCTAAAATTAAAATCGCTTGTCCCATAAATCAACGGAAAAAACAATAAAACGTATACGGAAACGCATGTTCACTGAAACGAAAATGAGAATTCAAAATTGGCGGTTTTCAGACGCCACAGGGGACGCTGACGAAGCAGCTTCAGAGCAAATTCTACCCCAAGGTGCACTTTTTCTTCGGAAATAGTTAAAAACATGTTTTTTCAAGGAAGACAGTCATGCGGACTGGGGCCACAAATTGACGACAATCGAGTGGAAGTGCACCATGGAACATGACGTCATCCACGTGGTCGAGGAAAACTTCCGATGATCTCTTGCCTGTTTATGTACTTCTACTCTGTTTGCCACGACTTGAAATCTCTTGGTCGCAATTAGAATGGCTCAGAGCGATGCGGTCGTGTAGCAGATTATTCATCGGGAGCCGCCGAGCCATTCCCTATGCGACCAAAAAGTTTCAAATTGTGGCGAACCGAACTAACTCCACCTGCCCTGTATTACATCACTACCTTTTTATCATTTATTGCCATGTTCAGGTCGAATTCCATGAAATTTCCTTTTTTCCATGGTCCAAGAAACAAGGAAGATTTTATCAAAAGGAAAACACAAAAAGAAAAAAAAACAATATCACGGTTCTTGTTGGGATTCAAGCTCGCGGTGAAACGACTATAATGTGAGCAATTTGGAAAGAATTCATGACAAAATAGCCGCCCTTTGGATGGCCAACGCGCTCTATCGATAAATTTTGGAAAGCTTATTTAAGCCCAAAATTTTGTGGTTCTAGCTGTACTTTGTTATCGCTAAACTTTTCAGACCTCTTCTGCTCAGCTATTTTGTCATAAACCTTTTTGGCGGATACGAAAAAAGGCCTATCTTCTCCTTTTGAACCCATTGAATTCCAAATGAAAAGACCCATTGAAAAGAGCGTCAGTCCTGCCGCGAATACGACGGCCGATCCACGGACACCGTCATCAGGTTCTTTGAGCCTCAAACAGAAGTTGTGGAGAAACAAAGGGAGTTTCTGGATGAACCATGGTGCGGAACTTCTTCCGACGCGTTGAGGTAGCCGTTGTTGCGATATGCCATGATCCGGTTGCGGTCAGATGTCGAACGTCTTCGCAAAAGTCTTTTCAGCGAAGGTCTGAGGAGTAATTGAGCTGTTTTGAGGCAGATTGACGTTTTCTTTATAAAATTCCTTATGGAAATGAAATGTGAAGAGCAGCGATAAGAGAAGAAGAAAAATCATTATATTGTTGCGAAACAAGTTAATGGATGTGACTGAGGCTAGGCTATGCAAAAATAAAACATCTAAAAAAGCATACTCCGTCAATTCTAAGTATTTGTGAGGGAGAAATAAAAATTTTTGATTGGTTAAAAAAAGGGCACAAATTCCAGTAGACTTCGAACAGTGGATGAGACCAATTTCTGTCAGATTTGATTATTTTTCAAACTCTATTTCTGCTCAAAATCAAAAACACAAGGTGAAAACCAACTTGCTGGCGCGTTCGATGGCTCGATTGACGCGATTTTCGACGTGACCTTCCGCCGAGGCCGACGGCGTCCACCAACCGTCGCCACATGCTGCGCCTCGTCCTCGCAACATCTTCTGAATTTTCGACGAAGCTTGAAAAGTCGATTTTTGGAACTGACGGTGTTGGTCAGAACGCGCGGCGTTGGCGGAGATGGATCGTCGTAGAGCGGCATTCGCAGAATGGCCGTTCCACTCCCGCGACGCACCAATACTGCTCGATCTCCTTCAAAGTTGCTTTTTTTTAAAGGTCGTCTTCAACCCTTCAGACGACAATCCCAAGAAAGGCAAGGTGAACTGCTCGCCGTTCTTGACCAACGACACTTTTGCGAACCGATAAACAACTACAATTATTCTATAATTCGGCCGAGATCTCTAACAGCTGAGAAAATATTTCTATGCTACTTTTTTGTTTCATTTCATTTTTAATTTTAAAATGTCTTTATAGCCTATTAATAATGGAAGACTCGATAAAGGCCGCTTCGTTTTTGCGACAGTTTTCAACACTTCCGAACGAAGCTCGAAGAAAGCGTAGCTCAGTGGCGAAGACTCATTTCTAGCGTCAGGAGCGTCAGGGTTCGAGTCTCCCCAAGATTTTTCAATCTCTCCATACTCTTTTCGCAACGGCTTCAATAAGTCTAACAAAGGAAAAGTCGATTTAAAATATAATTTTTTTCAGTCGTTTTTTCCGCATCTTGACATTCTACTAGTGTCTGCGTCTCTCTGTTCCCTCACTTGCGAGGTTAGAGACACATGGAAATAGAACAGGAACATGAGAGGGTCGCCGAGAGACGAGGAGGGTGCAGAGAAGTCCCGTAATTTCATTTTGCGAAGAACGGACTATAGTTTTTCAGCAAATCCTTGCTAAAATCAATTTTCCTAGAAAAAAATTTTTGAGCATCACTGGAATTTGGGTTCCTACATAGAATCTCCAAAAAGTTAGAAAAAAGTTACCTAAAAAAGAGTTTGAAATGACGTAGGGCGAGTTTTCAAACGTCACTTTCTTTAACCTCGGCTCGCTCAGCCTGGATGATACGGATAAGGCCGAAAGCTCAAATAAAATATTAAAAGACTAAATTCTCGAAAAAAGAACCTTCATAGCCGTCTGTTGAACCGGACTAGCCGAGCCTCCAGCTAACGCGCTCCGATGGGAATCGATAGAGGAAGCTGAGAAAACGGCTCTTGCTGAGTACTTTTCAGAGCTCACCTGGACTGTCGCCTCTTCTGACGACGCTGTCGTTGCTCATTCCACTCGATCTTCGGCTTTCGCTGGTCGTGCTCCCTTGTGGGGATCCTCCACGTTTCAATAGATGCGATTTTTTCACTGGAAAGAAAAACGATTGAAGAGAAATCCTTCAAGCTCCGACCATTGACCAGGGCCGGCCTAACGGCTTCCTGGGCTTCCTTGGAAGTTCCTTGTCGCTCTTCTCTCTTCGGACCTCTTCCCGTTGACCTGGTCCCGTTGGCCTTCTTCCTCACTTCTCCCATCGTGAAGCAGCTGCTGGACGGCTTGATCTCGCGTCGATTTGTCGTGCTGGGACCGTTTTCGTTGGCTGGAAACGCCATTCGTTTACTTCGAGCCAAGGTTCCAGGTGCGTTGTCGTGCCGGATGTCGGTGTGAGACCTGTAATTTCGATTTTCTTCTTGAGATCGAAAAAGGTTACCTAGAAGTGCAGGGACCATCTCCGTTGTTGAGGTGACGGGTCGTGGACTTTTGCTTGGAATTTTGATCCGGTTGAGGATTATCTCGAGGAGCTGGAACTTCTGTACGTTGATTGGATGGTGGAGCAGCTGCAACGTCATCAGAGAGAACGTGGGGTCTGAATAGTTCTGTTGATATTCTAAGGTTCAGTTTTATTCGCGTCCGTGCAAGTTCTTCTAGGCCCATGATCGGAATTTCTTTGCTCTCTCTTTAAGGGTTAAGTTAGGATGCAACTTTAGGTCTATAAATAAGTTTTGTAACAATCTTTCAGGTTAAAAAAAATAGCACCAACTACATAAAGCTTAAACAAATTCGTCAAACTTCAAAACTTAGAATGAAATTGACTTTAAAAAATAAAAAGAAGTTCTGAAAATATCCACAAACTTCGGCAAAAGGCGGTAGTCGTTGATGGGCGAATCGACGGAAGCAATTGAATGACGTCGTCGGCGACGCGCTGGATGAGAGACGGCGCCGCGGTCCTCCTTCTTGGAGACGTTGAGCAAAGCGAAGTAGAACGCCATCGTCCTGAAGACGACGACGACGGCTTCTGAAGGCTGAGACTGACGATCGATGGACGTCCGGGTGAGCGGGGCAGCCGTCGAGTTATGAAAAGTGAGACGAAAACCAAACTCTGAGACATTGGTCCCTAGGGAAAATCTCGGCGGCGTCTGCCTCGTCTTCCGTTCTTTCCCACGGCTTTTCAATGTTTTGTCCACCTTTGAAGTATTTCAACGCCATTTTCGTGCTTCTGAAAGGTATTTTCGTGCTTCTGAAGGGAAGAGGTTACTATTTTCAATTTTTAGGTTTGAAAAATAATTAACGTGAACTTTTTATACTGGGTCCACTCTAAATCTTGGAATAAAAAATAATAAATGGAATTGATCAATTTTCAAATTGAATTAGTGATAGCAAATTTGCGCGATAAATTGGGATCGTACGGTGGCTCTCCTTTGTGCATATGCACGCGCACGTGGAAAAAACATGCTCGAAAAAAATCGGCAAAATTGGACACGTCCTCTTTTTCGCTTCTCTTTTTTCCTTTTTTGTTTCTTATTGAATGCGGAAAATTTTTACTTTTGTAAACATTTCTTGAATGTTTGAAAATGGTTACAGAAAAATGAAAAAAATTTGAGCTGATTTTTCCCCTTGAGTTCAGACATAAATTTTTAGTTTTTTTCTAGGAAGAACAAGGTAAAAAGTTATTAATTCCTTCATTTTTTTAAATTTTTATGTAGATTACATTGTTCATATTTTTTTGAATTTGTTGGAGCTGGAAATCGCTCGAGATTATTTCTTAGTTTTTTTCAAGCGGTTATCTAATAAGTTTGTTTCATTTATTTCAAAGCTTCTTCCGAATTGAGAATCTTTCGAAATTTTTCAAAGTAACTTCTTTTTTTCTTTGTGCAAAAAAATTTAATCAATTTTTCGTTGTTTATTCTAATTTTTTTCCTCATTCAGTTATTCATTTTTTCCTTTTATAGATGACGGAAACTTCATCTGGTGGTCTCCACAGTTGCATCACGGACATTGTCCGTGCCGACACTAGCGGTGACTACCAAAAAGCCCTACAAGCTGCGAATAAAAGTGAAAATCGATAGATCTTTCCAGTTTACTTGAATGCGTGTTTTCAGTGATTCGTCGTTACCCGAAGGAAACATACGCCTTCAAATGCAAGCTTGTCGCTTTGATCCAGCTCTCAATGTGGGACGATGCATTGACGTTGATCAAAAAAACGCCTCATCATCAGATGGGGTAAAATTTTTCGAAAAAAGGATGAAAAAATTGGGTTATTTACAGAGATTGTGCGTTTGAAAAAGCGTACATCTACTATCGTCAGGGAGAGCTGGATCAGGCGGAAGAGCAGCTCGCGACTTGCGACAAGGAAGATTTCCGGGCTCTAGAGTTGAAAGCTCAGATCTACTACAAACAGGAAAAGTTTCAGGTAGGAATGAAGATAATCTCTTTGTTCTATTAGAGTTTTATAGGAGGCGTTCGACATTTTCCGACACCTATTGAAGAATTTCTCGGATGATTCCGACGAATTGCGTCGTGCCAATTATTTGGCGGTGCAGACGCGACTAGAAGCTCAAGGCTCTAAGCAGGTTTTGAAATTAAATTTTTGAAAAATTAGCGATTTTCTCAAACTTTGAATTTATGTGTATTGAAGGTTTAATTTGAAAAAAAAACTAGGGTTCGCTCACAAGATTTGAATAAGGAAAACACCTGAACTTTAACAGCCGAGAAAAAAATTCACTGAAAGCTGATTCAAAATAAAAAAGTTTTCCAGCAACTCGAGGAAACTGGAGAGGAAACCTACTCGCAACTGTACAACAAGGCCTGCGTCCAAATCGAGGCCGAACTGTTGCCCCAGGCGCTCATTTCTTTGGACAAGGCCTTGGGTAAGAGAACAAAGTCAATGATAGGACATTTTACAAAATCTTTGAAAGTAAACTTCGATATTTTTTTATGAACATCTCCGCGTTTTCGGACATTCCATAGATTTCCTTATAAGAGTTTATAAACGAAAACAAAAGAATGTTTTTCTTTTTGCACGATCGATATTTTCCTCTTTTATACTGCTGTTTCCAATATATTTTGAATTCTAAAAGAAATTCTAGTGATAAATTTTTCTCCAAAGTAAAATTACATACGGAAATGAATTTCTGTGGAGAAAAGGCAAAAAAAATTTTCGCCTATTAGGTCTCACTCAGAATAAAACCTACCTAAACTAACTGGTGTTTTGTGTAGAAATGTTTGATTTTTCCAGTTGCTTGCCGTAAATCTCTGACGGAGGAAGGCCGCGACGAAGATGAAATTGAAGAGGAGCTCGACTCCATCCGCGTTCAAAAGGCCTACATTTTGCAGCGGACCGGAAAACGGCAACAGGCCATCGACATTTACAAGAAGGTCCAAGCCTCCAAGTGAGTTTTATTTTTTATTCAAGTTACGGTTTTGAGCAGTTCTCAAAGGAAAAGTTCATTTTCATCGTAGTTGAAAAATAAGAGAGTTTTTGTTTTCGGAAACTTGATTTGATCAAAATAAGAAACTAATCGCTTTTTCTTTCGAGAAAAGCTGAACTTATCTCCTCTCCCATCGACTTTTTAATGATTCTTCCATTAAAGTATCATTGAACAGACAAAAGGGCTAAAAACACCGAGTTAGTGATATTTATGGTTTTCTTTTTCTGTGAGAGTTTATTTAATAAAGAGAAGGGGCATGAAACTAAAATAGAAGCCGGTTTATGGGATCTATCAGTTATTTGAGCCTCTTGTGAAATCTCTAAAAAAATAATTTTGTAAAGGCTGTACGATTTTTGTTTCTCAACTTTCATAGAATGAACCACCTTATTAATTTCTAAGGAGAGTTTCGTTCCTCTTACAGCCACGGGGATGAAAGTGTTATCGCAACGGTGGTTAACAACATTCCGGCGGCGTCCAACGACTTCTCGTTGCCAGAGGCGCGGAAGAAGCTCAAGGCGGCCCTCCAGGTCGACCAGAGCAAGTTGACGAAAAGACAACGTCGCACCCTGATGCTCAACAATGTTCGTTGTCCCTGACTCTTCATAGTAACTTGTACAATTTCAAGGCTCTCGTCCTTCTTCTGTCCAACCAGCGCGAGCCGTGCAAGAGGGCCCTCGACGAACTTGTCGAGAAGTTCGGCGCCTCCAAGGACGTTTCTCTGATCGAAGCCGCTCTACATGTGCGACTCAACGACACCGAAAAGGCTCTGAGCGTTCGTTTCTCGAGTCGTTCTCCAACAACTCTTTTCCCTGAAGGTTTTGGACGGGAATGACGTCGAGCAGCAGTTGGTCAGGATCCACGTTCTGGTCAACGCCGGACGTCTTGATGAGGCCGTCAAAGCACTCGGATCCATCCCGAAAGAGTTGTCGGCCAAGCCGGCCGTCGCCAGTCTCCGCACGAGTCTCCTTGTTGCCCTCGATAACAAGGCCGAGGCCATCAAGGTGGCTATTTAATTATTTGATTTCGTGATAACTTTCCCCACAAGCATAGATAGTAAAAAAAAAACTAGAACCAGGTTTTATTAGGCTCCGCCCAATGAGGCTTATCGTAGAAAAAACACCTTAAAAAACATTTTTCCTTGTTGAGAAAATCGGTCCAGAATAATTTTAAAACAAGATCTGCGGAGATGAACCAGAAAAAATTTTCTCCTAGAAGAAATATATTAAAAGTATTTTAAAAATTGACGCAAAAGAGAAAAAACGTCAAGAAACTCCGAATCCGTTTGATGCAGTTGACCTCCATCTCGGAGAAGTGGATAGAATAGCTAAATCTCTTAAGTTATCACTTGATTGACTTCTAATCTAAAGCTCAAAAGTTGAAAATATTACTCTTTGAAGGTTTTTTCATAGTTCCTCAACCAAAATATTTGGAGTCGAAGAAAATTTTCAAATAAATCTTTCCAGGAGCTGACATCGGCCATTGAAAAAACGAATGATCCCGAAGTGCTGAAGAAACTTTTGGAACAAGCTGCTCAGTTGGAAACAAGCGTTGGAAATGTTCAGGGCGCCGCGAAACTTCTCGAAAGGCTTGTCGGGTTTGTCGGGAAGAAATGAAAAAAGAAAAGGAACTCCCTGATTTTACAGATTGTTCTCGGACGACATCAACGCCAAGTGTCTTCTCATCAGCGCCTACTCTGTCGTCGACCCCAAAAAGGCCGAAAAACTCAGTGAAAATGTAATCTGAACTCCATTTATCTTCGAAACGATCCTCCGTTTCCAGCTCTTCAACGACAAATCGGACACCAACATGAACGTCGACGAGCTGGAGGAGAGCGATTGGATCCTGTATGGCGAGAAGTACAAGCAGAAGAAGGAGGCCAAGGCCGACCAGGTCCTGGAAGACACGGTTCGTCGACGTCTTCTGAAAAGAGAGACGACCTCGGTCCTTTCAGGAGATCATAACCAGACAGCTCAAGAACCGCAAACGCAAGAGGAAGATCCGTTTGCCCAAGAACTACGATCCCAATGAAGCTCCTGATCCGGAAAGGTTTATTTTTGTTCCACGGGGGATTTTGATGGAAAAAAAAATCGATATAGGTATTTTACATTTTTTTTAAAGCTTTCGGGTACTAGATTCATATGTATTTCCGAGAAAAAGCTATGTTTTTAACATTTATAATTTACCTTCCGATAAAAGAAGTTTGAATCGTAAAGAATTGATTTTTTTTTTGAACCAATTTTTCACTCCTACTACGTTTTTTATAGAAAATCTTTTGGATTGAAAGAAAAAATACTTTCGCAATTAATTGATTTTTTCCTTTCTCGCGTTTTTGAGTGTACTTTCTGAATGAGAATCTGTACAAGATTGTGCTTCTCATTTCAAACAAAATTTTCACTGATTATAATATTTTTAATTTAATTTAACACGAAATGGAGAAAAAAACCTTCAGATGGCTACCACGACAAGAACGAGCTGCCTTCAAGAAGAAGGGCAAGAAACACAGGGAAAGGGAAGTCGGCAGAGGAACTCAAGGCGCTTCTTCCGCCAACCCGAATGTGTAAGTTTTAGATCAGCTCAAAAAGAAAAAAATCGAGTATTTTCAAACTTGTAGTGCTTTCAGCTACTTTGAGGCTCTTTGATTTAAAAAAAACTTTTAAAAATCGAAGAAAATCTACAGGGAGTTCTCGACGGCGTCACCAAACTCGCCGCGTCCCTTGCCGACGCCAGTGGCCGAAGGACCGCGTCAAATGCGCCCCAAGAACCCGAAAAAGAAGAAGAAGACCTCAAAGTTCTAACTTATCATCATGACTATCTGTGTTTGTTTTTCGTTCAATTAGTTCTAATGGGATATATTTTTTGTTTGTTTGAATTAACACGTTTATTGCAAAATTAACTAAAGTATTCTATAATATAAATTTATGCGGACATCTTTTTTTCTCTACTCGTAAGTCATCTAAATATAATCACTCGGGTTTAAAGCTATAACAAAAAGTATAGAAAATAAAAAACAACAATTATTTGGTCAATCAAGGAGGTTCAAATAGGTTCTAAGCTTGCAGAAGGCAGAAAAAAAAATTAGGCTGTAAGGAATTGCATAATTAAAATTAGATGTAAATCTTTACGTGAGCTTCAGATAATAGGACAGGAAATAGAGAGCGTGTTATCTGCAGAGAGGCGTGAGAAAGCGAGTATTGTCAGCGTCTCTGAAGTTTCCACAATCTCTCGCTTTCACAGTCCTTTTATCAAGTCCCAAAGAAATAACTACCAAGTATTTCCGAATAGGGACAAGAATTTCTTACTATGACTAGCCGTGGGAGATGTTATCACAAGATCCAATATCACAACCAAGTAATAGAGTCTTTCTACAGGTTAACATAGGTTTTTGCGGCGATTTTTCCGCTTTTTCGGCGGCTCCTCGGCTTTCTTTGGTTCTTCTTCTTTCTTAAAGTCTGTAGATTTGCGGAGCAGCTCCTCTTCTTCTTCGTCAAGTTCAACTGAAATTCGACTCTTGATTAAAATCGTAAACTCCATTATTCATAGGTTGAAAAATTTTAATCATAAGTCCATAATTGGGATTGCTCAAAACGTTTCGAAACGACTTATTTTCAAATTTACCAATATTTTTCAAATAATGCAACTCGTTTGATAAATTAGTAGCTTTGAGCCATTCCCTTTGCGACCAAAACTGAAAAAGTCGGGACGAACGTAGTTCCTTACTTTCAAAGGCTTTGGGGAAGTATTTTTTGATGAAGAGATGGAAAATGGCGGTCGGCGATTTTGAGACGGTGATTTCGGCGGCGCTGGTCGAGTGTCGTACAGAAATGTGCCAGCGGACTTTCCACTGAAAGTTGTCCTTTAGTTTTTCCAGAAGATTTGAAAAAAATCTCTCTTCAAACTTTTTCAATATATATAGTAATATATATAGTTTATTCACTGCCGTTATTTGACAGAAAAAAAATAATTGAAGAATAAATGATCAAGTGAAGGAATAGGCAGAGAAATAATAATACACGGGAAAGAGTCAACCCCAACGAGTTGACGGGTACCCGGAAATGACAAATTCAAAGGAGACGAGAGGGGATATTTTCATGAAAGGCTTCAAACGGAAGAGCGTTCAACTTTTTACGCAGAGTTTCTGGGGTAACGTTAAAATCTAAATAAGAAGTTAGTTTATTCCAAAGAGGAATAGTTCTAGAAAAAAAATATCTAGTTGAGAAGGCAGGTAATTTTATTTGGGGAATTTCGTAAAAGTTGGCCAAGTTACTTCTTAATGCACCAAATGAAGGTTCTGGAAGTCTCAAGTTTTCTAATTTTTAGAGAAACTAAAGTTCAAAGTCTGATAAAAGCGTACCTTAACGGATTCAGGTAGTATTCTCTGACAGTGTTTTTTTGATTCTTAAAACTTGTCAAGTTTGAGAATTTCAAGATATAATTTATTAGCCTGGAAAATAAATAACCTGTTCAGCATTTTTATAACCACACTCGTCGCAGGTAAACGGTAGGCAGTCTTCGTGGTGGTAGACTTGCAGGTGTGAAGCTAAAGGTTCCACCTGAAAACTTGAATTTTTTCAAAAGTCCGGGTCATATGAATTGATTCAACATCCAAATAAAGAATGTAGAAGTTCAATATTCTCGTTTGATAGAGCTTAAAATGACGTTATACAAACTGTTTTTCTCTTTGAACCAGGAAAGCAAACTTTTCCAGGGTTGAAAATGGTACTTTTTAGGTATCAATCTTCACTAAAAACTTGAATCAAGCCTTTTTTCTGATGAAATTTTGACATAAATATGCTTTTTGGGATTTAAATAGATATTTGTCTGAATTCAAACTGATAAACGTAAAACATATTTCCACAAATAAAAAATCGAAAAGCTCACGACAGTGGCCGGAGGGCCTTCGGGCACCGGGACGACCATCTCGCACTCCATGCACTTGTGGATTTTCAGAGGTTTCGGGATGACCTCCTCGGATTCCGGCGCTCCGAGTGAAGAGTTCGAGTTCTCCGAGACGGACGGCGACGCGGCGGCCTTGTCGTTGGCCGTGGGATCGGCTTTGGCGGCGGCGTTGTTCGGAGGGAAGCACTGCTCCAGAAGCGCGTCCCATCGTCCTTTCCCGGCTTCTTTCGTCTTCTCCTCGTGGGCGCTCGTCATGTGCTTGTGAACCTGACAAAATTATTTAAAGTGGAAGAAAAAGTGGTGTATGAAATATTAATTAAGGAAGCTGTTTTAGATTTTTTTTTCAACTGAAGCTTGGACATAATATTGGTTGATGTTTTAATCGAAGACCCTAAATTTTTCGAGAAATAAATTCAGAGAAGAACATCAGAAGCTGATAGCTGGATGCTCGAGAACAATAGCGATTTCGCCGCGAACTGAAACTTTCTGCCTGTCTGCGTCTCTCATTCCCTCATCGACGAGGTCAGAGAACATGAAAATAGCACGTGAAAATGTGAGCGCCGTCGAGAGACGAAGAGGGCGCAGAGAAATCAAGCCGTTTCAAGTCACGGCGAACGGATTATAAGCGGTAGGTATTTTCTCTAAACATTTTCAGAACACTCTTATTGAGGATTATTACCCTAGTCAACCAATAACACCTGGAGGAACAAGTCAATCGATCCAAAACCCACCTTAACCTGGTCGTTACTCTGGAAGTCGCAGTAGCAACACTGGTAGGAGAGGGAGCCAAGGCCACGACGTCGCAGATGGACGGTCGTCGTCGCCGGGTCAGGAGCCGGAGCAGCAGAAGCCGAGGGAATACACGGGAAAGGCTCACCGACTGGCGAAGCGCTTCTTCGTCTCTTGCCAAACTCCTGAAGGTTTGATTTGAGTTCTTTTTCAATTTATCATATAGTTCTTTTAAAGGTGAGTGAGGGGTTCATAGGACGGAAACCTTCGATTCAAACAAACCAGCTTCGAAAGCTGAATTTGTATGAGGAAATTCAGAAAGGCTTTGACTTGAATTTTAAATAACTCGGAAAAGGAAGCTGCAGCTATCAAAGTTTTTCCTCTCTCATGCTCTTATTTTTTCTCAAGACTGTGAAACATCAACTGTATGTCTTCGGGTCCATGAACAAATGATCTTTTTTCCAATCCGAAAACGTACTCTGTTGGCCATGAGCCCTCCATAGCCAGGAAAACACTGCTCCATGAGATTATTCCAAATCTCCTGCATTTTCGGATTGAGTTTATCGATTGGCTGAAGGACGGTGTCCTCGTGTTGGTTGGACATGTGAAGTCGCACCTGTAGACTATTTTGTTCAATGGTTTTTCTAGTTAATGTGAACTACCTTGAAAATTAAGGTTTTCTTAAAATTCCAGAAATTTTCGTAAAGACTGAAAATATTTCCTTCACTTATAAAACCGATAAATTGTTTCAAGAAGCTTTTCGTCTGAGTTTCCGCCTCTTTTAAAAGAAATTAAAACTTCCAAAGCTGCTCAGACCTTGGCAACGCAAAAACGGACAAGCCCCGGATATTTTCTGAGCGATTCTAGTGTCAGTAGGAACTCCAGAGGGGTCCCTTAAAGATTCCCCTCCAGGGACCATTTTACTTCCCCTATAGGGGTTACCGGAGCAAAATCACCGTTACACTCAAGAGTAAAGGCAATTTTTGGGGAGTAAATAACTAAACAATTTTTCACAACACGATAAATATTCGTAAGTTAACCTTTGCCTGTTCATTGTTCTGATAAACGCAGTATTGGCATTGATATTGTTTGACAGAAGCGTGACGGCGAACGTGATTCGTCAAGTTTGAATACCTCAAAAGCGCATTTCGATTATATCATTGAAAAAGACACAATTTCCCACCTGGAAACCATGATTTTGCTGTCACACAATTTACAAACGATGCAGTCGCCATGGTCGAGATTACAATTCCGCTTCAGGTTCTTTGTTTGAATCTGAGCCTTTTCATGATTTATACGCTGGGAGGCAGCATTAATTGGAACCTTGCGCTCTTGCTGCGCCTCGGTGCGGAACAAGTTCGAAACCAAGTGGTTGGGATCGCCGGAGTTGGCAAACAGTGACGAGGTCGCTGCAGAGATCTTTTCTTGGTGCTTCGAATTTCAAATATTATCAAGGTCAGATTTATATATTTTTTTTTTTCTTTGAGACAAAATTTGATTCCGAATTTCAGTTCAATCATCACACGGAATCCTTAGAAAAATATACAGTTAGGCTTCAAAAAAGTTTTCATACAAGGTTAGAACCAACTAATACTAATCATCTTTCACTCCGAGAATATATTGATTAAGATCTTCATTTGGCCTTTTTAAAGATTCAGATCAAAGTGAACAACTTCGGGCTCACACTGATTATTGTTAGAAAGCAGAAAGAAGATATCATGTTTTGAGTTTTAAATCATAAGAAGAACAAGTTCAGTTCTCTTACCTATTCCTCCAATACAAAATTGTCTTTTAATATGCTCCTCCTTATACTAAGGATCAAAGTGAACTCTTAAGAGTTCAAACGGATTATTCCTAATGAAAACAGACCAAATATATCAAGTCTGGAATCTCAAATCAGAAGAAGAAGAAAAGGTTCAGAGCCGGACCTATGACGCGTTCCATGGTCTGGTCGAACTTGCCGGCCACCGAGGGACTGTCGCTCCGGCCACTTCGTGGCGGCGACGCCTCCTGCGAACTTTCGCTGCCCTGAACCGGCGGATCCGGCCCATTCTTGGCGTCTACAGTCGTCGTCGCACGGCGGACTTCTGGATGGTCATTGAGGTCGTTGAGAAAAGTCACCGGAAAGCCTTTCTGGAGCTGAAAATGGGAAATTCTTATCAAACAGCCAACTAAGGAAAACTGATGTTGGAACATTAAGCTTGCTGTTTATGAAATGTTCTAAGAGCCGAAACCTACCAAATCCTTAAAAAGCTGGATGAAATTGCAATTCCCAGTGAGTGCGACGACGGCAAACCGCGGACGTAGCCTTCAAAAGCCTCCGTGATTAAATTCGGTTGATATAAGAGCCTGGTCCAGATATTATCATGACTAATCTGTGAGATTATAGCCCGAGTCTCTCATCAAACTTCTTCGAAGAGGAACTGGAGGTGGAAAATTGAAATCAAAGTTCTCTTTCCTTCGTTTCGAAACCGTTCAGGAAATAAATTCTCATTATTTATTTTTTCATAATTCCCCCAGGCCAAATCTTGCAATCATAAGGCTTTTATGGGGCCGAAGTTTCTAACTTTACTATCCAAAATATATAAACCCCAGTAATCTTTAATTTCCCTCAGAGATTGCATAAATCCGAATAATCACCCCTGGAGGTCGGAGTCTGAGACGGCCGGTAACATTTATGGCCTCTTTTCCCCCCGTTTTCGATATTGCGGTCGGCCTGAAAATGAAAATTATTGCATCGTCGCGCTGGAAAGCCAAAAACGAGGCGGCGGCGGGTGGAGAAAAAGAAAAAAAAAGCGACGAGCGCAATTTGTAAACGTGCGTGCGGCTGAGCGTGCGGGACGATGGTTCCGATCTCGAACAACAACTTTTGAAACTGGGATAGCTTTAAGAGGCCACTATAGAGGCTGAGAAATCATCTGGCTAAAAAAAAAATTCAATTGGAAGATTGCTGAAAAGATAGGAAAAATCAAGTTCAAAGACATGATTTTCCTTTTTTGGCCATCTTCTAGGGGTAAGACAGAAGCAAATCAAATGTACAACTAGATAACTTGAAGCTGAGCATAACTCTAAAAATTTGTTTTTGTAGCCATTTCCGCTTTTTCCTTCGTTCAAACTCTTCCTCAAAGTGCAGCCGTGATGCTAGAAATCAAAAACTCAGCTTCACGTGCAAAAAGGCCAAAATGGGTTATCCCTACGAGAAAAAAAGATATAAAGTTTTTTCAGCGTCGGCTTGAGAGCTGTGAACACTGTGAGAGAGTATAAACATTTTTCAGAATAACTTTTTTGAAAATTTCATTTCTAATCAGCTAATCACACCGATACTTCCGTTGAGCTCTAGGTAGCAAAAAATCAAGATTAACAGAAAAGTCAAAACTTTCTTCGAAGATTTTTTCTTGGAATCAATGATACTCGCGGAACACAGGTGGAGGGATCTACCTGCATCAAATAAACACTAAAGAGGCTCAAGTGATCTATCAAATGGTTTTTTTTCTTCTACAGTGTTCATTTGAAGGAAACTGACTTATAATACGGTCCAGCGCTGTTTGATGAGCTTGGGAGTCGAGTCAAAAAACTTGAAGGAATTTTTATTTTTGATTTACTGAGAGCCAGTTTTTTTGTCAAGATCAAAAACGGCATGAAGAAAAAAAAGGTAGCAAAGTGAGCGGAAAAAGGGGGAGTGTGAGTGTTGGCGACGGTGACGACGACGACGGCGCCCGAGGCATTTCGTCTTCTACCGATCAACGTTAGCGCTGGGACGCGCCACCGCGCGCGTATCGACTGGCCGTTTTGCGCGTAGTGTTCTCGCCGATGCCGATTCTTTTCGAGTCTCGTCGGCGGAGTGTGTTGTGTGGCCGCCGGCGGCAGCCGCCACTCACGCACAACGCTCACATCGCGTCGAAATGAGCATTTGTGGCTGTTTGGGCCCCGGCTTGGGACGTCCAAAATGCTGGAGGGGCTACTCGAAAGCCACTCGGCCCCTTCCGAGCCCGAGTACGTTCGAATGGAAACTATAAACTCGGGAATTTTGTGAATAATATCTGAGGTGTTTGCTCAAAAAATTCTTGGTTCTGTCTGAACAGTTCAAAATGAAAGTATGAATTCAAAAGAAGGCCATCCGGCCAACTAAACTCGGCGCTTTTCAACTGTCTTCTTTAACTTTTAGTGAAAAATGGGGCTAAATTTGCAATTTCAAAACTTTCCTAATCGAACAAACATGAAAACCTACCAGTAAAAACGTTTCATTGTTATGAAACTCGACCAAAAAACATATATCACAGTACAAAGTAGTTTAATATTTGTTCTCGGTGGTACAAGAATTATGAGCCTTCAAACACAGTATGAAAAAAATAAAGTTCAAAGGGTCCTTAATTGAAAAATTAGAATTTGTGTTTTCAGCTCATTTTCAGAAATTCTCAAAAATTAAGTGATCGTTCGTGGAAAAAAAAATCAAACTAACTTGTTTGTAGTCGTCTTTGAAGTAGAAGATGTAAATGAAAGTTGTCAGTAGAACGGAAATCGGAGCATGGAAGCTTTAGTTAGAAATCAGAAATAAATAAAACGGAGTTTTGCGAAGCGCAAGAAATTCATTATAAACTGAATCAAAATTCAATAAAATGCGGAAAAACAGCGAAAGATGAATAAATGTTCAAATATACATTAAAAGCAGCTCACAAATTTTATAAAATTTTAAAAAGAAACGGTATGCGAAGGATCTGCTTGCAGGGAAAACTTTTTCATTCACGCGCAAAACGAAAAGTTTCAATTTTTCTAATTTATTTTTCAACTTTAGAGCTTTAGTTTTTTTTTTCAACTCTAGAACTCAAGAGCTCTTCGAAAGTTTTAGAAAAAAACTTCTATTCAAATTTTTCTCTTGTTGCAATGTTGCACTAGTTTCTGATTCATTATTAGTGTTTGACCAAAATTTTAAAAATAACTTATGAGATAACTTTAAAATTAAAAGAAAGAGAGATTTGAGTAAAAAGTAAACATATAGTTTTATTTAGTCTCTATATTTCTTTTTTACTTTCGTGTTGCTATTATACTCCAATACCTCACGATATTTAGAATTTCGATAAAAATCTATCTTTTTCTCATATCCGTTTCGGTAAGACTAAAAAAAGCTTCTCAAAACGAATATTTTCGTTCAAGTTTTCATTATCCGTTATTATATTTAATCTACTCGTTTGAAATATATCTTCTTATTTTTGTTTAAGAACCTTGTTCTTCAAACGTTTCTTCAATAAAATGATCTTGTCATAATTTTTTTAGAGCTTGAAACGGAATGTCGCCCATTTTCTCTCAATGTCAATGCTGTTAAGGACGAAGGTCATATTTTTAATTTTTTTTTATGAAGATCAAAGGTTTGTACATATTTTACATTTGAATGAGATGAATGCACTGTATTTCTTTTGTTTTTGTCGATTCCTCGAAGATTGGTAGGTAAAAGGTGGTTTTGAAGGCTTCTTTTGGCGAATTTCATCAAGGTTAAATATTTATGGAGCGCGAACTTCCATCCTTACGACCCAGAACTTGTTCATTTTCAACTTTGATGTTTGATTCCAACGGTCCGTTCTTTTTCAACAAGTTGTGGGAGGTTATCGTGATTTCCGCTGAGCAGATTAGCGCTGTAACTGTTTGAAATGCCCCTTTTCCAGAGTTTTCAGAGAAATTTTTCTGTTCATTTTTCTCCCACCATTTGAAGAATATATATCTATGTTACTATTTTGAGCCATTGCCGTTTCAACCGGTTAGAACGGGTTATTTTTGTTTCGAATCATTGTTTTTGGGCCGTCAGGCGGGCCAGTTCTTAGAGTGAATGATTGAACTATTTGGTCAAGGTGACAAATCATTTTTGCCGCTTATCACCGCCCTCCATCAGGTCACTCGCCGTACGTCTTCTCGATTATTTTCAGGTCCTTGGCTCAATTAACCCATCGGTTCAGTTTTCATTGATCCGCTTTTTATATGTTCCTCCACTCTTTTAAAGAATTTTTTTTTCTAAAGAAAATTTGCACGTGAAGTTTAGGTGATTCCCAAACAGAGCCATTCCCACTAAATGACGCCTCGATGCTACCGAAGGTATGAAAAATTAGTTTTTTTGATGTCTCATTGGTTTTTGAATGGAAACCTGTTGTTTTTCCATCTCCAGCATTACTTTCTTGAAATAGGAATCATATTAGATTGCAAATCTTGTTTTTTGAATAGAGGATGGGTTATTTCAATTTTTTCAGAACAAGCCTTATTCTAATAATAATAATTTTCATTGAGCTTCTGAGAACATTCGAGCTTCGTTAGTAATCATGCTTCATTTTTAATTGGTTTCCAAAAATCTCCAAGAGTTGAATAAATACATTCTTTGAGATTTTGAGTCAAAAAAATTTAGCGCTTTTCAATTTTTTTCGTAACTGTTTAGTCAATAAACCACCGTCTCTACGCAAACTAGAGTGTATTTTCTCAATTTAACGAAAGATCTCAACACGGGGAAAGTTTAAAGTTTCCTTTTACCAAACAATTACCTTTAGCTTTTCCGTCATTTTTCTTGTTTGATTATTTTCTTTAATCATCGTTTTTTTACTAACTCTTGGCACCGGGGTAGTTATTGTAAAAACATAATTGTTTTTAAAGCCTTAGCAAACGTTTCAGTTTCTGAGCTAGAAAATACTATTTTTATTACATCGTGAAATTTCACGTCTGGAGTTTGGAATTAAAATAAACTTGACACCACAAAGTTCGAAAGCTAGATTTTTCTCGAAAATCACTGAAGCTCATAAAATACGAAGCTTTCACTATTCTCTTCCAGAATTCGTTTTTTATGCACCCATAATAAAAAAGAAAAAAAATACTCAAAGTTGATGAAGGAATTCTTTTCGCGTACAGAAATATTTTTAATCATCTTTTTGGTTTCAATTTTTGAACTTTCAATTACTTTGTTTGTACTTTGTGCTTGAATTTGTTCTCGGATGTTATGAGACTATCGAAAAGTAACCTTTGCTCGAGTTTTAAGAGGAAATAAAAGAATGGCTGAAAAAGAGTCGCCCCGCCTTGTTTACTTACGCAAAAGGGCATCTAACCTGCCTTATCGGCCGACCAACTGACTGATATTTAACGCCAAAAAAAGAGAAAAAAACAGTGAGTTCATGTCGAGTCGGCTCTTCTTCAGTTTTTTTAATTTTATTTTCGTCCGACTCCCGTGGAATGTTTGCTGAGAGTCTCCCCTTCGGAGCAAAACCCAACTGACTGAACAGCTTTTTTTTTCCTTTTTTTTTCCTTCTTCCCGAGTTCGGCTCTGAGAAATAGCTTCACCTCTTCATTGATTTCGGCCGCCCCCTTGTCCCGCACTTGTCCCTAAATTTCTTGTTTTTCCCTTTTTTGGCACTTTGAAGGAGACTTTCTAGGTTTAAAAAAATGGAAATCTTAACTAATCTTTTCGGAATCTGTCGTTAGGAGATGTTGTAAAATATTTCACAGATTTCTTAAAATTATGATCGATGAGATTACAGTAAAAACACCTTTATCAATCAGCCTTTCCTATATATATATATATATATATATATATATATATATATATATATATATATATATATTACTGTGCTTTTTATGACTTTTTTTATCACGAATTCCAGATAGAAGATCTACTTTCTGAGGTGTGAATTGATTTTCATTTATGATTAAAATTCATTCTTTTCTATCTCGAGAGTTTTTTTGAGCTTCCAATTCCTAACGTGTCAGTGACTTTTTGTGACAAAGGCAGATTTCACGTTTCTTTTTTTCTTATCGTCTTTACAAAGCTTTTTTTTTGTTTTTTGAAGTTCATACTCTTTTTTGAAGACTTTATATTCAAAAAAATTATCATTTTTAGAATTCGCAAAATCATTTCTTACATATGAATAATAAAAATAAGGCGTAACTAAACACTTCACGAAAAATGAGCGATTTTTTTCCTCGTAGAAAAAACATTCAATCATATTCTGCAGCCTTTCTTCCGTTTGAATTCTTGAAAAGTTTCAAACTGATTCTTGTTTTTATTTTAAGATTTGAACTCTTTTAAAGTTTTAAAAAGTTTCGCCGCATCTTTGTAGTCCCAAAACTAACGCACCGAAGACGCCAAAACAAATTCTTTTTTTTCTCGTTGGAATTCCAGAATTTCTGTTTCTTCTACTAGAAACTTACGATCCCTCTAGGTTTTATGGTGTTTTAGAGCATGCGACCATGTGATTATGGGAGAAATTTCACGGGAAACGTTGTTTTATACAGGTTCCCGCTTGAAATTCAACTGAAATCGAAAAAAAAACAACATCGTGACAGAATTTACACTATTTGGTTGCTTTTCTCGCGTGACGACATCTATAGGGTCACAAATCTTGTTAGTTTAAAGAATTCTCAAGGTGAACTCTGCCCCTTTTTCCTCCTTCTTTCAGTATTTTTTAAGGTTTTTTTCTTTTTAAAATAACGGCCACCAAAACAATACGCCTCAGGGCTCAATGACAAGAAAAATGTGTCTAACAAGCTAAAAAATGACGAAGTAGAAGTAATTCATAGCTTCTGACTTTGGACTTGACCTTTGTTTTTAGTTTAGTATCTGAACTATTCGAGGAATGCTGTAATCTGTCATAATAACGATCTTCAGCCTTGAAAAATTGGAAGCTTGCGGTGATGAAATTAGAAATATGGAGCTTGGGGTACCTGAAAACTTTTTGTAATGATCTTTTCAATTTCTTCTTTCTATTAATTTTTTTAAGTGAAACTGAAAAGGTTTAAACATTGTGAACCTCCGTTCCCAAGCACATGTACATGAAGCGAACAGGACCTTTTTAGATCACCTATTTCCATCTTCTCTCACTTTCCGAACCTATATATTCTCTTTCTTTACTGTCGCCTGTCAACGCACGTTGCCGTCTGACGTCTTCGCCTTCTGGGTTCTGACATACATCGACGTCATCGACGTCATCCGGCGACGCTCCAGAAGCGCCGAAACAAGTCGGGTCGGGCGGTACACGTGAAGCCGCCGTGGCGGGGCGTGCTGTTTCCCACGGACGGCCTTCTTTTTCCGGCCAAACTCCGCCCATCGAGCCTTTTTTGCATGGATGATTCGTGTTCTCCTTGGAAAGATGTCTGTCGGTGTCTGTGTATTTGCAACACTAATTGATCACTGAAATTTGTTTTGAAACGATCACTGGAATCGTGGAGAGCGAAGTAAAGAATTTATTTCGAGTTGCAAACTAGCGGTGAACGGAGCGATTCTCATTGCAAGAGTAGTTGGAATGATACGCTTTTTGTGGATGGATTTGTAGCTAATTAGTGGAAGTTAGTGACAATAATCTCTGGATTAGGTTAAAAATAATTATGTGCTATCAGTCAGAAGTTGAAAGTTTACAAAATGACGTTATCAATCCATCTAGTTTGATGATGAAGCTTGATGAAACATTAAAAAAAAGTAAGCTTCATATTTCAGCCAAAAATTCGAGAATATATATCAAGTTTATTCGATCAATCAGTTTCATGAACAGGAAATGTTTTAAGGCTACAATTTAGCTCAAATAGATTAGAAAAGCCTTTTGGAGCTCAAATTCATCAGGTGAGCTATCTTTTTCAATTTTCTCAAGCCTCTGATATGAAAACCTGCTCCCGAATCGATATCTTCTGTATTTAGCTTCAGACTGACTTTTGCCCTTCTCTCATAGTTTTTTATCCCTTCCGCTGTGTAAAACGTTCGCCAGGACCGAGTCTTTCTCATTTGATGCTCTTTCTCTTCGCCAACTTTTATCGATTTTCTCCGCAAAATCACTTTCTTTCCCGCCCCGTCGGAGGAAAAAAAGCAAAGAAATAAAGGTCGGTTTCTGTCGCGTAAATTTCGAATTCATTCCTCTTTTTCAGGGATAAAAAACTTTTATGTATTTGTCGTTTTCTTTGTTGAACATCTCGTGGTTTTTCATCTATTGTGCGGAAATTTTTATTTCTTTATTATTTCTTTTCGATGGAATGTCGACAATTTTTCGGGAGAAACCTTTTCAAAACGCGAAACCATTTTTCCTACTTAAAAACTCGTATTTCAATGTTTTTAATGCAATAAGGAGAGATTTTTTTTAGTTGCCTTATCTAATCGATCTATGGTTAATGAGGTTCAATTGGTTTGACCGGTCAAATTGGTTAATTTATCCGAAAATCTCGTTTATTTGTCGCGAAAGCTCTGCTGAGTTGATTGAACTCTCGTTCCTTTAATTCGATTCAGGCTTAACTAAAGTTCAAGCAGGTGCTGTTTTTCATGATTTTCAAGTTTCCGAAAGTTTCTTATAACATTTTGTATATTATTTATCCAGCAAAGAAAATATTTTAGATCTACTTCGCTCTCTCAAAATTGTGATGGTAATTTTTTTTTCTTGAGTTCTACTCTCCATCATAACTTCACGCCTTTTTTAAAAAAAATTGATCTTAAAAACTTGGAAATGAGATTAGTGAAAAAAAAATTTGACGTAGAGAAACGCGGTAGAAGTTGTATGAGGTTGCTTACTGAGAATTAGAGAACAGGTGTTTTTCCTATAATTTTTAGTAACCAATGCGATTTTGTTCGAGGTTTGAAACGAAGTCATAAATTTTTACTGACAAAGCTATAAATTTCTGAGAAGACGGCCAAGTCGTTGATTATCAGGTTGATGAGGCTAAAGTTCTGTCAGATCCATATTTCGAAGTCGCCTTTACTCTTCAGAGATGAGTTTTATTTTTTTTTGCTTTGTTCTCAAATGTTTCTTGTTTTATTATCGGGTAGCCCTAAAGCAAAGTTTTTTTTTTAAAATCCGACCGTAACAAATTTTAAAAAAACGTCTCCTAGTCAGTTTTTCAAGTATCCTTCCTCCTCCACGCCTTCAGTCTTGGAATGTTTTATTTTTGAAGCCATTTTATAACGTCTGAGAACAGATTAATGATACAAAGTACGGACATAACGGTTCATAAAACAAGTTTATCATAAACTTCATCTTACGCAGAATTATCCGAAAGGATAAAATCAAACTTTTCAAAATTCTGTCAACCCTCTCCGTTTTTCAAAGCTCTTCTCTCCTCCCAGCCTTCTGTCTTGAGGTATCTCATTTTTTGAAGCTGTACTTCAGCTTTTATGATGTCCGAGAAGAGATTGATGACACAAAGTACGGATATAACGGTTCATAGTTCAAAAAGTAGCGCGAAACAGGCTTTACATCGGGCCGCCGCCGCTGTCGCCGCCACACATGCACGCCGTCTGCGCCAAACGTTTCTCTGGGTTCTCCTCGTCTCCCGTCGCATCCTTCCACGCCAGTCTTCATTCTTTGCTCCGCTTTTTTTTCTCTACTTTTTCTCGGCTCCGTCTGCTTGCCCAAACAACCGAGCTTCTGCTAGTACTCGCCCCGTTTTGACTCCTTTTCAGGTTCTCCTCGTTTTATCTACCTTATAAAACCTCCCTCTCAACGTCACGAGATCTGATCGATTTTTATCGATAATGTTGAACGCGTTTCCCTTTCTGTGCAATAGCTATCGCCATGTTTCCTTATCAACTTTACCTCGTTTGCTGCAGATTATGCGATTTTTCAAGTTTTAACCTCTCTCAAAGGGCTTCTTAAGGTTATATCAATCAAAGAGAAGCTTGGATTTCATTTCAGTTTGGAAAATGTGGAGAAGTTCTCATAAAGACGAGAGAGTCCAACTTTTTTCTTTTTTAGGCCATTGATCCTTTGATTCTATGAACTTTGTACGAAAAACTTGTAAGAAGTCTCCTCAATTCGTATAAGACGGCCATTTTCTGAAGTTTGTCCTTTGTTTCTTCTTTTTCAAGAACCAATATTATCCTTAATTTCACGCAGTGAGTTTACCGAGAAAAACGAATTTCAGCAGCACCTGCCGTTCAGTTCTCATTTCTGAGTTTTCTTCAAATTTTTGCGCTTTCCTTGGTTTTTATACTGTTTTCCTGATGATGCCGAAAACTTTCTTTCATCATACTTTCAAATCTGTACCTGATTTATAGATTTTTTTTTTTGATAAGAATATCAACTTCTTGAACGTCGAATGTATATCCGTTCGCTTCTTATATTTTTTTCGGATTATTTCGTATCATTTTATAATCGGCTTTGATATTGTTAATCTCCAAAAAACAAATCGTATTTTGCAGATTAATGCCTAAGGCTGATGCTGAGGCGAGTATATCGCGTAAAAGTTCCATGACTTCCATCGCCGCAATGGCGACTTCGTGTTCGTTTCTTTCTTTCTTGACATTTAGTCATTTTTGTACTCAATCTGTCGATTATCAACCCTGAGGAAAGTCAAAAAAATAAAACAATGTCTTTTTGGTAAATTAAGTTTCATAGAAGGGATTTCGTAGGCTTTCGCGAGTCGAAACGCGCTGGAATTGTGAATAGAGATCATAGATGGGCAAGTACAGAACTCATTCAGCCCGGGAGGAAGAGTTGGCCCACAAAAAGTTTGGGAAATTTGAGAATTAAATCAAGTTTCAACCTCTGGGAGGTCGTTTTGGTCGAGATAATACAATTTTTTAGCCTCAGGGAGTAGTTTTAACTTCAATTTAGAAAAACTTGGGAGGAGGAGTCGACTGCCCAAAAAATGGTCTGACCATGTATGATAGAGATTAACTTAATAGCAAAGCAAGTCCCTTTTTCGATCCATGGCCGTCGGACTGGAAACTACTTGCGGGCGCCTTCATCTTATTTCACAGAAATTGTTCAACAGATTAAAAGCGACTTAATGGGTCATTTTATGTGATGATTACATGTCAGGGATTCAGAATATAGAAAACACGAAATGAATTTCAGATATGTCAACGGAAACTTGTCGAGTTTGTGGCGACGGGAACGCCAAAACGCATTATGGCGTCGTCACTTGCTTCGGATGCAAGGGATTCTTCAGAAGAACGTCAGTTTCTTTTGTTTCGAAAATTCAACTTATTAAATTTTTTCTGCTATGATTTTGTTTAAAGCTTGTATGTAGCTTATTCCGCCGCAGCTTGTCACGTTTTTTTTTCAAATTACCGTATACGTTTTTTTTTCCGGTAGAAGTAGCGTACACCTTTTTTCGGCCAAAATACAGTAATATTTTTTTAATCTGGATATCATGTACAAAGGCATAAGTTTATTTTAAAATTAAATTTTTCTTTTTCTTTTTTCATCTTCATATTTTTCACTAATCTTTGAGTTTCCAGAAAAGTCATATTTTTACGTGTTATTATGTTAAATATGGTTTTATCCGAAAATTTAGACCCCTTCAGTGTTTTGAAATTTTATTGTGTGAGATTTTTTCAGAAAGTCTAATTTCATAGTATTATCTATTCATCCGTGTTTCTTTTTCCAGTTTGAAACGTCCGACGGAGTACCAATGCAGACATAATGGCACCTGTGTCGTTGATCGACATGAGAGAAATTCTTGTCGGTTCGTTATTTAATTCGATAAGGTTTAATTTGAACTTCTTTTCGATCAAATCACTTTATTTTTGTTTGAATAACGAAAATTCAGGTACTGCCGATTCAAGCGATGCATCGAAGTGGGAATGGACCCGAAAGGTTGCTTTTTTAGAATTTCGATATCTAACTTAACTCTTTGGTTTTCCGGCTTTCTCTCTTCAAATTTCTCACGTCTAACAATCGACTTTCCTACGTTTTTTCTTCACAAATCTTGTTCAAAAAGTTCCTCGTTGAGTCTTTTTTTTTGTTTTTCGAGTCAAGCATCGCTTTTTGCAACAAATTTTAGTTTACTGAACATTTTATAAAATTATCTTTCAAATCACCTCTCTCCATCACAATCTCACTTCTTGGACCTGAAAGGGGTGCGTCTTTTGAATATCTTCGCAATCCTTCTCTTTATTTTTTCACATTTATTTTCTCTCTTCTTGGAGGTCATTTTTCTCTGCGGTTGGTAACCCAATGAAAATCGGCCACAAAATTCATTGGTGTACCAGAAAAAAAATCCTGAAAGTCTCAACCTGCAAAAATTCCTATTTTTCGAGAAACAAAGCTCTAAAAATGGCTTATTTTAACGATTTTCTTAGACTGTGAGGTGTGAGAACTAGGAAGTTGTGCCAGTTGAAATCTTCAGAATTTTTTTCTGGTATCTTAATCAGCGCTTTGGCCAATTCCTAGGAATTTCCAACCCCAAGGTAAAATGACCTTTTTTGTCGATTCTTATAAAAAAAAAATTTAAATAAAAGCTGAGTTTCGGTGTTTTCAGCCGTGCGACCTGACCGCGACGCCACCGGCCGCCATTACCAGGGCCGTCAGCGGCGGTCGAAGCTGTCGACGGAAGACGAGGGCGAGGTCGATGCGGAGTGGATGCGCAAGCTTCCCGTAGACATGCGCACCACCCTCATGCAGCTCCTCAACATTGATCTCATTGTTCGTTGTTTTTCTCGATTCAAAGTTCCAATAAAGTACCTCTAGAAAACACTTGAATGGGAGTTTTGGCGAGGAATCAGTTGAGCGTAAGCTTCTACTAATTTTTGTGGAAGGATTCGAAAATTCTAAAAGACTTGAAGTAAATTATGAAGCGGGAGTAGCTTTTCTAAACTTTTTCCATATTTTAGCTCAATTGACGTTTTGAAAAAAAATCTACTTTAAATTTTTCAAATTTAAAAAATTCAGGTTGGGGGAGGAGACGCCCATACGGACCCGACGACGCTCTACCCTCTGCCGTTCACTTCAATTCGACAACTCTTGGAAGATCCTTCCTTGCTCGACGGCAAAAGAGTTGAGGTCTGACTTTTTGATAGTCCTTCAGAAGGTTTTCTAGTGAATAAATGAAGATATTACCCTGGGAACAGTCTCACTAACGCTATAATTTTCCTGAATTGGCGCCAAAACGCGTCTTAACCGCTTTGCACATGTAGCTGGTTCACGGCTGGCTTGAGCCACCGAAAACTGGTCTTGATACGATAATAAAAGAGGTAGCGCCTGGCTGTGGAGAGTGCAGACAGGCCACGCCCAAGCTAGCCGTGAATCTACCATACAGTGTCAAAGTCGCCGTTTCAAGTCGAAAAAAAGATATATATATATATATATATATATATATGGGTCTAGATGAGGTACGAAGCGTTGAGGGAAGTCCTTCCGGACGAGATGCCCGTCATCGCCCACAGACGTCTCATCGCCATCATCGACTGGACGGACCACGTTTTCGACATGATGGACGTTCACAACATGGATGACAAGGTATACACAAAGTCAAGGGCGAGGGAACAACTTTGAAGTACGAATAATGGTGCAGTTCAAGTTGATATTGCAAAAGTAGCACGGTTCTCTAATGTATCCTGATGAACGCCATTGTCCCCCTAGGTTAGAGGAAAACAGCCTCTACAGGGGGACGTAAAAGAGTGTTAGAAAAGATCCTCAAAAGGCCGCAAACATTGCCCCTATAGGGACCGCTCTGGAGCTCCTAAATGGTCAGTTCGCCACGGTTTGCAAGAGCTTGATTTCTTTGAGCCCTCCTTCTCACTCGGCGAGCCTCTCAGAGTGCCGTGCTATTTTTTTGTTTCTCTGAACTCGCCGGTGAGGGGACAGAGAGACGCAGACACGCAAAAGCCTTCAAGTCGCTACTAAAGGACTATGCCAGAGAAGATAGACTTCATAAAATGAAAATTATTTTTATTGTTGCAAAAAGAAATCGAATGCTCTATGACTCTCTGCAAACTCAAGCAAACCTTTGTTGATAGACTACTGAAGCTCATTTTTGACAAAAAAAAAACCAAAAATTTCTTAATGTTTCTTTAAAGCTGCTGATGGTGAAGAACGCGTTCGCCCCGCTGACGGTGTTCAGCTTCTGCGCCAACACGGCGCGATCGACGAAGCGACGCGATATCGTGTCGATGAACACCTTCGGCTTCATCGGTCGCTACACGGCCAACGCCTGGAATGAGCCCTAGTAAGCTTGAGAAAAGAAAAAATGTAGACATTTTTTGCTGACTCGAAACTTTCTAGTTCAAAGGCAAGGGTGGCTTGTTTCGTATGCGACGCGGCTTTTGGCGGGAATTTGAGATATTATAAGCGTTTTTCTTCTTGTTTTTGATAGTTTCCTTGTAATGTTAGTTGAGTAAATAAAAGTTGCGCAACTTTTCTTTCATTTTTCCCGCGATTTGACCTCGAGTTCTCAAGTCTTGCCAATCTTTTAATAACTTCTTCCACGTCGCCAAAAATTGATTATTTATTGGAATGAAGATCAAAATATCTCGAAATTGCAGTCACTTTGCCAATCACCTTGCCGAAAGATGCATCGACGAGCTGATCGAGCCACTCCGGAAAATGAGCCTCAAAGAGGAGGAGGTCACCCTCCTCAAGGCCATTATTGTCCTCAATCCCTGTAAGTTCAAGAGATTTTGAAAAAAAAATTTTGAGCTTTTTTGAAAAGTTCAAAGTAGGAGTTATCCACGGTTTATTAAAAATTTCATGATTTTCTTAGAAATTGAGACATTTTTTGTGGGCCAGACTTAATTTTAAAAAAAAACTCATGTCTTGCCTTTGTTTTGAAGATTTTGCTAGTTCAGAGTGTCGTATTTTTCTCAAAAATAGTTTTTTATCCACTTATTCGACCAGAAGTTTTATCTCCTGATTTTATAATTTTAATGCATAATTATGTCTTCTTGCGATTTCAAATTAGAAAAGAAGTACGATTACTGGAAGAAGTTCAACTTCAGTTGTGAAAAACATGTCTTCGGACACGTCGGAGGCGATAATGGACCTCCGGGATCGGATACAGGAGACGCTGTACCACGTCGTCCGCGAAACCCATCCCAAAGAGGTGGCCAGCAGTCGTTTCGGCAACTTACTGCTTTTCGTTCCGGCTGTTATGGTGATTTTTTCTTTCTCAGTAGGGAAGGTAGACTAGTGATATCAACATTTTTCGTTTTTAGAAGGGGAAAAGAAAGATTGCGGCAATAGATTATGGAGTAAGTGACTCTCAAAGAAGTTGGCGATTCAGCAAGTTTTTTTTTTTCAATTTATTCCTGGACAGCCCAGAAGAATATTGATTGGAATCGTTTTTTTTTGTTTGCTGCAGTAGGCTCTGAAAACAATATTTTAAGCTATGTTTCTTCTAGTTGAACTTTTTTTCGTGTACCTTTTCTGAAATAATCGATATTTTGCGGTATTTCAGATGCTGGGCAAGTTGATTATCGAAAACCTGACGTTCGTCGATTCGTTCGGCAACATGGTGGACCGACTGATGCACGACCTTTTGGACGATTCCCCGACCGCCTCCACCAGCTCTCCCAATGATGTAAGATTGGAAATTTGTATGAAAAATAGGTCAGAAAAAGTTTTATCTTTGGAGTATCTTTCCAAACACCTGTCTTTCAAGTTTGATTCATGGTTCACAAAAAAAAGTCATCCAGAGCTTGCAAAATATTCCGGTTAGTTAACTAACTAAACGGAATATCGAATTCTCACACTTTTTGGGTAAAATCAGTCATTCTAAATTTCAAAAGTTCATATCTCGGCTCGAAATGCTCAGAATCAGGAACACTAACATTTTTTTTACGTTTTCAGGGGATCTTCTTTCCTATAGAGCCATTTGGTATATTCAAGGACCATTAAGATTTTTGAAATATCGATTATTTCGGAGTGAATTCATCATTAATTTAATTTTTGATCCGCGAATCTCTAGTAGTCGCCAGGAAAGCGTTGAAATCTTTGAGAATCTTTTTGATCAAATCCATTAGCCGATTCGTTTCGTTCGAAGTGATACCGATAAAAGATCAAAAATGTACTTTTTGTTATGACCTTCTCTGAAAATCTTTTTCTCTAGAAATCAGAGAAATTCACTGAAACTGTGTTACGCAAAAACACGCTCTTTTTGATTAATCCAACTACTCCAGAAATGATTTGCTTTGAATTAAATACAAGTCACGATATGAACTATTTTCTGCGAAAACCCTCATAAAATACTGATTTTTGCAGTCGAACGGCGTCCATAACGTCGAGATGAACGGCTCAGAACCGCAGTCGCCCAAAATGAGCCGACGTCTTTCGGATCCCAAAATGGTGCACTCGTCGAGCTCTTCGAGCGTCGAGAGCCTCAACTCCTTCCCCTGCACATCAAACTCCTATCAGAACAATGTCGGATCGTTACCCTACAAGTATGCCCCCAAAAAAGAAGACTTTTCAAATCAACATCCTCAGTTTGTCCTGCAATTCGTTGCCTTCGCAGATGACCCAGTTTGATGTTGCTCTGAACGGAGCCTCATCCATGCCGAACCTGGAACTTCAAGACTGCGACCCTGACTACAACATGACCATCACCCCGGACATGTACAGCGGTGAGTTTTTATGGAAAATGGGTGATTTTGAGCAACGCAATAGCAAATTTGCCCTATGGAACATGAGCCTCTGACCTTGCTAACCTTACGGCCCAGACCTTTCTGAGCGATTCAAGGAACCACTTAAGAGTACTGACGCCCCTGAAGTTGTCCCTAAAAATCCTCAGAAGCGTCCGGTTTATATTATCGCAAGTCCGAGTTAGTTTTTAATAAAAATTTCATGACTAGGAAATTAAAATTTTTCCAATTGAGAACTTGTGTCTGAGTTTTAGAACTTGAAATTGAGCCTCCCCTTTGCAAAAAGCTGAAAGCTGGTCATAAAGATCGATAAAAAATCAATTTTTCTCATTTTCAAAAGCTCCTTATTTGAAGCAGAAATTTGTTTCAAAATCTCAAAGCTGTCAATAATTTCAAGCCCTTAAGAATAATATTTCAAGTCATTTAGAAGAAATTTTATAGTTTCGAACCATCGGAAACTCTCCTACCCCTTCATTTTTGTAGGGTTGTCACAAAAAAAAAACAAAAAGAGCTTTTTTTTCAGACATGCGACAAGCGATGACAGCCGCCCACACGGTCGACGGTAATGAGATCGAACAAAAGACTCATTCGCAGGGCGAGTTCGCGAAACTCGCGCGTCGCGATTCCGTGCCGGCGTCGCCGACCCAGACGCCCATGTTCTACATTTCGACGGTGGAGACCGGCACCAAGCACAAGTTCACCGTCACCACCACCTCTTTCGATAAGTCAGTGAATGTTGGGGGAGAGGTCTTTCCAAAGAAAACTTATAACATTTGAACTGAAACTTTCAAAGTTCTTAAGAAACTGAAAAGCTGAAAAAGCTGCCTTTATCGTTATGTTTGAAGTTAAAGTTGGGTTTGTTCTGAAAACTTTCCAGAATACTCCTTGTTGTACCAGATGAAGCTCCTGAAAGCCTCAACCTTTTTGTAGTTTCTGAGAAAAGACATAGGAAGTTTGTAGTTTTGAGAAAATCATCAAAGTCTTCTACTAGCAGACTTTGAGCCTTCATTTCTTGAAAACTGAGAAGATGTGCAATTTCACTTCTTCAGAATCTTCATAAGGGACATCAAGGAGTAATCTGACTGGATTTTAGGGAAATTTGAATTCCAAAGGAAAACCTTGTACCTTGCACCTTGTACTTTGCAAGTAGACCCTTCTTATAAATATCCAAAACAAGATTTGCTGATTTCAGTGGCTACGCGACCCCGAACGGACAGATGAATGGACATGGCAATGTTCAGCAGCAGCCACCACAACAACCCCAACAGTTCATGAACATGCAGCAGGGAAATCCCAACGGCTACGGAATAAACATGCAGCCGCCGCAACAGCCGCAGACTCTGTGCAAGACAACGTCGCTCCCTCCGCAGTACATGCAGCAGCAGCAGCAGCAGCAGCAGCAGTACGACGCCAACTTCGCCCCCATGGAGTTCGAAGAGTGCAATTATAATAACTATTGATTCATTCTTTGTTGTTCTCTGTACTGATTCAAGTTTCCAACAAGATCGGGCATTTCACTTTACGCTTAGGAATTTTACGAAAATTGGCCAGAAGAAATCGATGTATTTAGTCTGTTGAGATTTTTTCTAAAGGTATAAGATATTTTGTGCAGAAAAAAAGGGGCAATTGCGTGGCTATCTCAAATGAAGGTCCTGAAATTTTCTCAACTCTCAAAACTTCCTGGTTTTCTTTTGATCCTCGAAGATGGATAAAATCATCAGAACGCGTAAAAATAGGCCATTTTAATGCTTTGAGTCGTGTCAAGAATACTGATGTAGGTTTAGACTATCAGAAGCTTGCCGGTTTTCAGAATGCTCCTAATCACAAAATAAAATGGCCTTTCTTGTGATTATCCTTTTGAAACCCATATTATGCACTTTTTGATTACCAGATGATTAACCTTTTTATCTCTAGTTTGGTTCCCAGATGGTTCAGCCTTTTATCATGTATCGGCTAGATTTTGCTAATTTTTTGGTTTATTAACTGCCTTCGGTTAATCACTTTTGATAGTCAGATCGACATCGATTTCTTTCCTTCTCCTTATTTTGGGTTACTGTTGTACGAGAGTCTGTCTAGACCTTTCAAGAGCATTTTTTTGTTCAACGATTTTCGTCTTTATATCTTCTTGTTACATTTTCCTGTGTGTTGCCGAATGTTGAGATTTTGTTTTTCCTTTATCCAATTCGCAATTTGGTGCTGAGGTTCGTTGCCATGTCAGGGAATAATACGATGTTAGGCATTATACAGTTGTTCCCATCAAAATTCGATTTTACCCTTGATTTTGACAAAAGATTATATGGATAACGTGAATTTTTCAACCTTGTAAATTTTTGAGTTTGTAATAAATTTCGGTTCTCAACTTTTTTCACGATAGTTATTTGTGAAATTCAAAGAAGTTTACATGCATATGCTGTGGTTGAGGTGAGCTTTTTCTTGAAGATTTTTTTTTCTTTTAAAGGCGCAGGTCATTTCCCGACCTCAGCGCCTTTAAATAACTGAAAAATACTATTTTCAGAATTTAAATTTCAAGTCTGCGCTCAAGCTCCGCCCCTAAAGGCGCAATAAACCAATCAGAGAGCGAGCCATTCATAGAGCGTTTTCGAATGACGTCACTTAGCTTGACAGAAAAATTCTGAGCAGACTATAGTGAATATGAGTTGACTTGTTCATTTTTTCCATAACATTTTGGAGAGTTCACAAAAATAAGAACTGTATTCACAGTTTGTCGAGCTGTTCAACAAAAAAGAACCATTTGTTTGCCGCGAACTTTGCTGGAGAAACTCTTTTTCTGCTCCCTCAATTCTTTTACTTTTTGGAGTAAACAGAGCATGGGTGGAACTCTTGGCGACGAGTACACAGCCGAATGGAAAGGAAAACACGAATTGCCGCCCGAGAATCTTCAGTTCCTTCGGAGTTGTTCGAGCTGGCGGCGGGATGGTCGCCGTCAAGCCCCAGGTACGCCCGCTTTTCGATTATTTTCTTTCATTAAGGGGCCAGATACGTAGCTTTTTTGGTAGAAAAGCTCTGCCAGTAACTATGATGAATTGTGAAACAAAAAGTTGGTCAGTAAATGAGTATATTTTTGGTCGAATTCATGATGAAGAGGGAAAAAATATCGAAAAATCTTCTTTTTCGCACCATATCACTTTTTATTGGTATGAAACTCTCACAAAACATTTTTTTAATTCTGTTAAAATCATAATAAAGTGTGCCCTCGAGCCTCAGAAAAAAAATTTTTTTTCTTGGCGCTCTCTTACTTTCAGGGTCATGATAAAGTGTAAAAAAGCATAGACAAGGAAAGTAGGAAAATAGGAAAAGAAACTTTCAAATTTCCGAATAATGAAATGGAGAATTTCATTATCCACTTTTCAGTGAAGAAAAAATGTTTCCCAGCATTTTTAAATTCCTTTAACAATCAAAAGTGGCGCTATCATGTTCAAAGCTGACTGTTTTCAAAAATTTTTTCCTGAATTTTCTCCGCTTCTGTGGATTTACCGACCTGTCAGTGCCGCCAGTTGAAAGTAAACACGAATGGTTCCAATTCTTTGCCTTTTTCCCGCTTTATAAACATCTAGATTCCTCATTTCGACTGAATATCTGCGCCCTTGAAGCTTCTTACAAATGCTCATGGTATGACTTTTTTTCAAAATCAAACTCCTTGATAAAATCAAAAAACTGCTGTTGAATAGAAGAGAAATGAACTGGCTTTTTGGTTTCGGGGCGGATTTCAAAAAGCGTACCGGTTGGGGTTTTTGTGAGGAAAATGGATTAGCCAAAGCTTTGGCCGGGTTTCCCTGCACCGTAGCGTGCTGTGCTGCAACCCTCTTCAGCGCCAAAAAATTATCCGACCGTCGAAATTAACTGAAATGCGCCTTTTCAATACCTATCACGAATATGAACCGGTACGTTGTCATTATTTGCTTTCTAAAGGGATTCAGTTAGATTAGAAGCCAGTTCTTCATACTGTTGAATGGAAAAAAGAAATCTCTGATCTGAAAAGTTCAGCTTCCTTCCTGTCTAATTGAAAAAAGGAAGCTCTTTTTTTCAAGATCCTGAACAAGTTTCTTTTTTTTCTTTTTTTATTAATCGTACCAAATAAAAAATTAACTGTTGTCCTTGTGAGCAGGTTGGACGCAGCCGCAGACTAAATAAGAATAAGAATGCGAAATTGATTTCTCAACAATCTATTTCATTTTCAAGTTTCTTTTGCAACGAGCGTATCATTTTTTGGAAAATTTGAAATTTATAGCAAATAATTCACAGAAAGTTGAATAGTTAGGGCGAGCACCAAACTGAACCAATTTTTTGTACGATTTTCTGAGTTTGGGTATTCTCTTTGAAGTTTTGAAACGAAAACGGGAAGTTAAGACCGATTCCAAGCAAGAGAGCTTTTAGGCTAAACTTGAGGTTTTTCTTTGAAATTAGAGGCTTGAAATTCATATCCAATTTTTTTTCAATCACTTTTGAGCATCCTATGAAGTCTGTCAGAGTTTTTTTAATTGGAAAAAGTTTTTCACTTTTTGGCATTTTTTTATTTTTTTATTTTTAAAGGGTCTTTTTTTCGATAAGTCAATAAAAAAATCTATCTTTCGCTAGCTTTTTTTAAACTCATAGTTTCGAAAAAAACTAATATTATGCAATTTTTTTGAAAGCTACAAAATCCAAATCGATTCATATTTCGCGACATCTCGCCACATCGCGAATGTTCGATTTGTATAGGTCTATTCAAATCTATTGTCAATGGTTTAATATATGCACATTTTTCAACCCTATAAACATACCGCTTTTTTGGTTTCCTGTGCTTCTGAGTAATCTTTTCCAGGTGTTTTTCGCCGAGCTTTTGTATGCTTCCCAGGGTGTGGTGTCAAGATTCCGGACCGGAAATGACGTCACTCTTGACTCATCGTTTAAGATTTCCGGATTACTCTTAGTCAGCAAGAGGAGATAGTTGATTTTGGAAAAATTTGCTCTTGAAATGATTTTTTGACGGGTTCTACTTATTAAAAATCATCGAAGTTTTTAGATAAGGGGCTCCTAAAAATCAAAAAAAAAAGCTGCTTTAAATGTCTATTTCAAGGATTCTTATACTTTTTTTACGCCTAACTTTAGATTAGAACCATATATTTTTTGAGATCGCATTTGATTTTCCACTTACTCTGGAAATTTCTCATTTCTGAACCATGTCAACCCAATTTTGCGGCCAATAATTTTTTTTTAAAAACTTTTCGAATTATTTTCCTTTCTCATCTGAAAAGTTTCTGAGTTTCTTCTTTAGCACAATCTTGAGCTACATCAATTATAATTTAAACCCGGAATAGAATTTAAGTTTGATCTTCTGCTACTGCACATCAAATAAAACACGAGATTTCAGATTATTCAACATTGGACGAATAAAAACGTGTCCGGACCAATGTGGGTCAGTCCCATTATTTTTTGCCTCTCTCGAAATGACCGTCAGGTTCTCTGAGTTACACCCAACTGGTTATGGACTTTTGTAATTTCTGTTTGGTCAATCAACTTTGAGTAATAATTTTTAGTTTTCCAGCTTGCAGAGAAAAAAAATTGAAACATTTTCTAATTTTGTAGGGGTTCCGTTTGAATTCACTTATGGAAATTCTGTTTGTTCAAGTTATTTTTCTTATATTTTAAAAACGATTTGGAATCCCTTTTGTTTCAAAATCCATCATGAAACTCAAAAAACGCCGATTTTACATCATTTTTCCATTCCTTCAGTGGAGTTTGGCAATAAAGTTTGATGTCAAAATAGGAAGTGAATGGAAATGGTTGAGACACGGCCGTAATCCACAATTCGTCATGCACCAACGCATTCGAAGAGCCGGTTTTCCCGTCCCATGTGCTGTTTTGTATTTGTAATCCGAAATATGTAACAGGCCATGGAACTCAGTCAGATTTTGTGTTCCGATTTCGGTTTTTTTTTGTATTTGAAAAATCAGTTTTCAAAAAGAGCTCTTTGTTAGTTTGATAGAGTGCTGAATTTATTTAGATCTAAAAAAACCAAATTTTACTGCAATTTTAATCATTTTGTCTCTTCCGCGTTGCTTTTCATCCACATCATTTTTCAAGAGGAGATGGGGATATATTAGAGTTTATGTTAACTATGAAGCTTCTCCTATCTGAGATTACCAACAAAATCACGTTTTTTTTAATCTAAAAACGTGGAAATTCATTCATAAACATACTTTCGAGGTTAAGGAGGCTACAGCTTCGAAAAATACTCGAGCTTATCATACGGATAGGCTTTTCATCAAAATTTATTCAAAATATGCACAGTCGAGGCTATTTATGAAAAGCGCCGCCAACAGGTGAACAAAACAAAAAAGGCTCCCTGGAACAACAATGGATCGATCAATGGATCAGGTGTTGGGTGGCCTGCTTTTGTGCTCTTTAGTGGCTGCCTGCGGCGATTTTCTCCAGTCATTGTTGACACACAAACAACACCTCGGCCCGATGGGCTCTTCGGGCTCATTTTCGCCTATTCCGCGAGGATTATTTTTGGTTTGGCAAGGCAGCGAGTGATAGCACAGATTGAGCAGAACGGCCGCAAAGGCAACTTCGAGGAATGTATGCTCCAAGGATAACTTTTCAGAAGAGGCATGGTCTTTGCGGTGTTTCTCAGAAGAAGTCTCGAAGGCAGATTGAAGTTTGAACACACAAACTTCAATCTGCCTTCGAGACTTCTTCTGAGAAACACCGCAAAGACCATGCCTCTTCTGAAAAGTTATCAGGAGCAAGGATAACTGTTCAGAAGAGACATTGTCCACGGGGTGTCTTTTTTTTTAGCAAAACTTCCGGAGGCAACTTCGATGCATGCATGCTCTGTCGATAACTTTAGGTTTGTGCGAGGGTCGGCCCGTCAGCCTATCGGACCCCGGCGATTTCCCAAGCCCGGCCGTAGAGAGGCCTCAAGCAAAAATGGCCGGCCCGGCCTAAATAGCTCAATTTTTCTTCAAGTCGAATGTCAAGCTTTTTTTTACGAGAAAGTGATTTTTTTGCTTATTGTTTCACATAGAGCTGATAGGAACTCTGATTTAATGAAATTTAAATTTTTTTCAAAGCCTGTCCTGGCCCGAGCCCGCGCAATTTTTTTTTTCAAGATGAGGGCCCAAAGCCCGATCTGACGCACAAGCTGTTGAGAGTCCTGGACTCTTGTATATTTAGGTGTTCAATAAATACTTTCTTTAGTTTTGAGCCGATCAAAGAAATCTAGAGCTCCTTGTTCACAGTTTTAACAAGTTCTCTCATTTTTCTCAATGACCTTCTCTTCTAGGATGACATCGGAACGAGATTCCTTGTCCCAACCAGTCATTTAATTGCGGCTTCTTCTTTGGCCGTTTCTAGCGTCTCGTTGTAAGCGACGGTCTCAATTGGTTGCGTTTTTCTTCTCTTTATTCTTGGCGTTTAGATCAATCTCGTTTGGTTGAAGCTAGAAGAAAGACTCAAATCCAGAAAAAGTGAATTTAATTTAAAATAGGCAAGAAGTCAAGCAGAGAGCTGATTGAAAAGGGGATTGAAGACCCCTATATATCTTCAAAAATGAAAAGTCCAATTTTTCGAGGACTTGATAGAATAGCCGGAACCTGTGGCTGTTGATTACGCTCCATGGACAAATTTCTTTTTAAGATTTAATGAAAGTTTATTTTGCTCTTTTGTTTAAGGAGCATTGAGGTCTAGAGGCGAAGAGCAGTTTTTAGTTATTTTTCAGACCATTCGAGACGATTTTTGAGCAGAATTTGAAATTGGGAAAACACACAGTGAGAACCAGGAAACTCACCCAGAATCGGCGTGTTTTATTATTATGATTGTCGCCGACGGCACTTCAGAATGCTGAAGTCCCTCTCGATTCGGCGCGAGAACACATCACGTCGAGGGCGGCGTCGTCTGTTTTCCCCCTTCTCCTCATCCAACATCACCAACACTACCACCACCACCAGCACTATCCAGAACGCCCATTTCGCTCCTCTGATGGAACTGGAATCGGCCCATGAGGCGCAACAACCCTTTTTTTCTCCCTTCTACTTCTTTTACGGCGGTCCTCCTTTTTTCCGGGTGTGTCCGAGGCGAAGAGGCGGTCGCCGATCGGGCCGGCCCTAATTGACAGTGAGCTGTCAGAGTGTGTGGACGCAGAGACCGGCGCAGAGCCCCCAGGATTTCAGCTCGGATTTTTCTGTTTCTTTCAGTCATTCATCGTCAAACCATTCTTGGATCTCCTTTTACTTCTCTTCATTGGGAAACTTCAGATTTTTCGCTTTTTGGATCTCTTCAAGGGCTTCTTAGCTTCTCCTTTATCAGATGTGTCGGATTTTTCTAGATTTTCGAACTTCTTATCTTTGTTTAGTTTTTATGAAGGAGTTTTCAGACCATTTTTGATCTTTTCTAAAGCAATGAAATAGGAATTTCCGCTTTTCTCTGATTTTTTTTTCAGCACTACGATGATAGTTATTTTTTTTGAAATTCACAACCAAAACTTTTGCATTAGTTTTGAATTGACCCAAAAATTAAGAATCATAAGGAACCAATTTAATTTTCAAGGACGTTTGAAACGTAGCTCGACTATGAATGATACAGTCGATCAATTTTTTATCTCTAATTTCAGAAAAATTAAAAGTTTAATAAGTTGTATACTTACTGACTTATGAGCTCATGATCCCTTGTCTTGTGGGTCTACGCTTTACGGCTGTGAAGCCGCTTTTTCAATGCGCAACCGACCAAAAACGATTTGAGTGTGAGAATATCTTAAAAGTGAGACGCTTCAAGCCGCTTAGGATTCTTTGATGCTTCTCCTTTTGCGCTATAACTGTGACTGCTTTGTTGGTAATCAGAAAAAAAAGAAACGGTTGGCTGTAAACGTCTTTCGAGTATTTAGAGTATTCGGACGCCCCCAAAACCAGATCCCTCACTTGTTTTCCGCCAACTTTTGTCGTCCCACCGGCAGAATTGCGTATTTTTTCACTAGCGACTCTTGAAAAATAATTCTCTTGGATGAATAAATTTCGAAGATTTCTCCTTTATAAACTTTCGATTTCAGTCGGAACTGATAATTTTATATGAATTATTGCGAAAATTGCGAAAAACGAAGTATAGCTGACTTAAAAGTTGAATCGCCCGATTTGAGCACTCTAGGTCTAAATCATAATTTTTTGACTGAATTTTTGATTTTTAGTGACTAACTTCTTGGGTATTACAGAAAATGGGCGTACGCTTCAATGAAGCTGGTTTATCCGAGAAAAATTACTTTGATGTAGAAATTGTGGAATTTCTGTTTTTGAAAGCCTTCGTGCTGTTTTCTTTTTAATCACAGTTTTGAACGACTCAAGAAATCGATTTCATTATATCCCCAGCGCTTTCAAATTTTGATTATCCATAGATGGAGCATGAGCTTCTTACTCTAGTTTCATTAAGGCTTTTTTTTAATTTGATTATTTTTTTGTATCGCACCGTTTTAGTAATTTCCATCTATTCGTCACACCAATTTCGAACCGAATCCTTGTTTACAAGTCAGTACAACGTCCTTGAAGTCGGAGAGAACTCGATTTTTTCCCTGTCGACGTTCTTTTTTGTCGTGTTGTTTTCTTTGGGCCGCTCACCGGATACATGCAATGTTCCTTGAAGATTGTTTGCTCTCCTGCTTCGCGACCTTATTTCTTTTCAAACTTCTCTTTTTCCTTCGAAAAGCCAATATACAAAAAAAAAGTTTGAAGCTAAGCTGTTTTTTGAATTCAGATTGCCATTTTTAATGGGCTATTGAAGCTCAGGGTTTTTAGACTGAACTTCGTTTTTCATTTTTGCGGATTCTTTCAAATCGATGGAAAAGAGCTTGAACTTTTTTCAAATCATGAAAAATAGGTTCGGTTTTGCTTTCCTTCTATCTTCAAGAAACTCCCTATTGATCCATTCCTTTTTTCAGTCTTCTCCATTACTATAAGGCTTTATTTGAGTTTGAAATTTTTCAGGTACATCAACCACGAATGAAGGTGTTTACACTAGGACTCGACGAGAAGGAGAAGCAGAAAGCTGAAAATGCCGAAAACGACGCCGCAGCTACAAAAGTATGGACTGAATTTTCAAAAAATTAATAAAAGAGGTTCTCCAGATTCCAATGGAAGCGCCAGAGCTAGCCAGAACCCCGCCGCCCACAAACGGACCAATTATTTTGGCCAGAGGGCCTCCCAAGCGGAAATATGGCTTTGCCTGTGGATGTTTGCAATATTTTCAAGTCCAGACGAACTTGGCCTTTTCAGTGGTTTCCTGGTTCATCTGCGCCTTTTGCGTCGTTTTACTCTGTCTGGCCATCTCAGAAGTCGCCTATCATCGTCAACGCGATCAAGCTTTCCTCCGTCTCAAATGGTAATTTTTTGAATAGTGGTCGATTTTTCTTGGTGTTAGTATGATTTAGGTGATATTGTTTTAATTTTCTGGGCGCATTTGGAATGGCTCAGTGAAGAAATTGGTTTGCGGTTCTCGTTAGAGTTAAAAGCTTTTTTTGGTTTCATTTTTATTCACCGAATCCCAGGAGTTTATCTTGTAACTATCTTGATAATACTTGAAAGTTCGCTCCAATGGACAATGTCTTTTTTCTTTTGTCTTTCCTGTATAGTGCGTTCCGCGCGACACGGTCATCTTTCAAAAGAACTGCAGAAAACATATTTACCGCGAAAACAGCTTTTTTCGAACCTTTGGTCTACAAAACGGCAAAAAAGGCAGTACAAACATAGGTCTGGAAGCGAAGTAGGGTCGAATTTGAACAAATTTGACATACAGTCATTTTGGCAGAAAAAAAAACATGACAAGCTTTTTGAGAATCTGTAAGAGGTGACCGTGACTCGCCAATAAAAGTTGTTGGAAAACTTTGAAAGCTTAATTTGAACCTTTCTTGCGATTTTTTAATCGTAAAATTCCAGGGCTGAGCTCCGACAAAGAATGCTCGGTTACGAACTTCTTTCTCAGCAACAGGAGTTCGACCGGATGGCACTGGAGAAAAACTCACAGTTTGTTCCTGTACTCGAAAAGATTATCAATTTCATTCGTTAGGATCCAAAGTCTCCCCCTGAGAAACGAAAAACCCGAGGTGGAGGATCAGCACCTACAAGCGATAAAGCCTGTCAATGAAGATGAACAACAGGTTTGTTTTTTGGACCATTCAAGTACTGATTGACTTTACAGGACCAGAAGCTCGGCTTCCTGCAGGCTCTGATGGAAAATATCAGGAAAAACGCCGAGAAACTCGGGCTCAGCGGCGACATGCAGGTGCACGTCGTCGAGGTGAAGCCGGTCGGCGAAAACGACATCAGCGATTCTGAAGACAACGTCCAGCCCATGGTTCGAGTTGACACTTAAGGGGTCATGCTGCGTATGGCGTGAATGAGTATCCGAAAAGGGAACGGGTCAACTTCTGATCTTTAAGACTCACACTTTCAATTTTAATGAAATTTCAACTTTAAGTTCATTTACGCTCCTTAAACGCTTATGAATACGGTTTATGGATCAATCAATCAATCGTTTTTCTTCACCTCGATTAGACGATGAACGAAAACTTTTAAATAAATTTGATCGATTCATGATTCCTTTCAAATTATCTCATTTCTACCACCCGAGTGGTCGGTCTTCATTCCCGCTCTCTCCTGAGATTTAATCCGACGCCCGTCAGCCCTGGACAAGCTGGGCGCCGTACTGTTCCTACATGGAGAAGCAGTGATCGTCGGAAACGCTCGAAAACCGTCTACTACAATCACAAGAAAAGCGAGATGCTCTACGCGCCGTCTACGCTTGATCAACGACAGTTTCGCAAACCGACGAACAACTCTTCAACTATTCCATGATTCAGCAGAGTACCTTCTCTGAAGACTGAATAAAAAAAAAAAATTTCAAAAAAAAAAAAAATTTCAAAATTTCATGATTCCTTTCAACTTCGGAAGTTTTTTTATTGTGGTTTGAAAATGAGCTTGTAAAATTCAGTCAAACTTTTGTGAGAAAAGAGGCTAAAAATGTATGGTAAGGGAATCAATGGAAGTTTTCAAACCTTGTGATTTTCTAACCAAAAGATTCGAATTTCAGTCGCAGCGAGCGATCGACGACGGCTTCGGAGAAGTAGCGATGCCCCGCCAATTCGGTCCTTGGCCCATGCCCAACAACGATTACGAAAACGAGTAAGTTTTGATGAAACGCGACAAATTTCTGATTGGGGCGTGTTTTGATCGGGGTTTTCCTGGACAACCGATGGCTATTTTCTTAATTTTTTCAAGTGCGCTCTAGCGAACCGCCTCTCTGCCTCACTTTTTCTGCTTCTCTACTTATGAACGACAGAGTGGTCCCTATAGGGGCAACCTGAAGGACCTAGAAGTTTCCTCCTTTAGGACCATCTTGCCTATCCCTACAGGGGCACTACAGCTTGCGAAAGTGGCTACTCTAGAAAAGCATGCTACACTTTCACCATTATTCATCAATCGGTCATGTTTTACTGGTTACGTCTTTTTGATTTTTCTCTGACATGGGGCGCCTAAAGGTCGCCACAAATATTTCTCCGACCAACACTATTTCGTCATTTTCTCGCAGCTAGATAACGAAGAAATAGTGTGCGTCAGAGAACGGATTGAGGCGCTCCATTTCAGAATTTAACGGAAAAAAAACTCAATGGATTCCTATAGGCACTACTTACGCTATAGGGGCTTGTCTGACTCTGAACCTCTACAGGGATCACCGAAGTTTTACTTCTCTAGAGAGAATTCAAATGTTCCTCTTAAAGAATTTTCTCTCTAATCCCTCTAGGGATCACTCTGGCGCTGCCAAGTAAGGTTGACCATGGTTGTATTTTTCGGTGAACCTTGTAAAAGTTTCTCAGCGGCTGTTTTCAGCTTTAATTAACGTGTTCCACGCTCCAACGAACAGCAAGCTTCTATAATCTTACTGTAAGAAGCTATTTTTCCATTCTCAGGCGGCCGTTCGGATGGCAATTCGACCGTCGAAGCATGCGTAAAGGGCCTTCTCCTCTTTTTCCAAGGTGCTTCTAAATGCTTTTTTTCGCCAACTAATTTGACAACTTAAAGCTTAATCTATCATCAAAATTTCATCATTCAGATACGAAGACTATGAGGAGCCGCAAATGAGGATCACTCATCATTTCGATGGGGTTTGGAAGTTTCTTCAGTCCTTCAAAACTCATTGTTGTTAGTTTCAGGAGAACCGCAATCCTCAGCGCGTTGTCACTGAACTTTTCGGCGAAAACTCCCCTGACATGTACCGAAATCTTTTGAACGATGATCAGCAGCAAAACGGGGTGAATCTTTGAGTATTTTGAAAACCTGTGAACATTTTTGCCTCTCGCTTGAGTAAAAATAAGAGAAAATTACAGTAGTATTTATTCAAAGGTTTCGACAGATATGATTTTAAAAAAAGCTGTTAATTATATGGTTATCTTCTTTTTTCGTAATAGATGAACCAAATTACCAACTAAACTGTTGGAAAAAAAAAAAGTACCGAAGACTACAACGCTGTTTCATGAACCCTTTGAATTTAACAAAAAAACAAAAAAATTTATTATTCTGTTCTCTAAAAAAATTATTTTTTTCCACAACTTATTGAGAATCGCGTGTTCGAAGTTCCAAGATAATTGATAAACCTGAATTTCTGAAAAAAAAAATTCACATAGAACGCTTTTGAAAATTCACAAATAGGTTTGCGGTATTTAACATTTCTCTAAAAACCGCTTCCAATCTTTATTTCTGCCTATTACCAGTGGAACCAGCAGCCTGTCGAACAGCCTTGGAGCTGGAACCAGCCCAAACCGCAGCCGCAGCGCTGGTGGCAGCCCCAACAAGCCGAAGTTTTCACGAATCGCTGGGATAATGGCATTAACCAACATCCCCAGCCTATCTTCCCTCAATTCCAACAAGTGAGGGAATTTAAAGGCTTAACCTTTTGCCTATTGCACTTTCCTTGTGTGGAAATCTGATGAATAGTGGGGGCTCTTTCAATACGCCTCCTAGAACTTTCTGTTAATTTAAAACGATGAAATGGGAACCGACCAAAATAGCCGCTACCTGCGCTAACTTCAACTTTAAGAGGTACGAATTTTCAAAGTTGGAAAATTTGGGTTTCAGACCTAAGTCCTACCAATGTTTGAACTCCATCCACATTGGTCCCAGTTTAACCTTCCACATAATTTTGTCAGATTTCCAACCCTTCGCCTATTTCAATTCCCTTGTGAGGTATAAATATGTTCAGATTTTGAATTATAAGTCGTCGCTTAAGCTCCGCCCCTAACAGCGCAATAAACCACTTAGAAAGCGTTTAGGAATGATTTCATTGTACTTGGCGTTCAAACTCTGAACAGACTATAATCCGATGAAGAGTATTCTTATAACTTCTCCCACATCGGCCTCTTCAATCCTCCTTTTTCAGCCTTCGATGGCCGTCCCATCTCTCGGAAACAACGAAGTCCAGCAGCCGTGGTACATGAGCGCCGGCCAGCCGCAGCAGCCTTCTTGGAACGAACTCGACGCCAATAACAACGGCTGGAAACAACAGGCCAGCCTTCCCCTTGTACAAAACCCCTAATCAACCAAAACACTAATAAAACCATTTTCCTCCCGAGTTTTCGACGCATTCAAAAAGAGGAATATTCGAAGAATGGATTCATTTTTGCAAGTGAAAAATTGAAAGTTTGAAAAATGACTTTTTGACGAGGTGTTTGAAGGAAAGGTTGCGCTTTCATTTATATTATTCGGGTATATTGTTAATAAGCTAGCATATATATATATATATTTATCAAATTATTATCAATAATCAGTTAAACTCTCAATTGATTGGCGAAGACGACTGCTCCAAATTTTTTTATTTCCCTCTGAAGACTATTACCAACTTACCTTTAACCATACTAATGAATACCCTGAAATTTCAAAATAATTGATAAATCTTGGTTTCTCACCTTTTCATAAGAAATAAAATTATCATAGCTTTCCTACGACAGCTTTCTGGATTTTTAAAGCAGCATAGAGGAAATTCAGAAAAGTTCCAAGGCGAAGAACCACCCAGCGGTATTCCTATTCCTTTTCAAGACCTATGAGCCTTTGAAGCTGCTCAAAACATGTTTTAAAGTTACGAATCCAAATATTTTGGGATTTGCAGGACATGCCGTTCCAGCCGCATCCCTCGGCTTCCGCTTTTCCTTCTTCCGAACCTATCCACTGGGTTGACAATAGCGCTTCCCGCAATCCTTTTGAACGCAATGTTTGTCTATTTTTCTATCAATTCTTCTCAAAATAGATCTTGAGGACCAATTCAACGCTCCCATGGACGTGATTTCGGACGGTCAGCCTGAAACTGTTCAACAAAATAACGAGCCGATAGTGGAGTCAACGGCCATCGCTTCATCTCAAGACGACGACGCCAGCAAAGTTGAAAAAGAGGCTGAGGTTAATCTTTGCTGAATCTCTGAAGAATAATGCTCATGCTTCCAGAAAATCATTTCCCCAGATCCTCAACTCGAATCCATTGACGAGAGCAAATTTTTGCCCATTCGATCTGATGAAAAGGTAAACTAGAAAGTTTACTCTTTTCTCAAGGCTGTGATTCTGAAAACTCCAGACCTCGCTCACCAATGACGACGTCGACACGGCTTCTCATCTTTTCCAAATCGATGACCCCAACAGTTTCAAGCACTAATAAAAAAACCAAATAAATAAATAATTTTTCTTCGCAAGAAAAAATTGAAAAATCGTATTTACTTTTAGCTACAGAGCACACTCTCACCGAGATCGCCTTTTTTTCTCTTTTTCATTTTTTTCTCATCTTTTTTTCTTTTTCTTTTTATTCACTTATAATCTATTTATTTATACATTCATTGTGATTTGAGCTCCCGGTTACTTCTTACTAGTTTAGTTTCAACAATTATCGAGATCTCTGTTCATAGTTTCCATGTAAACTTTTCTCGACGTTCTACTTTTGGTGAAAATCTGTTTTTGTTTTTTTTTATTGCGCTGTATAAAGTTTTTTTACTACCGGTTGCATCAATTAATGATTTAAGAAGATTTTTCTGTTTTCTATCTGTGTTTAAAAAAAAACGTAAATTTTTTAAATTTGTTACACCGGAAGGGTCACCGGCTCTTCCGTGTAAGCTTTAGACGTGTTGAAGGCAGACTGTCATGAAGTCTTTATTCGTGAGCCTCACACGCGTGTGGCCAAGACGCGTGCAGGGGAACCAAGTGAGATACAGGCGTGTCTGCCGGAGCAATTACACGCCGAGAGCATCGTTCACACATGAATACAATAGAACGGAGAGAGATAGTATTCCTACTGTAACAAATTTCTAGGTACCTAACATGTTAACACCTTATCTGAGCTTCTCAACATGTTTTCTTTCGTACGAATGAAAGGTTTGATTTTGAAAATATCTCAACTTCAAAAAGTTTTTAAAGATCATTTATTGGCCGAAATAGGTCTCGGAATGGAATTTTGCGTTCGCGAAATTAATTCAAATTAAACTTCCATTTTAAGTTCGCTGAAATTTATTTTAAATTGAGAAATTCTTGCTTTCTCAAATTGGTAAAAACTTTTAAAAACCATCCATCGTTCGGAGCGCTTCCTGATAAAAAAAAAAGTCGGAGTTTCACAGAACTTTGTAGTAAAACAAACAAAGTACAATCCAAAGAGGATTATCGCTGTTTTCTTATTGCAGCAAAAATGATTTATCACCTGATTGCGTGCAAAAAGCTCCAGTCCAAACACCAATAAAGTTTACAAGAAAACCATTCCGTCAGCACTGATAATGAGCGAGATAATTATCAGCAGTTCACTTCATTCCATTCCACTCTTAATTTTTTTTTCCCTAATGACTTTTTTCCTTTTTAGAAAATCTGGCGTTTATGTTTCTCAATAGAAAACGGCACGTGGGGCAACGAACAAAGGCCGTTTTTATCTAAATCTTCTGTAAACACTCCCTAATTCTCGGTTGGGTTTAGTTGAATCGAAGAATCATCAACCCGACAGACGGACGGAAATGGCCGCTTCTCGCAAGACTTCCCGTGAGTTTCCATGTCGTTGAAGTCAAAAAGATGTTTTTCAAGCTCTCTTCCATCCATTATCACGACGGCTACACCTATTACTTCTTTGCATGTTCGGGGTGTTCTGTTCGATGAATATGAACGTCAACTTTGCCATCTCGATGACCTGTATGGTCAACAGTACGGCGATCGCCATGATGCACCAGAGCGCCTTGAACACAACAGGTGAATTTTCGCAGAGATGAAAGAGTTCCAAAGGTGCGCTTCTTCATTCATTCATTTCAAGTGTTTATTCGCCATTCCGCAATCTGCACGACAAGACCATTTTTTACTATTTTCCCGCAAATTGTTTTCGTACCTTCTGACTAATACCTTTTAATCTGATCAGAAGTCGTCTTCTAGAAGCAAATAAACTTTCAAGCTCTTTTGAAACTCCTTAACCGAAAAAGTTCAGAAGATGACCTTCTCGGAGGCCTTCTGGAAGTGTCCAACGAAACGGCCTGCGGATTCGTCAGTGCTGATGGCGCCACGACTAGAGTCCTCGATTATGGAGTAATTATCGTGAAATTAATGAAAAAAAAATCGTTTTTTTATTAGGGATCGCTAGTCTGGGATCAACACGTCCAGAATCTTCTATTTTCTGCCGCCTTTTGGGGTGGAATGGTCGCCGTCGTGCCTTCAATCGCCATCGTTCAAAGGCTTTCGCCCAAATATTCCTTTTTTTGGGTCATCGTCGTCAAGGTTTGTGTTCCTTGTAAAATTTCGAATGTTACATGTACATATACTGATCTCGCCAACGGCGGGAGTCCGTATGTCTTTGAGGCTTCTCATTGAAAGCAGATTGATTTTACCTTCTCGGCGTGACCTAGCAAACCACGTCTTCTACTGTATCTTGTCTTGTACTACTAGATAAAACTGTCCTTCCTCTTAAGAGGCTCCCCTGGAGTTTGTGCAGATTTTGAATGTCGATTCTCTCAAACTCCGCCACTTATTCGTGGATCAAACCCATCAAAGAGCGAGCGATCCACAGAGCTTTTGCTGGGGGCGGAGTTTTCTGCTTGACTTTCGAAATCTGAACAGACTATAGGACTACTAAGTGAAATCACTGAAGTAGTCACTGAAACCACCTCAATGGAAGCCATTGAATAGAAGTTTATTTTGTGCTTGAAACGGTTCATAATCGAAAAAAAGTGTTGAATGATGTGTTTTGACCAACTATATTTGTATTAGGATTTGCGGCGCTTACCCGTCATTTTGAAAGAATCATTTCTTTATCGACAAAGTTTCAGGCGATCGTTTGCTTCCTGACGCCATATTTGGCGTTGAATCATCATTACTACGCAGTTTTCATTGCTCGGTTCTTCCTGGGCTTTGGCGAGGTTTGCATTCTTTTTTATTTTGGTCGCTTAATGATAGGATCCAGGTTTTCGTGTACCCATCAATCAACACAATCGTGACGTCATGGTACCCGGTGGACGAAAGATCTACCGCCGTCGCCATTTTTACCACAGGTGAACTTTTAAAAGCAGTTTCGGTTGAATATAATATTGATAGGATTTCAGATTTTTTTACCTTTGATTCTTTTTCGCAAATATGATTTTTTTTGGACTGACCCGGTCCCGGTTTCGGGCTTCTTTTTTTTGCGAAATATCTTGCGCAGGCTTGAGCCAGGATTCGAAGGAAATTTTTAAATTAAAAAAAAAAGTTTCATCCCCACTCATAAATTTCACCGAAAAATTTTTTATCTTTGTTACAACCGTATATTCCGTCAAAATTTGGGTGAAAAAAAGCCAAAGGCGTGACTCTTTTCGAAAAAACTTGAAGAAAATTTACACTCTTCTGGTCGGTTTGGTTGAGAAAAAGGCCGGTTCGGGCTTAGAATATGGCCAAAGACTGATATTCTGAGAGGCAGACTCTTGCACTAGCCTGATGCAAAATGGAAGCTCAAAAATAACTTTTTTTTTCCTATCTTTATCAACAATTGTTTTTGAGGGAACCAACTGGCGTTGTTCCTCGGAAGTCCGGTGGCGGCCGCCTTCTGCAAGTCTCAATGGGGCTGGCCGGCCATCTTCTATTTTTCGGGTTTTTTTTTTGTTTTTTACCGAGCTTGGCAAAGACCGTGTTCAGGACTGATATCTTGTGTTTGGTGCATTTTGTGGGTGCCGATCGCCTCGAACACGCCGGACGAGTGCAAAACGATGAGGCGAGTGGAGCGCGAACTCCTCGCCAGAACCACGGCCATCAGGAAACCGTCCTCGGCTATTGTTAGTGAACAAGCTAATAAAAAAATTTCAAAACTGTGCGTGGTAATGGGGATAAATCACATAGTTTTAACTTCGATATCCACGCGAGCCGGCCACGTTTTGAAAAAAAAGTAGAAAAAAAAATGCGGTACAGATTTTTGCTCTGAAAACCTGCTAAAAGGACTGTAACGCCACTTCATAACATTTTAATGAACTCCGATGGAATTCCGTTGCAGAGAAAACAGCCGGTTCCCTGGGGTAAGGTGCTGACAAATCCAGCCTTCTTGGCTCACCTTGTCGCTACCTGCGCGGTTACTGTACTGGCTACCGTATTGATGGTCTACCTCCCGACCTACTTCAAACAAGTTCTCATGTTGGGCGTCATGGCGGTGAGCTTTTCAATTCATAAAAACCGCAGCATTACTGAAGACCCCGCTGACTTTTCATTCTTGACCTCTCTGTGACCTATTTTCTCTCACTGACAAGGTCAGAGAAACGGGAAAACAGTGCGTGAAATGTGAGGACAGAGAAGTCAGAATGTTTCAATTTTTATCGCCCAATAGCTCAGTTAGTAGAGCGGAGGACTAGAATCATTAGGTATAGCTGATTCACGGCTGACTCGAGCCATCAAAAATGGGTCCTGACGCGATGAAAAAAAAACGAGTCAGTTCCTTGTTGGTAGAGAGCGAGACAGGCCATGTTTTAATATTTTTGCCATTTATTTTATCATTTCAGAACGGCACGTTTGTCTCAATCCCAATGTTCTTCAACTTTGCATTCAAGCTGATTTGGGGAATGACGGTTGATAAGCTGAAAGAGAGAAAAATCTTGACGCCGACTCAATCCGTCAAGATTTCTCAGTGTCTGCGTTAGTTTTCAATTTTTTTTTTTGAAACAGAGAAATGATCTGCAGTACCGTCAAGAAAATAATTGAATCAATTTCTTTTTTCAAAATTTGAAATTTCAGAATGTTTTTTGGGTAATTTTGATTGTAAGGGCTGTTCTACTGGGAATAAAAAAAAAGCTAATTTGGGCTTTTAAGCCTGAAACGGATATTTTTTCAGCTTCGATCATTTCGAACTTATTATATTTAATTTTTCAGCCTCCTTCGGAACTGCGATATCGCTAACTCTGATAGTCTTGTTCGTGAATTGCGAAAGACCGGCCTTGGCTTTGTTCCTCTTCGTGATGGTCAACGTGTGCATCGGTGCTCATACTAGGCAAGGATTCAATAAAAATAACTTGCGAGATAAAGACGATATCGCTTGCGAAACTCGCGAACATGTCGCTCTGTTCTTTCGCGGGTCTTGCATTCTTTTTTTAGGACACGACCTTGCTTTTTGGAAATTTCCTTTTTTTTTTGAAGGCGTCAGAAAAGCGAAAGAGACACGAGATCCTTGCGAAGACAGTGACGTTTTTGCGATATCGTCTTTCGCGCTAAACTCGGCAGTTTTCTTTGGGGTTGAAAGATGGAAGTTAATGATAAAAGCTGCTCATTCAGTGGAGCCTACACCTCGCTGCTCTCGTTGGCCCCGCAGCTGACCGCCTCGATGTCGTCGATCAGCATCGCCATGTCGATGATCGGCCAGCTCATGACGCCCTTCATCGTCGGCGCCTTCAACACCTCTGTTCGCCTTTCTAATCAAACATGAAATCCTGAGATATTTCAGGGCACAAAAGCTGAATGGAACATGGTTCTAATTGTGGTCGCTGGGATGAGCGTTGTAGCCGGCGTGGTCTTCACCATTTTCGGATCTGGTGCGAGATTTTATACTGGCTATCTTGAAATTTTTCATTGGACCGAGAATGGGAAAAATTTCGAAAAAAGAGATTCTAGGCTTATTTTTTTCGAATCCTTATTGCTAGGAACTTCCTAGGACCTCGGTAACGCAGTTTTAGGGGTCACTTAAGAGAGCCGCTGAAGGGATCATTCTCCAAAACGTCCGGTTTGCGTTACCGAGGTCTCTATCCGCTGAAACCTCTGAATTTAAAGTCGGAAATGGCCAGGTTGTATTCGGAAAAAGGAACAGAAAAATATAAATAACATTTTCATTAAGAAATAACCAAATAAAATCAGTGAATTACAAACAGGGAAAAAAATTTCATCGTTTTCTACAAATCAGAGAGAGGCAGATCTTTTGGAATGTGCTTATATTCGTCCGTATCATCATCATAATCGCTCTGGTCGTCGTAGGCTTCTTCTTGATAGGCCTCGAGGCTTTCCGATGCATCTTGAGATGCTCCATAACCGTGACGTTCGTCCATGTCCAAAGACCATATTAGCTCGCTGAACAACCTTATGTTACTAACTTTGGTTTCAAATACGTTTTCTTCACCGATCCTCCTTGTTGCTCATCGCAATCAGTAGAAGAGAGCGTGCCGACGACAGACTGAGCAAGGAGCTCTTTTTATTCGAGTCAAGAATACCCGCTGACCTAAAAGAGTTAATTGAAAAAGCAATCCAAGGTTAGCACTGACGAGAAAATACGTTCCGCATCGCAGCTAGAAGCAGGAACACAAAGAAATCGTCTCGACATTTTCTCCAGAGTTGGGTACAACGTTTTGTGTGCCGCCCACCAATCGAAGACCACACTGTTGACCTCAGGTCGGAAATCATGAACAAGACGTTGTCTATAATTCTCGAACTCGAGCTAAAATTTGAAAAAAAAAAACTTTAGAAAGGATAATGCTGCAAGTACCTTCAATGAGTCAGTCGTTCTTCTGTGTATTTGAGAAGGACTAGAAAAAAACGAAAACTCTTTTTTTGGTTCTTCCTTGATAATTTTTGGCGTGGCCTGTTTTTTGGCTGCTGAAGTAGCAATAAAGTTTTTGTGTAAAATAAAACTGAAAACCTTCCTCCGCCACAATTTGCAAAACGGTGTTGCTCCATTCTTCTTCGGTCAAGATTTGATGATTGAAGGCGAATCGCGGGTCGAATAAGGAAGCCTTTTGCAAATAGGCTGAGGAGAAAATCTCAGCGCAGTACTGCTCCACATTCTGACACAGATCTTGGGAGAACAGAGAGAATGGCGGTTCAGTTGGTAGTCTGGGAACAAAAATTTTTCTGAGAAACGGATATCCGTTCATACTGTGACAGTTCGTGGAGTAAGTACTTCAGCCAAGGCAGAACCAACGACACGGTGCTGTCAGAAGCAGAAAACTGCACATTTTCCCATGAATAACTTTGAAAAAGTTTGTTCTTCACATCATACCGTTCGGGCGATTCGGTTGAAAGGCTCCAACGCTAGCCGGAGGCTCTTCATAAGCTCTCTTTCTTCCTCAGACAACGCCTCGAGCCCCTCGTTCTCTAACATCTCGTTGTACGCGACAAACTGTAAAGCCTAAAGGTCACCGATCTAGTCCGAAACAACACACCGATGTCTCAACGTCACTGAGCATTTGAAAAAAGCTGTTCCACCTGTTCTGAACATCGTCCGTCGGTATCGCCTTTGGCAAACTCTTCTCGGTGTAATAACTGAAACGAAGAATGAGTTTTAATTTGGCGACATAGCCTAAGATATACCGTTGATATTTGTCTCGGTAAGACTCAGTGCGGTCAAGCCTCTGCACACATCTTTTCATTTTGTTTCGAACATTCTCGATGGCTTCGACTCTCAGAGTTCTTTGAACAATGAGGTCTAACAAGTTAGAAGCACAGGGAACACTAGTAAATGTCTTATTTTTATCAAAACCTTTGAAGTTTGAATAATACCTTCTCAGTCCCATGTCAGTTACCGCCTTCTCCCCGTTCGCCGTTCCATTATGTACTACTACCGAGACTTTTGACCTGATCTCAAGTTCATTCAGCAAACATTCCAGGCCCTCTTTGATCGTGTCTGCTTCCTGACTGTGATTTAAAAAAATATTTGGAAATAATTAGATAAAAAACGTTTCAGTAGTGAAGACGTCTAAAATTTTGTTGCAGCGCTGTCCTTCGTTAAAGAAGTGGCCCGTGAGCACATGCATCTGAATATGAACACTTGGTTTTTTTTTCCGAAAGTCTTCACTTACTGTTACATTACGACTCGTCCATGAATCCGTTGTGAGAGCGATATCAGCTACTTTCTCATCTCCCAGCGTATCTTTAATTTCTTTTTGGACTTCCGAAGCCATCTCTTCCGCCTTTGTCATCAGTGTGTTGGCGGATGGCACCTGAACCATAGTTAATTTTTTACTTTTTTATAACGTTTTGCTAACTCACAGTGTAATCCTTGTTCAAAGACCTGGAGTATTCGGAGAACTCTCTGCTCTGCGTCACGTCCACTGAGACTCCACATCCAGCAACAAGCTTGACAAGAAGCTCGGTGGACAGGTTCCACCCATCGTTTGTCATCTTTGTGGATGTTGGAACGTTCTCATTTGGAAGTTTCTTATCCTTAATCTTTAATAGTTTTTTTCTTGAAAAAAACCACACTAAACCTCGACTTCTTGCTGATTTTGCCCGAGCCGTGGCAGTTCTTCCGGGTGGTACGTTCGCATGTGCGACCATAAGTGACTTGTACCCCATCGCTTATTCTTGTAACTTCTTCTGCACCTCTTACAAAATACCACCTCGTCACCTATGTCGAACTCGTCCCACACTACTGAACGCATTCCCTAAAACAGAAAAAAGTTTTTAGAAATAACGCATAAATATCATTTTGAGGCTATAAAATTGAAACATAAACGTAACTTACTCTTTTCCTCAAAAGAAAAGGACTCGTCGAACTTGGCAGGAACATGCGGTTGGAGGGAAGGAGAGCTCTCTAAAATTATCGCTACGTCTAAAATATTCAACGTGTCAAAGTATAGAAAATGAACGAAAGAACGAAAGAACGAAATTTTCACTGAACGGCCATTTACGAGTGACATTTCGAACGATCGAAAAACGAACGACCTTCAAGAATGACATTTCGAACGGTCAAAAATCAATGTGTCACTCTGAAGTGACATATTAAAATTAAAGTTCTCAAAACCGAACGTTCAAAAAATGACCGTTTAAAAAAATAAACTTTTCAATTTTTCGAAAGTTTACGGATCAAAGTTCTCAAAACCAAACGTTCGAACGAACGTTCAACCAAACATTTTTCAAACTTTCATTAAAACCGATCTTTGATTGAAATTTCGAAATCGAACGTTCGATAGGAACAAATATTCATTCAATGTTTGAAAAAAATTTGATCGAAAGAACAAACTTTCCTTTTCGTTTGAAAAAATTTGGTTGAAAACGCCAACGTTCGTATGAGGAGGGAAAAATTTGATCGATAAAGCAAGCGTTTGTTTTCGTTTGACGAATGTTTGGTCAAAAAACCAAACGTTTGTTTATCGGTTGGAAAACGTTTGGTCATAACTTGAACGATTTGATCGCGACCGTTTTCGGTCAATGTTTGAAAAATGAAATAGTTTCGAAATTTTGAAAACAAACTTGTTCATGTTTTCAACATTTCTTTTTCATAAACAAGGCAAGAATTTTGACAAAGCGGAAGTGAAAGGAAAGGCATGTTTTTGGATTTTTCCCGAGAAGCAGAAGCTGTTTGTGAAAGATTAATATTTTTTAATTTCGCCTAAAGAGGAACCTAAGTCAGTGCCTCAAATAAAGGTGCGTATTGGAAATGAGATGGATTGGAGCTGAACAAAATGATCGAGAGACTAAATTAAATGTTTGAAATATAAACAGAAATTTGTTTTCAAATGTAGTTCGCGAAAAAAATTTCAAATAAATGTTCAATCAAACTTATCCGAGTTCTAATTGAAATTTGAACTCCAAGTTTTTGTCAAAACAAACTTTTTTTTCATTGTTCCAAAAAGAAACTTTTGTTTTCGTGTGACAAAAGTTTGATAAAAATAACAAACGTTCGTTTATCGATTGGAAAAAGTTCGATCGAAGAAGCGAACTTGTTTTTTCGTTTGACATTTGAAAAACATTTGATCAAAATAACAAACGTTCGTTTTTCGGTCGTAAAACGTTCGATCATGACTCGAACGATTTGAATGTGACCGTTTTCGATTAATGTTTGAAAAATAAAATTGTTACGAAATGTTGAAAAGCAAACCTTTTCATGTTTTTCAAACTTTTCATTTTTTTCAATGTTGGTTTTGAGAACTTTATTACGGATATATCATCACAAACGTTCAACCAAAAAGTGATTTAAAAAAGGAAATGTGAACGTTCATTTTTTCAACAAACTTTTTGCAAATGAAAAATGATCGTTCATTTTGGTTGAACGACCTTTCTGAAAATGAAAAGTGAACGTTCATTTTTTGAACGGCCTTTTTACGAACGGGAAATGAACTTTCATTTTGGTTGAACGTTCAAAAGCGAACTTTAAGAAAATGACATTCTTGAACAGAACGCTCATTTCAAACTTTATGCCGTGTTCGAAGTAATTTCCGCGAAATGGAAAATGGTCTCTGACTCTCCAAAATTTAGTTTTCTTTTCTTTACTTTAACGGGTGTTTTGCATTTAGCGGAATCACTTTGTACATGGCATTAACCAAAAGTTTCGTTTCAACATTTTTTTCGAAAAATGTTTGGTCGAACGTTTGTAAGAACGTTTGGTTTTTAGAAAATCTAATTGGAATGTTGAAACTCCAACCGTTCGACCAATGACCATTTATTATGACATGTTGAAAAAATATTGGTCTAGCGGTCAATTTTCGAAACTATAAAACAAATTTTTTTTCTTTGCTTACGCTTCATTTTTTGACTTCGTTTTTCTAGCTTTTAGGTCAATAATGTAGTGTAATTGAAGGATCATCGCCGCGCGCGATAATTAATTAACGCAAAAAGGTACGGTGACAGTTAACCGCTTTGACTTTCAAAATCTGAACAGACCATATAAAAAGACGTCTGCCATCTTCCACCTCTGGTTCAAACTGTAATTTTGGAGAGCTCTAGTGTAATGGCGTGAGAAAAAGGGCAATACTAGATCTCAAGAGACCACCCTAAGAACTGAATCATCTTCAGGAGACGTACAAGAGTTTGCCAAGTCCGACCTGGAGCCGACAATGGTCCAACTCACGACTATGGACGAAGATACGATGCTCCGCGTCCGTGTCGCCAGCCTTCGCGCAGAATCTTTCTCCATGCTTTGATCCATTCGAGAAATGGTAAGTACAGCCATCTTGTCACAGAAATCATCTTTCCTATATCCTATAAAAGCGTGACAAGGTGGCAGTGAATTGAGTATATATATATTGTTGAAAAATACGGGTTGGATAAAGCCTGATCTGGGACTAGTCTCCAGTTTAAATCGAGACTTTTTGATGAGACGAAAAGCACTTTTCACGCTGATTATGAATATTTTCTCTAAAATTGCCGAGAGGATCTTAAAAAAACGTAGAAAATCTTTGCAATTGAAAAAAGAGCTGGTTGAAACAGTACAGTTTTTCGAGAATGTGGGCATTTTTAAAACATAAAAGCCCTAAGAAGGTTCAGAAAACCGAAAATTAAACAATCATTCACTTTCGAAGGATGAACTAGAAAACCCTTCTAAAAAGGAACTCCATTTTTTTTTAACGTCACATCTTTTTTCCCAGACCTCTTTGACAGTTCTTGAGATCGGATCCGGAATCAACGTTGAAAAATATTTTTCATGGACTTTTACTTGACAATAGTATAAATTGAAGTCATTCCCCTGTTTACCTTTTCCAAGCAATACCTGAGCTTACAATTTTTAACGCAAATTGTTATCCTGATTTTCCATCAATCCCAATTTACAATGTATACAGTTATTTTTCAAGCCCATCCAAGAAAAAAATTTTTTAAATATGAGAATGTTTTTATTGGCATTTTTCACACAACGGATGCAAGAAGAATTTCATACTCGTGTTTATCATCTTTCGCTAGCTTTTTCATCTTTTTATCTAAAAAAAAATTGATCATACAATCAAAAAAATAAACCCGATTCGAACCATCTGCTGAAGCGCACGTTTTCTTTCCGACTCGTGCATGGTGGCCTGGAAGTTCGAAATTGTGAATGAAAATTGAAAGGAATGGAAAACTCACATTTGAAGATGGTACCTCGCCTCTCAGTGACTGAAAATTGAAGTTTTGGGTTTGAGGAAATTTACAATAATATCAGAAAATTGACAAAGAACAGACCGGGTTTTCGGGTATTTTGGCCGTCTTGGTGCTCGGCATGTTATTCCGCTGCCGCTGTTTAGCCGCCGCCGCCGGCTGTGCTGTCGTACGCTTTTCGGCCTTTCCGGCCCCCTTTTTGAATTCTTTCTCCCCGTTATCTTTTGACTTTGCCTCCACCGATTTGGTCTAGAAAATTATATAGTTAGATGTTCTACTTTCAAAATAATTAGTTGAGGATGCAGTAGGCTCAGCTTTTCACATGACCTCAAGCTTGGGCTCAGAAAATGCAAGTCTTCGAAATCAATTATGGGGGTTAAAATAAAGTTAAAATTTGTTTAAAAAAAGTGGAAATTCGGAAAATTTACTTCGATTAAGCTCATTTTGCAGCTGGTGTCAGTGATCACGAGAACTGCGAATTTTTTTTGAGGCCAATTTGACTCAAGATTTTTTATAGTTGCTCTACTAAATTGAGTAAATCGTGTTTTTTGATCGATTATGGGCTTCTATAACTTTTTTCCCAGATGAATTGTGCAGCTTTCGAGCAGAGATCCGGAATCAGCTTGAGAAATCGCATCGGGTGCTTTTTTTTATGAACTTAGAAGAAATCAAAAATTTTCACACTAGTCCGAAAAAACAAACGGCGACGAACATTCTCAACAGATTGGGAGTTGGAGACGGTGTTGTGCTTGGAGTTCTTGGAAGTCGAAGTGGCACCAGAAATCGTGTGGTTCTTGTCCCGGTTCAGCCGTTTGTCCCCTTTCTTCGAGTCCCTACTTCGGCATCCGGAGACGGCCGTCAACGCTGTCGCCGTCCACACAACTGCCCACAAGAGAATCATCAATTCGAAATGCCTTTTTGTTCTCTATTGACGTCAACACTACGTCAATCTTTTTTACAATATTTGTTTTCAAGATGAAGCTTAAGGGGTTCATCGTGCTTTTGGACAATAAAGTTATCACTCAAGTGGGGTTCGCTCCTCTTTGAACCCCTTTTGAAGGAGTCAGGCGTCTTTCTCACAACTTCCTTATACGGAGTGCAGTCTTTTTAAAACTCTATAAAGCTACCTTTTTTTTTCTCTTGCAATTGAAATTCACCCGAGGTTCCTAATTACTGTAATCACAACTCCAAAAAGTTCCAAAAGGATTGGATTCCATACAAGTAAATTATGATCAAAAAAGCGTGTTTTCGAATATTTTCAGACGGAACTGTATGCTTATTTCATTAAGAAACATGTTTTTTCAAAGGATTATCAGGTTTTTATTTAATTTTTGAATATGAAGTAAGGTTAGACAGTCAGAATGAGGAAAAAGCCAATTACTTTTTTTATTTTTTTCTTGGAAACTTTAGAAAAAAATGCTAAAATTTCTTTTATAAAATTTGGTCATCCTGCAGAAAAATAAAGCGAGTATTTTTGTTCTGGGAAAAATATAACTTTTGCACTGTTACAAAATTCCTCGTGAATCATTCCGACGTTCACTGGATCTTACTATTGGAGAAGCCCCAGTCGCGATGTTGTTTTTGGCTGCTTTACACCGAAAAAAGGTTCGGCCTTGGATGGTTGTTGATATGGGAAGGGGGCGGGTAGATAAGATCTGAAAAAGAGGAAGTGTCGTTGAGCAGCATTGGCGCGCCGCCAAAAGCGAAAGCGCTGTTGTTTCTGTCGATTTCTCACTTTCACTTCGCTATCGATGCTCACAAAACCTATACTGAATTGACCTTGGCGGGATACTCGGAATAGTTTAAAGTTTTTCTCCCAAATTTATCGGTGCCATCAAGTGAGAGTTAGGTTTCGCCACGTTGAAAGTGAATGACATGAGGTGGAGAAGCTATAGTTCAAAGTTCGTGATGCCTTTAAGAAAGTTTTTATTTAATTTCTCCCAATCAATACGCAGTTCTACCAGAAACTTTTTTTCAAATTTTTCGAAAAATTTTTTTGCAGGGGTTTTGAAAGGGGCAGAAATTTTGATGCCTTGCTCAAAGAAATCTAAGTGTTTTAAAAATTGATGAGGGTTTCCTTCAAAATGAAAAAAAAACTTGGAATTTTCGGAGCGTGCAGTAAAATAGGATCCCACAACGAGATGGCGAATTTTACGCGCGAGTTCAAAATTCAAGTTCCGAACTCCAAAATTTGGAGTTTTCACGCGTAGAAATCGCTATGCCGTTTTAGAACCCTATTTTTTCGCGGCTCTCTAAATTTCTTTCTTCGTGTTTTGCGAAAAAATTTCACACGAAATCGCTGAAATCACTTTGAACACGAAATGGATGTCAAAAAAAAAACACCAAATACGTCTGGCCTTTGAAAAGCCAAGGAGGAACTAACCAACTTTTTGAATCATTTCACCCTCAAAATTTAATACCCGTCAAAATTCAAGACATGCATCCTCGGACCAGGATTCATTAATCCACGGTAAGATTTCGCTCACCGATTGCGCAACCATTATTTTTTATCCACGGAGGTGACAAAAAGCGCGACGAAACTTGCTGCCGCGCCGTGTTTTGAGAAGAAAACTGAAAATCCTCCAGCGCCAGTGGCAGAGGAGGTACCAATAAAAAAAAAGGAAGCATATGAAGGCCTGACGGCAGGAGGAAGCGTTTGATCGCTGGGGCTTTAGAAGGCCACTTCAGGGTCTGCTGATGGCGACCACATCCGATCAAATTGGATTTGGGTTGGAACTAATGGTCTGTCTGTAAAAAAGTGATCTTTTCTTCAGTCTTCCGAACTTTGAAAGTCACCGCCAACTTGCGTAAAATTCAATAAACTCCTAATAAAAACGAGAGAATAATACGAGAGAATAATAACCTCCTTATTTTTTTCAGAATATTAAAAAAATTTTTTTATTGGTACCTTCTCTGCCACTGGCGCGGGGGGATTTTTCAGTTTTTCATATCCAAAAAGAACAATTTTTTTGAATAGTTCATTTATGGCAGGTTCAACGGCTGACATGAGAATGTTTCAAGCAGATCATCGATCATTTTCCAAAAATCGGAAATAAAAATCCATTTGCAGTATCACACGAAAGTTCTGCGTTTTGAAACGCCACACAAGGAATTTTCGAACAAGCAGGAAAAAAGCTAGAATTTTTCAATGAAAGGTTTTCCAGGGCGATTTCAGAGCTACGTCCCACAAAAAAATCGTCAGATACGTTTTATTTGCATGTACCGCCGACGAAAATTAACATACTACTGATATTTTCACAATTTCTAAATGCCGTTCAAAAAGTTTTTTCAAAAATTTGAGGATGAAAAATTGCCTGAAAACAGCATTTTTTACTTTTCAACATTCTTTTCATTTGAGACTTCCAACTTCTCCAAATTTCTATCAAAAAACACCAAACTTCAATGAAACCTTTACGACCCACGCTTTTTTCGCTATAGCAAAGCTGTGAACAATGCGACATGAAAGACAAAAAAAACGTGAATCCAATCGGACTGTTTTACACAGAAAGCGTTGCGTACGATAGACTATGATATTGTGTAAAAATTTGACAACAGAAAAAAAAGTTGCCGAATAAACGTTTGCCCCTTGTTATCAATCTTATCGCCAAGGCTTCATCACTTCCTCTTTTTCATCTTTTGCGCAGATAAGACGAAAGCCTCGAACGATTATCAATTGGAACGTGATTTCTCCGATTGGCAGGTGTTCTTGAAAGATAAATTTGGGCATGAGAAGAAATACACGTTCGAAAGATTGAAACAGCAGAGCATAAGTATTGGATTTTAGTAAAAGAAACTTCTGTATATCACCGCCCGGATGGTCTGAAGACTGGTAAAAGTTCTTCCTGGAAAGAATTTGAAAAAAAAAGACAAACTATATCTTGAAATTTTTTCCCAATAAGTGAGTTGAATTCCGATAAAAAACGAAATTCCGTCTTTGCTTGATTTGTGAGTGACTTACAAGAGCCCTAACGTTTTGAAAAGAATTTACAAGCGGACAATACCAAAATCTGCTCAGTTGTAAAGAAAAATAAAAATAATATTACAAATTAAAATGAGAGAAACAAAAAGTTTCAAAAATGACTGAAAAAAAGACGCAAGCCTGCGTCAAGTTCGCTCCTTGGCAAACTCCTGAAATTTTTTTTCAACAAAAACTTTTTCTATTTTTGTCAATTTCTTGTTTTTATGTCATTGTTTTATTGCAGAAATCTTCCAACTACGTGAATTTGAAACGTTGAAAAGAGTGTATAAGAAATTACATGTTTTCCGAGCAATTTCAAAAGGTTTTTTTGTATCTTGAATAAAAGTTCGAATTTGAAGTCATTTCCAGGATGAAAGTTTTTTAACGACGGATGATGCTTCGCGAGCATGTTTTCGGACAATGGAATCGTTTTAGCTGAGAAGATTTTGAGGTGCGTCCTTTTTAAAACTTTTTTTCCCATGTATTTTTCATTTCCCTTCAATTTTCTCATCCTCACACAAGACCACGACTCAATCATAAGCCGAGAGTACTAAAAAAGGGAAATTAAACATGCCGTAAAGCATAACAATCAAATAAAGTCTCGGCGTTCTTGCCCGAGGCTATAAAATCTGGGAAAAATGAAGCGTAGCGAACCGGACACGGGATTCCATGCATATGGGGGAGACCTTAATATGATTTCACGTTGACTATGTACTTTCCAATCGTTTTTCCTCTCCTCTTTTGCATTGAAAAGCTCGTAAAACGTGGTGACGGGGTGGTGGTTGTTGATTCGCTCGGTTTGGCTGCAAATGAGGTGAACAGACGATTTTCGATGCGGGGATGTTGATGCAAGCTGAGGATTCAGTTTCTTTTCAACTTGAGAAAGTTTTTAAAGAAGGAAGAATATTCATTAAAAGTTTTTTTTAGAGAATTAGATGTTAGTTTACGATTTTTGGTATGTTTTAATTTACAGGGGGATTTTGATGCTTGTAGTGTTTTTTCGGCCCTGCGAACGCTAACTGGACGCACTCTAACGTGTTGGAGCATTTCTAGTGAGTACTTCAGCGGCATCAGCACTCTTAAGTGATTCCCTAGAATTGCTGTATCGTACAGATCTCGCTACCGAAGTCTGAGCTACGTTCAAAAATCCTTCCCGGTGATTTTGAGAGCGCAGAAACCTCTAATGATTGAAAAGACAAAAAAGCACCATTAGCTTTGAGAATTCATAAGTTTTGTCTTTACCCCTTCACTGTAGGGATTTTTTGAACATATTCATTAGAATTTCATGTTCGATTCGTTTATGGAAAGATATCCAATATTCTCGCTTTTTTCAAGTTTTTTCAACAGAAATCATTATTTCAAATCTAACAGCTGGACGGTAGAAACGGCTAGAGAAAAAGATTATATGATGCGAATTTCTTTTTTTTTTTTGATTTGGGACGTGTTCGTTCAAAAACCCCAGCAACTTTTCCAAGCAAAGTACTTTTCCTCGAAGAATTCACTGATTGGAAACATCGGACTACGATAAATAGCCTTTTAAGCGCGATTTCACGCATTCCGACGACAAATTGCTCGGATTGAAACGATTTCCAATTCGGATCAAGCATTAACACCATGTAGAAAACGAAACGTTCGGCCGTCAGAAACCAATTATTAGCGAACAATTGGCCTGGGAAGTCGCCAATTTCGGCCCCGGAGGGCGAGCGATCGCTTTTGTTGGATTTGGGCGCCTGGAAGCTGGGAACTGTCCTTCCTTCTCCGTTTCCATTTAACCCTTTTTTGTTCTTTTCTTTGTTTTTAATTTATTTGTTTTTTCCTCTTACTTTATGTTCGTAATATGGGGAAAGAAGTTATTTTTTCAGTAGTTTGATCATTTTGGGGTCTCAATAGGCTGACTAGGTACTCAGAACACTTTCAAAATTTTTGAATCTTTGTAGAAAAAATGTGGATTCTTCAAAGCATTGTTTACAGTGTTAAAAGATCATCAATCCTATTTTTCTAGTCCATTTAATCATTCTCCAGTAATTAACTTTGAGAAAGGCTATTTTCTCTAGTATATTCGCTGTACTTCCGGGTTTAAATTTTTTTTTTCCAATTCGAATAATCTTAAAAATGTTTGAATCAGGGTTCAAGGTCCGTAAACAGGTCAAAACTCAGGTTTATTTTTATTTCGTGTTTTTTTATTCTAATGAGAAGTCTGGCACGGTTTTAAGTTAGGATGGCTCGTTTCGAGACCATTTTCATGCTTTCTTTGAAAATCCAGTAAGAGATTATCAACAAACTCGGTGCAAAAAGAGTACCGTAAACCAGTGATTTTTTCCTCGATTCAAAAAGCTATGCGAGAGAGAAAAAAAAGGTTGCAAAAACGGCAAACATTGGTGCTGGCGATAGCCATTGCCATTCATTTTGGCATTGTCAAGTCCGATCTAAAAATCCAGTTTGTTTTTCTGCGTTGGTGAAAGGCAAAAAAGGTTCAAGGGTTGCGTGGGCGGAGCCAAGGCTTTTCGAAGGAGGAGAGGTACGGGCGCGCAGGAGGCTTTGGCGCGACAGGCGGCCCCATCGGTATAAAACGAGCGCCGTCGGCAGCGGAATCCGCACCGTCATGCACTCCGACAACCACGACGAGAAGAAGCTGTGGCTCGAGGCCGAGAGCCTCCGCCGCATCGCCTTCTTCGGCATCTGCATCAGGTGAGATATTTAGTTTCCTTATTCAAATTTCAAGTATTGAGTGAAGTTATAGACTTCAGAGTTTTTTGAAAATTTCGTCAAGGGTTCCTAGTTATGTTTCTCTAAAATAAGGCTCCTCTTTGGATTTTTGGGTGACTCCTGAGTTCTTAAATGATTAGAGTACTCTGAGACTTTCCCCAGGGATTTTTTTATTTTTTTCTTTCGAATATTCATAATTGAGCTGTATTTTATAATTTTGGATCACTCGTTCAGTTTTTCGACTTGTTAGTTGTGTATCGATTCAGCCTCTTTTTGTTTATTTTTTCAAAGTTTTCCTTTTCAAAGATTTTAAAAATGTTTTATACCAATCAAATTTAGTAAGATGAATGATTTTAACGCTTCACGGTTGCTGTGAAAGGCTGTTATCTTGTCAATTAATTTACTATATCACTTGCAATTTCTGAAAATGTTTGTTCGAAATGCTTATTATTGGATTTTAGTTTCATTTTAACTTTTCAATCATTTCGAAAATTTTTTTAAGCTTTTTTTCAGATCTTTTTAATGAACACGTTACTGTAATTCTTTCGTTTTCAAAACTTTCTTGTCAACCGATTCTGAAAAAACTTCTATTTCTCGTACAGAAGATAAATTTACAGTCTATTCTATAGAAAATCTTTACTGAGGTTATATAGGATGAGCATGCTCAGCTTTCAAACAAAAGAAAACCTTTGCAAAGGTTGAAAAAACAAACTAACGATCTTCAAGTAGATAAAAAAATATCTGAGTATCCGATTTTGCAGCACCGTCGCGACGTTGACGGCCATCGTGGCGATCCCATCGCTGTACAACTACATGCAGCACGTTCAGTCGACCCTCCAAACCGAAGTCGACTTCTGCAAGCACCGCACCAACGGCCTCTTCGACCAGTATGAGCGCATGCAGCAGATCAAGGGCGTCCGAGGAAACCTCGTCGTCAAGCGTCAGGCCGGCTACGGCGCCCCCGCCGAGTACGGAGACCAAGCCGTCCACGGAAGCCAAGCCTCGTCTGGCGGATCTTGCTGCTCTTGCAAGACCGGCGCCGCTGGACCCCCAGGACCACCAGGAACTGACGGAAGAGACGGAAAGGACGGTCTTCCCGGACCTGACGGTCAGCCAGGCTCTGACGCCGAGCCAGACGCGCAGCCAACCGCCGACGACTTCTGCTTCGACTGCCCAGCCGGACCACCAGGACCAGCCGGAAACCCAGGACCAAAGGGAGCTCCAGGAAACAACGGCGCTGACGGACAGCCAGGATCCGATGGTCAGCCAGGAGCCGCCGGACAAGCTGGACCTCCAGGACCAGCCGGACCTGATGGACAGCCAGGAGCCGCCGGAGAGGCCGGAGCACCAGGAGTCGTTGAAGAGGTGAGAAAATGAGAGCAACTTCTGAATCTTATCAACTTATTTGCAGGTCTCTGTCCCAGCTGGACCCCCAGGACCAGCCGGAGCTCCAGGAGCCCCAGGACCAGACGGACAGCCAGGAGCCCCAGGAAACGCCGGACAGGACGGACCACAGGGACCACCCGGAGACGCCGGATCCGACGGAGCGCCTGGCCAGCCAGGACAGCCCGGAGAGCAAGGACAAGCCGGAGAGCCAGGAGCCGGCGGCGGCTGCGACCACTGCCCACCACCACGCACCGCGCCTGGATATTAATCGCCGACTTGAGGCTGTTGTTGTCTCTACATTTTTCCTGTATATTCATTGCTCGTTGCTCAACCATGATGCTCAAAAAATAAACGTATTCTCTTTCTCTCTATCTTGATTGAAAGAAACAAAACGAGAAGCAAGCCGATCCGACACCGATTTCGATTTTCCAGCCGAACGAAGCGCGCCCCGAAGCGGTTTTACGCTAGCTGCAGCAGCAGGCGAAGAAGCAGCAAAAAAAAGAAAAAGAAAAACGAAAGAAGGCCACCGGCTGATGGCATTGCGAGGCGTCGAACGATGGCAAATCACCTTGCCAATCACAGCAAAAAGCGCTGGACTGGCTGCAGCTTGCGTCATTTCATTTACAGCGAAATTAGTCGACCCTTCTCACTTTTATTCCGCGGGTGAAGGAATGGAGAATCGAGGTGGTTGGGAAAACAAGCATGACTTTGAGTAATTTCAAGAATACTCTTAGAAAAATTAAGAAACTCATAAAATTGGCGTGTCTTTGCTCAGTTTCTTTCTTGATACATAAAATGAAGCTTCTGGTGTGAATTTGATACCTTACTTGGTTGTGAAATTGGACTATAAAGATAATGAGAAGCCTGAAGATTGAAAATATTTTGTATTTCTTTAGAATAGACGCGTTTGAGATATCTTCCTTTTTAAAATTTTCATAATTTGACCCAGTCGCCGCTGTTTTCCTTGTTTTTTGATTAGAAAGAAGATTTTGAGAGAAGCAGTAATATAGTGCTTTATTTGTATCTGAAAACAAAAAGAAGAAAAATATATATTACATTTTCTTCGAGACTTTATCACAGCTCAATCTTCACTGTTTTGAACTGACACTAGAAAAAAAAATCAAGAATTATTTGGATTTTCATAAAAACTTATGGGTAGGCCCTTGCTGCATTTAAAGGCTCTTTAGAATATTTCAAAGTTAAAAAAAAATTAACTTTCCTTGCTGGGTAATTTTTAGCTTTTCTTTCCACACTCGGACTTTCAAATACCTTCACCAAAACTTCATACAGTATAAAGATGAAACAAGTTCAGTGCCATCAAGTTTGTTTTTATCATCTAAAACCAAGTTGAAAGCACCGATTTGATTGGCTTTGAATAGCCGTACACTTTTATATCATGACGGAAACCTGTTGTTATATATATTTACCTGGCCGCGCGTTTTCTTTGAACAGAACTAACGGAACAAAAAAAGCAACAAAAACGGTTTTTGGCCGGCGATTATCCCGTCAGCCTGGACAATGGCGGGCATTCTTCTGCCTTCTTTTCTCCTTTTTGATTCAAGTTGCGATAATTTTTGGGCTGGATGTTCATTTTCTCAAAAGCTATGGTTGATTCGAATCATTTTGCGAATTTTCTTATCACCACTAGAAGTCAGAGAGTTCAAAAGATCAGGAAGATTTATAAAAAGTAAAACGCTCAGATTCAAAGAAAAATCATTGAAAACCAATGAAATAGCCAATTTCGACTTCGGGGGCTCATCTACGTCAAAAATTAAGAATTTTTCTTAAATTCTGTTTCGATTTCCGAAAAAAACGGAAAATAAAATTGACTTCCTTGTAGGGAAAGGTGCTGGAACTCTAAAAAAAAAAGGTGAAGCCATTAAGAAAACCTCTTCAGCGTTTTTGAAGACGCAGAAGTGGCCCTGGCCACGGTCACGTTTTCGGTACCTAGAAGGAAAAACTTTACCGTAATCGAAGATTTTTTAGAGTTTTCTCTTCAAGACGTCTAAAATGCGAATAAAAACAGAACATTTCGCATGTCGCGCATCACACTTTTTTTTCCGAATTTTTATGCCGTGTTCAAAGTAATTTGCGTGAAATGCAAAATTATCTCTGACCCTCCAAATTTTAATTTTTTTTTCTCTCTGACGGCTTTTTTTCATTTCGCGGAATCACTTTGAACACGTAATTAAATTGGCAAACTTCTGAAGATATGAAAATTAGAAATGAAGCAATTCATTCAAAAGTTTCTGTTCCACGTCGTTTCACGTAATTTTTTTTGAACTCTAATCACTGCAACGTTGATCAAACATTAGTAAAAAGCCTTCGAAACCTCTCCTTTTCGTAAACTGTCTAGCTCTTCATGTAAAGACCCAAGCCAGCGTTGAATAAACTATAACCAACCGCAAGAAGGGCAAAAATCAACTTCGACGCTCCATCCACATCAGGATCAAACTTGAAACAGCCTATCTTTCAAATTAGCCTCCCAAAGCCCGGAAAAAGGCCAGCGTAAACAAAAACAAAAGAGATGTGACGCCGGTTTCTGGCTGCCGAATTGGGCGCTTTTTTCGGGAGTTCCTCTTTCTGCCCGAGGCGAGGATCCTCGCGTGTAAACTTCGGAGAGGCCTTTGTGTGGGCTGGCAAAAGGTGTACGGCGTTTTGGTTGAGAAACTTGGTAAGCGACCGACGGCAGGACGTTATTTTTCTTTTCTTCTCTGTGTCGGTTTTTTGCCTGGATGTCAGAGGGCGGCCGGGAACCGTTCTGCTCGGCCCTATAAAGGGGCCGTCCGATGGAGTAACCACCGACCAAGCAATGGACGAGAAGCGGCGCCTCATCGTCAGCAAGGAGATCGACGGCCTTCGTGGCGTCGCCTTCGTCGGCATTTCCGTCAGGTTCGTCCCTTCTTTTCATTCTCAAACTGCTATTAATTCACTTTCTGTATTTCTATACTAGATTATTCTTTTTTATTCAACTACGACTTTAATCTTCACTTTGACATTGGCCCTCTAAAAGACGGAAAATTCATTAGTAAAAACATTTTTGATAAATTTTCCAAGCTTGAAAAAAGTCCAACCTGTGACGGCCAGCAGTCATGTCTACTCAAAATCGAGAAAATTAGCTTCTTTAGACGAATATATTTCCACTTTCCGATAGATTTATCTATAGGAAAACGTTTGGCCCTTTCTCGAATTTCTATAATTTCCTTTCCTGTACTTTTTTTCATTTTAAAGTCATTTCTCATTTTCAATATTTCTTCTCGCAGTGGCAATTCTAAATAAAATTGAGAATGAGACTCTTGAAGTTAAAAACAAAAAATTCGGTGAAAACTAGAACATTTTTCAAAAAAATCGTTTTTTTCAATGCATTTTGGTTCTCAATTTTTTTTCAAATTTTCCTATAACATCCCCTGTATGTCTTTTTTTCTTCAAAAGCTCCCATCCATCAAATAATAAATGGATTTTCAGCATTGCCGCGACTTTGCTGGCGATCATCGCCTTCCCGGCCTTCTACAGCTACGTCCAGCACGTCCACTCTCGCCTGGAGACCGAGGTTCTCTTATTTATTCATGAAAAAATGAACAACTCATAGTTTTCAGGTCGACTTCTGCCGCCACCGTTCCATCGGCCTTCATGAACGATACGACGTCGTTCAGGAAGTGACCGGCGTCGAGTCGCGGTTCATCTCCAAGCGAGAAGTCCACCACCGAGGTTGGGAGTACAATTGATTCAGAACTTCAATTTTTCTCTTCAGTGACTGGATCGACCCGAACTCGCAATGTCCGCCGCAAGAAGGTAGTCCGCAGACGACAAGCCGAGTGCTGCTCCTGCGGAGCCGGATCTCCAGGACCCAACGGAGCTCCAGGAGCGCCAGGAAACGACGGACAGGACGGTCAGCCTGGAAAGCCTGGCCTTCCTGGCAACGACGGCTCCGACGACAGCTCTTCCGGCCCACAAGTCGAGGCCTGCTTCGACTGCCCCGAGGCTCCAGCTGGACCACCTGGACTTCCAGGACCAGACGGCCGACCAGGAAACGCCGGCCGACCAGGAAAGAGCGGCGGCAGCGGACGACCAGGACCACCAGGACCTGCTGGACCCGCTGGACAACCCGGACAGGATGGAGCTCCAGGAGACGACGGAGCTCCTGGTCAGCCAGGACAGACTCGCGAAGTTCCCGGCGCTCCCGGACCAGCTGGACAGCCTGGAGAGGCCGGAGAGCCTGGAGATGCTGGACCAGACGGACGGCCAGGACAAGACGGTCAACCAGGTCAAGATGGCCAGCCTGGAGCGCCAGGTAACGACGGAGCTCCTGGAGCCGATGGACAGCCGGGAGACGACGGCGCCGACGGTGAGAAGGGCTCCGGCGGCGGCTGCGACCACTGCCCACCGCCACGTACCGCTCCAGGATATTAAGAAGACGCTCCTGGAACTGTTGAAAAACCTCGTCTTTCCAACGCCAATCCTTTTTGGTTGTTCCCCTTTCCATGTACTGAAATAAAGCTTTAAAACTGGTTCATTGAGCATGGCACTTATGGCAAGAATTATCACAATTTCGAGAAGTGAATTGAACTTCGACATGAGGAAATTACTACAGAGACGTCTAAAACCCCTCTTAACTCATACTATTCAGCTAATCTTACTAGGGAATGGTCTCCATTCGCAGTGGGACTTCTGAATGAGACTAGGTTCACTAGATGTAGTTTTTCACGCTGATTCCATATCTGCTCTCAAAAACTGCCCTCGAAGCCTGTGAAAAAAGTTAGGGGCTCTCAAAGTCGAAAAATTCGATGTCTCCGATTGATCTCATTTTTAGAGGGTATATAGTCCTTGTTCCCCCGGTCACGAAAAATTTTTTTTGAAAATTTTGACACTCCAACTCCATGCTCATACACATGGAAAATCACGGAAAATTTCATTAAAAAAATTTGTGACAAAAATAATTTCAGCTGTTGGAATAGGTTCAAAACGCAGTGTTTTCGTGTTTATACGCCTCAAAACTCAAAAAAGGAGCAGTTAGACGAAAGTATCCAAAAAAGGAAAAATTGCAAAAAAAGTTTGCACAGCTTGGGCACCGAACCTATGACCTCGTGATCTCCAGTCCGCCGCCTTACCACTGCTCCTCGCTGCCGTTGCTTCGACAGCCGTCGGGTCGCCATAGGACACCGCGCTCGCATGCTCTTGTGTTAGGCGAGGCTTTTAAAGTTCATATCTGGGCTCCAGAAAATTTTCGAAAAAAATCAAATAGTTTTTCGTGACCGGGGGAACAAGGACTATATACCCTCTAAAAATGAGATCAATCGGAGACATCGAATTTTTCGACTTTGAGAGCCCCTAACTTTTTTCACAGGCCTCGAGGGCAGTTTTTGAAAGCAGATATGGAATCAGCGTGAAAAACTACATCTAGTGAACCTAGTCTCATTCAGAAGTCCCACTGCGAATGGAGACCATTCCCTAGTTAGGAAAATCGTCAGCATCTATATTTTTGAAATAAATGTTAAATGAACTACGTAAAACTACACGATTCGTTCAAAACATTCAAAGTTCAATGAAAAATTGATTCTAGAAAAAAAACACTAACTTCCCATTTCTTTCTAATATCACGGTTCGTATCAAAGTTACTGTAGATTACGGTGGAAACCGAATAATATTGTCCCCAGGAACTCCAATTTTCTTCGCCCAGTTCATTACATCTTTTTCCAGAGTCGCCTGCCCGCAAACTGCGATCTGAAAGTGGATTTTCTCCAAAAAATTTTTTTATTTTAAGCAAACCCCAATTTTCTCCAAACTTGAGGACTTGAAAAAGTTGAACTCTTCCGAAAATCCGGCTTCATCCAATCGGTTATTTTTCCATTTCAGCAAATGGGGAAGCTCTTCGGCGTGCTGAAAGTTGTGTAAATTTTTTCTAGGGGTCACTAGAAAACTGCCTTGAGAGGCCACTAGGAAGTCCCCTGGAGGGAGCACTTTTTCAAGTTTTATATGGGTTGACAAAGTGTTAACTATAAAGGATGCTCTAAGGACCCCTAAGATTGCCCCTATAGGGACTATAGTTTCGAAAATTGACCGTTCGACCGACCGTTCGACCAATATTTTTTCAACATGTCATAATAAATGGTCATTGGTCGAACGGTTGGAGTTTCAACATTTCAACATGTCACTTCAGAATGACATGTTGGTTTTTGACCGTTCGAAATGTCACTCTGAAATTGGTCGGTCATTTTTCGAACATTCGAAATGTCACTTCGAAAATGGTCGGTCATTTTTCGAACGTTCGAAATGTCACTTCGAAAATGGTCGGTCATTTTTCGAACGTTCGAAATGTCACTTCAAAAATGGTCGGTCATTTTTTGACCGTTCGAAATGTCACTCTGAAAATGGTCGGTCATTTTTTGACCGTTCGAAATGTCACTCTGAAAATGGTCGGTCATTTTTCGAACGTTCGAAATGTCACTTCAAAAATGGTCGGTCATTTTTTGACCGTTCGAAATGTCACTCTGAAAATGGTCGGTCATTTTTTGACCGTTCGAAATGTCACTCTGAAAATGGTCGGTCATTTTTTGACCGTTCGAAATGTCACTCTGAAAATGGTCGGTCATTTTTCGAACGTTCGAAATGTCACTTCAAAAATGGTCGGTCATTTTTTGACCGTTCGAAATGTCACTCTGAAAATGGTCGGTCATTTTTTGACCGTTCGAAATGTCACTCTGAAAATGGTCGGTCATTTTTCGAACGTTCGAAATGTCACTTCAAAAATGGTCGGTCATTTTTTGACCGTTCGAAATGTCACTCTGAAAATGGTCGGTCATTTTTTGACCGTTCGAAATGTCACTCTGAAAATGGTCGGTCATTTTTCGAACGTTCGAAATGTCACTTCAAAAATGGTCGGTCATTTTTTGACCGTTCGAAATGTCACTCTGAAAATGGTCGGTCGGTTTCGTATATTTCAGAAATTGGTCGGTCAAACGAACGGTCAGAAAAATGACATGTTATAACCGTTCGAAAAACTGAACGGTCATATCAGTTGAACGGTCGAATTTTAGAACACTAATAGGGACCACTTGGGATTTCCTAAGTGGAACTCACCTCTCCTTCTTTGGAAACATATAGGACTATCTTCACATTCCAATGTTGGCCCCATCTCGCCATTTTTTCTCGATAAATGGCCTGTTCGACTGTTGGAACGCAGTAGACCAGACGAACTATCACATCTTTGTCATGAATTAGAATATCTTCCACAATTCGGATAAATGGCGCAATTCCAGTACCGCCGGCGACCAGAATGAGCTTCTCGAACTGGAAAAAGAATGTTTGACTAGCAAATTCGAAGTTTAAATTTTCACCTCTTCTTTGAAAACTCTGTAGTGCTAATGTTTGTTTTAAAGGCATAGGGGCAGTAAAAAATGGGGTTTCAGGTAAAAGCAGTATCTTATATAGTTTTTCTTTGCGAATCGAATGGTGTACTCAAAAACAATTACAGATGTGACAACTTTAGAAGAAAAAAACGCGATTTTACTTTTCCCGCCTTTATTTTTTTGAAAAAAAGCTTTGGATCGGCCTACGGACAAAATGTTTACAGTAGCCGTGCACGCAATGTTGCGGACGTCTCATTAGACTCGCATTTTGTGAGAAATAACCGGCTCTCTGCTTCAAATTAAGGGTTTCTTTTCTGAAAAAACGTTTAGTAAAACAAAAAACACACACCGATAATAAAGAAAACACAAAATAATGCTATCCCAATCGAAACCGATGTAAAATCATCATTTTTCACCAGAAAAGCATTTTTGCGATCAAAGTTTGCAAACTATACATGAATAGAAAGCTTTTGTGACGAAAAGAACTTTGGTGACAACAAAAAAAAATTGAAAATTGAAAGAAACGAAGAAAAAAGCGAAAATCCGGAAGATGGGAAAGCCTGTTGTCCATAGAGCAACTTTACTGCAAAGCGCCCTTTTTGCGGGAACTCAAACTTTCCTCTCTCCAACTTTGAATTATTTTTTCTCCAAAACTAGGAACTTCTGTACGTTTCCAAGTTCACCGTTCGATTCGCAATGAAAAGCTCTACAAAGTACTGCTTTAAACTGAAACACCGTTTTGTACTGCCCCTATGCCTTTAAGCCAGCCGTGAAAAAAAAAAACTTATCATTTCACTAGAAAATCCCAAACCGCAGCGCACCGCGACACGCTCAGCCATTCCAAGTGCGACCATCCATTCCATTTGAAACTAACCTTTTGAATTCGCTCACATTCGTCGACACCGTAGGGACCCCTCCAGTCGATGACGTCATCAACTTTCCAACCCGTAATCAGTTTCGTCATCCTTCCGCTCTCATAAATCTTTGATTTCATAAATTTTTTTGGAGGTTTCAAAGTTTGTATACCTTGATTGGTACTTCAAATCCTGACTCAAAAACGTACGTCGGAGTGTACTGACGGGATATTTGACGACCACTTGAGAGCAGTCTGGAAAAAGTTGTGAAATTAGGAAGTTTCTTACTTTTTCTTTAATAAACCCATCTCTGCTTTTTTTTTTGACTTCTTTGTACTTTTCCACTCATTCAGAACTTAAAAATTTATTATCAAAGCATTTAGTTTCAGAAAGTTCTCTTGTTTGGAACTGTAAAAAATCATTCTAAGACTAATCAAAATAGGGCCGACTTTATAGATGTTTACTTGTATGTTCAGCTGAAGTGCTATCTTTAGTAGATCAGTAGAGGCTTACTCTATTGATTTACATGCTTTTTACAAGTAGTTCGAAGGTGACACTATTGACTTTTTGTTTCGAATGGAAGTGCTCACTTAAGAGTTACCCCTCAAGTAATAACTTGATGGATTTCCACTCTGACTCTGTAACTAAAAATCGTTTGTAAAGCTTTTATTGAATAAGAAAGAAATCAACAGAACCCCTCTAGTGATGAATTGATTTACTTTCATCCACTCTTCTTGCTCTAGTGACTTGTAACCAAGAACCATTTGTCAAAGCTTTTATTACAAAATAAACAAAATAGGAATAAAAATCTGGTGGAGAACGACCCGCATCGGAAAGACTTTCGTAAGAGGAGGTACTGGTGGGAGATCACATGGTGATCATTAAGATGTAGCCGACCAGCGGCAGGTACGGCTTCAGGTAAGGTCCGATGATCGGCGTCCAGAGGATGTAGTCGACGATGTACCAGTAGGCCTTGAACTGCAGCCGACCCCAGGAAGGAAACGCGCGTCGGACCTCCACGCTGCCGTTCTCCATTCGTTGTCGCGCTAGCTCCACCTGAATTTTATCGATTGACTTGGGGAATTTTCATAAGAGGCTTGCAGAAGGTACTTCAAAAAAAAAAAATGTCGTTTCAGTCGAAGGTGGAATATTCTAAAATTCTGTCATTTTAAAAAAACAACTCGGTAACCTGAACTGGACGCGCCCCGGACGTGTCGGAGCATTTCTAGTGACCACTTTAGCGCTGTCAGCTCTCTTAATTGATCCCTAGGATTGCTCAGAAACGTCCGGTTTTCGTTACCGAGGTCCGAGAAAAAGAAAATTCAAAGACTAGATTGATCCGTGGAGAAAAAATGGAGCATGATTATGAGCCTATTTTTTTTTTTTCGCTTCTCCGTTGAGATTTAAAGCTTCACTTTTTGGACTATAATTCGAAAAAAGAGCGGGAAATAAAGGAACAAGAACCCCAATATGACTCTAATAACATGAGATAATCAAAAAAACCTTATTGAAATCACATGTGCCGTTGTTGTCCACAAAGTGGAAACCGAATTTGCCGAGTTGCATGAGTTTCGAGCCTCCGTCCGTCTCACAATCAAGCTGCATAATGTAGGGCGGGTTCTTCTGCGCCGTGTACATCCATTCCCAGGAGTAGGCGATGCTGGAAAATTGATTTCGTGAGATTGAGAAATGACGGTTTGAGCTTTTTGAAACCTTGGCGCTTATGAAAACAGTAAGAAGGATAGATCTGATTCAGGGCTGGCTTGAGCCATCGAAAAAAAAGGTCTTGGCACGATAAAATTAAAGACAGCGCCTGGTTGGTGGTGACATGCCACGCCCCTTTGCGATCAAAGCTGTTGTGAACCGTCTAAATTCTAACAGAAAGCCTAGAAAAAGTCTCCAAGATTGTCCACTGAATCCACGCAACCTTTCAGTAGCAAAAAATGTTAGAAAAAAGGTCAGTGAAGCTCACTTGTGAGGAATGTAGGCGCAGCGAGGCGAGCCCCAGGTGTGACATTGATGGATCATGACCCCCATATCCGGAGTGTACCAATGGGCCAATTTCTCAGAAAGTCGCTCGAAAAACTGCAGCGTGTCGTTGTTGGCGCGGATGAAGAAGTTGGCGCCTGGAATTTTTGAAAAATCGAATTAAAAAAAGGTGGATAATGAAATTGGATAGAGGCAAATTTTTTAAGATTATAATTGTGAAATTTTACTGGGCTTGGTTGTTTCGATGAAGTTTTTATCAATTTACAAAATATTTTTGAAAAACGACTTTTTTTGTCTTGAAAATGCTCTGTCAAGCAAGTCCTTGGAAGGGGTTGGGAAGATAATCAGTACCAGGGATGCACGAGACACGATCTCGTCTCGGTCAAAATTTGAACATCTCTGAATAAAAAGAAGTTTTTTTGCACATTTTTTTAAAATTTGGCCGTTATTAAGTTTTATTTTGATATTGTACTCTGTATTTTTTTATTTCAAAATGTCTCGATCTCGTCTCGAGATCGAAAAAAACCTCGTCTCGTTCATCCCTGATCCGTACACTTAGAAAGCTTCCAAGAAACTAAAAGCAGAAGCGTCTCAACACCTTCTCAAGATTGCTTTTTGTTAAATATTCTCAAGAAAAAAAGGTGATATTATTTGAAATTATAATTGTTTCAAGCTCGTTCCTCTAGAAAATCTTCATTTAATTTTCTAAAATTTTCAGAAATACCGACCGTTGACCCACTCGGCGCGCATCGAGTGATCTCCCTCGCCGAGTTGATCGAAAATCGCGTCGTAGGACATGTCCGACTCGAGGTCCAGGTCGAAAAGATTCCGGCGCCAAAAAGTGTCCTGCTGCATCATCCAGAACGACTTTCCTCTGCAAACTTCCCATTAGGTTTCTTATTCTTTCTGAATTTCAAAAATTGGTGATCATTTCGAGAAAAAAGAGAATTTCTAGAATTTATTCGTTGATTCAAAAATCCCTGCTAGGGTATCCAACAGTGCACAAATCAAGAATTTTGCAGAAAGAATTCGAAAATGGATCTTAGCTTCGAGACCTTTAAGGAGCTTCTTTAAAAAAAAAGGACGTTTTTCTCTTAAGTTTGACTGTTGCGAAGTCTTCAATGTCCATTTTCAAAATTTGCCTTTTGAAATTTTCAAAAATCAAGTTTATGGCAATAGAATCGCTACGTGAATATTTTTGAAGAATTAACAGACTAGGCTTTATTTAATTATAAATTTATTCATTTTTCTTAACCTAAATCTGGAAATCTAGAAATAAAGTGTAAAAATGAAAACCTTCGAATAAGACAGGCGGCCAGGTTAGATCTCAACAGGTAGATTGTCTGGTAGGGACCTTCGGCAAAAGAAAAAGGCTTCTGGAAAAAAATTATTGATTTTCAAGATAAACTTTGCACTGGATAAATATTGACATTTCTTGAATTTTTTTCTCCAATAAAATCAAGAATTGTTTGAAGTAGGTCAAACAAAACTCGAGGCCGAAATCGGGCCCCAAATTACTTCGCAGGGATGACCTTTTTCGCCGATTGCACTTGCTGATTTTGGAAATTCTCCCGATTCGACTCGAAATTCGAAAGGTCAAATTCCGAAAGGATAACTTTTTTCTGATAGTACGGAAAAAAATCTTCCTTTTTTTGAGAGTTTTTTTCAATTGGAATCATGAAAACTGCTGAAATTAAATTATGATGTTGGAAAAATTGCTAGTTTTTTTGACGATTTTTAAGTTAATATTCTTCAGTACTACGAAATTTTTAAGCTTTGAAGCCGAGAAAAATATTTGAAAAGGGGGACCTTTTCGAATCTTCATAAGGAAGTTATGAAATACAGTTGAAAGAAAGAAGTGGGCTATAAATAAAAACTTGCCGAACCACTGTTACACACTTTTTTATAGTCTCATTGCCACTAAAATGGCCAAGAATCGCGCCGTGGAGCGAATGAGTACTTTTTGAAATGGATTCTTTTCTTTTCCATCAAAAAGATTAAAAGGTCAAAGAAGTGGAAAAACTCTTTTTTTACATTTTTCCATTAAAGTTACTGCTTTAAAAATTCCGAATAAATGGGGAAAATAATGAGAAATAATCCAGTTGAAGTTACAAATTTCAGAAATTAACTACGAAAAATTCTCAAAAAAATCTTACAATGAAAAAAATAGTCAAAAAGATTGTGAGAAGAAATTATTATTGCAAAAAAAGTGAACGAAATATGTTAAAACGATGTTTTGAAATTGGAGTTGTTAAACATTTTTCTTTATGGTCTAAAAAAAATCTTTCTAGTGATTAAATTATCCTAAAACAAAAATGAGAGCACACTCGTTTTATCCATATGAAATTTCGAAGAATCTTTTAGGTGGTTCAACAAGTTTTTCAAATTTTTTTTGTTTGTTTTTCTTTTCCCTTTCAAACCATTTGGCAAGACTTATGCATTAATCGTGAATGTAATTAGAAGAATATCAACTTAATTATAATACATTTTTCGCGGTAATTTCATTAAAAAAAGAAAACTCACATATAAGGAAGGGGTAGGCCAGTGGAACTGTCGGATGTTGGGCCATCGAGCTCGGAGCTTGTCCCTGGCAACCGTGTCGAGTGTGACGAAAATCAGACGCTCATGAACGCCGTCAAGGGTCGCCGTGTTGCACAGGAAGTTGTCGGTCATGTTCAGCGCGTATTGGTTGAGAAGCAAGAAGGCTGGCGGCTTGGTGAAGTGCCGGTCGAGCTGGTCGATGAGATCCTCGAACTCCAAGGAGCCTTCGATGAGCCGCTGCGAGACTGTCTCGCTGTTGCTCTTCACATATCGGACGGCGGCGATGGCGTTCTGCGTCTTCCGCAGGACCAGGCAACCGAAGAGGAACCAGAACGAGTAGAAGAGGATGTAGGTGAAGCGGGAGAAGATGACGTCGAGGACGGTGAGCGCGACGGACGCCGCCTGCGACTTCTTCAGCCGAAGAAGCACGTCGTTGACGTCGACGACTTCTGCGGAGGAGGCCGGCTTCCGGTGCCGCACCTCGCTGCAGTCCTCCATCTCGGCTGGCGACGACGTTCCGAAGAGTGACCCCGATGCGAGATTTGCGGCAAAGGCGGAGCGACCTGCGCTTATCGACGGATTGCATCGATGTATATTGATTCGGGTTCAACGCGGTAAAGGGATCAAAAAGGGTCAATTGGCTGGTTGAGACTGATAATTGGTTAAAATTTTGTTGGAAAGATAAGGAAAATATCTTTTAAAAGCTCTTAAAACTTGCTATTTTTGAATAGCGCAAAAGCTTTCATGCTAATTAAAAATTTTCATGATGTCCATAAACTTAGAAATAACTCCTAGCCAGTAAAGAAAGGTTTTTGACGAAATTGGCTTTTTATGAATCTTCTCATTGTGAAAAAAAAAACTTGCAGTTGTGCTCCAAGTACGTTTTGTGCGATTGAAAGAGATCCGTTGTAGTCGGAAAAAATCCTCAAAATTTGAAAATGATTTAGATATCTTTTTCATTTTCTATGGCCAAGTGGTTTAAGGAGACCTTTCAGTTCAAATCCATCTGATATTTTTTGAAAATTGGTACGGGTTGGAGAAAAAAGCTTATTTGGATATTTTCAAGGGGATCAAAAGTTTAATACAATTTATTTTGAGATGCGGAGGAAAGAACTAGACAAACAAAAAACTGTAGCTGAATGTTTTATTTATTCAAGAGGCTGAACAGGAACGTCTCAAGGTATATAGTCCATTTATAAAAGCTTTCTGAGATATTTAAATATATGAAATGACTGGAAAAAAGCTGTCTGCCTCGAGGAATTGATGAATTCTGAGTCTATAATGATAATCGTACAGAAGCCAAAAAAAAGAAGAAGAAAGTGAGGAATCTCTCCTTCTCGAAAGAGGGATGAAATGATTCACCGTTCCTTCCAGTTAAACGAAACCGCCTCCTCTACCACCAAAAATGGGAGAGAAGAACGAGATTTGGCGCGTCGGCTGCTGTTGCTGCAGGAACACGCAATTCACCCATTTCTCTCTCTTTCTTTTTCTTTTCTCCTACAGACGCCGCCATTCAATCCTGTGGTTATGTGGTGACGCCGACATGGCGAGACCACATAATCTTGCTTGAGGTGCGCGGAAAACTGTAAAAAGGACCGTTTTTGTTGATATTAGCGTCAATTCAGCTTTGAAAAATGTTCCCAAGAAAGTCTCATCACTTGAAAATCCGGGATTTGAAAAAGATGCCAAACTTTTCTTACTGTCCCTACTGATGGCCCAGAAAGTTTGGACTTGCGGAATTTCCTAATTTTCGAGGGAGCTGAATTCCTAAAAAGTTAGATTTTTTTCAGAAATTAGATCAATGATATTTTGAAAAACGTTAAAATTTTTGGCTTCAAAATTTCAAAGTGAAATCATAATCTAATGAAAACATTATACTGCGTTTAAAAAAGCGTAAGTCGGACCAGGTCAATTATTTCAAGTTGTGATTAACTTTTTGTTCAAAAGAGAAAAAAAGACGATAAGTGATAACAAATTGAGAAAAAAAAGAAGAGAAACTGTTTGGGTTTGGCGAATGTTGCGAAAACGAGGCGGGGAGAAAGTTCTTGAAAGACTTGTTATATGAAACTATCACTGCGATTAACTGTACTATTAGCGAAATAAATCAGAAAAGTAGGCTTCAAAGCGATATTTTTTTAGATTTAAAAAAATTATGCGGAAAAATCAACTTATGAAATTTGTGAAAATTTTATTTCAAGCCGCTTTTTTTCCTCACAAGTCATAAGCAAATTTTTTTACTTCGAAGCGGTAACTTCAAAGAGAACACTAAAAGATAAATTATATTATCATTCTTTCCTTCTTCATACTACTGTTTAAAAAAACATATTGATGACTCCCAAATTTGGCGAAGAACAGGTTTGATCCAAAAAAAAAAATAGGAGTAAAAAAAAAGTTGAACTTGGGTGCCGAATACAGGCGACTGGAAAAAAATAGAATCTTTATTAAAAAAATCTTTCAACGTAGAAAAAAAAAGCAATTTCAATTTTAACTGAGGTTATGCGGGATTTCTGGGCAAAACATTAATTCAAATCTTAGTACTGTTTTCCAGTGAAGGCAATTTTCCCAAATATTGTTCAAGAATCTTTGAAAATTCATTATTTTTCAACCAAAAGATGAATAGACAATTTTGAAACAAAACTTCAAAAAATCTGTACTCTTTTCTTATAAAAAAAGAATGGCCCCGTTGACCGCAATTCTCACGTGTTCATTGTTGCGAAAAGGGCCATTTCCATCAAAAATGGCCATTTTCGGGTCAGCAGCACGGTTCTTTTTTTTTGTTTTGTAATTGTTGTTTGTCAGACTTTTTCAATCCGTTTATGATTGGAGGATTGTAGAAAAATATGCGCCTTTTGTGGGAAAATTTGGAGGATCAACCTCATTTTGTGGAAGTTAGGTTGATAGCAAACTTCAGTACAAAAAGAAAGTTTTCAAACTTTCATCTACTCTTCGAGAAGACATCTGAAAGAGCATAGACGATTTCTATGAAGGTCTCAAGGCGAAGAGTAGTTGTTACGGTGATTTTGTGGTTTTTAAAACAGCTGCACCTTCAAAACCCTAGGAAGGAAGTCTAAAAATGATAAACGATTACGAAAACCATAAAATGATGAAAAAACTACGAAAAATTTCAACAAGAAACAGGCAACTGCAAAAAAAACGCCTCATTCCTTAGAAACAACTTTTTTTGAGAACCGGTTCGGAAAATTAGTTTTCTCTCTTTCTTCTCACTTCTATACAGTTAAATAAATTGAAATACCTACTCTAAAGTAGCCTAATGTGCATGAAACAAGAGAAAAAAAGACCGGAAAATGATGGTGCGGCCGCTTTTTTTTTGGCCGTAGCCAGATTTGGGTCACCACGCAATCATTTCGACGCCGCAACAAGCCACAAAGTGACAAATTTTTCCACTTTTTTCTACATTTCCAACCTAAATTGCACTATGGGAGGAAAGTTCGTACGCCAAGGAGAAAAATAGAGGAAAAATAATTTTTTTTTTTTCAAAAACAGTGCCGTCCAAGTTATTGCGCGAGAGAGTCAAGGAAAAATGGATGAATTTTGCGGCGACGGGGGCCGATTTATTGTGTCGTAGTGACGGTACGAGGTGCTGGAAAACGACCTTCGGCGCCTCCTCTACATTGTTCGGCTTAGGTGGTCCGTTAAGAGATGAGCCGTTTTATACACGCTCACTTTCATTTTAGAAACGTTGTTATTCATAACAATGCGGAAACTCCGAAAAAATAATTAATAACAGGGATTGGGAAGCATCTATATAACTTTAATGAAAACTTTACGAAGAATAAAAAATATTGAGAAATTGTAAAATAAATAAAAATTAATCGAAAAAAAAATTAAAAATTTTTTCAAACTCCCGCCGATTGCGACAGTTTGCAAAACCATCGCGCACCATCTGCATCCTTTGCCACGCCCTGCATTTTGAAAAAAATTTTTTAGCTGATTTTCTTCTTTTCTTTTTTTTTATTCCGTTAATTAGCATGTCGTTGCAAAACTACCGTATTCCTAGGGTCAACAGAGATAAATTTAAGGTTATTTTTGAATGAAGAGAACTTTTTGAAATTGGATATTTAGGCAACCCAGGAGGATAGAACCAACTCGCCGTCTAACAGAATGCCGGATAATTACGATAGAGGTGATCGAAGGCGTGGTCAGGGCTATTTTCGTAGTCGTTACACAGGAATGCGCTTTCCGGAAGGGTATTTTCTTAATTTTGATTTTCGACATATTTTATTTTACAGGTGGTTAAAATATGATAACGTTGGCAGAGATTTGGAAGGAACACGCTTCGTCCCGTTCAAAACTCCTTTAAAGAGAGCTTTTTTCGAACACAAAGACGATTTACATCCGGAGCTTCAGTTTGACGTCTTGGCACTTGTCAATTGCGTTAGCTTTTTTTTTAAAATTATAATTCATCGAAATAATTTTCAGGCCGCAAGAGCTGGAAAAGTGCTAGGTTTGGTGATTGATTTGACTAACACGAATCGGTATTATGAACGGTCCGAGTGGGAATCTCACGGTGTGAAATACGAGTTAGTTAATCGTTTTGAAATTGTTGAAAGTCATGTTTTTAGAAAATTAAATTGTCCAGGACATGAGGTGAACGAACGGGAGGACATTGTCGAAACCTTCATCGAAATTGTCAAGAATTTCGTCAATGATCCTCAAAATGGTACTTCCACCAGGGCAAAGTTCTGAAAAAAACCAAGGAAGAATATATTCAAAAAAACTTTTTCAATATATTTTCTGTGGAGTTTAATTGAGAATCCTGTTTTTGAAAAAAAGCATTTGAATTTATCATCTTTGAAAAAGCACAGAAAAAGACGCCAAAAATTATTTTTTTGTTCTAAAAAGAAGCTATTTTTGGAACATGTTCTTTCTTCTATAAGGTCTTACCGGACTTTGAACAAAAACATACGAAATAATTTTTTTTCAGATGGAAAATTGATCGGCGTCCATTGCACACACGGTTTGAATCGAACGGGTTATTTGATTTGCCGGTACCTTATTGACGTTGAAAAATTTCCCCCGCCTGTCGAGCTATCAGTTGTGAGTTTTTTTCGAAAAAAAATTTTTTGAAGATTTTTTTACAAAATTAAAAAAATTAATCTCTATTAAAAAAAATAAGGCAGTGTGGGAAACTATTGAATTAAATTTATATTTCAATTTGATTCAGATTTCGCGCATAAAACTTCCAGCTAGAATAATTTTGAAAAATAATTGAAAAAAAAATGTTTCAGTGTTCGAATATTCTCGGGGACACCCAATGGAACGCTCCAAGTACAAGAAATCCCTGTACGAGGCCGAGATTCGCAGAAGAATAGTTAGTTTTTCAGCAAATTTTAGAGTTTTATAGCCTTTTTTAAAGAGAGATGGTGACGAAGAATGTTCCGAGGCCATTCAAAAATTGAAAGAAACTGCAGAAGCTCAAGAAGATTCTTCAGAACGTCCACTCAAAGTGGAGGACGGTTCAGGAGAACCTTCGCGTTGATTTTAAATTTTTTTCATATCTCTAATCCCATTGTTTTGTTCATATTGCTCATTTTTACCTCTGATTGATCAATTCCCAGAATTCTGTTTTTTTTTAATTGCCCAAATTACGCCCAGACCTTGCTGTGGTCAAACTGAGTAGTTGGTCTTCCTTAAGTGATCCTTAGAAAGGCGTTAGTGATCCCTCGAGTAGCTTTTTTCTATAGTGGTTGCTTGAATAAGACCGACGCAAGGTCTCGGCACACTTTTCTGTCGGGTTCATAGTCTCAAAGATTTTTTTTCAAATCTAATTTTGTTTTCACTTGTTATTTTCTCTTGTTATCCGCGTACTTGTGTTTTTATCGACTCTCCCGAAATGAAAATTACGTGATTGGTCTTGATTTCGATGGAAATTCGGAGGTTTCGCACCAAAGTTAACGGTTTTCAGCAAGTTTCAGAAAAATAAATATTTTGAGGTCAAATGAGCGAGACTGCACATGAAAACCTCGCTGGTGAGTTTTCAAAAAGTTTCTTTCTAATAATTTTCTTCACTCTTCGATAAGTCTTGTAGAGGAATGTTTTATGAATTCTTCCGAATGTTCTTCATTCAAAACTGGAATAATTAGAGGAGTACAGAATTCAGACCAGTTTTCGACGTTTGCTTCTCAAATTCAACCGAAATCTCAGATAAATTGCTATTCTCGAAATTTTTTCAACCTAAACTTTCTTACTCAGTTCCTTTCCCTAATATGAAGTCGTTCAAATACTTCCCAGAGTTTTCTTAGATTTTTGTTGAGAACTTTTTCGAAGTTTTAGAAAGTTATTAAAAAGAGAATATTTCAAAAAATAATGAGAAGGAATCACTGCAATTTTCAAAGAAGGTTATTTTTCGAAGCCGTTGGTCCTTTTTAGGAGCAAGATAATTTTGATCTTTGAAAATGAATATTTCCCTGTAGTTTGGTCTTTAGAAGAGTTCTCAACGACCGGATTAGGAGGCTCTGAACACAGCGACTCACCTGACACGCAGGTGGCTTCCCAAAGGTAAATTGATCAATTTCGATGTTTCCAAACTCTCGAATCGGTATAAGTTTGTGGTCGAGGTCAGTTTTTCGATGGAAACCAAGCGGAGAGGTCTGAAAATCGAAGTATTTACTGGAAATTACGCTTTCCGATGATAACAGTGGTTTGGATTCAGTTTTTTGTTTGTAAAATTTTTTATCGCCTATATACGTTTTTTTTACGCTTATATCTTTTGAAATTTGTTCATAAATATCTGTTGTAGGATAGCTTTTTTTAAAAAATTCTGAAATAGCTTGGAAAAATTTTTTTCAGCAACTTTTTATTGTAATTTTTTTCTTAAAGATAATTTAAAGGTAAGGCGTTGAAAATTACAACTTTAATAGAACTAACTGAAAAAAACGAATTTTCTCTTGGGTAAGTTGATAAATATCCTTTTTGCGCATCACTTTCAAATTTTCAAAATTTTCCTCAAGGTCCTATAAATCCTTGTAATTTTTCATTTTATGTATAAAATAAAAACTCACGTGTATTTTTCCAGCGTAAACAGGCCTTCAACTGCTACATTTGATTTTTCCAGTCTTAGTCGATCCATATACATTTTTCGAACAACGTTGAATCTTCAATTTTTCATTTCTGAATTTTTTTCTAAAAAAATTATTGAAAGAACCTCCATTCGGGATTTTTCATCGCACATTCTTTTTGCCCAACGGACGACGTCGTCCGAATGAATGTCGAAAAACGCAAGGCTTACACGATTGACCGCAACAATCCTAAAAAAATATTTCATTTTTCTAAAAATTAATTTTTGGTCAAATATCTTTGAGTTTTGTGAAATGAGCATCAAGCATGGCAGAGTTGATGAGTAAATTATTATTATTATTATTATTAGAGTTGAGGAAGGTCTCAAGGCAAAAACGTTTTTCGAAGCTTTTTTTGGTTAAAAAGCTTCTGCGCCTCTTAATAGCACACCTATTGAAGATTTTTGAACGGAATGAAAAATTAGAGTTCTTAGGACCTCTAGAAAGCGAAAAAATAGGTTTTTTTCTTTTTTTCTAATTAGTTTAACTTTCCTGCTCAATTATACCTGTGGTCGAGGCTCTTCTGGCTCGGCTTCGAATTCCCCTTCCTTGTTTTTCCCGGATAAATTTCCGAACAAGGCGCAATATCTTGTCGTTCGGCTTCTCGTTGGCAAACATTCTGAAAAAAATTTTTCTTGATGTTTTTATAGATTCAAAAATTTTTAAATAATCACGAGAATTACTAATTTTTTTCTACACGTTGAGGATTCAACGTTTTCGAGTGATTGAACAGAAAAATGACATTTTTTAAATCAAATCTCGTTTCAAAAATATTCCCTTATCTTTTTGGATACCGTTTTACACATTCTGATTTCATCATCAGCAAAAATAGACAAAAGTTTTGGCTTTTTTTGATTGATAAGATCTTGTTTTTTGGAGTTTTAAAATTTTTGCGAAGTTTTAAAGCACGACATATGAAACTTTGAGAGGCGCATTTGCAAGTGTGCTCCATTGAGACTTATCAAAGAGGCCTCTTTGATAACCGCGGTTTTTCTCGGTCTTCGGCAGTAGTCAGTTGTTTAAATGAGAAAAAAAATACTATTGCTTTCAAGGAAAGAATTGGAAACAGATGAAAAAAATGAAATGATTCATTAAGTTAAGCTTGAAAAATTTTTTTAAAAACTCAGGCCTTTTTTTCTTTTTCGAGCATTTTTTTAAATTCTAAGACATTTTCTTTGCTTCGATAAATGACTAGTATACATTTATCAGTCTTGAAAAAGTGGAAAAATTGAAGTTTCTGGTTTTTTTCTGCTGACTTTTTAAACCAATGAAAGCAGAAAGTAAATGCTTTTTGTAGCTACTTAGAAATTTTTAGCAATGTTTCATACCTAAAAAAATATTTCATTTAAACTTCTTTAAAAAAATTTTCGATCATTCTTCAAGCCTGTTCACGAAGAAAAAAAAGAAAAAAATGGGAATTTTTTTCAGTGAAGTCGAACGGGTTGATTCGGAAGAGACGGACTCGTTTAGCGTGCCCGCCCTCTTTTGCCCTTATCACAAACATATAGGAAAACATTTGGTCAGTGGCTGTTTTTTTTTTGTTTTGTCGAAAGGAAAGGTAAAATTTATTTATAAGGAGAAATAAAGTATTAAAATGCATGTTATTGTAATTCATTTGAGAGTTCATCGACTTATCGACTAATCGCCAAAAAATTGTGCGAAAAAAAGTTTTATTTTGAAACTCTCAACACTTTCTACATACTCCACTGAATTTATTGGGAATCCTTGAAATAGCCTCGGAAATCATGGAAAGTATGCCCCAATGAATTCAATCTGAAAAAATTCTTCTCGGACCTTGGTAGCGCCCCGGAGGTGGAGAAGCATTTCTAGTAGCCACTTTAGTATCCTCGCCACTCTTAAGTGATCTCCAGAATTTTAGAAAGGTTCGGAGCGCGTTACCAAAGTCCGAGTTTGATTATTCTTCTAATTCTTATACAAGCTCCAAAGGATTTAGTGTCGATTAGGGATCACTTGAGAAACGTTATGTGATTAGTAGTTTTCACTTGGGATTCGAGTAATATTTCGAAAGTCCAACTGTTTATTTTTTCCTATTGGCGCTTTTGATAAGGTTTTGCTTTTTTTAGTTATCACTAAAGAAACGTTACGCCGCTCAAGTGTTCATCGTCCAAAAAATAGCTTTTGCCCAGTAATTCTTTGAAAAACTTCATAAATGTCTCGACATTCAGATGCCCCTGGGGGAAACAGAGATGCAGCTTCACTTGATCAAGTGCAGAAAGGCGTATTTCAAGCATCATCATAATACCGAGCTCTTGTGGTTATTTTCATCGAAGAAGCTTCGAGTAACGTCTGGACTTTTTGAGCTGTCCGCACAGAATGTGTCTGGTCTCGCCGCCGGAGTTCGCCCTACATGTGGCGATGTGCCAGGAAAGCATCCTGACCCGCCAGGACAAAGAGTTCATCGACAAACCCATCATCGTCATGCAATGTGAGGCAGTTTTTACTCGGGGAATTTCAAAGTGGCCTTCTGAGAACCGAAGGAGAAGCGCTCATTTGAGTATCTTGCTCACGAAATCGGTAACTTTAGGGGCTTTCAGAGGCTCTCCAACCACAGATAAACTCATCCCCCCCTATAAACGGCAGTAAAGCTTGCAAAAAAATGGCCACTCTAGGGGAGCATGCTAGTCATCTATCGTTATAAACCATAGGAAGAAGAATTACTGAACAACTCGATAAATTTGCGTTTTCAAATGAAAAAAAGTATCGATAGTTTGACTAACTACATCTATTTGAACCACTATAGGGACTACTGAACATTTAGGCGCTCAGATGTCAGAACTTTAATTCCTACAGGGGTCACCTATATTTTAGCCTGATAGAACTATTTTGTCCAACGTTTTTTCCTGACTTGTCTAGGGACCAAAATGGCGTTCTTGAGAGAGGATACAAGACCGGCTTGACAAGTTATTTTGGAGTAATCACTTGAGAGCTGAGAGCCAAGTGGTTACTTGAGGTGAGACTGCAGGACGACCTCCGTTCTGTTTATCGGCTCAGCCTAAGAAAATTCTCGATTTGAACAAATAAGCAACTTTGCAATACAATATCTGACATTCAATGAGAGATGTTCCAAGTGACCACTTGAGGGCAGAAAGCGAAGCGGTCATGTTAGTAGTTTTCTGTGGAAAACATCTTCTTTTCGAGAATCAAATTTCAATCGATTGAAGTTCAGTGCCTAACAACTTTGATGAGATGCTCCGACAGCAGGTGCAAGGCGACGTCACCCGAGCTCGTTATGATTCTGATGGTTTTTATCAATAAAGTGGAACTTAATAGTTTCTATTGGCTTCAGAATCATCAGAAACCCATTCCGGAGAAGACTCTGATAAAGATCGACCACGCCGAAGACGTCAGTATGATAGCGATGAAGACGAGGAAGGCGATAATCGCTCAGTTAAATCCTCCATCAGCTCCTCCTCAGCCGAAAACTTGGACCTTGACTAATGTTCGTTTTATAAAAACTCATCGACGGGTTTTATTTTATTCTATTTGATCTGAAATGATTGATAAACTCGGTACATGCTTACTTGCATGTAAAAGAAATTCGGCAAAAAGTTTTCTCCCCGGCCGGGAATTGAACCCGGGTCTCGCATGTGACAGACGCGGATACTCACCACTATACTACCGAGGACACGTCCGCGCTGGCAGATGTCTGCAGACATATTCCGCCTCGTGTCGGGAGACCTTTTGAAACACTGGGAAGCATGTATGTGAGAAGAATTGAAAAATAGACAGTTTTTTTTTGTTAAAAATTAAAAATTTAGCTTCTGGGCAAATAAGAAACGTTCAAAAACTCGCTTTCAACAAAACATTTGGATTGATTAAAAACTTGTAGATGAAATCGGACTGTTCTGAAGTACGTTTCAGCCAGTTTTCAAAATGTGTACTTTCACATTTCGCTTAATTAATTTCCTGTGGCTTTTTTTAAATCAACAGATGATATTGAGAAACTTCATTTTTTTAAAATTACAATTCATGACACAAACGTAGCGATTTGATATATCAGATGAATGGAATTTTTAGATTGTTGTACTCGTAGGGGTTTCTTGAAAGATCGAGGTGATTGAAATTTGAATTTATCGCTATTGGAGGGCGAAGGCGACCATTGCATGTATCCCGCAAAGAGCCACCGCGTCTGCCTAAAAATTCTTATTTCAAGAATTGTTCAGAACATATAGTTGAAAAATTGCTTTTTTTCAAGAAAAACTATCGTCCAAAGTAAACGGACCGCTGTCCAGCACCACCGCTCCGTCCAGTCTAATTGTTTGAAGCCGACACTAAAGTGGATCTCGATAACCGCACTTATTCCGGCCAATAGTGAACAGAAAACGGCCGACGGCATCTCCTCAAATGGTCAGTTGTAATATTTTTTCTGAATTACCAAAAGTTGTGGTGGAAGTTTGATAGGAAGCTCGAATATGAAAAGATAATGGGGATCGAGGAAACAAGTTTTTAAAGAATTACGGAAAAAAAAATGCTCTAGACATCATCAGAAAAACAAAGAAACAATTTTTTTAAAGGATAACTGGGATAATTCAAAAACACAATCCTGCAGAAAAAAATTTTAATCAAAAAGAATTGAGAGAAATAGCAGAAAAAAATCAAAGAAGGTTTTTGGACCTGATAATCCAAAAAATCAACCCACCATGCAATTATAAGTCGTTGTACACGGGTTATTGGCATAAAACAAGGCGGTAATTAACCAAGAACTCGAAATGAAAAAAATGATTGGCGAGGCGACTGTTGGGAAGTACTGAAAGTTTTCGAATATCAAAAATAATAATAATAAATAATAGTTTTTTTAATTTTTTTCAATCGTTGTCCGCGAATAATGATCTAATTTTTTTACAACTAACTTGAACAAAAATGCCGAGAATAATATCGAAAAAGCGGCATCCTGACCATTACATGGGTTCAAAGCACAGTAGACGCCGCTGCAGTAGAATAGGAAAATTGCTAAAACCTGAAAATTATTTTACATTCTTGAAAACCAAGACTTTCGCAGGTTGAAATTCTCAGATATTTTCGTGGGGTACAGCAGAAAGTATTTTATAAGTATTAACAAAGTACGAAACACTTCTTGATGCATCGGAGGAAGATTCTGAAATGTTCAACCTGTAAAAACTTCTAGTTTTTGAGAGAGAACATCGACAAAGTCTAGGAAAACTCTCAAAATCCGTTCATTTTAGGGCTTTGAGCTTCTATTTACGGAAAAAAAATATTTTTGAAGGTTGAGCCTTCCAGAATCGTCTTCTGGCAAATCAAAGAGTGTTCAGGCCAAGTTTGAGGAAATTTCCAACCGGAAATAGTTTGACCTTCCTTGTAAGGTCAAAAAAACATTTTTTCAAAACCAAGAAAATATTTTCGATTATTTATTATCAAAAAAATATTTCATGAGAGAATGAGTACTTACTATTGATAAGGTGTAGAGAAAAAGTGGAAGTCGGGCGCGTGGGTAGGGCGCCGAGACGACTTTTGGTATCATCGTCACCATTTGGGCCTGGAAAAGTTTGATTTTTTTTTTGGGTGTTGCGCGATTTTTCAAGGCTTCCGAAATAAATTCAAAAAGCCATTCTTCAACGAAATAAGTTATTGGGAGAAAAACTTTAGGAAAAAAAGTTCAGCTTCATAGTAGTAAATTAGAAAAGAAAGAAAAATGGAAATTTTCGATGTCCTTGTCTTTGAGCTTCTGACGTCATTCGGTGAAGCTCGCAATTAACTGCGTCAGGATTTTTGGCTTGTCCTATTTTCTTCTGACTCTAATTTTAGCTCTGAAAGTTCAATGTCGCAGGGAAAACAATACTTAACTGCGCATTTTTGCTATTTCCTAGAATATATAAGTAAAAAACACAGGGTTGAACAGATTTTTAGGGAAAATGTTGACCTTTTCGAAAGTCGGCCATAAAGCCTATCCTGAAAACGTACTAGTTTTTGTGAAATAACGGCACAAGGCCTGAAACTTTCAGGGTCTTCAATTTGGAGTAAATGAGCCAATTTTCAGACAATTCTATAGTTCAGAACGAAATTACCGAGCCAGAGAGAATTACAGAGAAAAGAAAAAACTTAGGGTCATAAATAATTCTAGAGTTCTGAATGTGAGAAATCAAAGGAAATGAAAACGAAAAAAAAAGAATCATAAAGACAATAACCATCAAGTTCATAGGGAAAGAATTGAGGGTGAGAAAACAACGGAAAGAACAACGAAAATAAGGAAAAGCATGGAAAAAAGGCAAAGAAAGACGTTGACTGACGCTGGCGGCCGCATAATCCGGCCGCCATTGTCCGCTCACGCAGGTTACTTAATTAAAGGTGTAAGCGCACTTGGAAATCGATCCCCCCTCACCTTGTCGTTTTTCCTTTTTTTTCGCAATAACTTTGACTGACTTATGATTGGTATTTTCTGGCTCTAAATACTTTTTTGGCTTTGGTTTTCCTTTCAATCCTTGCTGAGATATTTGAAAATACAGAATTCTTTCTCAACTTAGATAGAATTGAACTCGTTTCATGACATCGGTTATTCAATTCAATCAATTTATTTTCGCAACATCGGGATGGTATGGTGATGTTGCAGGGAGGGAGAAAGACCACTAGGTGGATTAAATAACCTCACATGTGAAGAAAAAAGTTATGATTCTTTAAAAACAGAGTGAATACTTTTAAGCAGGAGAAGTTAAACTAGATTATTTCAAAAGTATGTCCCTATCTCAAAAATGAATTCGAAATTGGTCAATTTATTTTGGCAGTGAAATGAGGTTTTTCTATGTCAAAAGACCCGCATTAAAAATTTTTTTTCAATCAAGTGTTTTTTTGACTTTCTAAGGATACCTGAGCCCTCTTCGTGAGTTCTGAACTGAATTTTTAATATTTTCTTTTGTTCAACCATTTTTAATCTATCTGTTTAAAAAAACAGATCATGAAGTTTTGAAATAAACTGGAATTTAATCAAACATAAATTTTTTTCATTTTGTTTTTTTCTTTTGCGGATGGAAAAAAACTATTTTTTTGCAAGCTTCAAAACGGACAACTTTGAGATATTTTTGAAATGAAACCATGAAAAAAATGAACTTTTTCATTCCTAAGTTATTTTTGAAAATTATTTTTATTAGTTTTTGATCCTCTGTAAAATTTCCAACAAGCGGAAATTTTTCCCGAATCAGATTTAAATTTTTCTCTTCCAAAAAAATTATGTTTTTCCTACCTTCTAGGTATCAAATTTGTACATTTTTTTGCATTGAGGACGAAAAAGAAAAGAAAGAAGGAATGTAAATATTATCCATTGCGACTCATGTAGTGAGAATAGAATAAAGGAAATTTTCGTATAGAAAAGCAGTTCGGATATTTGTCGTGAAATAATATGAAAGGATCTGAAAAAAATCTTCAAGGATTTAAAAAAATTTCATTATTTTTCTACATTTTTATCCTGAAAGTACAGAAGATTACGTGGGAAGGCAACGGATAAATCCAGGATTATTATGAATAAGGCTTCGCGTCGACAAGAGAAATATAAAAATATTAGTGATCAGGATTTGCTAAAAATTGGCTAGGACGCACTTTGGAGTGCCCTGATTCCAAAAAAGTGATAATATTTAACGAATTTTCATATTTAGGTCAAGTTATAATGTCTGCAATATCGTTCATATGATGGGAAAGAAGATTTTTTGCGTCTTTAAAGCTTTATAACTTGAAGAAAAAGCACAGACAGAAAAATTAATCATTTTTCGGATACAAGTTTAGATCGGAAATTTTTGAAATTTTCAATTTAAACCATGAAAAGAATTTTGTATCTTCTGAGGCATCTTTAAACGGGCGATTTCGGAATGATCATCTGGAAAAATTTACAACAAGATGAAAAAAATCATTTCCTATAAAATGATGTTTTCCTACTATGAAGAGCGTCTCCGCCAAGATCCAGCAAATTTCGAGGACTATCTTCTTTTTCCTATTTCACCGATATTTGACAGCATTCGAGTGTTTGTGTCTCTCTGTTTCCTCACCGGCAAGGCCAGAAAAAAAGGAAAATAGCACGTCAACATGAAAGAGTTCCTGATAGACGAGGAGAGCGCAGAGAAGTCATGTCCTCTCAAGTCGCCAAGAACGGACTAAAGAAAAAAATTTTTAGGTTTAAAATAGTAGGTTCAAGGCTTAAGAGCAGGAGGTTCACATATTCCGAGAAGCAGATGTCACCCCGACTCATAAAAATGGACGGCCGAAGCTGTTGACAATTTTCAAAGTTTCTTCTATGCAAGTGGTTTTGCGGAAAAAAAGGAGCAGCTTGAAAATATAGCCATCGATGAAAAAAATGTGTTCGAAATGTTTTTCTTAATTCATTTTTTTAAAAAGTATTAAGTTACATATTCAAATAACCGATGTGTATTTCGTACCAGGACCATTTTTTTAAACTCTCAATATGTTTTAATGATGATCTCTAGCAACTATGAAAAAAATCATAATTTTTTTAACGAAATTACGAAAATACTAATTTTTCACAAGTCTTTTTTTATAAAAAAACTACTCAGATGTATCGTACTGAATATTTATAATCCTTCAATAATTAGGCGAATAAAAAAATATATTCAGAGAAAAAAATTAGATACAATATTATAAGATTATTGAAGACGTGTAGTTGATGAGCTTGAATTCCTTTAGGAAAATGGGAAAAGTATTATGAATCTGAAGGTGAAAAAAATCAACAAACAAGCTTTTTTGGTGTTTTTTTTTCCTTTGGAAAGCCGAAAATGGGCGCCGTCGCCGCACACACACTCATATTCGCAGTGGAAATTCGATAGGAAGCGAAATTTTGCTCGTTTTTTTGGGTTTTGGTAAAGTTATTCTTCTTTGGTTTATTGGGATGTCTAGTAACCAGAAAGGGAAACGAAAAAAATAATTTAAAATTATGAAAAAAAAAAAAAAAAGAAAAAAAAGGTAAAAAAATAATAATTATAGGGAGTTTCAAAGCCTCATCATCCAGTAATCATGAACTCCTCCCTGCGCCTTTGAATCTTTCAGATTGTTGTGACTGCTATGTATAAAAATGAGTAAAAAATTTTGAACCCAGACCAAAAATCACGCGGAGGGAAAAAAGAAAAAGAAAGCTCGACGAAGTGGGAAAAAGGGCGAGTTTGGAAGTGAGAAGGCAAAGGAAATGGGCTCGGAAAAACAAAGGCAAGAAGGGATATCAAAAATGGACAGGAAAGCATCCGAAAAAGAGTGCGAATGGATGGGTTTATGGGTTGGAAAAGGCCTCTTCTTTGAAAATTTCAACTATCTTATTTTATTTTCTCATCACGAAGAATTATGGAAGAAATTCTGAATTTCTGAGTCAAAAAACAAGCAGGCTTCTCCTCTCGAGAAAATAGGTAGAAAGGTGCGACGTCAAATGTCTCGGAGCTCACCAAAAATCTCTCAAATGCATTTTTGTTGCCACAAAAAAAATGGATTGTTTTTTTTTGTATAGGGAATAGTTAGTTGAAGTCACTAAAACTAGCTGATTTTTAAAGATTTTAATCCTTTCAAATGTTGCCGAGTCTATAACAGTAGTTGTAGGAAACTTTTTTTCAATATCGAGATAATTTTATTCTTTTTCCGGAAGTTTTATCTTGTTTCATTCGCAAAGACTTAAAAACATCGATTCATGTTCGCTATCGTTTTCAATCATTAAAAGTAATATACTTTCATGAAAGAGAGCCGTTCTTGGGTCTTAAACCTGGTCAGAAATGTCATTTTTCTTCGAAAACTTCAATTTTCCGAAGCTCCTAACCCAGCTCAAACACTTCGAAAATTGGAGTAGTTACCAAAAAGCATGAAACATTTTTTATCCAATGAGATTATGTCCAATTTCAGCCGGCCAGAAATCAAATTTTATATACATATTTTTTCTGAGATTATGAAACAGCTCAAGCTCCTAAAATTGACTTAAAACGGGGAAAAGGGAAGTGCGATGGAGCGTACATGAGGCTGAAGAAAAGCCGATTTTAAGAAGAAGAAGAAAAAAATCTGTATAGTGGCCTTGAAAAACAACGCACTGCTTCCGTCGTTTGTGTATTTATTTATGTACATAGAAAGCTCAAGTTGCCGACACCTTTTGGGAAAGAAAAATAGTTTGAAAAAATAGTTAGAGCTGTATTATAATCAGAAAATGCTCAAAAAAGATTACTGTATCTGCAATTTCTGCAAAGGTGTGTACGTACAGTTAGGCTATCGTTGTCATAAAAAAGCGCAGATCATTCTGTTTGAAGCTCCTTTTTTTTTAGGTTTTAAGAGTCTCCAAATTTTTTCATGACTTATTGAAAAATTCGCCTACTTGGAAAACTTTTTTGTGGCTTTTTTGGGTTTTGACGTTTCAGTGGTCATTATAGTAGTGGAGTTAGTTGCCACTTAAGTGACTAAATTTTATTGGCCTCTTGAGAAGTCTACGTGGTATAACTATATGATCCAAAAATGATATGGTGGTTAATAGTGGCTTCTACTGTGATGATTGGAGAGGACACTAGAGGCCACTTTAGTGTCCTCTCCAACTAGTTCTTAAGGAACCTCTCAAGTGGCCACTAGAGTTTTTTTTTCGGTCGAGATTATTTTCCATGCCTCTTTGAAATTCTCAAACAACATATTAGGAATGGAATATGGAAAATATGTAAGAAAACAAAACGAGAAAAATTAATCGTTTTGGACGAAAATGACGAAAAGCTGTGAAAAAAAAACTATTCAAACATTCAAAAAAGGTTACTGTATTCATAACGTCTGCACCGGTTCCTACATACAGTTAGGCTATCGAAATCGAAAAAAAAGATGAACAAAGACGCGAATTTTTTGGCTTCTTCTTTTTCTCGTGGTTGCAATGCCCGCAGTCAAGTCAGGCATGAATAACTTATTGCCGACGGAGCTGCAAAAAGCTCAACGTTTCTCTGGGAAAAAATTGATCTTTGCACCGAGTTTCCTCGGAAAATTATTTCATTAAATGAGCATTTGGCTTTTTTGATTCTTGGTTGGAAGTTTGAGTAGGAGCTGGATATTTTCGGAGCTCTTGAAGTGCGAAAATAAGTTTTTTCGAAAATGAGAGACTCATGACTTTTGACACTTACCTGAAGGTGTTCCTATTAATTACCACAAATTTGCTAGGAAACAAGGTTGTTCGAGGTCTCTAATTGTCTCAAAATTCTTGAGACGAGGTCTTGTCTCGACTGCGAGACCCACGTTAAAAAAAATTGACGTATGATTCGAAAATTTTGCTGAATCTTACTCAGGTAATGGAATTTTCGAGTATATTCTGCGTAATTTGATATTTAATAAACCAATTTTCACTACCTGAATTAGTAAGATCAAAAAAAGGAACACACAACGCATGTGTTTTGTATTCTAATACCCTTCAAAGAAACAAAATTGAAAAGAATTGTCCATAATCTTATTGCTCCTATCAGTCTCAAAATCAAATTCAGAATCGTGTAACTCGAGTAATCTGGTCGGAATTAGGGCATTAATGCGGGAAAAAAGTAGCCAAGCTTTTTTTGCCGCCGCTGTCGGGCGAGGCAAACTGAAGAAACAAGACGAAAGAAAAAAAAATGAAACGGACGGCCCGACAAGGTTATCTCGCGGAACTATCAAAGTAGCACGGGGCTTCTCGAAGGTTGTGAGTCAGAATGAAAAGAATTCCGATGCGTTTCGTCATAATTTTGTAAGAAAGCTTGCTTTTCTGTTATGGGAATGGATCCCGGGTACTGTAGAACTGGATTCTTTCGCCCACATTCAAAGTTTGGCCTTCTAAACATTTCAGAGGCCTCAGAAATTTAAATAATAGAACTTTTGAAGCTCGGAATTTACTGGAAAGATTCCAGTGGCCTTGAAAAGTTAAACAAGAGAATTTTTGATATCCTGATGTTTCTGAAAATATGCCTCAAAAAATATAGCCATTTCAAAGTTGAAGGTTTCTGAAAAATATTTCACTTGTCCCAAAAATTATGAAACGAAAAGAAAAAGCGCTTGAAAAAAACCAGTAGAAATGGTTTTTTTCTATTTTTTTCTTTTGGAAAGTTTACAAAAGTCACACAACTGTAAATAAAAAAGTTTTTGAGTGCCGAAGCTTTTAATTCCCGTTTCTTGCACCCAAAAAACCCATTTTTAAGGCTTTCCGCTCCAAAAAATAAAATACTGAGTGGTTCGTATACTTCAGGATCTTAATCTAGTACATCAAAAGAAATGTGGCCGAAACTCTCAACATTCAAGGAAAATGAACTTCCATATAAGGAGAAAAAAAGTAGGCAATAGAATAAGAGGTCTCAAAAAAATTAGATTCCAGTACGAGGTTTTGCTCAATTTGATTTTTAAAGTAATTCGATCACAGTTTTTAATATTTCGGTTTTTGAATTTCAAATAACCTTTTCTTCAAACTTTTCATGAAATTTTTTTCTGGAATATAGAAAATCTCATGTACCGTTTACAGATGCACGGTCTACGAGAAAATCCAACCGCGTCCCAAAAAAATGGATTGATGATGTTGGAAGACGAGGAAATCGGAAGGCCCCGAACAATTATCGTAGTGAGTTATGAGGATTTTTTTTTTCTCTTTTCCTATGATCCACGACGTTTATCTATCATTGTAGAGAAAATGCAAGAAGAGGATTTTTTTTTTCCGACCGAGAAAAAAAAATTGACGAGTCGTTCGCCTTGATAGTGGAAGAAGAATGAAAGAAAAAACTTTGAAATCGGTAAATTTTTCAAAAAAAAAAGTCATAATTATTATTACTAGACAATTCCCCTTCCCTGTAAGATTAAATGGATTTGAATATGTTTGAACTTTTCACAGTTTGTTTCCGAATTGCGCGAAATTCGCTCTCGACTGTATATGACTCGCGCTTAAAATATAAGAAACCATGATACTTGATTGCATCTCTTCGAAATCCACAGCTTCTTTTCGAGCCATTCCAAATGCGACTAGATATTCGAGATTTCGAGTAGGGTTACCGTAGGAGATCGATGAGATATTCAAATTTTTATGAGTTATCGGTTTTTTTTAATTTAACTAAATCCTTTAATTTTTTCGTTTTGCAGAGATTTGATAGTGGTTTGAGTTTCAGCGTTTCTCTGACCTTTTGGAATTTCCCTTGAGCTATCATACCAACCAAAACCATTATTTATCCCCTCTTGAAACATCAAAAGTGTCCAGAGTACTGTAACGACCTCTCAAACTTCGGGAAGTCAGGTGAACTTTTACCTCCTTTCGAGACTGAAAGAATGATGGAAAGTTGAAAAATATAGAACGGTTTGAGCCAATTATTGCATAACTAGTGGCGGGAGTTCCGCGGGAACGGCGACTCTTCGAAAAAGGGCCACGCCTTCTCCTCACGCGTGGCGTTTACTCTTTGGAACTTCCATTAATGGGCGCATAACTGTCTCCCGTTGGGTCGGCCCGAGTGAAATCGTCCGATTAGTGGACTTTGTTTATGGCCTGCGGTTTATTCATTACTCCCGTTGTTGTTATTTTAGCTTGTAGTATGTTTGATAAGGCTTGAAGAAAGGAAATCCTCTTAGTTTCAAAATATTCCCCGAATTTCTTGAAAACGTCTTTGTTCTGAAATCAAACTTCAAAAGTAGGAGTTCCACAGCAGTTTCTTGAATAACACCCTTTGTTCAAGCTACAAAGTTTTGAATTTTCCTCCCATTGGTCAAATTTTTTTTAGCGTGTTCTCGAAAAATTTCTTCAAACCATGATCTACCTACTTTAAAAGTTTCTGAAAGTTTTCAAAATTTTCTGTGACTTCCTCTGACACTTTTGAAGTTTTCCGAAGTTTTAAAAAGGTCCCTGAAGCTTTGATCCTTCCTGAAAAGACTTGTGATCAGATCTAGTTTATTTCATACCTTGTAACGGATATTAGAAATTTATTTTCTGTTTTTTACAATAATTCTCCTTGCTCTAATTGGAAATATTTATCATTTATGGTCTTCAAGGTTTCTAATCTATCTGGAACGATCGGCATTTCATTTTTCGTACTTTCATTCAAAGAACCGACTTGAATGATTTTTATTTTTAAATTGCTGATTAAATGCGGATTTTCTGAAAGCGAAAAAGTTGGTGTAAAAATTAGGATGGCACTCTTGGGATTCAGCGGACTTCAAATTTGAAAATACTGCAAAAAAATTATTTTTTTCTTACCATTCTTGCACGAATTATCATCACCTGAGCGTTTTTTATTCCCTAGGTCTTTCATTTAATTATTCCATGAGGACTTCAGTATCCCATCGAGGTCCGAAAGTTCATCAGCAAACCCAAAAAGGCTCTCAAAATTAATCTCTGAAGCTATAGTTCCACTGACCGGTTTTAACTTCCTTTTCCGCTGTCTTCATGAAAATTGCTACTTTTCACATTTTTATGAACTTTCCCATCTCCAAAATAACTGGACACTATCTAGAGGAAGATATATATTTATTTTCGGCCTCCTCGTTATTTTTTGATGATGCCCCACATTTTACCGCATTTTCACGGCTCACCATTGACAACTGGTTTCTGCTTTACGGTTTTTTGCGCTATTTTTGAGATTTTGTTTAAATGACCTTTCTCTTTGTATCGAGAGGTATCCGGTTCATCGGAAAAAAATTTAGGCAAAATAGCCGCGTCAAAAATGATCCATGGCTAATTGGTTGAATTTATAAGTTTTTTTTAATACTTGCATTTACTAGGTTCAATACCTGATATTGGTTTCATTCACAAAAAAAATGTTGAATTTTCAAATGCGAATGCTTCATTTTCTTCCGAATATCGGAAAGATTATCCTTAGAGCGCATATGAAAGCATTTTTGCGGCTGTTTTGACGCAACACTTTTTTAACCTCACAAAGTAAGTAACTTTCCCAAGATTGGAATATTTTACAGAATTTTAAAAGATTCAATTGATACTTCAGGAAAAATTGCGGCCATTTTCAGAAAATGAACCGGGTTAAAATCTTCAAGTTGAAAACCGAGTGTTGCGATTTTTGATTTCGAGGCGTTCCGGCGCGGTGATTTTTCAAGTTCATGAGGGGGCAGGAAATCCGATCGACGATGAAATGAATGGCATAATGATGATCCGGAAGCGAACGGTTCCGGGGAGAATCAGAGCGCGACGCAGCGGCCTCCCGTTACATCACCGGTCGGATTAGCGGCTAATTAGTCCCCTGGCCACGCCCACTTTTACCTGACAGTCTAGCTGGATGTGAACAAACTTTTCCGATTATTACAGAAGTTGCTAAACTGTTTTATTTCTTTTTTTTTCAGTTTGTTTTCCAGAATTTCCGAAACTTTGGTATTTACTATAATGAATTCAGGAAAAATATTTTTAATAAAAAAAATAGTTTTAAATCTTTTATAATCTGTTCATAACCACTTGAGACTGGACTGCGCTTGAATTTTTGAATTTCAGTTGTTCTTCTGGAAGCCGAAATTCAGACCCACCGCAGAGATGGATGGACAAATACGCTCCAAGGAGTTCTTGATTATAGTGAAAATGATGAACAATGAAACATTTTCTTTGAGGTTCTTCCTTTCTATGTCTCCATAGAGGCTTGAATCTTCCGGAGGACGAGTAGAAGCTCATGATCACTATTGGGGTCACTAGAACTTTTTTCATTGATTGAAATAAAATTCTGGGTTTACCATATGAGTCCTGTCATATTTTTCAAGCGCAAACGGTCAAACTTTTTTCTATGAAATAATTTTGAAGTTCGGTTATATTCTCAATGATTTCTTTAAAGCTCCACACAGCCATAAGTTGAGTCAAACCAAGCTAATTTATTGGGAACTGACCGAAAATGTTGAATAACTGTACGACGAGGTAGGCGGGGCGGAACAGGAAGGGCCATCCATTGTGGAGGGAGAAAAATGGCTTCCGAAACGAACCGTTGAATCAAGAGCCTTTGTACTGGTTATGTCGCCTCTTTCCGTTTTTTTCGCCATTTTTGATAATTTCAGGGATTTTTTCGAGTTTTAATCCGGAGGATCCTTGAGTACTTCCACAGAAAATAGTTTCAAAGATCATATTTTGGTCTATTTTCAAATTTCTCTGAGAAAAACCTCAAAACGTTGAAGTGTACGATCCAGCATATTTTTCGTGAACTTCCGAAGATTTAATGGGACTTGTTATCTCGAGAAGCCCCTAGAGTGGTTGACGAAAATAATTATCTATATGAAAGTCCTATTGGATTCTCTAGGGCCACTTATTTTTACATGAATTTTATTTTTCTACACTTAAGTGACCATTTCAATTTCTTGAAAATCGTGGGTGACCACTTTAAGACTCTTAAAAATTCCCAGCTTTTTAAAAATCTTAGAAACTTCCCTTTTGATCAAGATTTGAGTAGAATATCACATAATTTCTAAAGTTTTTAATTCGAATGTCCTTAGAAACTTTTATAAACTAAAAAAAACTTTGCCTAGTTCAAGGCTAGTACTAAAATGAGCGGGAATGAACAGAAATCCAAGCTCATTTCCGTTCATTTCCACTGTTTATTGGACACGTTTCCGGTCATCTGGAAGAACTATAGTCGAATTTCTTCTTGAGTTTCAACCCCCATTTATTGTTTATTTCCGATTCTCGAAATTTCAAAACCAAAAAGACCTGGAAAAACCGTATTTGTCGAGCTATTAGGGGAAACCCGCGTAGGTTGTTGACTCAGAAAATGGTTCTAATAACTTGCGCGGGTGCCGATTTTTTACACGCTTAACTATCAAAATCGCGACATTATCTCGTAAATTCGTCGAGTTTACGGCTTAATTCACACGTGGTGCAAATTGCGGAGTGAACTTGGCATTTTACGAGCAAAATTAGAGAAGGAATTACGATCAGCTCGCCAAATTTTTAGAGTACGCTGCAACTTTGCTGAGCAGCTCCATTCATACCTGAATATTTTTCTCGATTAGAAATAAAATTTTTCTTGATTTATTTAATATATTGAATGAGGCTCTGAAGCACTTTTTTCGCACCTCACAAGGGAGATCATTTTACCTTGTGCTTGGTAATTACTTGAAAATTGGCCACAACATTCTAGGATTTACCAGAAAAAATCCTCTAAATGTCCACTTGAACAAGTTTTTAGTTTTTGAGAAACAAGGCTCAAAACCCAGAATGGCCCAAGTTATACAGGTTGAAACTTCCAAGATCTTTGTCTACAAGATCAATAAGTGTTTTGGCCGTTTTTAGGAATATCCAAAGCTAAAGCAATATGACTTTCCGCCGAGTTCATGCGAATCTAAAATTGTCAAAATGAATTTTTACTCTTCAACACGAAATTTGAGATAGAATAGACTGTTTTATTCTTTCATCCACGAACTTTTCCCATTCTCGGCATTGAATCTTCGAACCCAAGCCGAAACCTCTCACTCATTCAGAAGAGATCTTTTGTGCCTGAGGCGACCGCCGACCGGCACCAACCGTCCGTTTTTTACAGAGCTCTGATTACTCACCGACCTACGCACCTCACCGAAAATTGCCCACTTTGTCCTATCAACCCTACCGAAAACAGGGCTTTTCATAAGAAAGACTCCGCCCATTCGCTCAGCGTTCCCCCGACCCACAAGGGAGGTCATTCCACTTTGCACGCTGGATTTTCTGAAACTTTGCTCAAATAGGTCTTGATTTGTTAGAAAAAGATCCTCGAAGTCTCAGTCGATAAACTTCTCTGCTTTTTTTTTTGAGAAAGGAGGTCTTGAAAAGGTCCTTTTTCAGTACTTTTCGAGAAAACGGATTTTTAGGGGTGCTTTCTCGAAAAACTAGTAAGTTTTGCGGTTGAGAATTTTCAGAATCGTTATTGTATACATCGAAAAACTTTTGAACGAATTTGGGGAAATTTTCAAGTTGAAAATTACTTTCCTTCTTGTTTGGAGCAAAGATTGGCACTGGAGACGGGTTTTTAGGCTTTTTCTTAGTTATTTCAAAGTTCTATTCTTCATTTTCACTAGATTCTTTTCCTAGAAATGCCTAAGATTCTCAAAAAAAGTGAAAAAAATTTTTTTCACAATATTCAAAGAGTTTTTCATTTAGAGCTAGTAAAAAAATGGGTTTTTTTCAATTCTCACTTTTATCCGAACATTTTTATCCTTTATTCGAAAAAGTTCAATTTTCTTCACTTTTTTCTCTTATCATTCGTCTTCTCTTTCCGCGATTAGAAACTCTCTCTCTTTTTGCTTTTTTGCGGCTTTAAAATGTAATTTTTGAATCGAAGGATCAACGAGAAAACAAAACCGAAGCTTTCCCTTTGAATTGTTGTTTTTTCTCACACACGCGAAGACTGCATTTGAGAGTGAGCGTCAGGCTTAGCAACACAAAAAGGACAGCGACCAGCCGTGCCCCATTGGCGCAGTCGGTTAGCGCGTGGTACTTATAGTCGATAAGGCATGCCAAGGTCGCCAGTTCGAGCCTGGCATGGGGCAGTGATGTTTTTGCCATTTTTTTCGCTGACTTTTCAGCTGTGATAGATAATTGTAAAGATGGTTAAAGGGTTTTTTTCTTAAGAAAAAAATTGATTTTTTTGCATCATTTTTCGTCCAAAAATGTGCGTCTGAAGAAATTTTTCTGATTTTTTAGGTTTTATTCTTATTTTTTTCATCGTCATAAATCATTCATGAGTATTTTGATTAATTTTAAGTAAATTCCAGAAAAGGAAAAACAGTAGATACAATATAATTTCATGTTTGATTCGATTTTCATCAAATAGTTCTAGTTTGGCTTTGAAAATGTTTTCAAATGAAAAAAGGAGTTTTTACGGTTTCTATGTGTTGTTAAAGCTCATCAAGTGCAAAAAATTGAAGTAGCAGGATTTCGTAAACAGCCTCCGTCAATTTCAAGCTATTTCTCCAAACTTGTACTTTCAAGCTGTTCTGCGGGAATTTCCACCCCAAAAGTCGCAATCTCAAGCCTTAATGTACATAAATCGCGATTTATGAAATCGAAAAGAGTTCGGGAAAAAAAACCACCTCATCCTCGGGATCGTCACTTGTCAAAGCCGAAAACGAAGTCTGAGTGCTTTAGATCGAGACCGATACGGTGCTGGTCGGCCTGTCGACGCCTCCATTTTCCCTTCCCGGCAACTTTTGTGTTCTGCTTCCGATTAGCTGCTCTCCGTTGCGAAACATCGTCTCCAGTGCGTTGGAATCTGCTTTAATTCAGGTTTTGATTTTAACTTTTCGAATTCGCGGAAAAACTGGGAGTTTTTTTTGTTCAGAAACCAATAGATTTGAAAAAAAAATAGCTTCAAGTTGATTGATGGAATCTGTAGCTTTGATGAAACTTATTTTTGAAGATAGGTTCAGAATCAGCATAAAAAAGGTATCCGATGGTCTAGTCTCTTTCAAAAGTCTCAATGAGAGATACATTTTTGTTCTGAGGAAAGTTTGACCCCTGAAAGAACTGATGGAGTAAATATTAGAGGTTTTTGGGTTCATAGATTTTTTTTTCGATATTTTGAAGTCCTAAAAAGCTTCTTATCCCACCTTTTATTGGATTTATTAAAAAAAAAAGGTCGATCGCATCATTTTCCCTGTCCTCTCAAAATGAAGTGAAAGCATTTCCGGATCAAGCTTTGCACATCGAAATCAAATCAAACATCGCGCACTCATTCATTTTTTTTCTTCTTCCTTTCTCAATTTATCAATTTTAGTTTTGAGTTTCATTACAATATTACTGAATAAGGAACTGAGTAAAGTGAGAGTCTAGTGGTTCGGACGACAAATAGCCCAGAAGAGCTCTTGGCGAAGAAGGGGAACCGACCAGGAACCCTGGGAACTCCTACTTGACGGTTTGACTACTTGTGTGGAGTAGGAGTTGCACTGGGAACTCTTGAACTTAGTTTTGGAAGTTTCGAAACTCTGCTTTGAGTTAGAGCCGATTTCAATTTGTTTCAGGCCAAATTTCTTGTGATAGAACGCCTAAAAATTCGCCATGAAGCTTAAAGGTTCCTGAAAACTTGGCTCTTACTCGACGCTTCCTCTACTTGTATAGACTAAACATTTGTTTAGGATCTCTTGAACATATTTCTGGAAATTTCAAAGCTTTTACTCAAGTTCAAGGTCACTCTAACATGTTCTAGGTAGCAAAATGAACTTTTACTAATAAAATGTTAAATTTGGAGCTTGAAAGCCTTTGAAAAGTTGGCTTTTACTTGACGGTTAGATTGAGAACTCTTGATTCTAGTTTTGGAAGTTTCGAAGCCCTGATTCAAGTTACAGGTAGTTCCGATATGGGTCAGGCAGAGTTTTTTGTGACCAAATGCTTGAAAGATTGCATTGGAGCTTGAAAGACTCCAAAAAATTGGCTCATTATGTTTTTAAGAACTGAACAGTACATTTTCGAGTGATTCTTTAGTGTTCACCTGAAAAGTCTCAATCCCGCGACTAGCGGCTCAAAAACTTTCACAAAAAAAGCAAAAAGTCTCTCCGGCTCGAATTAGAGCCGATCCAGCGCATCCCAGAGCTCAACCTTTCTCATTGCGTAGTGTTATGTTTGACGGGGGTCGGCATGAAGAAGGTGGCCGAATGATGTTCTTCGCTCCCCCTTCCCCGGTCTGTCCATTTGCATAATTCGACAAATAACACACACGGAGACTGTTCGAGTGGCCGTTTTGCCGCGGCCGCCGGAGGGGGAGATTTTTGTCGGGTCTCAGGTAAATTATGTCGGCTCTCTCGAAAGCCATCCGGCCCGGCCTCACGCTTCACTTTTCACGCCTTGAGGCCTCGAGCACCGTCTCCATTTCATCTCAGATCGTTTTTCTGGCCTTTCACGCCTCTTTTTCTTCTTCTCGTTACAGTATGTCTTCTGACGTGGGATGAAACGACATTTTTTTGAGCTCATAATCCATTCAAAATCGATTTCTTTCGCTTCTACTTGTAGGGACATTGGTCATACATAGAAAAACCGTAGATGGATTGACTTTAAAACTTCGAATTTTTCGAAACTTCCAGAGAAATTTTTCGGAAGCTCAAGTTTTTTAACCTTCCAATTTCTTTCCTATTCAACTAAACAACTCGAACAGAAAGGCGGAGGAACAGGGAAGGATAAGAGATTACAGTAATCCTCTTACTCGTTACTTTTGCCAACATCTGTTCCCTTTCTAGTTTTCCTGAGACTTCTATACGTTTTTTAGTTATACTTTATTGATTTTTGGATTTTTGTTCGTTTAAGTGGCATCTATAAGGTGTAACTTTTCAATCAAGCTGAACTATTTTCCCTCACGTAACTTAAAGTAGACCTGCTAACTGAAAAGAGAGAAAAAATTTCCACTCAAGTGAACTCTTACGCTTTTCTCTACTCAAAAAAATTACTCCATTTGAAGCCTCACCAATTTTTTTATATGGAAAGATGTTAATCCATAATTCTGATTAAGAAAGTTTTTTTGGACTTTTTTTCTATCTCATTTCAGTCTATTTTTTCACCTTTCAGTCTTTTCAAGCTTTTTGATTTATTTATAAGATCTCCGCAAAGCTATCGACTGTGATTCTTAAAATTTCTGGAAGAAAAAAAATCAAAAACTTCATCATTTTTTTAAAGCTCTGAACACGTTCCTGATCAAAATTATTAGTTTCTCTTCATTTTAGATCACATTTATATCAATTTGACTAAATTTCAATCAATTTTTCATTTGAGTGCCTTTTCATGATTATTTTTCATTGGTTTTTGAAACTTTTTTCTGAACAAATCGAACGATTTTGATTTTGAAGCTCTTTAAAATGACCTGGAAAAAAAAACATACTCTTATCAATTTTTGAGTTTAAAAGCCTTTCACACACTGACCAAATTAACGACTTCCTTGATTTTCTTCGCCTTTACTCGTTAGGAACATGGTCAAGATGCCGTTCTCAGGTGCGATTGTCCACCCGTTTGCCTCCAAGTGTTTACGGCCTGAGCCTACCGCGCGACCTTCCCCCTTTTTCTCGCGCACCCTGGCAGACTCCGCCTACCTTTTTTTAGCGATTGCCAGATTTTGAAAAAAAAAAATTTGAAAATTGGCAGTGTAGTGGTTTCACTGGAGTGTTTTTTAAAGACAAAGCAACCCGAAAAAATAGTTTCGATAGCTCTAATCAGTTTGATAATTTTAAAGCTTCTGTGCTTCAATGAACTTCGAAGTGTTGCCTCATACAAACTCAGGCCTCGGTAGCGCAAAACGGACTCGCTTCTTTTCAAGTAATCGCTCAAGTTTGGTGAAGTTCACAAAGAGATCACTAGGTGCTCAGAAATGTCCGATTTGCGCTACCAAGGTCCGAGATGGTGTCGGTCTCGAGACGACCCCGTACTTCTGAGTGATTACTAAAGTAGTTAACGAATATCAAGTGAACACTGAAAGGGTCAGAAAAATTGAAAAGGGCAATATATTTGACGCTTCTCTCGTTCCTGAGGCGAGAAAAATACCGATTGTCCATCAATCAATGCAAATTTTCCAATTGAAACCCAAACCTATCAAATAAAATCAACGATTGTCCTTGGCAGGTGTTAATTTATTGTAACTGTTGAAAGGAACCTTCTTAAAAGTTCAAATTGAACAAAGAGTGATCCCTTAAGGGAAGGAAGATATAATTTTTCGGAAAATTTTTTTTTCTGTCAATTATCGGTCTCGATTATCTTGTAAAATTAGATCACGTTTTCAGATTTTTATCAAAAAAAAAGTCAATTTTTCAGAATGCGGTTACTCGCACTTCTCCTAATGATGTCATCGCTCGTGATGACGTCAACACGACGTCATTTCCGGCACCGAAGACACATGCAACCCCAAGAAGGCCTTTTTTGCGGCGAGAGTGCCAATATCCAGGGCGAAGTATTTTTTGCCATCCGACCATTTTATCAAACTCACCTGTCCAGGTTGAAGAAACGAGGGACTCAAATTATACGGTCCCCTACCGACTTCATACCATGGAAATGACCATGGCTCTGGACAGTACGGCTTGTATTAAACTTCAGGTGAGAATTTATTGATTATTTCCGAAGTTTTTCATGAGCGCTCGAAAATGTGACATTTTTATATTTTTTAAGCTATTCTAAGAGGTTGGGCGGTGCTTTGGCCCCAATTTGAAAATTATCTATATCCCTAGTGCTTTTCACATCATTTTCCACAATTTGCTATATCAAGTTCATTGTAAAAGAGGAAAAAGTTCCACAAACAAAATCAGAATGAGGCATTATTTTCACAACCAACCCCAAAAACTTACGATAGGCGTGTGCAATTCCAAATTTCGGTTTTTACAGCCAAAAAATTTGGAAATTTTGTTACGGTATTTGTTTGCGAGTACATAGTTGTATTGGGCGCAGACACTTGTAACGGATTTTCACAAAATTTGTTTTCTAAAATTTAATTAAGGTTTTTTTTGTCTATTAATTAGTTGCATGATTTAATATGTTTGAAAGACTTTCAGGATGTCATACACGTGTTGCGGTACGAACGCCTGGAGCAGAACTACCCCATTGAAAGTTGGTTTTTATAATAATTGTTTTTAACTTTCCTAGTGACTTTTTCGCTGCCCTTGATTTTAGTCATTTACATATAGTTGTAAGAAGTTTTTCAAAAAGTATAGATTTTATTCAGATTCTTACACTTTTTGGTATTCCCGCCTTGGATACCTCCTGTAAGTGTGATTGCGGCGCCGGAACGGAAGTTTGTACGGTTGAAAAATTTGGCGATGATCGGTATTAATTATTTTTGGGAGAAGAATAATTCTAAAGTGGTTCAGGAATTGCTCCTCGACGGAAGAGTACCCGACTTGCTTCACCAAGTATCATTCGGACGTTGCCAACACGGAGTGTTCGATCACAAGTCTTCCTGCCAAGGTATCGGAAGATGAAATCCATTGGCAAGCTGTGAATCATAGTTAAAACGGAAAAAATCCTTTGAGTTCCCTCAAAAGGAGGTGAAAAGGCTCTGCGGAAACTTTTAAGAAGCCTTTCCGTTTTGCCCAAGATAGAGAAGCCAAATATTTTTCTAGAGATGTTTTAATGGATAATAATGAAAACGTTAAGATGATTTTTTTTTTTTTTGATATTCGTCACTGAAAACAGTCGAAAAAGCGCGGAAATTCACTGAAATAACTTTTGAGAGACTTTTTCGGGCTCCTGTGATGACTTTTGCAATTTGAAGCGGATTAGCGACCCCTTTCAGCCCCTCTTTATGGAATTGAATTACTCAGAAAGTCTATTGGAACTCCCCTTTGTGTATATTGTCTTTAATGTGAAGTCAAGAAAGACTGAATGTTTGAATATTTATTAATTAGAATAATAAATAGTCCGCCTCGCCAAATGGCATCAGTCGCTGGCAGACGCTTCGGTCTGGCTAGTTTCTGGGGTGAGCTCTTGGGGCTGCTCAGATTCGACCGGCTCGGATTGGGCCTGTTCGGCTTGGAGCTGCTCAGCGAGCTCCTTGAGAACCTTGTCGGTGTGAGCAATGCGGAGCTTGATCAGACTGCGTCGCTTGCGTCCTCCTCCGCATCCGCAGCATCCTGAAATCGTTTTTTTGAATATTAATGACGGTAGTTGATGGTGTTACCGCATCCCCCTCCGCATCCGCATCCTGAAATTCTTTGATAAATGATGGATAGGGGATGAATGTTCCTCACCGCATCCGCAGCAGCAAGGACGGCAGCAAGTGCAGCAACGGGTGCAGCAGCAGGTTCTGCAGCAGGTACAGCAGCGACGGCAGCAGCAGCAGCAGCTGGAAAATGAGAAGAATGTAGTCTAGTGGGTAGTAAGGCTTGTTGGGGGCTGAAGGGTCGCTGGTTCGATCCCAAACAGGGTGTAGGATATTTGAAGGTTGTAAGTTAGCCATAGATTCCAAAAGAAGTTTGTTTAGATGTGAGAACATAAAGTTTTATGGAATTTTCCTGGTTCAAAAGCTTGCTAGTTCGATTTTGGATAATATCAAAAGTTTGAGGCGTATTTTTTCCAGAGTGTGGCTGAAGTGCTCATTCATTTCTGCTCATTCTCAAAATGAGACCGATTTTTTCCATGAATTTTCAAAATTTTTCCTGAATGTCGATTGAATGGGATCGAAGCTTACCGTGGTCGACAGCAGCAGCATCCGCAGCCGCCGCCTCCTCCTCCGCAGCCGCAGCAACCGCAGCCGCAGCCGCAGCACCCGCAACCACTACGCTTGACACGAGACGAGGAGCCGTTGAGCGTGTCAATCGCCGTGGTTTGATCTTCCGGCGCCACCGTCGCCAGCTCGGTGCTCTTTACCGGCAATGGTACCGAGTTCACCTGAAACTTCTTGTTGAAGATGGGACCCGTTATGGTTCTGAGTCTTATAAAGTTCCTTGAAAAGAATGGAGATCAAAAAACTAGGTTAGATACGCTAAGAAGGGAAGCAAATTCTTCAGCTCTAAATAATCTCAGACTTTAGCATTTTCAAAAATCCAGTAGAGGGAGAATTTCTTACAAAGTTCTTGCTGAGAAGATTAAAGAAGCATGGGCTGAAGGTAAAGTTCAGAAAAGCTTCAATCTCGTTTGTATAGGAAGTCTAAGACTTTGAATGGTACAAAAAAGTCAATAAGAACTTTTGGCTGAATTTCTTCATTCTCGAAATGGTAGCTAAGGAGAACCGAAAAACTGACCAAGCCGTAGAAGGCGATGAAAGCGGCGGCGACCAGAGCGAATCGTTGCATGGCTGCTTGCTGTTGGGTGGGGATTGAGCTGTCCCGAAATGTGTATTGCTCCCTCCGATCACATCGCTTTTATACCCCATAAGCTCGGCCTGAAATCTTGACCAACACCGCCGGTATGTGTCAAAATGTCGCGGCTAGCGGTGTGCAAAAAATGGCGGCGGCGCGGCAGAAAAAACGTTGACATTCTTTCGAACAGATTTTTGGGATTTACACTCGCTTCCTTGTTTTTTTTTGGCGTTTTAACAGATAAAGTCGGTCCAGAACTGATTTTTGAAGACTTGTTTGAAAAAAAAAATGTTAAAATATGAGAAATAAGCTCTTTTGGATCTTTTTCAGGAAACATTTGGGCTCAATCTGGATTCTACTTTTTTTAATCCGAATTTTTCATAAATCTTCTACCCGAAAGAAATCGTCTATGGTCCCTCATTTTGACATCATTTTGAGCTTTTTCCTCACTATTTTCCGACCTAAAACTATTTTGGCCCTTTTTTCAGGCCTGCTGCAACATCAAGATCAAGCCGTACAGAGGTTTGACCTACAAGGCGGTGAAGCTTCAGCAGCCGACCAGTCAGATCATAATCAGGTGAAAATTTCAGAAATCACTTCATTAGCCACAATTTGAAACTGTCTGATGTGTCTGGGCTCTCTTTTCTCACAGCTGCGAGGTCAGAGAAACGTGAAAATAGCATTTTTCAAGAGAAAAAGAGAGAGAATAGCATTTTTCAAGAGAAAAAGGGAGCTCAGGCAAGCTAGACAACTTCAAGTCATGAAGAATGGAGAACATCAACTTTGAAGGCATATTTCAAGAACCAAAATGGGCATGGCAAAAATATATAATAACTTCAGATCAAATACAAAATTTAAGAAATATGTGTATTTAGCCACACAATTTATGTCAACTCGTCGGGACGTTTGAATAAAATGTTTGGACCTGAAGAACATACGGTATTCCTCCTGATGAAATCTTAGAACTATCGAATTCCATTTCGGGTGATCCTGAACAAAGGACGAGAACAACTGGAGCTGAACGAACGGAATCGGATTTTGTTGACGATGAGAGCAGGACCGCCGCTTCAACAGCTGCCCCATGGGATGTACTACTTCCCTGAAGGTTCATCAATGTCTGAAACGACATGTAGTTATCGATTTTCTAGGAACTGATGATCTGCGAGAGGCCAAGATCAACGAGGTCAATGAGGCTTATCTGGAGAAACTCGGCTGGTACAAGAAAATCAACGGCCAGTGGAATGTCAATGGCAACGGCCTGCCGCTGAGGAACGCCTATGTGAGTTGGAGGACAAATTCAATTAACTGGATTTTCAGAATATATTGTTCCGCTTGTAATTTTGATTCTGGATCTTATAGAAGATCAAAGTCGAGTATACAGAAAACCTCGGAAAAAGGTCTATAGAAGCCATTTGAGTCCTTCAGTCTCAATAAGTACTTCTAAATTACATAGAGTGTCGAAATCGACTCGTTGAGCTTTTTGAGTAAAAAATCGATTACTTTTTCGAATAAAAGCTCTACAAGCTCCTTATATCACAGAATCGTTGAATGACTTGTCTAGCTTCAAAAATAATAAAAAAGGCTTGACGTGACAATTGGCAACCTTTTTTTCAGTGAAGTGATAAGGTGAGTCACTTGAGGGATATCTCAGCTTATTCCCTCAAGTGCCCACTTGAACATCTCTGAAGCATCACAAAACGTTTCTGAAGGCTGTCATGAAAAGTCTATACAAAAATTCGTTTCTGCAAGTAATCCCGCGCTTTTGAGAAACCTGTTGACACCTAGAGTGGTCACTCGGGTCTTCACTTTAGAGGCTCTTTAAAAATTACTGAATCATCGGGAAAAGTTGCAGAAAGTTGTCATGAAAAGTTGCAAAGGCCAATTGCACCAAGATCAGTTCATCGGCGCCACCAACTATGTTCTCCGTGGCAAGGAGTATTTCGACGACTACGGTATTTTCTGTAACCCTTTTCACTTTGAACTGGGAATTCCAGCCGAACGACCCGTTGTCGATTTTTCCTACGTGAAAAACGTGAAAATTGAGCCGAGAGAAGTCAAAGTGATCCACCAGCACGGGACGGCGGCTTCGGTTGGTTTCCGGAGCGTTTTTTGAAAACAAGCAGAAAAAGTTGACGTTTTACGAGCCTAGTTAGAATTATCAAAGAAGAGGGCATGAAAAGGACGAAAATTATGAAAATGAAAATTTATTTAAAAAAATAAGAAGTTTCACTTTTAGTTAGGCTTTTGAAATTTGATTTTTAGGCTTACAATCAATTGAGTAGCCACTTTAGAAGTCCTGTGTTCTCTAACTTTTCAACCAGAGCGTCTAACGATTGGCCGATTATGTTTTTTTTAAAAGCCAGAAAATATTCCCAAGAAAGACACAAAGTGGTCACTTAAGAGGTCGAATTTGACGCTTTTCAATTTTCGAAATTTACAGCTTTGAACAATTTTTACTGTTCCGATTCATTCTTGAACTCATCCCTCGAGTAGCGTTTCTCTAAAAAATGTTTCTTAGAATATTCAAGAAACTATAGCTTGGTTTTCAGATGTATGTGAAGACGGACACACGACCGAACGTCGCGAAAAGCCGCTCGATGTTGGCCAACTTCACCGGGATCATCTCGTTGGATCACACCGGCAACCGCATGTTCAACGCCACCTTTTTTTGTGAGTTTTCTAGGAACAAAAAGTAGTCTTGGTTCCAGAATTTCATAAATTCTGAAAAAGAAAATAAGTGGATGTGAGAGTATAGTAGCGGCCTGAAAAGTATGTTTCTCTGGTATCTCTACAGTTTCCTGCTGATATCCAATTCTAGATTTTCCAGTCTTACAATTCTGAAATTCGGCGCCTATTTAAGCCAAGAGGTAAGCAACGGGCTGAAGAGACGCCAGAGATGTAGGTCTTTTTTCTCTGGCGTCTCTACACGCCGCCGCTGATCTCTCAAATTATACTTTTCTTGTAACTAGACAGACCACTACACGCCCCGCCAACTTAGGAAGATCGTTATTGATTTATAAAAAAGCAGAAAATGGGCGAAAAAGAGGGTAGAAAACAGAAAAATATGTGTCAATATTCGGCGGCAAGGCTGCTGATGACGTTGCCACGAGGGTCGGTCATGGTCAGGCTCGCCGTTTCAGACGTCCTTTCAATGAAAAGCCTTTTTCCGTCGACGCAGACCAACGCGTACGAAAGTTTACCGTCCTGCAGATTTTTTTTGGAATTTGCAAGGACATGTACCCAAACTGACCGCTTTTTCAAGTTTGATCAGCTTGCCGCCGTCCTTCAAATGATACGTGTATTTCCGGTCGCCCGCTTCTATCTTGAAGCTTGGGCCCATCGGACAGCCGCCGCATGGCGAATTTATACTCAACCGAAGTTTTTCTTACAAGAAGACGTATTTCAAAGTCAAACATAAATCAAATGTTTTGAGATCAAATATTCATGAAAATTTTTGAAAATATTCATGAAAATCATAGAATTTTGAGTCTCATTAAGATCAAAAACTAAAAGGAAAGTCTGTTGAGAATTTTCACAGGAATGAAAAACCAAATTACGAAATTTTCGATTCAGTATCTTTGAGAAAAAAGCTCTCACGTAGAAGGTTCAGAAACTGATTCGGTAGGCTCAATTTCCTTTGGAGGAAAATGCAGTGGCACGCTCTCTAGTATCGGTTCTTTGCTCTGCAAAAAAAAAAACAATCAGAACTAAATTCACATAAAAAGATCACCATCGACTGCATGACTGCTTTCACGATTTTCCTATAGGAATACGCTTTTGGGTATCTGAAATAAGTATTTGAAAATAAAACGAATCGAATGGTACTTGGTTGGCGAGAAAAGCTTCTCATCGTGGTCCATTTCGCGTTCTTGTTGAGAAATGACCAGTTCTATCACGTCGATCTATACTTTCAAAATAACTCTTCATTTTATCATTCGTTTCATTTGTGGAGATTTGAATCCGTGTCTTTAATTTGATTTTTTTTATCATCAAAAATAGTTTTATGGGTATTTGAAGGCGCAAAAGTTTTTCGATTGCTTTGAAAAACTTCCTAGCAAGATTTCTTGAGACTTTTGATCTTCAGGATTCAGTTGAATTTATTTTCAGGGTGCCCGAGGAACCGTCCACATCACTTTGTACGATAATGATCGCAAAAACGTCGCTAATTTTGCCTGCACCACACAATGTTAGTTGAAGAAAAACTAGTATTAATGTCAAAGTCAGTCTTTGACCTTTTTGTTGAAAAAAAAAATGGTGAAAAAGTGCTGTAGTCGCATAAGTGTTAGCTCTGAAAGTGCATCGGACCATAAAACGGCTTGCGCGCGCCGGTAATACCAACTTTGGAGAGTTAACTTGAATTTATTCACAAGCAACGCTTGGAGCCATTCCGCATGCGGTCAGATTATTTCAAGCTTTGGCGATATTTGATTCTTTTTGGGCTACGGAAAACTTCTTATAAATCCTTATGTCGTGTTTTTAATGTAGAATCTTTTTCTTAAATTTATTACTCTTTTCTGATAGTTTTTTTGGTGGATTCTTAATAGAACTTCTTCTTGAGATCGTTTCGAAGTAGATTTATTGGGCCGTTTTTTTGGACTCAAAACCACAGCGCGACATTGTTAGGAGCTTTCCCGATTTTTTCTTCCTCGTCATATTGAAAAGCTTCACGTTTGCAGTTGGCAACTCTCTCCAAGACGCCGCTAGTCGGATAAGTTTGCCATCGAACATCAATCGCGAACAGTACGTCTGCATTTTGGCAGACGAACAGGCTCGCGAGAAGGAAATCTGCAAGTGGATTCCGTGGGATTTCGTTAGTCTAAAAACTTCTCAATTTTGTCATTTGAAGGTATGAAGAGCACTCGATGAAGCGCTACAAAGACGAGAGCCGTTGGTCGGCCGGCCACAGCCCTTGTCCGCCTTCGGAGTACGATTTTTGAATTATTTGAAGCCTTCGGGTCACCCACAAAATCGGAAAATGAGTAAAGATTTAGAAAATGGGTAAGAACCAGCAGGTTAAAAATCAAGAAAAAAAGCTCTTCTGACGATGTGAGCGATTCGCGGGTAGAGTCATTAACAGACGGCTGCCTCGAGTCATTCGCGAAGAGGCTCGAGTCAGAATAGTTCAAAAATTATACAATTCGTCGGGATTGAATTTTCGTCCAAAATTGTGAGTTCATTCATAGCTTCACTTGGAAGTTTTCAGGTGTAACAACATGGACCGGTCGCCTTCAGAAGCTTTAACATGGTTCCTCGACTTTACCTACATGTATGAGTTCGCCAACATCCGTGGGCTGGACAATGTGCGTTTTGAAATATAATTTGGAAAAACAACACAAGATCTAACATGAAAAAAATTCCTTAGAATGATGGTTTATCGTTTCGCGTGGGCTTGAAACTAAATTTTTTTTTCAAGCTAAAATTATCCTTCTGTTTTGAGCTTTCAATGCTTCGTTTAAAGTATTTGAGGGTAATTTATTTTTTTTTAGCCAAATTTTATAGCTTCTTTTATTCTGGATCCATTCCCTAACTATTCACGTTTTTCATTGAAATAAATTATTTTTAACGATTTCGAGTCCATTTTTCAATCAGTCTAGATTTTTCTTATAAAAACGTCTCGACAGAGTTTTGCAGATTATTCTTTTTCAAGCGCTACGAAAATTTACCCGTTTTCAGTGGGTAAAAGTGGGACTGCATCTGGCGTTCTGCACGATGTTGGTACTGGTGCTGATCCTGGTGCTGACCAAGTGTCTGATTCCACTCGCCTGCTTTTCCCTCAGCGTCTCGTTCAAGAAGAAGAAAGGCGCCAAGCGGTGACACCTTTTTCCAGCCAATATGTTGTTTATTGCACTGTCTTCATTTTATTTTATTTCTTCTTTTTTTGTTCCCTCCCTTGTCATTTTCCTGCCTTCAACACTTGCCCCGAATGCCGTTTTTTTTTCCCGTGAACTTTTATTCCAAAAGTTTGCCTTTTGTGAGGGCCGCGACGGTTTTCTTTTGTAAGGAATTTGTTTGATTTTGGCGCCAAATTTTTCTTTTTTCAGAGGACAACAGCAAAAAAAGAACTTTAGTGAATGGCCTTTGGCTTGAGATCAAGACCAATCAGAATATTATAGAATAATGTCCGAAAAAGAGTATTTTAGACGTCAAAGAAACATTTTCGAGGCGCCAAAACCACTTTAGTGATCACTGGATGGCTCAGAATCGTCCTTTTTGAAAGAAAGATAGTTGCGGTCCTTTTTAATTTTCAATTTTATAGGTCATTTGCCTATCTTACTACTTTTTAAAAAAACCCTAAATTTAACTTTTAAATCTCACCAAATCTTGCCGGCATTTCAGTCACCAAAAGTACTGGTACGCGAATCCTATTGACATTTTTTCAATGACAAACCGTTCCAAAGTGCATTTATATTATCAAGATTCTATTTTATCATTTTTGCTTATTCTTTTTGAAAAATTGTACATATTTTCTATCGCTTCCGCTCATTTTTCCGCTTGTGATACATTGCGTGCTTTATAAAGATTATTTTCGTTCGAAAAAAAAAATGGGAATTATTGAAGAGAAGCTCGATATTGCGTCGAATACTTGTTACGTTTTTCATTTTTCGTTACTTTATGCTGAAAATTATCCGTGATTCATCAGAATTACATGAAAAGGACTTGATGAACAAGAGATTTCATAGCCTTATTTTTTTGGAAAGCTGGAATTTTTTTCCGTCATCATCAAAAAATTTTTATCAATTTTATGAAAAATTCATCATTTTCATGTTATTTCTCACGATTTTTTTCCCCTTTCAATTAGTTCCTTCGATATTTTGTAGTGCGCCTTTGGAAAAAACAATGGAAATCTTTGTTTTTGATTCGCTTTCCAATTTGTGCCTAGGAATATGACATATGTTAATTGGCATAAAATAGATACTAATGAGAAAGTTAAGCTTGTCTAGTTGACTCTTTGAGCGGGTCAGAAGAGGGATTTAGAACGACAAAGGTGCGGCCGACCTGTACACGTGTCAAGTGGTCCCTCTTCTTCTTCTGACTTGTAGCCTCTATTAGCCTTACTCTACCCTCATCTATGCCATCATCTTCTCAATTCACGGATTCCTGTGGTAAGCAGTACTTAGGATGTGAAAAACTTAGGAACGCCAGTTTTGTCTTTAGAGGAGCGACCTATAAGGGCCACTAAAGCTTGCAAAAATGGCTACTCAAGTGCTTTTAGTTAATTGTTGTGAACACAAAGCATCTCCATGCGAATATCATTAAATTATAGCTTTCTGAAGAAAAAAATATCAAGAGACGATCAATCGATTAAGTTTTTATTAAATACGCTTTTTTTATTTTTCAAATAACGACAAAAAGGTTAACGAGCCCCTATAGGGACCACTTAAGCTTAAGGGGCTCCCTACCCTCACTTAATCTTTAAATTTTAGCTCTCTAGGGAGCAGTATTTTGTCATCTATAGGAGTTGTTTTTTCCTCACCCCTCCAGGGACCACTCCGGCGCACTTAAGGACTTTGTTCAAGAAAGAAAATCCTCATTCTCGGTAGGTAATTATGCTTTGCACTTTCTTTTTTTTCTATGAAAATTAGCCAGATTCTTCTTTCAATGTACTAAGAAGATAGTTTTGGAGTAAAAAAAGGGCTCAAAATTATAGGAAATCATTAAAAGCCAGTCGAATGTGCTATTTGAAAATGTTGGGCCCTTATTTTTCGAAAAAGAGTTTCACATTCTTGATTTTTCTGTAGTACATCAGTGAGTATGTGTGCCAAATTTCAGAAAGTTCTCACGGACAAAATAAAAATACTTCCTTGTAGGGAAAAAAGACCTTGAAAGCATAGAATTCCCATTACAATTCTTAACATTTTTGTGATGGACTTTTGCTTAAAAAGCTGTCATCGGGTTTATTGAACATATTTTGACACTGAGAAAACTTTTCCCATTGGATGGAATCTTACTTTTTGATCTCAAGGCGGTTTTTTTTGTCTATAATTCATCGAAAAATCGATGAGAATGAAAGTGAGGATTATATTTTTTGAACGCTTTCTGCTTTATTTCTTCTTCTGTCCCGTTGAGGATTCTTTCTTTGGACAACATCAAGTACAGAGCGAAATTTGCGAAAAACGAGAAGGCTGTTTTCGCGAGTACCCGCCGCACTACTTGTCTGCCCTATTGTTATTTTTGGTCAGTTTCGCTCGATCTTCGAACTTCCCTCCCCCCATTCATCTCGATGCATAATTTGCTGGACTGAAAACCAGAAATCTCTCTGATAAATGAGCCGCCGCCAGGAAACAATCGGTTTTAAACAAAAGTCTGTTGCGGGTTGATGATAATCCTGGCCGGCTCAACCTTCGGCTCAAATTCCTTTCTTTTTCTTTTTTTTTCGTTGTTTGAAGATTGATTTCTGTCTTTTCTTCCCTTGAGGCGATTCTTCCGAAACTTTCAAAGATTTTCTGCTTCCAGAACTTGAAATTTCTAATTGACTCATAATTTAAACTCTAGAGACTGAGAATGATCGAGGAATAACTTTTAATTTGAAAAATTTGCGCAGAAATAGTAGAATTCTGGCAAGCCGGTACTTTTTGAACAATAAGAAATAATCACGATTTTAATACTTCAACCGAAAAAAAAAACATTTAAGTTTTGTCTTATTAACCTTATTATTCGATTCACTGCCATCTTTTAAAAATTTTGAAGGTCAAAAAACTTTTTAATAAGGGCTAAGTTGAGTAAAGTGAAGCCCGATAAAATAGCAGCGCTTTTTTTTCAATGAAAATCTTTGAAATTTAGGTCCAATCGACATCCGGGTTTATTGAATAACCAGATAGACTGTTTATGAATCGTAGAATGATTCAAAACGAGTATGTGTGCGCAGCTGGGAATTGAAGAAAACAGAGCAGCTGCCAGAAAAAAGTGGAATTATTATCATTAAATTGCTCGACGAAGATTTTTCTTATTGAAGCTTTCGCGAAAAAAAAAAACTATTCCTTTTTATGACCGATTTTTCGGTTTTAACGGTTCCCATGCACTTTGGAGAAGTGAGTACGCGCGGCAGATGTGTTCCCATGGAATACAACTGCGATGGGAGAAATAAAAAACATACGGCTCTTACTTTTTTTTCTCCTTTCGCACAAACCTTTCCACTCGGAAATAACGGCCCCAACCGTTTTTGTATTTTTCGTTTCGAGCCACCTGCGCAGTCTTTTTTACGTCCCAGCTGCATTTACTGGTTTCATACCGGTTTCAAAATTCAATCTTGCATTTAATTCAGTCTGATAAAAACTTCTCGCTGTTTTTGAGCGTTCAGATTTTAATGAATCAATTTGGACCACTATTTCCCGTTTTACTTAAAATCAAAGAAGGTTTTTCAACCTAAAACGCTCCAGCAAAGCGTTTTTAACGAATGATGAATATAAATAAATCTGGGAAGGGAAAACGCGCTCCAATAATTTGTTTTTCCCGGCCACGTCATTCACGGTCACGTGTTTTTTTCGGATTTTTTTTTCTTCTCTCATTATTTTATAGTTTTTTCAACATCCTGGCTTTGAACTGATCGCAAAAGAATATTCAGAGGTTTCAAATAAGGCAGGTTGGTTCAATTTTTTTTTCTTTCCGTATTTTTTTGAAGAAATTGAGCTCAAACTCATGTTTGGAAAAAAAAAATTTAATTTCTCAATTGATGTTGTGCAATTGACTGAAAGCTGATTTCACTAATTCACTTAGAGTGTCTGTCCTTATCAACGCACATGATAGACGTTCGGCTTTTGAAATTAGATTTTTCCTTTTTCAGAATTTCGGTTATTCTCGTTATTTTCTTCTGTTAAAACAATTCAGCTTTTAAAAGTATTGTTCATTCGCTTTGATAAAATCAAAAACTAGGACAGAATTTTTCCGCAGTGCCGCGGAGAGGATTTATGTATTGTTTGTTTGCTGAGAAGTCTAATGACATATTGTGAAAAATCAGCTATTGGTAGAAATCCGTTGTAAATTTTGATAAGCTTGAAATCAAATCAATCAAATCATTTATTTTGTTGTTTTAGTCATAGATGTAATCGACTAGTCGGTGAACTTTCAAAGCTATAAGGAACAACCGCCTTTGGCGAAATAGAAGTCCAAACGTGTAGTCGAAAGATGCTCTAGGTGGAAGCCTCGAAATGAGAGCGACCACTTCGAGTGAAGATTTTTAATAATAAATCAATAGTTTTTTGTTCTGTTCTTTCTTGTTTCATTTTAAAAAATCCTTAATTTTTCGTCATTATCTGAGAAAAAGTTATTAAAAGCCAGGTTTAGCGCTCATTGGAAACTTGTCCACATTTTTACAGCACCTGGGATTTTTGGAAGCGCGAAAAAAAAAATGAAACTATTTGCACAAAGGGGCCTTCCACTGTTGATTCAGGCAGCTTTTGCGCTTCCAAATATCCCAGAGAGCTATTGTAAATGGACTATATGGCCAAAAGTTTAGCTTTTCAATAAGTTTCAAAAAAATTTAAACAATACGAGACCCTGCTTCACAAAATAATGTAATTTTCTCATTTTTTCTCGCGTATTTTTTGATGATGTTGAGTGGTAGAGCGGAAGATAGATTTCTTTTTTTAGATTCCAAAATGGATCATTCCAAATCCACAATGAGCCATTAAAATCGTCTTTTCTTCGAGCAGTATTTGCTCATGTCTAAGGTTGGGTCTTTGTCGAGAGCTTAATTAAAAAAATTTTGTTTATTTTAGACAAGTCTAGGGAAGAGTTTTTTTATACATATTTGGTCCTATTTATTCTGGGCTGTTTTTTTTTTCGGTTCCTTGAAGACATCCAAGCAGTCCTGTTACAAAAGCATTCTTTGATCTTAGCTGATTTCAAGCCTATCCTGAAGACCTGGCTATTTTTTTGTTTCAGTGCAAAGTAGGCAGCGACCATAAGGAGCTTCAATCGAACCTTCGAAGAGTTTTTTTATGCAAAAGTATAAATTTTAACTTCCCACCGTAACAACTTCTTCGTTCCATCTAATTATCTACAGGACACATTTTTACAAGCCGTTTTTGGATTACGTTTCTCGCTAGCTAGCTGAGTCAAAAAAAATCAGCACAGTTTTTTACGCTCTCTAGCTAGCAAAGTTCTACCAATTTTAGTGGTAAAGTTTGAAAGAAAAATGGCGCCAACCGTCGACACAAAAGACCTCTGCGACCCTGCGCCTCTTTCTCCTACTCCAATCGGCTGCTCGGTTGGGCTTTCCCGGAGGGTTTCGCCTCATCTCTCTCCCTCTCTCTCGTCCAACGGTTTTCGTCGTCTCTTTTGTCTTGACGTCTTCGCCGACGACGTCTCCTCTCTCTCCCCTTTTTTTCCTCCTTCTACTTCTTCAAAATCTTCGGATTTTGGGCCTTTCCGAGTATAGCCGTTCTCCTGCCTCCATTTTAAGCTACGTAGTTCATTCTCACCAATTTTCGATTAATTTTCTTTACCCTTTGAAAATCCCCTAAAAATGTTTTTGGGGTCAAGTAGCACTACAAAATCTTTCACACAATCTCCTCATCGCCGTTGTCCTTTTTTAAATTAATCCCCGGTATTTTGTAACATTATTTTTGAAGTGTCATTTTTTTCAATACGCATTTGTATCAATCAAAAGAGGCCGCATCAATTAAAGAAGAATTTTTCGAAACTTTAATTTTCCCTCTTTTCTTGCAAGAACGTCAAAAGTAACAAGAAACTACACTAAGAATAACTGCCGAGATTAACGCGAGACACTGGCGGTACATTGACGAGCTCGCAAACATCTCGCTTTTTTTCTCGCGTCCGCCTCGCATTTTTCTGGGCGCGAGCTCGCACTTTTCTAGGCGCGAGCTCGCATTTCTCTCGCACTTTGAGAATTTCCGAAATGCAAGATAAATGCGAGACCGGCGCGAGAAAAAAGCGAGATTTTTGCGAGTTCGTCAATGTACCGCCACCGACCTCGCGTTTATCTCGTCAGTTATTCTTAGTGTATACTTGATTCTATCGGCTTGAGTCAATATTTAGCGGATCAGAGAGCTTTTGCGAAAATAATCTTGAGGAGATTAGCAAAACAGTGTGTGAAAACTGTTTGTAAACCAGTAAGCAGTTGGTTTTTCATGAAAAACACTCTTGAGAGCAGAAGAATTCTTTTTTCAAAAGGCGTTTTCGATTTGTCTCGAGAATCTGTGTAGAATTTTGAGCTCATCAACAAACTGTTCAGTTTTAAGCTAGTCAGACCATGAGCTTCCACCACTTTTTGATTTTCATGAAATTGCCTTTTCAGTAAGTGACGCCGTTTTGAATCCCGTTTTGAGGAAAATCCTTTTCACATGTTCTCCAGTACTATCGTCCATCACAAAGCGGTTTTGAGCTACTTGTAGTCAACCGAAAAGCGATGTTTCAGCTTCGTCGCCGCATTGATTGGGTTAAAGCACCCGGAAGTCGGCGTCTCGAACATTTTTGCGTTGCTTTTTTTTCTTACCAACCTTTCACCTTTGTTTCTTCCAGGAAAAGAACAAAAAGAGGGAGAGAAAAAAAATAAAATGAAGGAGAAAAAGAAGAAGAAGAAGAACTTACACTTTTGTCTGAGGAGTTGTTCAGTCGGCGGCTCATCTGGCAATTTATTTGGTTTTGACGTCTCGACCCCCGGACGAAAGCATTACAACAGGCGGAAAGGCTCCGTCGTCACGGCCCCTAAGCCACCTTCTTTCTCCTCAATGTTTCTTCCACTTTCCCCCCTCAAAACAACTACTTACCTTGTCTTTGTGATAGTTTGCTCGGGATTATGGGTCTTCTGTCCGAAATTTTTTTCACTGTTTCAAAGCGCTCAATTTCGCCTCACTTGAAGTAAAATACCGTTTTAGTTCATTTTTTAAAAATTCAAACTAAGGTTTTTGGACGAACTTGTGATTTTTAAACATTTTAAAAGTTTACTTCGGAACTGGAGTCGGAAATTAGTAGATCAGAAGTCAAAAGAAAAAAAAATTGAACATATTTTGAATTGATCAAGAGATGCCGACCCATAATAATGTCCTGAAATCTAGTTAAACAGGTTTCATTCTCAATTATCAATTTCATCAATCAGATTTCAAAATTGAAGAGGCATTTGTGGAAAAAGTAATCAATCTTTGTTGTTTTTCGGAGATTCCGCGAAAAAACCAATTTTTTGTGCGTTTTTGCGCGGCTCCTTCGTTGCGTCTGCAAACACGCCGCTATTGAAACGCTCAACCGTTTTACCTTTTCTCCAGATTTCCAATGGTTCTTCCTTACTTTTAATGTATCAAAATAGCCTGAGAGCTTCCTGTAGAGCTTTGAAGCCGTTTTAAATAACCACTATACCTAATTTTGTGTACTTACTTTGAGCTGGGAATTAATTAATTAGAAGTTTGGCGTAAAGTGTTAAATCTTGACGTTTGTTTACGTGATTTCTCTGGTGTGACATCATCGTTATATCTCATTTCTCGTCATTTTGTCGTTTTTGTAATTCGCTATCTCAACTGGTCGTGTTTTTCGTGTTTCGCGCCGAGATTCTTCTCTATTTTCATTTTCCCCGTTTTCAGATGTTGATTCGATGAGATGACGAGCTATAGTTCCAACGTAGAAGATCCGGAGAAGCACTTTTTGGGCAATTTGCTCGAGGACGATTCCTTCAGTAGTAGTACCCCGTCGGGACGTGGTGCGTTTGGAGATAACCCGAAAAAAAAGATGAACTTCGAGGAAAAGGGATTAGCTCCAGTTGAATTGTGGGGTCAAGGAGGAAATTTTTGTTTAATTCCTGAAGGACAAAAAAATTAGTTAAAAAGGTCCAATCGGAAATTTTTTTCCTTCTTTTTCTTTCGTGGAGATTTTTTTCATTGAGAAAAGTATGGAAGTTCACCAGGCTTATATTCTGTTTAAATACCTTTTTTTTGTTCTTTTTAAAGGCCTAGACGACTTGTGTGACATGAAAATGACAGTGAAAACTGCTCTTCACCTTGGGACCGAATTTGACCCATGCTCCTTCAAAGAAATAATAATTCGGCAGGAGTTTTTGAACAGATTTAATGATGAAAATGTGAAAATTACTACGTCTTCAGGAAATTCGGCTATGATTATGAACTGTTATTCGAATCAAACAAACATTTTCAGGAGAAGCCAACAATGTGAACGCGAGTCCGACGATCCCGGTCGTCTCTGGCGTCGGGCCAATCGGCGGAACCTCACCAACCACTTTTTGGCCTGAACCACCGCCACCTTATTCACCGTCCCCCAACGAGGTTTCTGTGAAAGACTCCATTTTTCTTGAATCAATATTATTTTACACCTAGCAATTGCAAAAAAACTTTCAGAACATCAGGAAATTTCTGCGAAATTTTGTTTAGATTATCATTATTCTAGGTCAAGTGAAAAAATTTATGACTATTGAGTTTATTGGTGTAGCTTGAAATTGAAAATCTACGATTTTAATAAAATAAAAGGGTTTCGGGGATCTTGGAGGACTTGAGAAAAGTGTTAGTTGATCTTTGTGACCTATTTATCTTAATGCAATCGCCGAAACCCACAATGGCACTCTAGGTATTTGTCATCTTTTGGATATTCCTGTTTTTCTGATTTTTCCACTGTGCCTCAGAAAAACATGTTCTTTCGTACTTCTTGTATGATTAATTTTTACCGGATTCCGTCTTAAAGTGTTTCAAAAATACAAAAAAGCAGAAGGCTTCGAATCCAGTATCAGAATGTTTTAGAGAACATCTCTGTAAAGTTTTATCGGTTTTTATAAATTTTTCTCTTTAAAATTCCTTTGTTAGTATGTAAAATCGCCTGATTGTTCACATTTATCAAGTCTTCAGAGAGGATATTTTTTGAATCATGCAATAATTGAAGGGTTTTTTGCCGCTTTGCAAAACTGTTGTTGATCAAGAACGGAGAGTAGAACATCTCGCCCTTCTTGAGAAACTAGAAGACGAGTTATAAGCGTTCCGATGATCAGTTTCTCCGGAAAGTTTGAAACCTTCCTAATTTTGACGAATTCTTTTTCAGTCCTGGTACGCCCCACCTCAACAACAACCTCAACAACCCAAGCAAAACCCGCTTTCTGATTTTCTCCAAGCTACGGTAAAAGTTTGATCATTTGTCAAATAAATCATAAACTGTTTAAGTTAAAAGATCCAGCAGATTTGAACACGTTTCTCAACTATGAACCTGAATTTTTCTCGTCGATTCGGCAGGTTTTTCGAATTGCTCTTCATGGACTTTTTGATGATTTTTTGTTTTTGAAGAACAACAGCAATCCGGTGCAACAGCCTCAAATACACCATCATCACCACAATCTCCACCATCACACCCACACACACAATGTCGTGAGTTTTGGGATTGTTTTTGGAAAAAGGGACACGTTTTTTGAGTTTTGTGCAGTTTTGATACGATTTGTGAAAGATTTCAGAGCTTTTTTTTGATAAATTTCTGTAGTTTTCCGATATTTCTTTCCAATTTGCTCTGGAGCTCTTTGGGGTGAACTTAAAACTTTTTTTTTAGGATTATAAGATGTAATTTTTAATTTTAGGTAGAGAATGGCGTTAACTTTAATTACTGAACTGGTTTACAATAACTCTATATCTCCTTCATAATTTATTTATTGCCATTTTTTAACATCAATATATGTATAACTTAATTAATCGAATATAATGTGAGCAGGAGACTTTTTTTCTAGTTTTTTGCCGAGAAGAGTTCACGGATAAAAGCCTGGTAATATTTTGAATATCATTCCTAAATAAAGCTTTTTTTCAGGTGGAAAACCATCACCACTACATCACGCCGCCACCTGGACTGACGATTGATACGAGCCGCGGACTGGCGCTGTCCCAACAGACGTCACCTTCACCAGCACATTCTCCGGCCTCCTACTCGCCGATGGGCCGTCCCGAACCTCATCACCAGCCCCACAACGGCCCTCGGACGCCGCAACGTCTCTTCCAGCGCCAGAGACAGAACAGCGGCTGGAAGCAACACGAACACGACGACTACCTGGCCTATGCGGCTCTTCTCGGCCCTCAGCCTGAAGACGTTGCCAAAGGACGCAGCTACGTCAACGCCGTGTCTGCGAAGAACGGCGGTCAGCTTTTCATTCACGGTCCCATAGTTGATTCACAACCCGCCTGGGGCGCCACAATCTGTTCGGATTTTGAAGTTGTCGCTCAAGCTCCACCCCTAATGGCGTGATAAACAAATCAGAAAGCAAGCTATCCACAGAGCTTTACCTAATGACGTTATTGTATTTGATATTGAAAATCAGAACAGACTCTAAGAAGTTTCCTTCTATCGATAACTAGATGGATTATGTGAAAAGCCATAACTTTCAAAGAAAAAGAAATAGAATCTAACCTTTCGAAAGGGTTTGAGTCTCTGAAAATGATAATTTTAATGAGGATGCTTCAAAAATGCAATTCAGACAGACCAGAAAATCCTTTAGAACGTATGTTTACTACACATTACGTCAAAATTCGTTGAGCAAAAAGGTTTTTGGGCTTTGAACTTTTTAATTATCAAAAGAAGAATTTTTGAATTTTGATTTTTCGAACTTTATCTTCTCGTCAAAAACTAAAGGATCTCTCTTTTAGGCCCACCAAACACCAAGAGCAAGAGCATTCCGGCACCACCAGGACTCGTGAGAAATGCGATCGGAACTGAAATGCTTCTAAAACACCGACAGTCGGCGATGGCCCTGAACCCGGGTGCCGCCGCTCAAAATGCTCGAATCGTCGTCAAAGGACAGCCCCACTCGGCGCCTGTCGTCACCAAAATGCCGTTTAGGTAATAAGAAAATACAGTGCACAACTTCCTCAATATGCCTAGTAATGCTTTTGAACAAAATTTTCAAAGTTAAAACTGATGTGGAAGTCTCTAGAGATGGTTTTTAACGTTATCACATTTGGGCTTGAAACTATCACGAACTGTGAGAAAAAGAGAAAATTTTTGTTCTTTTTCGAGAGTTTTCAAAACATAAAATGGGATTTTTTTTTTGTTTGAGTTTACGGGGCTCCATCATAATTTTCAAAGATCTTCTAGGCAATTTTTTTCAGCACAGTATTGGTTTCAGCGTTGAAAACTACCCCTAATAGAACTAGTTTCGTTTGAAAGCCCCATTTAAAGCTCAGATAATCATCGGGATTGAAAAATTTGAATAAATATCGATTCTTGTTCCAGTTACCGCGACGTTGCTGCGAGAGAGCAGAACCATCCTCTGGCTCAACACGACAGTCCTCCGCAACAGATCGCTGTAAGACCTTGATTAATATCGCGAGTAATTTGAAATTGATTGTTTTGCAGCGTAAGCGTTCAAGCACCACCAACACGTCGGATGGAGCGGGATCGGTGGCCAACGGAACTGTGAATTCGATCATCATTGGCAAAGGAGGACGCCACAATTCCGGGAGTAGTATCGCCTCGGTCGGGTCGACCGCCAAGAACTTTGATGGGCACGACATCGAGGAGAAACGGCTTAATTGTGCGTTTTTACAGTAGAAAAAGAGGAAAAGTAGTGTGAAATGATTGGATTTCAGCCTGGAAATTCAGGGAAATGGCAGAAAACGGCTCAATAGTGCGTTTTTGTAGTAAAAAAAAAGGCGAAAAAATGATGGGAAATGGTTGATTTTTCAGCTAAAAAGACTAGTAGAAGCTCGAAAAATGAGAAAATTTGTTTAAAAAAGAGGTCTTAAAGCGAAGTGAGATCAAATTTGATCCGATTTGGTAACCGGTTTTTTGGAAGCAAGGATATGTGTCAAGCACGAAATGTGCTTCATATCTATACAGTTTTTCATGCGTTGGGCTGAATTTTTTAGTTTCAGTGGAGCGAAAAAGCCGATCGGACAACGAGTTTCAGAAGATTACGCGCAAGGGTCGCGCTCCGCCCAACAACAAGGAAAAAGGTGAATTTCTGACATTTTTTTCAAATGATAATTTAAAAATCAGACCAGTTTGAACCATAAAAAAAGTTCACTTTGATCTAGAAATTAGGAGGAAACTTTATATTAATTGATGAACGGAAAACGGAGAACTACTGTTCGTCGGGTCCGCAAGAACGCTTCAAAATGATGTAATTTTATTAATTTTGCAGCATTTTCGATAAATCTTGAGCTTGAATTATTTTTTTTCAAAATCAGATCCCACTGAGCGACACGACATCGTTGCCTGTCTTCGAAAACCCGGCCGCCGTCGATTCGTTCACCCGCTACGGCGTCCTTCAAACTCTGTCGCCGAATATCCCGATCGACGGAAAAAGCAAAAGTCTGTTTCAGTGGGAAGATGGAAAGTTGCATGAAAGTGTTTTCAGGCGGTCGGGCTGCCGTGATCACTCAAATCTCCCGGTCGAGCTCTCGCTGCGATGGTACGGCAACGTTTTTTTTCCACCATTTTGAAGAAAATAATTGGAAAATAGAGTTTATGAATCAAACTTACATAGCTCTCTTATTTTAAAGAACACAATTTTGTTCTTGAAACTCTGAAAGGAGTTTTAAAAAAGGTTTAACTTAGCTTGCCTCAAATATTCAGAGTTTGATATTTTTTATTTTTCATACTTTTTGTCGATTTCAATCGTTTCGAAATCGAGGGGTCTATATTGAAGCTTTGAGCTTTTTCAAAAAAAGAAAATTGAAGGTTGAGAGACTTTGAAGGTCTTTTGATTTGGCATGTTGAAAAGTATCCTGGTAGATTTTTTGGCGAACTCCAGAGCCTAGAAAAAAATTTTCTTGTCAAAATTTAGTTAGACCTTTTTTCACCCTTTTTGCGTTTTGAAACATGTTCTGTTACTCCGATAAACATAGACTGCATAGAAGAATAGTTATATTTGTAAATGCCTCTTCCAGACGACGAAGATGAGGAGGAAGAGTCGGACTCGGAAGAAGAGCGCCTGAGCGTCGCCTCGCTCAGCAACAGCAACACGTTGGTCGCCGCCAGCACGGCCGTCTCCAACTCGTCCTCCTCGACGACCTCCCTCATCGTCGGCGGCAAGAAGGAGCTCTCCAACACCTCGAGCACGGGCAGCAAGAAGAAACAGCCTCAGCAAGTTGTTCAGCGACGGCGTCAGAAGCGCAGAAACGACCCTCACTGGTCCGAACATCTTGGTTCGTGATGTGGGGGGAATGAGGAAAAGAAAAATCAGATAAAGTAGGAATGAAAGAAGGATTCTTTAGGTTGTGTTATTGGAAATTTATATAATTTAAAGGTTGGAAGTATTTTTTTCGTTCATATGCAAAACGGATGTTTCCTTGTGGACCCTCAGAGGTAGCGGAAAAGATTCCTCCAAAAACTCCAAAAATGACGGGAAAACGTTTTTTTTTATAGCCTCAGATAATTTTTTTCGAATCTCCTGGATCCTTTTTGGTTGCTCTCCAGCATCATTTATTAAAGGGTGGGAAAAATATGCAAAAGTTGGGATCTTTTGGGACCCGTGGAAGGTTTCTTTTTTTTTGGGAAAATTTTTGAGGAGCTTTTCGGTTACCTGAGTTGAGGCGATGGAAAGTGGAAATGCATAGCTATGGATTTTCATTTTTTCTCGTCAGTAAAATGGTTTTTTGAAATTAAGTTTTTCATCGAGAAAAGTAGGTTTTTGGGAAGCTCAGTTAATTTGAAAGAAAAAAATAGGAAATTTTTTTCCGATATTCACAGCTTCGAAAACGGCTCAAAATAAGAAGATAATTACTTTCTCGGGTATTTTTTCTCTATGAACGAAAATTTTTCAATTTTTCATCTTTAATATGCATCAAATTTTTTTTTTTTTGATAAATTTTTTAGCTCACTGTTCGTGTCCAAGAGTAAACGTCGACTAAATAGTGATCGAGAGAGAAATAAAATTTCAAAGCAAGATATATAAAGATGAAAAAATAAAAAATTTGAGTAATGAGTTTTCAATGAAAATGATTCCATTTTTCAGTAAATTTTGTGCTCCTGATCATTTCCCACGTTTCTCTCGGCGTCGAATGGATGTTGAAATTGGTCGTGGAGTTTTGCTCGAAAGTCGCTGATGTTTTCTCTTTTTAGTTAGTTTTTCTCATTCTTTTTAAAATTATTGCTTGGACATAAGAGAAAAAGTCAATATTTTTCAGCTCGGATTCATTTTTCTGCGCCATTCAGTGTGGCTGCAAAAATGGCGTCACAACTTTAATCGATTTTATCAAGTTTGTAGAATCTTCGACTTTTGTGATCTCATTTCCCATTTTTTAGGACGTCGTTTCAATTTATTCGCAAGGTGACGGTCACCAACCTTAGCCGACTTTTTTACATGGAAGAAGAATTACCGATAACCGAATGGGGACCTCGTCGCGAAGTGCCCTTGCCGAACACGGGTGAGCAGTTGAAGGGATCACTCAAAGAACCCTTTTTCCCTCAAGGGGTTGCTTACGAAAATATTGGTGGACACAATCTCAAGTTTTGCTTCTCTTAGTGTAGTGCGTGTAATGAAAGATGAGCCAAGCTGTTTCATTCGCGATCTCTTAAATGGGCGCTTGGCGAGCTCTTTAACGAATTTTCAAATTCTGAATTCAGCGCCCACTTGAAGTTTTCACATAATCGAATCGCTCATAAAATGAATCAAATCAAGCTTCCTTTTACAATAGAAACTGTCTTCACAAATAGGCAGGGCGTTTTTCAAGACCCTTCATTGGTCATTTAAAGTTTTTTGCTGTTTCTTCCTGATTTTCCTGAACTGTATCAATAATTACATCAATAAGTTCAAACTTGATTTTTTTATTGTCAGAACTACGTTCCTGAAGTTCAAATTTGTCTTTACACATCTATTTTTTTAGAATATTTTGTGTTCATACCCCTTCTAATGGGCTTTGTGAGATCACCAATGACTTTTTTTCAGCTTCTGAAATCATCGACCGTCTGCTGCGCGAGGTGGCCAGCGACGCCTATGCCGTTTTCGGACTTCGTGTCGATTGCTCCGAATCTGAGATTAGGAAATATTACAAGCGAATGCACGCGCTTCTGTCCCCGGAAAAGGTGTTTATTTATTCACTTTTTCATGTAAAAATAGTCTTTTAATTTATTCGAAAGGATCTAGTAAGTATTCACAATTTCCAGTGCTCATTGGAGGGAGCGCCCGAAGCACACGAACTCCTCCTCCGCGCTTTTGAATCGATCAACTCGTGCGATAAACGATTGGAATATGTTCAGGAGACTGCTCACAAGAGCAAACAGGTGAATAGCGAAAAACTTTTGAGGGAACCCTGAAGAGCCGCTAATAACACTTAAGGGATGACTAGAGAGATTACTGTGTGATGTTATTAAAAGCTAGATGTGGTTGGGTTTATAAAGTTGGTAATTAGGAAACTTTGATTTTTGAGCTCGAGTTGTTCAAAACATAATATCAAAAGGATTATCTGGGGGAAATTTTTTTTCCTTTTTTTTTTTGCTAGAGGTTGTTGTAAGGGTGAAAGAGGTCATTTGACCATATTCGAGCAAAATTCCCGTGTTTCTCTTGAAAAGTTGAAAGATTTAACTTCGTACTTAAGTTTTTGAGAAGGGAAGGGCAAAAGTGGGGGGATGAAACTTCGTAAAAAGGGACTTTGAATCATTTTGTAGCCAGGAATGGTACAGTTTATTTCGAGACGTCTTTTATCCAAAAAAAAAACGAGTTGTACCTTCAGTCTCACCTGATCTCTGATCTGGAAGCTTTAAAGTACCTTTCAGAGAATTTTCACCAAATTCTCTAACCTTCATGCACTTTTCTTGTTAGAATCATCGTGACAGACTTATTTAATCTGAAATCTTTTCTCTTTAGCACAAACTCGTGATGAAATGCTTCGATGACCTGCGCGAGCGTATCGAGGAGCTTCGTTCGACAATGTTCTGCGACTGCGGCAATCGCCACAAACGCGTCCTCACCGACATTCGCTACAACGAGGCCCGCTACTGCCGTCGCTGCGACATGCGTCATCCTGCCAAGCAGGTCAGTCGCGAATTTGCGAAAAAAAAAAGCTGCGACGTGAACAATGACAAATATTAATTTGAATTTCTTCAATATTAGTCAGAACACTTCTTGAAGTTGCGGAAGAAGATTTTGAAAGTCTCATCTTTCAAAGCTGTCGAGAAATTAGGGCTCAAAGCCTAAAGGGGTTCATTTTAACGGATTTTGAGAGTTTTCTTTGAGGTGTCCATTCTCGAAAAGTATAAAGTTGGACAGGTTGAGATATTTAGGACCTTTTTGGAAACATCAATGGGCGTTATGGTTACGTTGAAATTTTCAGGAGTTTTCAATCCTAAAGAAAAATGAGTGGTATGATAAAAAAGTCAGCGAAATTTTGAAAGGCGACTTCCGATTTTTTCGTATCGCTAGGGAAATTTCCGACGGCCACCTTTCCGACGAATTTTTTTCCGACTTTTTTCCCTGATATTTTTCGGTTTATAAAACATCTATTAACATTTTTTTTCCTATTTCTTTGTGTTTTAATCATCAACCAACTACCTACTTTATATAGGAAGATTTAAAACAAAGATTTTATCGAGAAAAAAAAGTCGGAAATTCGTCGGAAAGGTGGCCGTCGGAAAGTTCCCTAGCGATATGAAAAAATCGGAAAAGTCGCCGTTTAAATTTTCGCTGGTTTTTTTTTCATACCACCGAAAAATGACCTTCCTTGTAAAGCCAGTATGTAAAAGAAGAAACCCAATGTTCTCTATGATCAGTAGACACTGAGAAGGAAGTCCATACTAGCACAAAACTTTAAATTTCCTATAAAATCCATTTTGAGCGCAACCGATAGTCGTTTTCTGCCACCTTTTTGGAAACACATGGTTTTTAAAATTTGAAAAAAGATGGGTTTTAGGCCAGATTTTATGTTTTTTTTTATTCAGTTAGCGTCAGGGTAAACTATACTGAATTATAATATCAATGAAGCGCATAAAGTTGATTGGTAATTTTTAGATTTTTGGATTTTAGAATGACATCTGGGTGGAGAGGCGTTATTTTGGCTGGAAATCGGTTTACCTGACCTGCAGCGACAACCAAATCTACGACATTAGCGAATGGGCTCAGTGCGAGGTTCATTCTTTTCTTTTTTTCGATTCCGAAGCTCTCTTTGTTCTAACAAACTGCTTTTCAAAGCTTTGAAAATGATCCTGATTGATTTGCATGTACCGAAAAAAAAAATGAAAGACTAAAATTTCTCACCCTCTGGTTCCCAAATGTCTTTGCTGCGGGATTCATTCAAATTTTTGCGTTTATCGTTTTTTCGCTTCATGTAGCATGGTGTCCCGAAAAGCATGACCCGGATTAGCTTTGACAAAAGAAGATTTCGTTCATAGGAATGGAACTATAAGGAAATAATAATGATTTCAACGCTTACTTCTAACCATTTGTTTGTTTTCCGGCGAAAAAGAAAGTGGTGCAATGTCGCTTTCTGGACTGCGACAAGAAGAAAAGGTGACTGATTTTACTATATCTTTGTTTTTTTTTTTCTCCATCGGAGCGACGTCGTTCGTCTGTGTAATTTGTGTGCCGATGTTTCTTTCTATGTGTAAAGTTTTTCGATAAATGCTTTTGTGTGTTGTCTTTTTTTCTGCTTGAGCATCACCCTTTGCACAACCTTTGCATGTTCGAATGGCTAGTAGAGTGGATAAAAATAGCCGTGGAAGGAAAGGCGGAAGTTGCTCTATAGACAATATTTAGGCTCAAAAACGTATTTTTAGGGAACGAACTCAATCTTGGACCTCGTTAATGAAAAACGTAAGCGCTGCGGATTTTTCGGAGCTTTCTGGAAATTACTTATGCTGACGCTACTAAAGTGTTCACTAGAAAAATGCCACGGCACGTCCGATCTGCGATAACAAAATCGAGAAGAATTTTGAAATTATAATAAATTGTAAAAAAACGTTTTTCTTTTCCATGATTCGTCAACGGAGCGCAGCTGAATGCTACCTTTACCGCAGCTATTCTTTTTTTCTTTATGCATGACCTCTTTTGCTTCCCTATCCTATTAACTCATCATTTTTAACCAGTTATGCTTCTTTAAAAAATAATAAAGCTTTTGGCTTGATCTCTAACCTTGGGCTGGTTTTGTGCAGAAGTCGGGATTCCTTGAAAAGCCGCTGACGACGTCTTGCTTCCAGTACCGTCCCCGTCAGGCCGCCCCCCGCCAGCCACAACGTCGAGTTCGCCGTTGTTGAGAGCCGGATTCTTAACCCCCTCCTTATATACTCTCTATGCATTTTCTCCCCTATTTATCCTACTTTATTTTGTCACCTGTTCTCACCATTGAATGCTGTTGTTGATGTTGTATTCGTGCTCACAGACACTTTTTTTTTCTTTGATTGATTATTTGATCCTAACCTCTTTCCCCATCTTTCCTCAATATTTCACCTTCGAGAAGCGGCCACAATGGATTTTTTCGGTGTGTTTTTCTTGGATGACTTTGGTGGTAGTAGTTTGAAGTTATTGCAACACTGACAACACTGAGCACTTGCTAGAATCCTTTTTTTTATATCTTTTTGTGGTTTTCGTGCTGGGTGGTGGTGTTTTTGGTGGAGGATTATCTGAAAAAAGGCTGAATCTCAATATAAGCTAATTTTGACGCACGGCTAGCTTGTGGAGTCATTAAGATTCACTTTAGGGAAGTTGAAAATCTGAAAAATAAGCCTCAATTGCTCACCTCATACTAGAGTCATAGAAATTTTAGATAAATAACTTTAAACTTCCCTAAACCTTCAAATTTCTGAATCAGGTTCATATAAAACTGTTCTAATGTAATCTAGAGCATAGAAATTAGCTGGAAAATGATCTTACTTTCAAAATTTATTAACTTTAGGCTTAGTTCATCAAAAACTCATACCTTCTCTAAAAACTGCGTTCTAGCAGATGTGATAGATTGCACAAGCAATGTGAGAGTTTCTAGCCTTCCAAGTGACCACTTGAGAGGCGCTAAAATCACTTGAGTTATCACTGAAAGGCTCAGAATTGTTCGAAAAGACAAATTGCACTTTCCCTCTTTTTCCAGTTAGTAAAGGCGTCTTCAGCCAAGATAAAAGTCATAGCTAGCCTTGAAGGAACTGTTTTTCAATATTATATTTTTCATTTAAATTTATTTTCACACATTTTCAACGTCGTTTTCAAATGCTCGAAAATCTATGAATTGAGAAGAGTTTTTTCAATTTTTTTTCAGCACAAGTTCAATAATTTTCTGTGTTGCTCACAAATTTCGATCACTTCCTAAAAGTTGTGGATAGTGTGTAACGGTGGAATTGTGTAGTGTAGTAGTTATTGAAATAGTCTCCTCTCACTGTTTTTCCAATATTCTTCGCTAATTTTTTTTTGCTTTTAGCGAAATATGCTCAAGAACATGCGACCTCATACACACGCCGTTCAGTATCGTCTCATCAATCCTCCGACGGTAATTTGAAGATTTTTTTGAACTCTTTAGAACTTCTGGTGTCTCCGCTCTCTTTTCCATCTCACGCGAGGTCATAAAAAGATGAAAAAAGCTTAAAAAGTAAATAAGAGAAGTCGAACAGAAGTAAGATTTTTCTCAATTTTGACGATTAGGCTTTACAGAGCGCAAAGAAAAAGCTTTGGAAGTCCCTAAACTGATTACTTTTTTCCTAACGAGCCGCAAACGGACGTTTAACAGTGGAATCCCTGGGCTTTATCTTTTCGATATGAACCGACTTCTGAACTTTTAGAGGCACTTAGAATTTTTTAGAAATTGTTGAGAATTGGCTGAATTATCATAGAAACCGGATTTCAGGGTATGGGGAGTGATGGCGGCGATCACTTTGGTGGCGGCGGTGGCGGTGGTTATGGAAATCCGTCGAACACGGGCGGAACACCACTAAACAGCGCCGGCGAGCGTCTCATGTCCGACATGGTCGACGAGTTCAACTGTCAGTTTTCGGCCCTTTTGAATCTTCAAATGCGAGAGTGAAGAATGACGTTTGATCCCTAAAAGATTTGGAGCGAGAGATCAACGGTCGCTGAAGAGACGTGTGGTGCTCTCATTGTCTGGCGTCTCTCCGACTCCTCACACTGTCTTGCTTGAAATTTTTTTAAGGGCAATCATCGATGACCACCATTGAAAAAAAAAGAAGAATTTAAAAGTATTGATCTGAAGAGTTCACTTGCGCTCTACGGCTAATTATCGTTAGAGATTAATTAAATGTTTTTGCTTCACTTCTATAAAACTTATGAGTATCATCAAGTGAGCGAAATCGTTCTACAACACATCATTTTTGAATATTGCGCTTATGAGGCTATAAATATCTTCATCGCAAACTTTTTAACTGCGTTTAGGGTGTTAGGAAAAAAGCGGTAGGCAATTTTTTATTAAATCTAAAATAGGTTTTATATAGTTTTTCACTCAAAATACAGAATTAAAGGCCTTCTTTTTGAGCTCTACGCGCTTTATTTGAGTTCTCCTAGTTTCAGTGCTTCGCCAGCAACGCGGATTCGCCCAAATCACTTTCAAACCCTCCGAGCCTCGAGATGAAGACCGAAATCGTCGTGCTGCCAACCGACGTCAGAAGAAGTGGCGATGCTGAATCGGCCCCTTTTCTCGCGTTTCAAAATATCGCCCTTTTCGTCCCCTATTGCCGCTTGTCTTCAACGATTCGTGTATTGCTTGTTTCTTGGATACGCCCTTCGGTTCTGTATCATTTTCTATGTTATGTCAGCTTTCAAGAAACACCGGTTTCCTTCTGGTTCTAGGCGTTAGATTTTCTCTTTTTTTTTTCGTTGCTTATAGTTGCCCTAACTGAGCCTTTTTTTTGTTTATTAGCTAATGTTTGAAGAGAGCGGTTAAAATATGCGATTTTGAAGAATTCCTTCAAGCTTTTAGGAGTTTCAGACTTTCAAAATGTCACTCTTTTGGCCGTTCTTCTGAGAAAAGTTTTCTGCTCACTGCCACAAACGAGAATCAAATTCCCTGCTTTTACCAACAAAATGTGCTCATTTCTCTTTTTTTGCTCTAAAGAAAGCTTTCATTGCGTTTTTCAATGTTTTTCCGACGGTTTGACCCTCATTTTCCCTATTTTTGCCTTTATTTGTTTGTGCCACACACAAGAGAGCGTCAAACCTTTATTTTTGATCCTAACTGGTTTATTATTTTTTATTTTCTCGTTTGTTGATTAAATCTTTTGTAGCAAAGTCTTCGTTCCTTTTTCGTCTTTGTGGTGTGAATTCTGACAAATCATACTTTTTCTTCAAAGGAAAGTGTTCTTTGACTAAATATTTACACACTGAAATTGTTTAACCAGAGTTTGCCGGCGGAAACTTTTGAGTGCCTCGAAAAAAAGTTTTTTTAAAGATTTTTATTCGAAAGAACGAGATCGGTTATGAGACTATTGTACCAGTATTGGAAAAGCCGCGAATTGACAATTTAGCTAAGAGTATCGATTGAAAGAAGAAAAAAGAAGTTATTTCTCATCCTCGCCGGAGTCCATTTTGTAGCCCTGCTCGTTGCAACGGTCTCCGGTGCAAGTGCAAACTGTGACGTCACCTCTGGTTCGGCAACCTTTGTCTGAAGACGTCGAACATCCGCCGGACCACTTTTCGTTAGTTCCTAAACTTTTTTCATAAAAAATCACGAAAAATAAAATAAATAGCAAAAAGAGCTGACGAGAGTGGGATTCGAACCCACGCCCCCGAAGAGACTGGTGCCTAAAACCAGCGCCTTAGACCACTCGGCCATCTCGCCACGTCGGAGAGAGAGACAAATGGCGCATGCGTACCCTCTCTCCATCCACGCACACACACTCACGTTTTGCTTTGTAGGAGTATTCGCAGGCGACTGGACAGCTCACTATGGTCGTGTATTGTTGCTTGGAATATTGTAGGCAGTCGTAGGCGGCCGTTTCCGGGTAGACGATCAGAAGAAGAAGTAGGATTTGCAACAGCCGCGGGATCATGCTGATTGATCGCTCTAGAAATCGATTTTTCAATGATTTTGCGATAAAATAGTGGAGAGTTTCAGTTTTCAATTTTATCGAGGTTATGAAGCATGTGAGCATGTACCACGATTTGAAAATTCGAAAAAAATGATTTATGGCTCTTGAAAGGGATTTTCTTCACTGAATTCACTGTAAGCAATTTTACCAGGAATAGGGTTATAAATTGATAAATTGGTTTGGTCCAGTTGTTTTAAAAAAGAAGAAAAGTCTAAAATTCAATATTTGAATAATCGGTTTTTGAACAATGAATTCCTATAGTCTTATGAGTTTAGGTTTGATTTTTGAAAAATCTCAAAAAAAAAGGCTACGAGGGGCGTGTAATAAAACAAATTTCATGGTTCAAACATGATGACCAATAACCTTTGAGTTTAATTCTCAATCGGAACGGTAAAAAAAATAAAATAGGAACAGAAAACAAAGGCGAGGTTGATGAGTAATGGAGATCTATTTGTTGGGGAAGCTTAAAAGTTGAAAACTGTGAATGTCTCCAATTCACAGGTTTTATATGGGTTCTTAACTTTTTGTATAGATTTTGTGAATTGAAAGAATTTGAGTAACTTTAAAGTTTGATGAAAAGACGTGATAATGACTACAAGCTTCTAAAATCTATTTAGCTTCTAAAACTCTTCGAATCCGAATGGAAAATGTTGATTTAAAAAAAAAGAAAGAAGAAGGGAAAACTCGAAGAAATTCTGGGGGATTTATGTTTTTGTCAGTTATCAGTAATCTAGTCAAACCCGGGAAAGTCTGAGTTGAGCTGAAGCTTCAAAATCGCCCGAAAACCTATTTTTCCAGCCCCTTTTATTCAGCAACTCAAGCAGATGGTTAGTTTTTGCAAAAGCTTTCGACTCTTTTTCAAGCGCTACGTAGTCTCAGGAAATCCAAACGGACGGCTGACGAAAAGGTTCCAGAAAAGGGCAAGGAAAGACCTTTGGGATTTCGTCTGGAAACGTAATTTTTCCTTGAAAAAGAGCCCATCGAAACGGAACTTTGAATTGAACAATTGCGAAAAAAAATCACGAAAAATCAATTTTCAGCTCGAACGTATCATTTTCTCTAGATTTCGTTTCGGATAAAAGTATTTGAAGGATGAAACAGTTATACGATAGAGGAAGTAGTAGGAAAGGAGTATCAAGGAAGAATTTTGAAGGGAGAAAACTTCCGTCTGTTGATTCGGACTGTAGGTTCACGCGCAGTTTTTGACTCCGAGCAGAGAAAGAGTTCGGTGGGAAAAGTGGGCGGAGCCCGGGCGAGGGAGAAGCTCAGCTGGCGACCAAAGTTGTTTGGCGTCGTTTTTGACCGGTTTTTCCAAGTTTTTTTTCCGTTCAGAAGAACTGCCAAAAAAGGGTTGAGTGATCTTTGTGTGATGAGTTTTGACAATGGAAGAGGGGTCACCCGGGTAAAAGCTGGAAATTTTATGACTGAACGGCAATTTTTGGCAAAAGTAGAAAAAAGGGCGACACGTAAAATTGCAGAAATCGAAGGTTTTGTTTTGACTCTAAAATATCGGTCGTACAGGGAATGGCTAAACTTGAAAAGGATGAGAAGGCATTTCAAAATGAGAATTTGGTGGAATGACCGCGACACTTTGATCCATTCCAAGTGCGACCAACTTGAGGGAAATCCGATGGTTATAGAAATAGTGTTAATATGATAGAACTCCAAGGAGACTTTTGTTTGAGCTTTTTACGGATCAATAATTTTTCACTTGAAATTGTAGTAGGAACTTCTTTAGGTAGGTTTTACTGCATTCTAAAGGTTATTCTCTCCTTTTTTTCACTTTTTTTGAGCATCGAACTTTCCTTCTATTTTTTTTCAGTTCAGACATCAGGAAGTTGAGCTTTTGCCTTTTGTAAACCTTTCCTGTTCCAAAGGGCTTTTGCAAAGGATTAGCTAACAAGATAATTTTTTCTGCAATTATCTCTTGCAAAAGTAAAGTGAAGTTGGACAAGGCTTTTTGGAGCAAATGATGAACATTTTAGCCTAAATACCGTAGACCTCGATCAAGGATTATCCCACCCACATCCAAAGAAAAATGTCTGGAGACACTCAACGAGATCAGTGATTAGCCAAAAAAAAGGCGGAAAAAAAACCTTTCACCGCTACAAAATTCGAATAGAATATTTTCATTGACTGGATACGTAGCAACTACGTAAATTTGTTCTATTTGCAGACCTGAAGTACGTTGCCAAAACTATGAATAATAAGAGCCGTGAGAACCTTCGTTTTTTCTCTCACCTGAACATGACGAGTTCCAAAAAAGTTTTTGGTCTCTGCTCGGACTCTTCTGAAAAACTATGCAGAGGCTAATTCGGGCTCAAAAAAGGCATTGTTTGTGAGAATTTGAGAAAAAAAAAATGGGATTTGTTTGTATATAGTTCATTCACCGATGTTTTTGTAACATGAAAAAAGTCATTTTGCTCCTGGAAACTTTAGATTCTAAATTTAAACCATTCTTGGGTGGTTTCTTTTTTGGAAATATAACTGACAAGAAAAGTAATTTTACTTTGCGCCTGGGATTTCGTTGAAAATAAGCCAGAAAATTTCTTGATGTGCCAGATTAAGATCTTAAGAGTCTCAACATTCAGAAATTCCTAGTTTTTTTCAAAAAGGACATCTCGAAGTCGAAACAAATCCGTTAAAATAGGCTTTTTTGAGCTTCCAGCTCTTATTCCTCGAAAACTAGGATGTGCAGGTTGTGAGTTACATCTGAATATTGAAAAAAAAATGACGAGTCTTTCATATCAAATTTTGGGGAAACTTTTTCAGATAGGGGCATCTTGCTCTGCAAACTTTATTTTTTTAGCATTTTGTGAGTATTTATACATATCAAGTGCATATTCGTGGTATAGTATAGTTCTTTGAAGGAAGTAAATTGGACGTCAATTTTTGTTGACTACCACATTTCCTCTTTTCTTATCAGCGAAAAAGATCAGCGAGAGAAAAACTCATGACAGAAAAAAAGTATCGCTTGCTGATATTAACCTAGTGTTGCCATCGATTATTAGCGCCATTTGGAAAGTGTCCTTTTCCATTTTATAATTTTGCTGCCTGCCTTTTTCAGTTGGAAATCGGCAAGAATCTTAATTTCTACTACCCTTTTTTGAAGAAGATCCTTTATACAGTCAGAAAAGATACGAAACATTTTTGACTAACAACTTTCTTTTTTGTAGCATTTTGAAACTCTATAAAGCTGAGTTTTTTTTTTCCTGTGAACTGAAATTTCACCAGAGTTTTACAAATAGCAACTCCAGAATGGTCAAACTCCATACAAGAGAGTTTTGATCGAAAAAGCCCTTTTTGTCTCATTTTTTCTGACCGAACGGTGTGAAGTTATTAGATACTTTGAATCCAAAGTTGATTTTAAAAGTTTTTGTCCTTTGCATATTTGAATTGATGTCTGATTTTTATTCAGATGGACAATGACGTTGTCGAGCGATCTGGTCTGGTTGAACTCAAAGATCCAGAAGAACCCGCAAACTCCGAAAATGAGGTTATTTGCGGCTTATTTTCAACGGGGAAGGGTGGTTTTCAGGCTGAAGACGTTCATCCGGGCGGATTGATTGAACTCGATCCCGAGGTACCGAATAATGAGGCACCTCTGAGAGGCGAGGAAGAGGCGTTCGAAATGCTCGACTTGGAAGGTAGCTTCCCCCTTTTTTTTCTGAATATTGAGTTGTGAAACGAGAATTTATATAGTCAGTATGCCACGACTTGAAATTTCACGGAACGACATTCCGCTGTTCCACTGCGTGCGTTCGGGAAGCGTCTTCCAAAGATCTAGATCACGCTTTCAATTGATTTTTACTGCTGTGGGAGAACATGAAAGTAGAGTACCTTATTTTTTTTTTTTATATTTTGAAATTATGCAACTTTTGATGGCTTAAATCACACAATGGCAACGGAATGAGGTCATATTCTTCTTCTTCCTACGCCTTTGTACCACTTGAGCGGCGTCGGCGCCCCAAGTCGATTAGCCGAGGTCCTATCCTGATATCAGTGGACTGGCTCGAGTGACATATCCGTCCTTGTGTGTGACGGCTGGGGATTTTGAAGCCGTGGTTTCACACTACCAACATTTCTTAAACCCCTTGGTTGGGTCGGGCGGGGATCGATTGTAAGAAATGATTGAAAGCGTCGCGGTTGCGTTGCGCGTTTCTTCCTCCGACATTCAGACCTTCCTGCTGTGCTACAGGGTCTCGCCGCGCGCAAGTAGTTCATTGTCGGGCGCAGTCCACCGCAAACCTCCGCACAAACAGCGATTAGTTCAGTGAACTTCTTCAAAGTTTTCTATTTTTCAACTTGAAGATGAACTGGAGCAAGAAAGGGACGACGAAGATGAAAATGAGGAAGAAGAGGAAGAAGACGAGGAGGAAGAAGAAGAAAATCCAAACTAGTGGGTTTTCAATTATTTTTATCCCAATGAGGAGTAAGCCTTTTTGCCCTAATTTTTTAATAGAAAATTTTCTTCGATTGAATTTTCAACTTTTTTTTAACCAGCGTAAGTGTAAGTTCGAAATTTTTACGAAAACTTTTAGCGAAAATTTTTAGCGATGTCAACCTGGTCATTCCACCGGGCAATATCAACTTTTACCACGATTTTAAATGGTACTATTGAAGGATTTCACCTCATTTTAGATTATTTTGGGTATATGAGACGTTTTGAACGATACCATGGCGTCGCGCCAGCAACCAGTATCGAGAATAAATGGGACCGCGAAGAGAGCCGCAGAGGCGATTTTGGTTCGGATCTATAATTCGAAAGACGTACAAGTGTGCTCTAGTGAACTATTAGCCAATTTATCCGGTTTCATGGAACGCAGGGATACTTCAATGGCTTCAGAACTCTTAAGTGATCATCAGAAATGCTCAGAAACCGCAGGGACGCGTCCGGTTTGCGTTATCAGTGTCAAAGTTGGTAACAAACACAGGATGAGAATTTTGGAATTTCTAGGGATATCTTCAGTGGATTCAGCACTCTTAATTGACCACTTGACATGCTCAGAAACTTCTCATTGTGTTATCAATGCTTGACTCGTAACGCAAACCGGACAAGAATATCTGAGCATTTCCAGGAGGACCTCTAGCGTCTTCAGAACTATTAAGTAATTGGAATGTCTTTTTTCTTATCAAATAGCTTTCCAAAAAGACCTTTGGAAACAAAATCCTTTAAAAGATTTCCGAGAAACTCTACTGTGCTCATTGATGGTTCTCGATCTACTTTTAATTATGCTAATACGTCTGGTGTCCTCCAAGGTACTGTATCTGGGCCTTTGCTTTTCTTGATATTTATCAACGACATTGTTAACTTGATCGACCCTGAAACCTCCATCTCACTATTTGCGGATGACATTAAAATTTACGGTTCTAACCCAGAATCTCTCCAACATAGTATAAACTCTATTTTTGAATGGTCATCTACCTGGGGCTTGCCCCTTGCCGCTAACAAAACATTTGCTATTCACCTGGGCCCTCGCAATCCTAAAACTATTTATTTGATTAATGGAGTTCCCATCCCTCATAAATCTGTTGTACCTGATCTTGGTGTACTAATCGATGAGAAACTCACTCTCGCTCCGCACATTAATAATATTGTATCTCTTGCAACGCTGAGATCCAACCAAATTCTGCATTGTTTTCGTTCAAAATCTCCGGCTCTTCTGTTTCAAATTTTCAACACCTACGTCAGACCTTTATTGGAATATTGTTCTGAAGTTTTTAACCCACCTATTAACTCTGACCTTTGCTACAAGCTTGAATCCCCACTCAGAATTTTTTTCCCGTAAAGTTTACATTAGATCAAACATATCTTTTGATTCCTATTCAGATCGTCTAGAGCAACTTCAACAAACCCCACTTTACATTAGACGAGTTATTTCTGATCTCCTCACTCTCCAAAAAATTGTTTCTGGTCATGATCACTTTCCTCAATTCGAAAATTTTGCCCTCAGATCCAATTTAAGGCGAAATCCACTTCGGCTACGTTCTCAAGGTCAGTTTTCAAACAACTTTTTCTTCAAAACGATTCCTATTTGGAATAAACTTACATCCAAATATCAGTTCACCCTTCCACCTAATTCTTTGAAAAAATTATTGGTCGTTTTACCTCGCAACGAATTTTTTACCTCTATTCCACCAAGACTTAACTGATCTCAATTTTTTTTTTCACTTCAACTTTTTTTTTCCTTATTTAAATTGTATATCGAAGTGAACTCGTTGGGGTTCACACTGATCTGTGAATAAATTATTATAACTTTAAAACTTTGAAAACTTTTTAGGAACTCAAAAAGGACCTGTGAGCTCTTCTTTCTATGGCCCTTTTAAGGTCGTTTGGACTTTGCCTGTGTTTTGGAAAGTTAGAATGAACTTAGAAATTTATAAGGAATATCTAGAGCGCACTTGTCGGTTTCCAACCGAGCGGCTTTATTTCAATAAAAGTTAATTTTCAGAACTTAACGCCGTTGTCAACCATCCTGATAACCCGGACGATGTTTACGCGATTGCAAACGTGATTTCACAAATTTTTTTCACAAAACTCCGTTTTTTGCGACTTTGGAAATCTGGTTTTCTCTGTCCCCTCCTCGTTTCTCGGCGTATCTCTCATTTTGATGCGCTATTCTCATGTTTGTCTGATATGACCGTTGAGGGAACAGAGAGACACAGACACTCGAAAAGTGTCAAGCCGTGACAGACAGGCCATAATTTTGTAGAATGTTGTGAAACATTATGCCGAGTTCAGAGTAATGTCCGTGGAAGTCCAATTTATCTGTGACTCTCCAAAATTTAGTTATCTTTTTACCCTCTGACGGCTATTTTGAATTCCGCGATATCACTTTGAAGACGCCATTAACTAAAAACTTTTCAATAATTTTTGAGTTTTTTAAAGTTTTTTAAGTTGCCTCTTTTTCCAGAACAAACTGATCAATGAAATGCGTTGGTACGACGAACTGTGGGCCAACAAGATGTACAAACTGATACCGGACAGATGGCGAGCGTCTCTCTCATCATTGCTCATCTTACCTCCTGTTTTTCAGTATCATCAGCAAGAACAACGCCTGGGACCGCAACTTCGACATGCAGGACCGCGTTGACTTTTTCGATTACTTGGCAAAGTTTTTTGTAATCAGATTGGAAAATGACCATTTTTGTCATTTTGAGATTCGAGCCAAGGTGGAAAAGGTACACGTATGAAGAGTGCGAGGAAGATTTGGACCGGGAATTCGAGATCGGAGGAGATTCGGAGATGCCCTCGGCGAGTCTGACGGCTTTGGACGAGCAAGTCGCTTTCCTGGCCCCTGAATATCTTGGTAAACATTCTCTCAAAGAGATATAAAGAATTCAGAGGCGGGAGAAAATTTAACTGTTTCTCAAGCTTTTATAGCCTGTTCTTTTCACTCATGCTGCGCCCCTAATGGCTCGATAAACGAATCAGAGAGCGACAGACCGTTTTCAAATGATGTCATTGTTCTTGAGATTCAAAATCTGAACATACTATATGCCGTGTTCAGAATCATCCCGAGAAATTAAAAATTGCCGTCAGAGAGTGAGAAAAATAACCAATTTCTGTAGAGTCAGACGTAATTTTGAGTTTCGAAATTTACTTTGAACATGGCATCACTGAAACTCAAATGGACTTTTCTCTTTCATTCTGCACTTTTTCTCGATCGTTAAAAATTTTCGTATTATAAATGCTTGATAAAAGCAGCGAAAATGGCCCGGCCCTTTAAGGGAATATTTCAACTTTCCGTTCTCGTGATTTCTACGGAGAGAGTGATAGTACTGAAATAGGGGCAGGGTGACAAAAAAACCAAGTTATCAAAAAAAAGAAAAAAATAAATAAGAAAAAAATTTGTAAGTTCTCAGGACTTTCGAGCATTTATCACAAGTACGGTGAGATGATTGATTCAAAAATCACATGAAGAAGGTCAATTTCGGTGATGAATGAATAGAAAAGAAAAAATGAAAAATAATAATATCTCTTACTAAAATATTAATAAATTGCCTAGTTCTCGTCATATCATATCTCCTTATCCATTTCATAGTCAGAAAAAGGTTCAGAATTGAATAATTTACAGAAAAAACGGGCGTGAAGGCGATGGCCCACGAAATGATCGACGACATTCTGACGGGATTCCTCTGCAAGGAGTACGGCTTGTTCCGGTTCGTACGCTTCAATCACTTGGCCCCCATCAAGTTCGACGCCGTCACTTTCAAATCCTCCAAAGTTGCCTCCTCTTTTGTGGAGAATATCATCTTTTGAAGCGATTCAGGTTTATACCGTGACATATATCAATGGAGAGCTGGTTTTTGGACGCTTCAACACTATCGACCAATCTTGGAATTGGATCCCATTTAAGGTTAAATGTGCTGCTTGAAGATTCTCGGGAGAGAACCGGGAAAATTAAAATTGAGGAGAAAAAAAAAAGAAAATGAAATACATGTCGATCATGTTCACTTCATATTTTCCAGAACGATTTCAACATTTCTCTCATTAGAGATTTGGATTTATATTTGCTGTAAATGCGTGCCAACGTAATGAGAAGCTCTGAGAAATTTTAATTTTGAACTATTTTTCGTCTGAAAGAGGTTTTTTTTTTGAAATTCAACGAAAACTGTCACCAGAAGTTTAAATAAAAACTGCTGTTTAGTATAACTTGGGAAGAAGAAGAGTCATCGCGCGGCTCTTCACCGACGGCCAAATTCTGATCCTCACTTTTCATCCTTACTGTTTCTTCGAGTATTACTACCAAAAGGTTCCTTTTTTTGATCCTTTGAATTATTTTTTATTCAGCCTTTCGTTTTTCGAATCGACGAAAGTTTCTCGCGACTCGAACTTATATCAAAGAACCGGCATCTTCGTGTCAGGGCTGGTTACACGGAACAACAGTTGGAACTGGCGAGAATCCAATTTCCGGAGCTCATCAATCAATTTTACGGTTTGTTTCAGATTAGATCAGAAAACTCTGATTATTTCACTTTTTTTAAAAAAAATTGAAAAATTTAATCGGAGGCTTTTTCTGAAGAAATAAAGTTACAGATAATTTTTAAGGTTTTTTCAACTTTTAACCTTTCATTATTTTTTTCTTCATCTATTTATTTCCTTTTACAAAACTCGTTCATAAAAAAAAATATTTCACAAAATCTCACAATGAACATAGGCAAAGTCGGAAAGTCCTTTATTCCCCCCGTAAAAGAAAGGATTTCTATGAAGTCCATAAAAGCTCCATAGAAATGTTCCTTTTAGGGTGATGAAGGTTCCCCTTTTCCTGCCTTTTTGCGCCATTTTTTAAACCCATATTCACCCTTTTTGCTGCCTCTCCCTTTCTCCAGCGTTTCTCAAGCCTTTGAAAGTCCCAGGAAAAATGGAAGGCTCGATAAAGGGATTCGCTGCCTTTTTGCTGCCTTTCTGCGGCCTTTTTGGAGCCTCTCCCTTTTAGCGGCCATTATCCACCATTCCGACTTTGCCCGAGAAGGTACTATTCAAAATAGCTAGTAGTCAGGTCGGCAAAAACAAAAGTTTTCCGGTATTTTTTATCATCGCTTTGAAAAAATCCTCTTATGGTTAGTTTTGCGGTATTTCAAAAAGGCAATAAAGCCTGGTAAAAGCGATAGGAAAGTATTCTAGGCGCGTTATTCTCAAAATCTCCTTTTTTGATCTCTTTGTCAAAGGTTAATAGTTTTTTTTTCCAGAAAATTCTTCCGATTTTGTGTTGATTTTGCAGTTACCTACGGCACTGACGCCAGGAAGCCCATTGATAAATGCGATTTTCAAATTGCGCTTACCGATTTCGATACGTTGGGCGGTCTTCTGCTCGGCTCACATTGGTATTTTTTTTTCTCAAGAAACTCAAAAAAAAAGAATGAATGCTCATTTTTTGGCTTCTATAAAACGCGAAAAAAGCTTCGTCTAGACTTCTGTCTCATCTTTTTCAAGAAAAAGACTTTTTTTATTCTTTTTCAGAAATACTTAGGATCTTCTGCTTTTTAAACACTTTGTTATCTGCTCGAAAAGCCTCATTGATAAGAAGTCAAGAAAAAGACCCTAGGAAGGTATTTTTTGGGAAGCTCCTTCTTAAGTACTTTTGGAACCTTTTTTAAAAAAAATGTTTGCTGACAATTTGAAATCTTCATTTTCTTTTAACGGAAATTATTTTGAGTTGAAGTCATTTTTAAAGTTTCTAACGAATACAAATTTTAACGAATATTAAGGCCCGACGAAAACTACTTGGATAAGCCGGTGACTTTCGGGGGTGTCGAAGGTTGCACCACCGGCGATGGCGATCGATTCTACATGCACGGCATCAAGGATGACTTTCTGGGAGGTGACGCTGTGATCGAGGCGGTTGTCGAGGACCACACAACCGATCCCGTCGGAGAGCTGATTACGGAACATCGACCGTCCGCCCCAGTTATCACTGACGGAGAACGCGTCTTCATCGTCGGCGGCGGTGGACCATGGTGATTCGAGCATTTTTCCAGTTTCGGAAAACTGAGGATCTCATTTTCGCTCGATAGTTGTCCTTGTACCCCTGTCCGCGCCACGACTATTTTCCTCCAACCTACAGAAACCTTCCCGTCGACATTCTCGGCTTTTCTCTGTGCATGCGCCTTTAGGCTCACGAATTTCCGTTATGTTGAAGGCGCATTCACAGAGACTGACCGCGCCCATCGAAAAATGGGTTCTGTAGCTCTGATGGAAAAAGAAATCGTGAAAAGGAATGGGCAATTTTCAAATGACTGGTTGGAAATCAAATCACTTCATTGTTTTTGGTTTTTATAATAATCGAGCGTTATGCGGCGTTCAAAGTAATTTCCTTCCTCAACCTGTTTTTTTCTCCGAAAAGAATCGATCATTTCAGGGTTCATGGAAACGTCGACGACCTCTTCCACGACCTTCCCCGCAAGGAATATATTTCGATACCGCCACGTCCTGAAGCAGAAGTTTATTCACCGAGCGAAAGAACCACCCGATTATATTCAAACGAAGGAAAACTCCTGAGAACAAAAGTTACACGCAGCTATGCTGACGAAGACCCCGCTGAGTGAAAAGGAAGTATAAATAAAAAATACCGCAGAAAAACGGATATATTATAAACAGTCGATTATTGGAAGAAAATAAAAAGTTTATTTATCATTGAGTAGCCAACCACTCATGATGCCGTGCAGATAGAATTATATTCCCTCAAACTTTCTAATAAGTTTAACGTTGAACGAATATCAATGCCTGACGAAAACTATTTGGAAAAGAATGTGATAAACGGAGGTGTCGAAGGTTGCACAACCGGCGATGGCGATCGATTCTCCAAAAAAGGTTCTAAAAAGGTCTAGAAGTATCTGAAAAACAGCTTGACAAAAAAAGACCTTCCTAGGGTCTTTTCTTGACTTCTCATCAGTGAGGCTCTCCTAGCAGATAACGAAGTATTTAAGAGCAGAAGGTCTTAACAAGGAAATTGTGTAAGGTGAGCATTACAGATATGGTTCGAACTTCTGTGGTAGATAGTCCCAGGTATGAGTATTCAAAAACAGAAAAAGTTATCTGCTGAGCACCATAGGATACTGAGAAATAGTCTGTCGAAAATGTGAGGAAAAGGCTCAAAAACTGATTTTCTTCAGTTTTTTGATTCCCAAACGTCTACTGTTATTCAGTATATCATAAGAACCTCGAAAAGGAAAATTTTTTCCCAAAAAACCCAAGGATACTTCGTTTTTAGCGTTTTTCACAAAGCCAAATGTGAAGACAGAATGGTTCCAAGTCTTCTAAGAAAATAGTTACACAGACGAATCGAGAAGGTACCGTAATGTGTCCACAAAGATACCTCTCAAAATGGATCGTGAAGTCCCCATAATGTATCCTTCGTCAGACCTCCGGCATACCTTTTAGCTACATCTGAGCCTTATCGGAGGTACTTTAGAGTCTCTCTCAAGCCCCTCTTATTTTGTTCAAAGTCCTCAGAGGTATACTCGAGGTACCATCGTGAGACTTCAGGGTCTCGCGATACCCTTTCTATTTCTATTTCTACCCTTTCTAGATCTAGATTCGCCTATGAATTCGTTATGAAACAAAGAACTTTTTAATTTTATTTATGTTGTCTCGCTGTATCATTTATTTTAACTTATCTTCTTTGAAGAGGATATTTCTGCCGATGGATAAAAACAATTCTATATAACGCTTCAATGATATAACTTGAGTTTGGTATTTTAAAAAAAATTAGTTCGAAATATTTCGAAATTGACGCCAGTGCACACGAAATGCGCTAATAAGAAATTCACGCGCGCGCGCGCCTATTCAAAAGTTGAAACATTTCCTTCTTCTTTTTCTTCTTCTTCTTTCATTCTGAACGTTTTTGTCCTTTGTACTTCGTTTATTCCTCTTTCAAATGTGTCTCTATGATCTTCGAATTACAGGAAAAATAGTTGGAATAATAAAAATTGTAATCAATATCATTTTGCGCTTAAAAAGTTGCTTAAAACAATTTTTGTGTTCACAAGTTTTACACTTGTTGCGTTTGTATGATATTTGTCGTGATTGTTTCATTTTGCTTCCGAGTAAAAGAAAGTGTGTCTCATCTTCTTTTATTAAAAGCTTTTTATACGTTTTTAGCTATTTCAATTTCTCTGAAAATGGATGTTGCAATTCATGATGGCGAAGATGTGTTCGCCAAGCCAAAGGACAAATGGACGGCCGATGGCCTCGAAGTGACGAGTTTTGTTTTTGGTGGGTTTTTATAATTTTCTTCGCTCAGAAGATAGTTCAAAAAGGAAAGGTTAATTTCAGATGAGACATTTTTGGATTTCTAATGAGATATTTTTGGACTATTATCGTGTTCAAAGAAATCGGCAGTTTATTCATTCATTCATTTTTTTTCTCAGAAAACGCACAAGAAACAGAAGATCTGAATATTTTCTCACCGGAGATGGTTTATCAACAGTTCGGCGAAACGTAAGTTCTACTTTTTTTTTCAGTTCTGGTGGAATTCCTTTTCTGTTATATTCCACCCGGAAGAAATCTTTTCTTTCGAAAACAAATTGAGCTGGAATCATATATGTTTGAAATCTTCAGAGAATCCATTTTCGGTTACGACAACCTTTCCGTGCGTCTGCATTTTTCCGATGTTTCATTGAGGTTCTGGCCGAACATTGAATATAAGCAAAAGTTCAAGTCGCAGGATAATGAACAAGGAGTGAGTTTTTCTGAATAATATCTCTTTTTGAATATATTTTTTTCAGGCCGACGACATTATCGCCTTTCTATGTGATAAACTGCCTCCGGATCAGAAAGATACGATGATTTTAAACCGCGCGAAGTTTGAGGTACAGCGAAAAAAGGCTTGCTGGAATTTTTCGGACGGTTTTCAACTGTTTCAAAATACGTTCGGTTTCTAAGTTTGGTTATTAAATTTCTGGCAAGAATCATTCTTCATCTTTCTTCTTGTATTTTGCAAGGAGAGAGTGTATGATTTCTAGAAATTTTGTAACTTTTCAATTTGGAAACATAGAAAAAAAAAACCATCTCAGCTTTCCAGCATGCCAAATCAAATAAATGCTCACCAAAATTTCTAATTTGTAGGCAGAGTTGCAAAAAAACAGGAGCAGTTCAAACCTTTTGGGGACATGATTCGAAAGCTCGCAGTTGGTTCGTTTTTTTCTCTCAGATGTAGATTTTTTTTTGAAGACAATTTGAAATACACCGTTTCATGACTTTGGCTAGCAAGGAGAAAACCTTTTTTTTTTTGAAAATGCAGTTTTCAGGAAACAAGGAGTTTGAAATTTATTTTGTGAACAAAAACTCGCGGACACCCGAATCGGATCGATTCGTCGAAAGAATACAACACTTGGGACTTTTCTACATCGAAGGGCTGCAGTACACGGACGAGGAAGACGAAATGTGGATAAATTATTTCATGTTTGGTTCATTTTTCAACGCTTTCCAGAAACTGTCAAATCTAGGTATGAGGTCCGAAAGTCCCACCACGGCGACGGAAAAACTCATTACGCGATCGCTGGCTTCATTTCAGTCTATCAGTTCTTCAATTACCCGGAAAGCCGGAGGGCGAGGATTTCTCAAGTGCTTCTGATTCCCACTTATAGGTTTGTAACAAGAAAATGGTTCAATTTAACTAGAAAATTACCTATCGAATTTTTAAATTTAACTAGTGAATGGTTTAAATTGATTTTTAATTGTTAATTGGTGCAGTTTTTCACTTTGTGTTCAAATTTGTGCTTAAAATTTGACCTGGGGGTCTTTGAATAAGGTTCAGATTTCATTTTGAATGATTTTTGCTTAAAAAGATCTAACCGATCTTTTTTTTATCTGTTGTCTGTAATGACAAAAATCATTCACTCTATTTTAAAAACTTTTGGAGAAGTTTGAGTAAACTCGCCATGTTAGGTTGTAGAAGTCACTTAAGAATACTCAGTCGTATCCACTTTTTAAAAAAATTTTGAGTAAAAAAATAAAATTCCAAAAAAAGTATTGAAAACTTCTCTATTACGTCGAAAAAAATTTTTCTTCAAAGCTTTAAGCATTCTTCCTGAGAAAAAAAGTGCAGCGCTCAAAGAAAAAAATGGGATTTTTACGACTTCGAACAATTTTAATAATTTTTTTAAAGACCAAGTAGGTTATTCTTTGGCCTGGATTTGGAAACAGCGGGAAAAAAACTATGTCTAACAAGAGTGTCATCATTCAGAAGTCTTAAAAAAAGACATCTTATTGATTTTTTTGGATTTTTTTCCTGAAATTTTGTGTGTTCAGAAATCTTGGCCTTGGTCCTCACCTCCTTCAGAGCGTCTACCGCGACTTGTGGTCCAATCCGTCGATTTTCGATATCAGCGGTTGCGAAAATTTATATATTTTTGTAGATCAATGCCGAATTTTGCAGTGGAAGATCCGTCGGACAATTTTCACTTTCTCCGAGACTACCTCGACTGCTCGAACTGCATGAAACTCGAGGAATTCTCGCCTACTTACCTCAAAAAAGGCTTCAGCGACTCACTTTATCAAGCTGCGCTCAAGAATTTCAAAATTTCTAAGGTTTTTTTTTTGCTTTTTCCGTTTATTATAATAAGCAAATGCTTTTATTCGGCGCAGAAGTTTTGAAATGCCTAATATAATATGGAAAACGGGTTTTAATTGGTTTTACGACAAGAGCGCGATTTTTTCTGAACTGGCAAAGATGACTGTATGTGAAAGCTCGTAATTTTTGTGAAAAAATTGGGACCGCTCAAAATGTGCAAACACGCCAAATGTGGACTTTCGCATACAGTACTTTTTGGAAACTCGCTCTTCTCATGGCACCAGACCTTCATGAACTTTTACTGTGCTTTTCTGATCTGTTGAGCCAATTTTTGATTTCCTGGTGCGATACTTAAATTTCCTATGCAAAAAATTAGGGATGTAGATGCTTAAAGGTTGTTTAAAACTATATGTGACCATCACTTTACTGTCGAGGTATTTTTTTCAGTATTCTTGATTTAGTTTTGTGACTTTCAAAAATGAAAAATATTTTAGCTTTGTAGAAGATTTGTAGTTGTTTTGTAGTAATGACTTTGTTGATGATTAGTGTTGAATTAAAAAATAATTTTTTTACAGATGCAATGCCGTCGAGTTTACGAAATATTGCGCCTCAAATGCACTAACGAAAAAAACGAGGTAGAGATGAAGTCCTACCGGTTAGACGTTAAAAAAAGGTTTTTTTCAGACTTCTTCCCCGAAAAAAAAAATTATATACGATTTTCCAGACTCGAAATCCCAATGCGACAAAAGGAGAAAACGTGGAAAAAGATGAAGAAAACTTTGTCGGAAGATGAATATCGCCAGGTTTGTACTACAGTTTGAGTGGACTTGAGAAGAAATTTTTTATGGTTTTTTGTTTAAAAAAATGGCTCAAGAAATGACTGAATTGGAAAGATTGATAAATGGGAGATCAGAAGCATCTTTTTTGACATTTTTAGAAACTTTGAATAAAAAAAATTTGAAATTTGAAGGTGTTTCAAAGTTTATTTTTGAACGTTGTTTTTTCTTTTCAAGAACACTAGATTTCCATTGAAAATCTCAGAAAAGAGGTCCGAAAAACGAGGTTTTCCGGATTTCGGAACCATGAATTTGTCCATTTTACGCTTACAGAAGAGTTAACTTTGAAAAACGCCGTATTTTTCTGATTCGCAGTTTTTTTAATGATACTGGAAGTTTTTTTCAATCAGATGATCGCCACCCAGACCTCAATTTTCATTCAAAAAACTTTTTTTCAATTAGAAAAAGCGAAACTTTCATCTTTTCTGGAATATAGACCTTGCAAGTTTTTCTGGGACCTCTGGAGCTTCGAAGTTTTTCTAACAGAAAAATATTTTCAGATGATCGCCACCCAGACCTCAAAGGAACAGAAGCTGGACCAGCTAAAGCAGCTCTACGAGCAAACCGTCGAACCCTACTACAAAACGATCAAACGACTCGAGTCGTTCCCATTTTCACGCTGAAACTTTTTTTTTCTAGTTGTGAAGTAAATATATTATGCCTGTATAAACGTCGCTTTTTTATCAACCTTTGTCTTTTTGCGTTTGAAGCTGTTTTGACGAATATTTGGATAAAAGGAAAGAAGATTTCGAAGGTATCCTTTAGTCATGGACGAGTTCTCGTTCCCCTTTGAACCCTACGACATTCAGTTGAACCTGATGCGCAAAATTAGGGAGTGCATCGAGGCTGGCGAGGTAATGTCCATTCGGTTAGCTTTTTTTTGTGATTTGTTGTGGAATTTGTCAAATAAGACTTATTCATTCCTTTATGTCAATACTGAGTATCATTTTCGGGCCATACAATACTAAGTATCATATGGCGCATGCAAGGAAGCAGCCCGCGCGCTTTAATCTGATGGACTTGGTAGCTCGGAGGGAAATGAAAATCGTGTCAAGCTGACGCGAAATAGGCTATAGTTTTAAAAAAAAACTAATTTTCACTTTTTCCTTGCTTTGAACATTTCTTTGTTGCATTATTCTTACGGGTTCAAATCAGAACTTTTCTACGAAGTTTATAGTTTAAAAATTATAAGGATTTACTTAGATCCGAACTTAGATACCCCAAAGAGAGGTGTTTGAAGATCGGAATCTTCGAGTCGCCGACTGGGACCGGAAAATCGCTGAGCGTCCTGTGCTCGACGATGACTTGGCTCGAAGAGCACGAGCGTCGGAAAATTGAGGAACTCGAGCAGAGACTCGCCTCTGCGCGGACTCAATCTCTTCAGCAAGGTATTTCCCATATTGTCGCGGTTTTTTTTCCCTTAAATCCGTCAACATTTTTCGTTTTGTTAAAGGCGCATGCACAGAAACAGGCCGCGCGCTTCGAAGGGAAAGGTTCTGTTGAAAGGAGGGAAAAAAATCAGAACAATTGTTTTATATTTTTAGGTCTTCAAGGGGTTTCAGTGGCTTTTTTCTAAAGGAATTCTCGTTTTTCTGTATATTTCGATCTATTAAAAATCAGGCGTTCCATTCTACAGTCCAATCTCTTTATTTTTGCAACATCCGGATGATATGGCGAAGTTGCAGAGAGAGAAATAGACCATAGGTGGATTAACTAACCCAAACCTTCATCCTAACTTTTCGAAAAAAAAGTCCTGATTTTGAGTTTTCTTCGCACGTTATTTTAGTCATCTGGTTTGGCGACGGATTTTCTGACCAAGTTTCAAAATTTTTGGAAATTCTAGGTTAGCCCTTAAAAAAGGTCTAACTCACTAAGGAATGATCTCTGCCCACAGGGGGGCTTTCGAATGAAAAAAAAAACCTTAGATGTAGTTTTTACGCTGATTCCGTCTCTGTGTTCAAAATCCGCCACGGAAGTCTGAGAAAAAAGTGAGGGATTCTCAAAAATCGGGAGTATTTTTTGATTCATCAAGATCGTTCTTGTATCGGACAGCCTCCAAAATACCGCACCGCCCTTGCATTCCCTTATCATGCGCGGAGCTTTTCGTAGCCAATTTTGAGGTTCCATAACCTTTTTTTTTTGAAAATCTCCGTGGCAGTTTCAGACTGGCTTTGAAACCAGCGTGAAAAAATCCATCTAGGGAAAATAATCTCAATCACAAGTCCCACTGTGAACCTAGATCCTTCCTTGTGAAGAGGTCAGACTTATGGATCATTTCAAGCTCAATCTTTATAAATATCAACTTTTCAAGTCTGGTTACAGAAGACAGAGATGACTGGATCGAGGCTCATCGACAGAAAACCAAAGCCCAGGAGGAAGAAAACGAAGCAATGTCAGAAATGGAGAGAATTAGTCGGTATAGGCAAAATGTCTTGTAATTCTGCTCATGCACTACTTTTCAGAGTAACGGAGCGCCTGAAAATGGCGAAAGAGGGTCTGGTAATGGAAAATAGGAAGCGTAAATTCGTCGAGGACGATGATGAGACGGTGGCTCCCCTGCAAGAGCAAGACGTCTGTTTTTCTTCTGTTTTCAGGGGTTTTAGAGACAATTTCATGAGATTTTGAGTGTTTCTGACCTTAACAATGAATCTTTCCACCTTGAATGGCCTTTTCACAAGACTTAGCAGTTAGAACACTAAAGAAAAAAGAATTTTCAGGAATGTGCCCCAAACGACGGCTACAACTCGGACGAGGGATCCAGCACAAAAATCGACGAAGATGTAGAGGAGCCCTTGGAAACTGTTAAGGTTTCACGACATCGATGAAAAAGAGTGATCAAGTCGAAACATGAACCTATTCCCTTAAAAATAAGCTTTTGACGCCATTTCTAAGTCGTTTGTAAAATATTTTTCTCGCCTTTCTGTCTTACAAGAAAACGTCCCCCCATACTCGAACTTTTAAGGGATCTCTGGCTATTCGATTCTAGAACAAAAAGAAAAATCCACGGAATAGATCTTTTTTCCGAGTTTCCAAAGCTTCAAACTCCTCTCATAACATCTTTTTCCCATTTTGTTTAATTTGCGATTTTTCAATGCTAATTTAAAGGGGCGACAAAAAACTTTCCCTTGTTAGAAGTCTTTTTGAGCATTAATATCGGCATCTTCTGATTCATTGACTCTGAAGGATGATTAAGATATACTACGCCTCGCGGACCCACTCTCAACTCGAGCAACTCGTCGAGGAACTCAAAAAAACGAGGTTTTTTTTCAAACTGACCTTTAAGTCCAAAAAAATTTCAAATTGAATGAGCAAAACTTAATTTTTTTTTTTCAGATTCCGCCCGCGAATCGTGACCTGCTCTTCCCGCGGAACTTTGTGCACCAATGAAAACGTCAGAAAATTGAAATTGAATCACTTGATCAACGAGAAATGCATGGAACTCCGACGGAACAAGCCGAGTGGGGAGAAGAAAGCCAAAAATAATGAGAAGGTTTCCAAAACTGAAAACTGGGAGAGTTTACTGTAACTTGTCGGAGACATACTAGAAAGTCCCCTGTGAGCCCTATCTTTTCCGAGAAAGCCTTCACGGGCTCGGGCCAACCCGGGCTTCGAAAAAAGTTTCAAATCCACTCAAAATTTTAATCGAAAAGATTTTTTCATTCGTTTAATCATGTTTCTGTTGAGTTTCGAAGGGAAACTGAACCAAAATCTGATAATTGACTTGAAGAAAGTTTGCGCTTCCGGCAGGGCCGGCCGTTTTTACTTGAGAGCTCGCTAAGGCCGGGCTGGGTTGGGCGCAGAAAATGACCGGTGGACAATGGACCGACGGGCCGGCCCTTGCACAAGCCTGATTCGAAGACAATTCACTCCGAACCCTTTCTTGAATTGGTAACAAGAATCACCAATGTACGTCTCAGCCAAATTTTAGCAAACTCTCAGAAAAATGTTTTTCACGGATTTTCTGAAAGAACAAGCTCAGGAAACAAAACGAAAGTGCGCCTCGGGCAAGTCCTGCGATTTCTACAACGCAACACAAATCGAAGAAGTTGTCAACGGGATTTTGTCCTGCAGTACGACGGCTACGCCGCAGGTTGATAGAGAAAACATTCATAGGAGTAGATTTAGTGATTTTCAAAAAAACTCTGGACATTACTCGGACTCTGGCAACGGAAACCGGACGCGCCCCGGACGTTTCTGAGAAATTCTAGGGATCACCTAAGAAAGCTGACGCTGCCAAAGTGGTCACTAGAAATACAGAAATATCGTGTATCATTTTTTAACTCTAATAGTGGGCGCAGCCTAGGAAAGTTTGGCGCTTTCAGTTAAGAAGACGGTGTGCTCTAAGAATAACTGCCGAGATAGAAGCGAGGCGGTACATTGACGATATCGCAGAAGAGCTGCTATCTAGCCGCGTCAGTATTGCGATTCCCTTGACGTGACTACTATCTGCGAAACTAAGAACAAAACTGAACCAAGTGTACTAGGAGATTTTCGGAGAGATTCTTTTCTACGATAGTTTTGAGGTACTGACAAAGGGCAAGTCGGTCGGCGGATGTCCTTACTACGCGTCGCGGAGAGCGATTCCACTGTGCCAGATGGTCTTGCTGCCTTACCAGGTCCTGTTGCATGGACCGACGCGCGACGCCTGGGGCATCAAACTCAAGGGGAACGTCGTCGTCCTCGACGAGGCTCACAACGTCCTCAACACCATCGGTTTTCCCTAGACTTGCGGCTTGAACTCATTCAAAGAGAAAGTGTGTATAGGAACAGCTTCAAAAAGTAGTAGACAAATCCCACAAGTGAAACAAAAGATGGGCGGAATTCGGAAATTTTTTTCGAAATTTCGAGACCAAAATGTTCAATTTTGAGGCGCCCTGTACTCTGCGGAAGTCGGCTCCAAGTCACTAACGATCGCTTTGAAACTCATCCGGGAATACATCGATACCTACAAGTTTGATTTGATCCAACTTCAATAATTTATCTTTGAGCATCTTTTTTAAAATCTTGGAGTGGAAGTATAGTCGAGATGGAAAGAAGAAAATATAAGAACCATTCAAAAATTGAATTTTGAAGACTCCGCCTGAAGGCGAAAAATCTTCTCTACATGCGCCATCTGCAACTTGTCGCCAGTTCACTTCTACAGTACCTAACGAATTCGAAAAGCAAAGAGGACGAAGTTATGACCATCCAGAGTTTCGTGATAAAGGTTTTGGACGAAAATCCTTTGCGAATCAAAAATCAATGGTTCAGCTGAACATTTTGGAAGTGAACTTGTTCAAACTCGCCGCCTACATTGAGAACGTGGACCTTTGCAAAAAGTTCCATGGATTTTATCTGCGATCACAGAGGAACGCCTTGGTTTTTATTGTCTTCTAGGGGCTTTGCTAATTTTTCATATCTTTAGAATGTGAAGAAAGAAAATGAGAAGCCGAAATTGAGCGGCATTGCGAAGTTGATGCAGAAAAAGGAAGAGAAACGTGAGTTTGCGAGAAAAAAAAGTTCTGACCAGCTCCTTTTGGTCCTACAGGGCTCAAGAAGGTACCGATCGATAGGCAAATTTTTGGCCTTTCTAATGAGATTTCATATATCAATTTTGGTTCATATTGAATGATTTTTATGATTTTTTTGAAGTTACTCGGTGGTTATTCTTTTTTTTTTCTTGGAGATTCATTCAATTTGGAGGTCATTAAAATGAATCAATTCATAATCATTGGAACCTTTTATTTTAAAATAATTTTCTGCCAGGGCAAATTAAGCTTCAAAACCACATCTTTTTCGAAACTGAACTAGTTCTAATGCTTTAAATTCCATTACAAAAACGCAAGAAAGGAAAATTGTTGGTAATTTGCCAAGTCCTTTAGGGCCAATGGAAACTCAAAATTTTTTTTCCAAGTTTTTTTTTGTAGCGACGGAGCGCGAAGCAGAAGAGCCCGGACTCATCCCGCAGGCCCTTCCATCGCCCCTCTACTCCCTCAAATCCTTCATCGACGCCATGACCAACAAGTGCGAAGACGGCCGGGTTTTGATAGAAAGAACTGCGGTGAATGGCCCTAAGTTCGTTTTTTTTTTCTTCGAATTTTGGCGCCAAGTCGAATGAAATTCACGTAGTGGTGTATTCTTCCAATTTCAAAAACCTCTCTTTTGAAATTGCATGTGTTTTTCAAAAAAAAAAACGCGTCAAATTTTAGTTCCCATCGAAGTGAGGCTGAATTTTCAGAGCTCGTTACATTTTAATGAACCCGGCCGATCGTCTTTCGGAAGTTGTCGATGGAGCTCGATCAACAGTTCTCGTCGGCGGCACCATGGAACCTGCCGAACTTCTCGTCAGTCTTGTTTTTCATCTTTCCCGTCTCACCAGGTCAGCGGAGAGACCTGAAACCCAGCTGGGCTCATACGGGTTGAAGTAGGGTACACCCGCTGATACCCTTTTTTAACACGACTGGATGACCTTTCTCAGCAGGAAAGTTGTGCTTTTTCTCTCACACTGGCCAAGTGTCTCAACGGGTCTACCCGTTGAAACCCGTTTTAGGCTATTCGAGTCTCAGTTGTGTTAAAACGGGGGGAAGAAGAAATAGTTGACCCAGATGTGTTTTTTTCGAAAATCTAAGACCCAACGGTGCTCACGCGGAGCCTCAACTGTGGTTTAAAAAAGCCGAAAGTTCTACTAACTGAGTTTATACCTGTTTAATACGGGTAGCGGGGATTGTTAGCCCTCATCAAAATAAGAAAACTCGTAGTTTGATATTATGAATGCATTTGTTCCCCAGCTGATACGTGAAATTGTCAAGGTCCGTGAATTTTAAAATGTTTTTTTTTCCGAATTGTTTTTTATGATATTTTCTGACCTGGCATCTCTCAATGTACTTGGATCCTATATACAGAGGAAAAGTTGAGAAACGAAGAAGGAGACTTGAAAAGTTTTTGCAGTACTAGGAATGATCAAGTGACTTCCTTTTTTGTTTGAAAATTTTTGGTGAAACAAGTCGCCCAATCCAAAAAATTTCTACGCTACGTGAAGCTTCGAAGAAATGAATATTGGTTTTTTTTTTCATTGACTTATTCCATTTCGAAATGTTTTATAACGGCTATACGAACACTAGATTTCTTTTTACCGTTAATAATCTTCAATTATTTTTCAGATCGAGACGTTGTCCCGAGGCAGCCAGAAATCCGGAGTGAAAAGATTCTCGTGTAACCACGTCATCGACGACAATCAGCTCCTCACTTTGGCCATTGGTTTGTTTCTCATCTTTCAAGTATAGTCCGTTTTTCGCAACTTGAAAGGGCGGTACTTCCCTGCGACGCTCTTCTTTTTACGTGCTCTTTTCATGTCTCTCTGACCTCACCGGGGAGGGAACAGAGAGACGCAGACACTCGAAAACTGTCAAGTCGCGATGGACGGACCCTCGTCGAAGCCTTGATAAAGCACAAAGAAGACATTTTTCCAGATAAAACGGTTGACGGGAAGATTTTCCAGCTGAATTATCAAACTAGAAATGATAAGCAGGTGGGGTGAGAAGCTGTCTTGAAATATCCTCAAAATAGGTCCTAAAATCGCTGTCCTTGACTCTGAACGCCTTGCTGCCACAGTTGCCCAACGGCGTCGTCGTCTTCTTCCCTTCCTACGACTTTTTGTTCATGTTCCAGAAAGAACTGGAAAACTTCGGGATTCTGAATAAAATGAAAGCAAGTTATCCATGTCAACATTTTTGAATGATACGAGGTTCCCTCTATCAGGTTCCCTCTACCGTTTTGAAAATTTACCAAAATCGAAACTCGAAAAAATTTTTGAAGAGTTATTTCGAATAAACGAGACTTTATTGTCTCGATTTTTGATTATGAAAATCTGGAGGCTCGGTTTTCAAGTCTTGGGATGTTTTCAGGAGAAGAAGGCCGTTTTTGTGGAGTCTCGGTTACCGACATCCGATGTCTGGGAACAATTTGTCAGGACCGCCAAGACCCCTAAAGGAGCCGTTCTTTTTGCTGTCGTCGGCGGGAAGCTCAGCGAAGGTTCTTTCATACACAGTTGAAAAAAATCATAGTGCCTCTCAGGAATAAATTTCTCTGATGAGCTCGGAAGAGCCGTTATAATGATCGGCCTTCCATATCCCAACAGAGCCAGCGTGGAACTCCGAGAAAAAATGAAGGTATTGGCGGTTTCGAACATACGATGTCTGAATATTAGCAATATGGATCAACTATCAAATGATCTATTGTGTTTTTTTCCCAAATCGACGTTCAAAATTTTCTTGAAAACTAGCCTGTCAGTCAAATTAAGAATTTTTTAAAAATGAAATTGAAACCTTTTGAAGGCGTGACCACGAGCAGAACTCAAAATACAAACGTGAAAAGCTTTTAGAAAACTGTTCCAGTGCAATTTTGTGACATTATCTTGGGAAATTCGTTCAAGAGGGTAAAAAAACAGAAAAGTCTTGTAAAATGGTGACTACATACAACGTTTTTTTTTATTTCGAAGGCAATTCTCGAGGTTTTTTCAAGTTCTACTTACCTTCTCAAGACAAATTTTTTGTCTCGTGGTGAAAATTCGGAATCTCGCGGTAAGAAGTCAAGATGAATACGCATTACCCCCTAGAAGTTGCGGAATCCACACGCGCGAGATCCCCATTTTCACCGTGGTTTTACCGAGTTTCTGCCTCGGGAGAGCATCTCGATTGTCTTAGTATCATATATAGAACTTCGATTTTCTTTGTCCATTTCAGTTTCTCGATTCGAAAGTCGCAGGCGGCGGGGCGATGTTGTATGAATCTTTGTGCATGCATGGCGTCAACCAGGTGACTTATCTTTCGTCTTTTCCAATGAACAATTCGGAAATGAAGGCAATCGGAAGAGCGATTCGCCATCGTCGCGACTACGCCGCCATCTTCCTCTTGGATGAACGGTTCAGAATTTCCACCTTGTTTTCTTAATTCCAGAGATCTCCCTTAAAAAGAAGATCGCCATTTTTTCTCTTCCTGCACCGCCACAGAATCTGGGCGTGAAAAAAATAAAGGGAAAATCATATTCAAAAAATCACAGCAGCTGGTAAACTCAAACACACCTCTACAGAAGCCACTATCTTGCGTTTTAGGGGCCACTACAGTAGTTTTTAGTGGTCTAGTAGTTCCACTTAGGCTTCTCAAGAGACCACTAAATTTTAGCCATTCAAGTGACAACTAATTCCACTACTGTAGTGTCCACTAAAACTTCAAAAACCTACAGTGGCCACTAAAAAATTTTTCAGAAAGTAGAGATATTTTGAAAGTCTAGACCGTGTGCGAAATGAGCATTGATTTATAAAAATCCAAATTTCCAGCATAAACAATTTTTCTTCCTCTTCTGACCATAGCTACAAGGAGTTTATAAATTTTCAGAGAAAAATTGGATTGTAACTATTTTTATTTTTCGAAGACAGGGGTCTGGACATCACAATTTATAATGATTTCGCCATGACTTGGAAAACTCTGACCTGTCTGCGTCTAGTTTCTCTCTCTCTTACCTGCGCGGTCATGAGGCCATGAAAATAGCACATAAACGAAAGAGAAAAAGAGAGAATCAGACTACTTCAAGCCATGGCGAGTGAAGTATACTGTATGAAACCCAACGCCAAAACTCGTCTGAATTCGCTTCACTCTCTCGATTAATTGTGCTTTCATACATCTTTTACCTGGCTGTGAGAGAGAAAGAGCACAGACATGACAGAATGTTCGCGTCGTCGGGAATGACATATATAACCCGTGTTTTTGAGGTACGCGAAAGACTCTGTAAGGTCGAAACTCTCGTCGTGGATCTCCGGCAGACTTCGCGTGGCCAACGGCTTTGGCGATGTCATTCGAAGCACAAAGACCTTTTTCTCGACAAAATAGGCTTGAACTCAACTTTTTTCACATCTGCATTCTTGTCCATTTATTTACCACTTTTATTTCTGAACACTAACCTTTTCGTTAGGTTTTCAGTGCTGTACATTTATTTTTTCCCATCTAACTGACCTCGACCGAACTCTTGAAATGAAATTTGCCGGAAGAACGAATTTAACTTTCGCCATTCAAATGACTTAATTCCAGGCAGAAAGCTCGCCGGATGAGAAGCTGATTGTCATCCGAAGAAGCTTAGAAGTGACGTCAAAAATGTAATTTTCTCAGTTTAAACGCGTTTTCGAGTTTTTTGAGTCCAATTTATTAGAAATATTGGAAAGTATTAGAAATAAAGTCCTATCTAATAAAAACGACAAATAGGAAATCATTCCTTTAACTGTTTGTTCATGAGAGAGTACACTGCGACGCATAATTATAGACCCACCCTAATTTCTCCGATTTTAAGAAAGATTGAAAAACTTTCAGCCACCAAACTTTTTTTGTGAGAAACCTTGTTGATAAGGAACATAATCATATCATAATTATCAATCACCCAGTTGAAAAGTTTTTCAAGATACGAGAAAATCTGATTTTTGACCGACGCAGAATTATAGACCCACTATAAGTAATAAACAAAATTCATTTCACAAAGTCAACAAAGTATAACAAAAAAATTAATTAATAATGTGTGATGCCTCCTTGTTTCTGAGCGACTTCGAAAATCCTGCTCGGCATGCTGCCAACGAGTGATTGCAGCAGTGACTTGTCCAAACCATCCCACTCGGCACGAATCGCTCTTTTCAGATCGTTGACCGTTGTATACTGCTTGGCATTCGCGTAGACCCTTCGTACAAGGACTGACCATAAATTCTCTACAGGGTTGAGGTCAGGACTGCACGCGGGCCAGTCCAGAAGAACCACGTTCTTGGCCGCAAAGCCAAGCCAATGTGGAGTTGCTCGCGTGAACAGATGCATTGTCTTGTTGGTAAATCATATTAGCACGTCGTCGGCGACGGAGATAGGGCAGGAGATGCTGGGCAAGCAGTTGCTGGTAGTCTTGCGAATTCGTTCCGGTCCCAATAAAAGAAAGAGCTACCGTCCCGTTGCCGCAGAAAGCCGCCCAGACCATGAGGCTGCCGCCGCCGAATTTTCTCTTGGAGAAGTACATCGGATCTTTCCTTAAATCTCTCCAGTAGTGGGCGTACCCATCTGGCCCATCAGGGTTGTATTTCTTCTCGTCGCTGAAGATGATCTGAACAGAAAAATTGGGAATCATAAGGTGATAGAAAAAATTGATACCTAATTCCATTCCGTGGCCATGTTGGAGCGTGCAAACTGAAGCCGTTCATTCTTTTGGTGTTGCTGTAGACGAGGTGCTGCCTTCATTGGAGTATTCACAAGTCGACCGGACCGATGAATTGTTCGTAAGATGGTGTCCTTCGAGACGTTTTCAGGAATTCCGGATATTTGGTTGGCGGACTTCGTAGAGTTTGATGCTTTTCGACAGACATCTCGTTCAGCTTGAACCGATAGCAGCCTGTGCCGTCCAGAATGTATTGCTGTGCCGTATTCTTGCGGATTCCTTGCATAACGGTCAATAGTTCGTCTTGAGCGACCCGTTTGACGAGCGATTTCCCGATGGGACAAGCCGTTGTTGAGTAGAGCATCGATTACCGCTTTTTCGGTGTTATCAAGTTGAGTAGATTTAGGCATTATGGCTTATAGTGATACACGAGGACTTTTTTTCTCTTATATACCACTGAAAAAAACAGGAAAAAAACGTGTTACCTGAAACGAAAACTCGGAAAAACTCTGGGGTGGGTCTATAATTCTGGGTCGGTCAAAAATCAGATTTTCTCGTATCTTGAAAAACTTTTCAACTGGGTGATTGATAATTATATTATGATTATGTTCCTTATCAACAAGGTTTATCACAAAAAAAGTTTGGTGGCTGAAAGTTTTTCAATCTTTCTGAAAATCGGAGAAATTAGGGTGGGTCTATAATTATGGGTCGCAGTGTAGTGATATGGAATAATCGGTTCAGAATGACTCAGGCCATTTTTCCCTCCAGTGCCTCACTTCCGCTCTTATTCTTATCAGTTTCGCGTATTACAGTTTGCAGACTTCAACTTATCTTTTCATTTTCACTGATATATATAGCCACGGTTTCGTCCAGAAGTTTGTCCACTGTTTTTTGAACTTTCTTCTAAAATCCTTTTATAGATTCTCCATAACACCTGTTTGCGCCTTTCAATACGTGAAAAACTGACTGTACCTCGATATTTTTCTCGAATCAAATTACTTGTCTAGTGACTGCAAGTCAAATTGAATTGATTGAGATGCCCTCTCCTTCAAAAGATCAAAAACCCGTCTCGAAGCCTGGCACCGTTGGAGAAGACATGCGCGGCGCGTCGGTCGGCAATAATAGTCCAAATTTGGAACGCAAGGGGTACACGAAGAACGCTAGTCCCAACAATCGTGAGTTTTTCGACAGTTAGGTAATTTCATTCCTGGAAGGGTGTCCAGAATTCTCTTCCATGTATAGCAGTGCTATAGTAATAAGAGTATTATAGCACGGCGTTTTTTTACGCCCTTTCCATATATTTTCTGTAAAGTGTTATGCCGTGTTCAAAGTAATTCCCGCGAAATGCAAAATGGTCTCTGACTCTCCAAAATTTAGTGATCTTTTCCTTTCTCTAACGGGTATTTTGCATTTCGCGGAAATTACTTTGAACACGGCATTAATTTTTGCCAAATTCAAAATCATATCTGAATTTCTGATACTCAGTTATATTTTTCACTCTCTGGCGGCTATTTTGAATTTCGCGTCACCCTTGCCAATTTACCATCTCGCCTTTCAAGTCGCGAAAATTTGACTATACCTGACGAAGTTTCAAACTTCTTGCAAAAATTTTTTACTTCTCGGTGAAGCGAAAAAAATAATCGTTTCTCTTATTTTGGGGTCCTCTTTCGCCGAAATCAGAATGCTATGCGCGTTCTAAGGAAGGGCTTGGCCTGCGGTCCCTACTTTCCAGGATTCGTTATGGGATTCAGATCAAATTTTTATTTACAGATCGTCCAAATGAAGACAAACCATATACGATCGGAAAAAGAACTTAAAGAAGGAGAAGCGCGAGCGCTTGAGTAAAAGCAAAACCAGCCAAAAAAGATTAAAACTTCGAAATTTTCTTTTTTGACTTTTAGTGAATAAAAAAATTTTTTCAAACCGAACTTTTCAAACACCTTACTTTTTGAAGAAGAACTTTTTCTACTTTCAGGTCTGATTACAAAACAGGGAGCGAAAAAGTTCTATCAATGTATCTCCGCCGCTTTTGAAAATTTTCAACTAGAAAACAAAATTATTGCGAGAAAAATTTCTGTTCTGCGGGTCTTTAAGAAGACTTTAGCTAAGTTTTATCTGAAATTGAAAAAATGTTTGGAAGCATTTCAAACTTATAATCTTTGCATATTTTCCATAGACGCCTTGATTCTACTTGACTGAGTGTTTCTTTGAGCTTTGAAATATTTCAACTGGATCGTGAACCAGCCTCTGGAAAGCTTCTTTGCCGTCGGAGTTTCAAGGCGTGCGCCTTTGGCTGCTTTTTCGTTATCGGGCCTATAATCAGTTTGAAAAAAAAGGATTTTTAATAAATTCACTTGAAATCTTTTCATTGCGAAAGCTTCCATGTTATCGTCGACGAAAATTCTCCAAAACGTTCTGTTTCTTGATAAAAAAAAAAGAGAGTTGGAGCATATTTGAGCTTGAGCCCCAAAAATGTAGCCGTTTCGCGACTATTTTGATTGTTGAGTCCCCATGCCTAGTAATAGCTACCACAGAAGTTCAGACCGCATCTGCGATGTTCACCTCACACACTTCCCTCGTAAAGTCTTTTTTGGAAGGTTAAATACCCTGCTCCATTATTGGCTCCATTCCAGGCAGAAAGATCACCGGAGGAGAAGCTTAAAACTGTCGTCATAAGTGGAATTCGCTCAATTTGAACGCTAAACCCAATTTTCGATGTCTATGTAGTATGTAGATATAGAGAAGCTATAAAAATATTTCCGAAGAAAGTTGAAAAAATAGTGGGCGAATTTTCTCGGCGAAACCATGGCTTTTTATGGCAGGGAAAATGAAAAGATAACTTGAAATCTAAAACTTCACAACTCGAAACTGATAAGAAAGATACCATAACAAAGTCCTTGGAAAGAAAATTTCACTGAGTCATTTCTGAACCTAGTTTGATAAGCTTGAGTATTAAAAATTAGTCTGAGATAGAAATTGGCCAAATCGTTCAGGTTTTCAAGAATAGAAAGTAGGATCGCAGAGCCACGCCCCCTTCCCCTCAAGAAACGCGCCATACTTTGTTGCAAAAAACGCTTTCCTCGCCAAAACAAAACGGAAAACAGAAAAATCTCGTACAACTACATGTAATTGACATCGCTTAACAAATCTAGACAGCTTATGAAGCTTCTATTTTATTTTTTTTGAGTATTTGGGACGGGTTTCCAAGGCCGAAAACACAAAAACAACGACTTCTCAAAAACTATCCACGGATCACGTCTGATTTTTTAATATGTTATATAGCTGTGGTATCTCTGTTTTTGTGACAGAAAACCAAAAAAATATGAAAGCGCCTCGAAAAAAATAGAAGCTTACAAATTTCCCCAAAACTTCACGGTCGGTTTGCGAGAAATTTTCAGCGAGATGCCTATGTTTTTGTTATAAAAAAACACATCAAATGAAAGAATTTGAAAAAAATGGTCGGGAATAATGTTTTGAAAAGAAAAAAATAAATTCATAAAGAAGTGACGCAATTCCCTATTTGCTTCAAAAAATATCTCCAGCAATAATATCCACGGATCACGTTTCAAAACGTTCTTAAAAGTTTTTACCTGTCAAGTTTTAAAGAAAAACTAAGAGAATTCTGGCTGCGTCCCAAAAAAAATGATTCGTTTGAACAAGAAATTTTCCCCTTTTTTCGAATCAAACTTTGTGCGTTTGGGTGTATAGTCTGTTCAGATTTTGAATGTCAAGCAGCTGACTCCACCACCAAGGCTATAATATCTTTCGCGTCAATGTTTTATCTACATATGACGATGGCCCTTTAATAAGGCTGCACTTTTGACTACTTTTTCTATCTTGTAGATCAAAAAAGATCAAAATTAGTCCCGCGCGATAAAACATCGACGCGAAAAGGTACCGTCTCAGCAGGGGCGGAGTTAGCTGGTTGACATTCAAAATCTGAATAGACTATTGCGTCATCCTGTTACTTGGCGCGTTTTAACCTCAAAAATTTCGAAAATTTTGATTCAAATCGTTTCATAACTTTGTTAATTTAAAAAAAAACAAGTACTAATTATAAAAATCGATTCTTCTCAACGTCAGTTTTCTAATGATGAAAGTTATCAATTGATTAAGCTTCATCCAGAAGCTTCGCCAATTCTTACAACCGAAATCGATTTGCCTCAAGACGCTCTATAGAAATAATTCATTTTTGAATACTGGTGCAAGCAATGTTTTCCATAAGTCCATGTTTGAAATTTCAACTTCAACTCTTTAAAATCTACAAACTTTATCTATATCACAAGCGGAAATGAATTCAAGAACATGTACAGGTTTTGGAGCGCGACTCGCAAAATGAATGTTTCACAGTAGGTTTACCAGTAACTTGAATTAGAAGCAAATGATGATACTGAATTTGAGAAGGAAATCACAATTGTCCTGTTTATTGAGCGTGATTAAAGAGAGGAAGTGAGAAGTTGATATAGTGCTGAACACCACGCTCAGATCGTAGTGCTTAGAAGGATCGACTAGAAAGCTGTTTTAAACAAGAATAGTGGATTGCACAGCAAGGGATTTTTCAGGAAGCGTGGCAAATGCACAAAGTTGCGTTGTGGAACGATGAATTAAACAAGAAGAAAAAAAGGTTAGGAGTGATAAAAAAAATAAAAAAAATTCAATGACTGCCAGATAAATTTTCTTTCAGCAAGTTCGAAGTTATTAAGGAAGGATCAAAAAACTGAGAAATTCTGCGCTGAAGATCTCTTGAGTCGTTACTTGAAGTGAGCCAAAAAAAGCAATTTGATCATAAATTTTCCAACGGATCTTCTGATTCGTCTCTGGAATCCCTCAAGTCGCTAGTTGCAGCTTGATAAAAAAAAATCTCAAGTGGCTAGGTTAATTTGATGAGAAGAAAACCTCTTTAGTGGACTATTGAAGTACACTGAGGTAAGTGTAAAAGGTCACTTGAGAGTTTAAGGGAAAAATCGAGAAGAATTTCCCATTTCTTTCACTTAAGTAATCCCTTTTGGTTCAGTCGGAACAAAAATGAACCTCCAGCAGCCGTTTCAGGTCGTGTTTAAAGTGATTCCGCGAAATTCAGAATAGCAGTCGGAGAGTGGAAAAGAAAACCAATCCTTGAAGAGTCAGAGATGATTTCTAATTTAGCGAAAACCAATTTGAAGACCGCGTCACAATAGGAATCGTGAATCAAGATAAAACGAATTAAATTCAAAAATATAAAATACATCAAAATATCAAAAATTATCGAAATTATCACATTTTCTTGAGATCAAGCTCGCGCCAAATCAAAAATCACGGGCGAATCGTCTTCGGCGTCCATTTCGACACCGACGTCGGCGTCGTAGATCTGAAATATACAAAAATTAGGAGGATAGGTACTAAAAAGCACCTCAGAAGCGTCGCGAGCCCTCGACGGCCGCGTTAATTCGATCATATTCGCCCGGACGGCGATTGCGATTGCGATGCAAGTGCCGCGGATCCCTGAGACAAGGCGGAATTCGAGTCTTCACGCGCACGGACTCACATGTGTTACAGAGAATGAGCACGAAAGGCATCCAATCGAGTCCCCAGGCGTGGTCCGAGGCGAACATCCACATGTAGCCGTTGAGCATCGCCATCTCCAGCGTCGCCACGCCGATGTACAGCGACAGCCTGAAGCTTGGAAATTGATCTGGGGAAAGGATCGGCCCCTTTCAATCTTCCCTATCTAATACACTATTAGAGGCTGCCAAAATTCTGAAGAGGCTCTAACGCCCCTTGAGCAATCACTAAATCGCATAAAATTGCGTGGAAGACACTTGGCGCTTCTTTTTCCAATCTATTAACATTTCAAAAGAGCAGGGCTCCCGAGCACCCTATAGTGGGCACTCAAGCCAGCAATTCAAAATCTATTATTAATTCAAAACCAATATCCCATTTCCAGTTTCAAAAAAAGCGCCAGTTTTTTTTTCCTTTCTTCGGCGTATTAGTACATTACTTTCAATGGGTCACAACAGCTTTTTTCCTCAACCCGACCTGGAAGGTTCCTCTGTGTTTTGCTGACTTCTGCGCATCTCGAAAAGCGCGATAATGTGAAGAATGACAAAAACGAGCAACATGCAGCTCCGATAGTTGTTCGGCACTGTCGGGGTGAGACCTGTAGCCGAAGTTATCTTCAGAATATCCAGCCATCCACTACCAATGAGTGGGAGGGAGTTGAGGAAAAAGAGGACGACGAGGGTGAAGCCGATGAAAGTTTCGAAGAGGAAAAGAAGGAAGAGGACGGTGGGATAGGAGACCTTCAAGAGGCTGTTGTAGATTCCGTAGGCCAGGGAGTGCGGCTTGGGACGAGTCTGGAATTTATTCAACGGTTCATCAGAATTTTCCCCAAACGACATCCCGTTGTGCCACTCCGCGCCTTTGGGAACCTTGGTCGCGCTTTTAACTTTTTTTTTCTTTTTTTAAGGTACTCTACTTTCATGTGCTCCCACAGCAATAATAATCAATTGAAAGCGTGACCTAGATTCGAAAGACGCTTCGCGAACGCACAAAGCGGAACAGCGGAATATCGTTCAGTGAAATTTCAGTCGTGGCACACAGACTATAACATATCAAAAATTGTTTCATAGTGACTCCTGCTAATAGAAGTTTTCTTGGGAAAGAACTTTCAAAATTTTTTTGTTCACTCCAGATTCTTCCAGAGGATTCAGAACGGACCACGCTGACGGAGACGTGTGACATCCAATCGGCGGTCGGTTTGATCGCCTCGGCGAAGGGCAACTTGTGTCGGACGACCATGTCGAACAGCGTGTACGATGCTATCGCCACCACGATCACCACCGGCGCGAACATTATTACTGAAAAAAATATATGTAAACTCATCTCTGTTTTTTTTTTATTAGATATCCAATGGCAGGAAATATAAGCCTTGTGATAACAAAGATAGTTAAATTGACCGAAAGCGCTGCATGATGGTTTTTGTGCTTTTGAAAACAGTATTGAATAGCATCCCTTTTCGACAACTGTCCGCCATTTTTATAAAAAAAATAAAGAAGTTACAAGTTGCGTACGCGACGCGTCACTTTGACGAGAAGCTCAAGGTGTAACGAAAAGGTACTCAAAAGTAGTTATTCGTTTCTTCATACTTCTAACATTCCAATAAATTCTTTCAAAACAATAAAAAGGAATTATCGGAAAAAGGAGAAAAATGGGGTCACGTGTGCGACTGCCAAAAAGCCGCGTCGCGTACGCAACGCGCCTCCTTGCCAAGCTGCCCCTCTCGTCTTCTTATGTAGAGAAGGATTGACTATATAACGGGATTTTTTTGAGTCAAAATTAAAAGGGCTTGCGTGGGACAGGCCGAGCTCATCGAAGAAAAGTGTTTTGTAGCTGGGAGGAAGAAAAATTGTGACAAGTTGTCGCGGAGAAGTGGATTCTCGTGGCAACATATGTGATAAATCCCCTACAATAGCCAATCATCGCGGCCAACCAAGTGGCCACCGGGATGAAACGAGCTCCGGCCTCAATGTGCTTGAAGATGTCGCGTCCGGATATGAGCAGGTCGAAGATGGCCACGAACTTGGCCTGAAGCAGGTCGGTTTAGAAGCAAGAATCAGACTTGAGACGAACACAAAGAAGCATGGGAATGATGATAAACTGGGCGATCGTGTAGACGGGACTCGTCGGCCTGATGATGTACTCGAAAAGCGAAGGCGACGCCGACGAGGCAGTCGTCGTCAGCACGTCCTGCTCGATCCGTTGCCAGCCTAAAGAGGCTCACTTTCTTCGGAAGGAAACTCAGGTTGAAGTACCGTAAACGAAGAAAATGACGACAAAGGCCAGAATTTGAACGACCGGCTCCTGTGAAGTGTAGCGGAGTAGTGCCACAATCTTCGTACCGTACTGAAAAATATCATTCCTTAAGTTAAAGCTTTTTTGGTGAAAGCAGGCCCTGATTATCTGTGATAATTCTTGCAAGGCTTCGTGAGGAAAATCGATAAATAAAAAAATTGTTTTTAATAGTACCAAGATCAGGAAAAACATCAAAAAAAAATCAAAAAAAAAAATGATTCTCTTATCTTCTTATACTATTTCTCTAATTTTTCCGAGACTCTTCCTTGGTTATAAAAAAGGGGGAACATGCAAAAAAAGATTCAAAAAACGGAAAACCCCTGTCACTTTTTAAAAATAAATTGAGCAGTTTCAAAATTAATAACCGAATGGAATTTTTGTATACAAACAGCATATTAAAAATTGAATCAATGGTTAATTTTCTATAATCCTATTTTTGCGAAGTTCATTTTTCACACCAACCGGCATGTAAAGCAGAAGAAAGGATGGAACGGTGAAACATGCAACGAAAATGGAGATATACGTCCTCGGAGCGTTTTGAATCGTCGGCCACTCGTCGATGAACGATTGGTAGATGAGCGATGAGTAGACCAACTGCACAAAATCCGATCCCATTTGATGAATCTGCTTGAAATAAAAAACCATCGGTCCGAAGGAGGAGTAGAGATACTGGGCGGTGAAGTACAAAAAAGACCACAGGGGGCCCCAAGTCGACGTCGCGAAACACACTGGGAACAGGTCGAACGTGACTGTCTCTTCTGAAAATTTCGATTTAAAATTTCATCTGCGGTTTTTCTTCAACCTGTTGATATATAAACATGGTAGGCCGGTTGAAGATGGGTAACGTGGCCTTCACATCCGCTATAGATGATCGTTTGGATCGCCGGCACTACCTTAAAAAAATAGACAAAAAAATCTATGGATATAATATATAGTAAAAATAGATATAATATATAGTAAAAAAATATATTTTTTTACTATTCTTGTACATGTGATCAAAAAGAGTTTTTTTACTATATATGTACATGTGATAAAAAAAAAGAGTTTTTACTATATATAAAAACTCTTTTTTTTGATCACATGTAAAAGAATTACAAAAACCGCTCAAAAACCTCAATAAATAGACAAAGTACAAAAAACAAGAAACCAAAATGAACCATCATCGCTGGAACGATGTAAAGGGCGTTGAGTTGGCCGGCTCCAGATCTCAGCCGACTGGTGGCAAAAAGAACGATTCCCGTGAAGGCGGTCGAGTAGTCGACGGCCGTCAGCGATGTCCGGAATCCCCCCTAGAGTGCTTTTCTTGAATGGTTTTGAGGACTTTCAAGCGCAGAAGTAAGCTCATTTTCTCGTATGATTTGAAAGCTCGAGAAGTTCTCGAGTAAGGGCAAAGTTCTTGCTTTTTTCCATAATTTTCTGGACAGCCCAGAAATAATATAGGGTCAGGCTCCTATTCTGAAGCTCGACCTTACTCCATCAGGAAGATTCAGGTAGGTCAGGTGAAGCTTCAAAATCAAAAGCTGACCTCGAAGGTCAGCTGTTCAAAACAAAAAAGTATATATACTTAAGAAAAACACTCAATTGTACATATTTCGAAACTCAAAACTTTCAGTCTTCAAAAGTAATTTTTCTGAAAGAAGAACTGTCAGATTTTGAAAATCGTGAGTAACTCTGAATACTGAGTTTTTTCTTTCAATGGTTCTTGGAGCAGAGCATATTCTGCGCTTTTGAAAGCTACAGAAAGGTACACTGAATAAAGAAAAACAAAAAAATTCGCCTCAAAATTCTTTTTTTTTTTTCAAATTTAATTTTTGAACTTTTCTTTCCCTGCTCACCGTGACATTGCTCCAGAAATCTGCCAGATTTTCCGAAATCTTCCTCCCGTCGCGATATTCGGTGGTCGTCTTTCCGAAATAAAAGCCAGTGACGGTGAGTCCCATCACCACCGCCAGATACAAGGCCAAAGGCAGAGCGATGCAAACTTTCGTCAGAATTTGGTTCAGCCGATGCGAATATCTGGAAACATACTTTCGTTCTGATTGAAAAAATTCTTGTTGGTGTTTTGAAAGATGAAAAATATAGCACACACTGAAATAAAATTGAAAAATGGTGCTTGAGACTCGAGGACTTGAAAAATATTCTCCGCTTTTTAGATTTAAAAAAAAATCTCCGAGACCAAAAAAATTAGGAAATTCAGGCCTGAGCCTGCATGCTGGGAAAAAACCGAAATTTTTCAAGTTTTATCTTAATTCTTAATTATTCATTTAGTTAAGCGACTCGAAACGGGATTCTTTCAAGTTTGAATTTTTTTCGTGTTATCCAGAATACAAATGCAACCGCCCTAAAATTATTTCAAAAAAATAAAAAAACCGACTTGAGAAGGATAACAGCGATGGCCAACCAAGTCACCGTGTGCGCAATGACCAGCGGCAATGAAGGAAACCAGAAATAAAATGTCATCTGAAGAGATTTTTGTTTGGAAATTAATTCCGGATCAATCATACACTGGCAGGTCCGTAGTACCACTCGTTAGTCTTCCAAGGGTCCGTAAAGTGGAGAGGGTAGTCATCTCCCCGAATCGTGTACCTGACAAATTTAGGGTTATGTGGAATATGAAGATAAACAAATAAGCTTTATTCAGTTTTTCATTGCGCTTATTACGCTTACAACGCTACTAAAGTCTATATTTTCGACATTTTTGTTTTTAGGAAAATGCAAAGTGAACTTGAACGAAATTCAAAGTCAATTTTTTATAAATTCGCTTTTTTTTCTGTTGTGCCCCTAAAAACCGTTCTTTCTTCTCGATTTTTTTTTCCAAAAGCTATCGATGCTTTTAGATTTATTATTCACTCTTCCTTGACAACGGCTTTTTTTTGATGAGAAATGATGTTTTGAATTCTCAATTTCTTTATCATTTTTCTCTTTTAAGTGAAAATAAATTGAAATAAAAACTAAATATCTTTTCCACCTTGAATCACGAATTGCTCTTCAAACACACCCGTTTGTTGACCTGATGTTTCATTCAGCATTCCCTTATATGTTTCTCTCCATCCAAACACCGCAATTCCTTTCAAAAATCTCTTGATAGGTTCAAAGGAGCACGGAATTAGTTTAAAGGTCTCGACAGGATAATGGGAGATCACGCCACCTTTAAACAGACTCTACGTACCGGTTGAACTCCTGGGCCGGCCAGAAGTTATCCGGATGGTGATGGAATTCGCTGATCGTCACGTTGTCCGCGTAAAAGTTAATGCAATACTGGAAACTGATAGATTTAGAAACAAAACAAAAAAAAACAAGAACTGACCTCTGTATGATATTGACTCAAGCACGAGATAGCCCAATTGAGCGAGGGCCGTGCGGAGAAAAGTATGTAGAGGAAGAGCTGAGCCGCTCGGATATTTTCGACGAAGAGCTTCTCGGCGATTTGCCAAGTCAGTGCCCATCCGATTCCTTGAAAACAAGGAAATAGGTACCGCAAACAAAATTCTTCTTAGGTATAAAAGAGAGCGTCATTTCATATGACGCAAGGAATCTCATTTTTTCTCTTCTTTCTTGTTATGTTTTCGGTGTTATTTTTTCTTTATAACTAGTTCCACGACCCTTGAGAAATGGAAAATGGAATCTGAATACCACAATGAGAAATTTCAGTCGGAAATGTTGCGTTTTGCAGAGGTCAATCAAGCAAATGAGTTTCAGGTCGGGGTAATGCGTGGATTAACCCACCCTTTTTACGTTTTTCAGAAAAGGGATTTCAGAAAAGCTGAATTTCGAAAATTTAGCAATCTGGGAGCATTAGAAGCGAAGCTCGCATGACAAGTACACTAATAATGAATAAAAAAGAAAAAGAAAATTATTTAAAACTACCAAAAAACCTTATTATTTGATAGCTTTGAAAACAGTGTTAAAGTATAAGAGTTAAACTAAAACACTTCTGTTTTTTTTTTTTTGCTAGGTTCTATGAGGTGATCCCATAGACTCGCTAATCGTCACGGGCTTCTTATAATAAAAAAAGATTTATTATTTCACCTCTAGTTTTTACATTAATCTAGATGAAAAGCAAAACGGACCAGCCGCAATGGGCGCGATACGGCGAAACGTCAAAACAGAAGCCGTCCGGGAGAGGTGTCCGACGGAGATGAGCAGCGTCAACGCGGGGATGGCGAAGATCGGAAAGAAGAAGAACCAGCGAACCGACGATATCGCGAGTTGTGTCGCCACCGGCGCCGCGCCGAGCAGGATGCACGCGTACCCGAACATTTGGTCGCCGGTCTGCATTTCTGAAGGAAAAAAATGCATTATTAAGGAAATCTTAGCAATTTTTTGTTCTGGCATGAGCCAAAATAGCTTATTTGCCAGGGAGTCAATCTGACCAGTCTGCGCCCTCTCTTCTCTCACTTTCAAGGTCGGAGAAACATGGGAAAAGCCGTGAGAACGAGAGCAAGCAGAAATATCGTTTCAACTGGTTTTTCTGAGAAAACCGAGCGAAAAAAGAAGCTTAGAGGTCTTTTCAGAAATTTTTCCCAAAGTAAGAATAAATGGAGTGTTGAAACACTTCGAAAGCCATAGTTTGGTACAGGAAAATACGTTTTTGAAAGGAAAAAGAAATATATTTTGCGTTTGTTGATGCAGTCTCATCCTGATCAAGCTTTCCCAAAAATTTTGAAAGCCAAAAATTTCGGTTTGAAGGAACTCGGGAAAAAAAATAATAAAGAAAAAAAAAGCGCAAGCCATCAGAGAAGACTGGCTTCAATGGGAAGCCCTAATTTCCGAACTTTGCTCCAGTCTAGCTTTTCGAACTCTGGAACTTCTAATTTTTAATTCATCGCTCATATTTCCAAATGACACAAGTATCTGTCGAATTTCCCCATACTTAACATTTTCTATTGAAACTTTCTGCGTGAAAAATGTACAGCTAAACACTCAAAAAAAAAATTCAAACACAAAACTTCACTGATCAACTATTTGGCATAATTCAGAATTCAAATATCAGATTGCATTTCCTCAAAAAAAGTATTCAAGTCATTAAAAGTAGTTTTTAGATCGAATGACGGGTCAGTATTATTGAGTAAAAGCTGAAATTTCGCAATTGGGAAAAAAGAGTGAAAAATGAAAAAAATCTCTCTCAAAGTTAATAACTCAAAAAAATCCATTGAAAAGCTCTCCAGAGTTGGAACGGGCCAATAATTGAGGGTTCATTTCGGCCTGAAGAATCAGCTAATCGGAGAACGCCTAACGGCCTTGACTGTTTTCGTCTCAGAACTGATTCTCGGGCTGATCGTTGGCAATTTTCGAAATTTCACCCACTGAGGAGAGAAAATTGAGGGTTTCGGAGTCGGATCACGCAAAATACAGATTGAGGACCTCATAGTTAATGAAAAAACTTCATTGTTTAGAAAATCGCCTTTCAAAATAAATGGTGCAAAAAACCTTAAGATTCGGTGTGTTAAAATAATGAAAAACTCGGCAAAACACTAAATTTGAAATGGGGTTCTGGTTCCTTTTTAAATCCGATATATTGAAATTTATTAACCGAAAGAGCTTAAAATGCGTCAAACATTTAGGAAATAATGAAAAGTTGAGAAAATATATTAGAGAATGAGAAGGGGATAGGAAAATTCGTGTCAAACTGAAAGGAATTCTCGTGAATGAATCACTAATTTTATTATATTTTCAATGCTTTTGCCGCACTCAGAAAAAAAAGAATCGGAGTTTTAAATAATCGAAGACCGGCCAGAAAACTTTTCAAGAAACTTTTCACAGAGGGCAGCTTTGAAAATCTTTTGAACGGGTTTCTTGAGACAAAGACTTTCGTATGACTTTCAAAAAGCCTTAAAAAGATTGACTGAAAATCTGAAAAGGTCTTAATCTCCAAGTATGAGAAAGAGGAGCTCTTTTCTGCTACTTGGAAAAACGAAAAAGAAGCTTCTCCGACGTTGCTTTCATACAAAAACACCTCCTGATTAGATTTATCAGTAGCCAAAAGTCCAAAATGAAGCATTCCAATAGCAATACTGCTATTTCGCAACCAGGCTGGCGAACAAGAGGTATAAAGGAAGGTAAACAGAACGCTAGGAGAAGAGAAAAAATCGAAAAGAAAAGTATAAATAGAAGGTGAATTCTTGATTCAAAATCAATATGGAACCCAGAATCTTATGGGTCAAACTTATGTGCAAATAAAAACTTGATAAGAAGATTGAAAGTGATAAGCATAAAAAGTTAGGATCTGTAAATAATTTTAATAGCTCCTGTTGACTCACGGTCAGCATATGAATTAAAAAAGAGAATGAAAATTGAAATTTTTACTCCAAGCCGCAAATAAAACTTTAGCATATAATTTTTGAATTATCAGGAAAATTTGAACAAAATACCTACTTGCCTATTTCAATTGATATTTCAATCAGAAATTAAGCATTCAGATTTTGTAACTTCTTTGTAGATTCAGAATTCGAAGAGTTTTACGAATTTTCCCGCAAACGGCAAAACAGTTGACGAATAATCCGAAAACTCAAGTTTTTAAATAAACACTTTTCAAATTGTAAATAATACGAACAAAATTACGACGTGAAAAACTTTAATCTTGTTTTTTAAATACACCGTGAAATCTGAGAAACAGCTTCAGATAGATAAACTCTGAAACGCGTCTCCATGCACAAATTTCATTGAAACAAAAATTTACGAACCTTGATCTTTAGCTTTTTATCAAACGGTGAAAGTTCAAAGAAAAAAAGTCTTTCACGGATTGGAAATCCACAAGGCGATTCCAAAAGGCTCGGCGAGAAAGAAAAAGGAAAAAACAGAAAAATCTATTTCGTTATTACAAAGCTGAGAAAAAGAGCCTTCTTACCGATGTTCCTTTTTGGAGATGATGTTCAATTGAACTGTTTCATCAAGGAGCTGACGCTGCTCACCGACAGGCCAAGGGTGTTCGCTGTTTGGCTGGTTGGAACCGAGTCCGCCGACAGGCACTCGACTCAACCACCGCCAGCGACGAAATAGCGTGTCGATGGCGGAGTGCGGTCCCAGCAAGGCGAGAGACGTGCCCGACGGCGCCGGCTGCATGGCAACCTTGGCGCCGCCCACTATTTTTTGTCCAACAGATGATTTTCTTCCGCAAATCAACTCTGATGACACCATCTCGAAAATGCGAACACTTGTCATCAAGTGTATGGGAGTTCAGTCTTTGAACCCGAAAAATTCGCATTCATTACAAGGAAGTTATCCTAATTTTCCAGTTCGCCGTTTTTTTAGGACTTGGCCATTATACTCATTGATGTACCTTTTTCCAAAATATTCCAGAGACTTGTAAGTCAATAAAACTCGCCTTTTTCGGTATTATTAGTGACTTCACACCAACGCAACATTATCCAGGACTCAGACTCTCGGAAAATGTAAAATAAGAAAAGAAGTTCTGAGATTTCTAAACACGAAGAAGAAGAAAAATTGGAGGAAAATTTTTATCAGAAAGGTCCAATTTAATTGTCAATTTTAATGAAAAGCCCAATTTTGTTTTCCATATCAAGATTAAATAAATTCGAAGACTCACCTATACACGGAAGCATCCCTAGATCGTGAGCTGCATGAACTTTTTTCGAACCCTGAAAATTTAATTTTCAAAAAAGCCGAGGATTATACGACAAAAAAACACGAAATACAGCTTTTATCATTGTTTATCATACTATTTTTTTAAAAGCATTTTGACATTTCCTTGCTTTCAAATTCGTAATATTTGATTCAGAACAGCTTTCTGGAGTTTTCAAAGACCAGCCTACGTTGCTAAAAGCCTGTTGAGAGCTGTCCATAGACGAATGAACTATAAACTAACTTTGCAAGCAGTCATATTTCCTCAAAAACAACCGACAGTCTCTTATTTGACATGATAAGCTTTTTTACGATCACCAGGCACTGAAACGTGGACAAACGAGACCAAAAGAACGTCGAAAATACTCTCAAAAAAGTTATTGTTTCTTTTTAAAACCGGTTTGTACAGGTAAAATGTCATACACTGCGACCCATAATTATAGACCCACCCTAATTTCTCCGATTTTAAGAAAGATTGAAAAACTTTCAGCCACCAAACTTTTTTTGTGATAAACCTTGTTGATAAGGAACACAATCATAATATAATTATCAATCACCCAGTTGAAAAAGTTTTTTTCAAGATACGAGAAAATCTGATTTTTTTGACCGACCCAGAATTATAGACCCACTATAAGTAATCAACAAAATCCATTCCACAAAGTCCACAAAGTATAACAAAAAGATTAATTAATAATGTGTGATGCCTCCTTGTTTCTGAGCGACTTCGAAAATCCTGTTCGGCATGCTGCCAACGAGTGATTGCAGCAGTGACTTGTCCAAACCATCCCACTCGGCACGAATCGCTCTTTTCAGATCGTTGACCGTTGTATACTGCTTGGCATTCGCGTAGACCCTTCGTACAAGGACTGACCATAAATTCTCTACAGGGTTGAGGTCAGGACTGCACGCGGGCCAGTCCAGAAGAACCACGTTCTTGGCCGCAAGCCAAGCCAATGTGGAGTTGCTCGCGTGAACAGATGCATTGTCTTGTTGGTAAATCATATTAGCACGTCGTCGGCGACGGAGATAGGGCAGGAGATGCTGGGCAAGCAGTTGCTGGTAGTCTTGCGAATTCGTTCCGGTCCCAATAAAAGAAAGAGCTACCGTCCCGTTGCCGCAGAAAGCCGCCCAGACCATGAGGCTGCCGCCGCCGAAGTTTCTCTTGGAGAAGTACATCGAATCTTTCCTCAAATCTCTCCAGTAGTGAGCGTACCCGTCTGGCCCATCAAGGTTGTATTTCTTCTCGTCGCTGAAGATGATCTGAACGGAAAAATTGGGAATCAGAAGGTGATAGAAAAAATTGATACCTCATTCCAATCCGTGGCCATGTTAGAGCGTGCAAACTGGAGCCGTTCATTCTTATGGCGTTGCTGTAGACGAGGTGCTGCCTTCATTGAGTATTCACAAGTCGACCGGATCGATGAATTGTTCGTAAGATGGTGTTCTTCGAGACGTTTTTCAGGAATTTCGGATCTGATTTGGTTGGCGGACTTCGTAGAGTTTGATGCTTTTTCGACAGACGTCTCGTTCAGCTTGAACCGATAGCAGCCTGTGCCGTCCAGAATGTATTGCTGTGCCGTATTCTTGCGGATTCCTTGCATAACGGTCAATAGTTCGTCTTGAGCGACCCGTCTGACGAGCGATTTCCCGATGGGACAAGCCGTTGTTGAGTAGAGCATCGATTACCGCTTTTTTTCGGTATTATCAAGTTGAGTAGATTTAGGCATTATGGCTTATAGTGATACACGAGGACTTTTTCTCGTATATACCACTGAAAAAAACAGGAAAAACGTGTTACCTGAAACGAAAACTCGGAAAACTCTGGGGTGGGTCTATAATTCTGGGTCGGTCAAAAATCAGATTTTCTCGTATCTTGAAAAACTTTTCAACTGGGTGATTGATAATTATATTATGATTATGTTCCTTATCAACAAGGTTTATCACAAAAAAAGTTTGGTGGCTGAAAGTTTTTCAATCTTTCTTAAAATCGGAGAAATTAGGGTGGGTCTATAATTATGGGTCGCAGTGTACAACTTAGAAAAATTGAGCAATATTTCACAGCTGCCTCTGAAGAACGGCCCCAATTATAAATCCTACTTGAGCATTTTCTAGATTAAAATAAAATCAATCTGTAATAATGTTAACAGTTCCCCACTGCGGCCATTTTCAAAAGCGTACATGTAGAAGTAAGTAAAAATCAAAAATCTGATTTCCTATCGTGAACCAGATGAAGAAAAAAAAAACAATTGCTAAAAAAAGGGAATAAATAAGCATGACAGCAAAATAAAAACACGATGTAGGTCATTTTCAATTTGGCGCCAAGAATGGTCAAAATGAAGTCCGGGAGCTGAACTGAAAAAAAAAAAATCAAATGGATCGGATGAAAAAGTCTTCAAGAAAAAATCAAACTTCAAAGGTAAAAATGTCAATAAATAATCGTACATAAAGATTGATGAATCCAAGAAAAATAGAAGAAGAAGATCGAAGTCATTTGGGAGCATGGATCGTGATAAAGTTCTTCTGGAGCGGCAAAGTGGTGTCCATCAACTGGTCGTGGTTCAGGCCGACCTTCTTCACGTATCCAGTTCCGCCTTTTATTGGCGACACCGGCTTGCCACAAGCTCGGAAGCCAATCTGAAAATAAAACTCAAAAAATTGTTTAAACTTAATTTAACAAAGAAGGATGAGAATAATTCAATGATAAAAAGAAAAGGATATAGGTGCGCCATAGCGCAACAGATCTTTTGCCTGTCTACGGTCCAGAGGGTCGCAAGTTCGGTCCCCGCCGCCACCCAACCAAGAATTTGAAGAAATTTTGGAAGTGGAGAACCACCGCTTCACAATCCCCGGGCGCCAGGACTGATTATCACTGATACCAGGCTAGGATCTTGTCTCCTCGACTTGGGGCGAAGACGCCGCTCAAGCTGTAGAAAGGCGTAAGAAGAAGAGGAAGATAAAAATAGATGGAAATAATGTGAAAACTTCAAAATAAAATTCTAGTCTTTTTTTTAGATTCTAGAAAGACGCTTCGATCAATAAAAGGCACTAAAAGGCAATAAAAGGTCGAAAGCGAAGATGGACCATCTAAGTATCTAAGTAAGTATTAGCATCATACAATCTCACCTTCTCATCAGCCGTCGAGAAAATGCTGAAGATGTGGGTTCCCTCGTAATGCTGCTGACTGTTGATGTCTTGTAGGAAAGCGGAGTCGCAGTGGAGTCCCGTGCGCCTGAAAAAGAATCTTTTGAAGGGCTTTTCCGTGTTATTTCAGTTCAAAACTCAGTAGGCTCTTTACGCTTTCAGGTTAGGGATTATCGAAAAATTGTACCGATTACAAGTGCCAACAGGTATCGGAACAACACAGAGAGCGCTGCCGTGGTTGGCGCCGGCCACAGAAAGAAACGTATCGATGAGTTCCGTCAATGGGGGTCCTGAAGAATATCAGTTGTTTAGGTGAAAATTGGAAAGCTTCTGCTTTCGGTTCCTCAAAAGGCTTTCCAGCAAGTGGTCAAACGCCTCATACATAGTTTGCCGACAACTTCGACCTACCTGACAGAAGCCTACTGGAAGGGATTTTCAAATTTTCACCTTCTAAAGACCTTTCAACTACCTTGTGAGCTTTCCCTATAGATCTCTCTGATTTCGTGTTAATAGCAAATGAGGTGGAGATCACATTTTGACTTGAAAATCCGAACAGACTACATTCACAGATTCACCGAGAATCTCGCGAGTGTCGACGCACTGGCCGCCGAGGATCGCCTTCCTGGCCAAGGGAGCACCCATCGAGTAGGCGATGACATCAACTTGAGTTCCTGTGTACTGCCGGACGGCGATGATCATCGCTCTGTAAAGGAACTTTTCTAAGAAGAAAATCTTCTTCAGAATATTTGAGTCCATGATAAGCGCTCTTTTTAAAGGCCCAGAAACTTCTTTTTCAAATCACCGATTCAAACCTCAGCTGTTTGACATAGCTGCACTTGAGGTCGACTAGACCGACAGGCGTCGTTCCGGCGTCGCCCCAGGTCGTCCCGAAAACCTCCGAGTTCTTGTATCCTTTCGATTTCAAATAATTGACGGTTCCCTGCAAAATCTCTCAAAATGTATCTTTGTTCATTGAAAATCAAACCTGAAAGCGGGAAATTTTATTCGTGATGCCATGGACGATGATGACGGCCTGGTTCGAAGGCGTTTCTGTCGCGGATTCCTGAGCTAAACGTGTTAGGTTCCTGGTTTTCGTGCTCCTTATGGTTAGACAGACTGCGGAAAATTAATATAACTCAATGAAAAATTATTGAAAATAGTTCTGTGTTCTTAAAGGCTGGCCCCAGAGAACTTCAAAGAAAGAAGACCGTCTCGTTTAGAGGTTCATAAAAAAGGTTCTGAAGAAAAACAGGAAAACTTTTAGACACCATAAAACCGCAGAAAAAGACCTAACGAGCTGGAAAAGAGTTTTCTGGTTCAGAAAGCCCTCTGAACGGTTTTTTTTAAAATATTGTCTTAACTTCGAACCTTTCCACCGAAAGACGAATCCATGCCGAGGTCCGTCCTTTCCAATGAGGTCGTTATCGGGATCCCATAGCTGTCGTGCAAAAACTTGCGAAAGTGAGGCGTAAAGTCGGCGGAAGCAACGCCGACCGCCGCCATCAAAACGACGGCCTCGGCAAGCATTCCCGACGTTCTGAATGTGGAAACTTCTCATAGGTCGTATCGGGAGGAGAACACAAGCAGATACCGAGGAGCTACTTCGAAATCATTCATCGTCGCAAGCTAATCGAGATGCCATTGAAACGGTACCTGGACACTACCGGAGAGGTATTTAGTTACTAACGTTATACTACCTGACATTTTCTACGAGGTATTACAACCGGACTAAAACTAAAAATTCAAATTAGCTTTCCTGATTATTTATACCCTTATAAACAAAAAGCTCAGAACTTCTCATAAACAAAAAGTTCAGAAAAACTGAATAACTGAATTTTCAGAGGTGCAATGAAAATATAAAAAAAACTTCAATACTTCAAGAGACCATTGATTTGCAGCAATCAATCAAACATTGAAACAAAAGTTCAAAAAAAAATCCGGCAAAATTCTAAAAAAAAGGGTCGAAGGAGGCTGCCGACCGACGTCTTCCAAGGACGATCCAAACAACTGGATCCACGCCATAAAAGCTTGGCCAAAAAAGGAAAGAAAACACGTCACACAGGCCTCACACACGTCAAACGTTTATTTCGAAGCATCGATTGGGTTTAGGCTTCAGATGGTCGTTGTCTACTTTTGCTTCTTCTTTTCCTGGCCACTTTTCTTTTCCTTTGACGCATCCTTCTTGCCGCCTTTCTTCTTCTTACCTTCGTCCCCGCTTTTCAAAAAATTTGAGGCATACCTGAAAGTTATCGTGATGAGTAAATTTTATTTACAACCTCCATCAAGCTATAAAAGATCACTTTGCGTTCAAACGTCTCTTATTGGAGAAAATTTCAATATAGGGGTGGTAAGTCAGAGGTGCGACACGATGGAGCGAACTTTTAAATATTGAAAATAATATATTACACTTCATATTTAAAACACTCCACGTAAAAAAAAACCGGAAAACTCTTTCTATATAGTCTGTTCAGATTCTAAATGCCAAGTGCTCGCTCAAGTTCCGCCTCCTAATGGCGCGATAAACCAATCAGAGAGCGAGCCATCCACAGAGCGTTTTCGAATGACGTCCTTCTACGTGACATTCAAAATCTGAACGGACTATAAAACGGAAGGACAAGAGAAATAATTTAGATTTTCCCGGAAAAAAAAACGGTAAAAATAACCCAATAGTGCTTGCGTATACCACATTCTCACAGTAACCTACGCGCGAATAAAAAACTCTTTTGTTGAATAAAACTTATCTACTTGTATCAGAAATGAAACAAGATAAATAAACTCAAATTTTAATGAACTTGCTGGTGACCATGTCACGGCCGAACATTCTAGCGACACCGCATCTCGGCTTTTCCCGAAGAAGATTGAACTCGCCAACAAACTGTGCAAAAAGTCTGGATGTTCAAGAGAAAAACCTGATCGACGGGAGTCCCGCTTTGCAGCGCCGCCATTGCAGCATATTCCACTACTCGCATTTTCTGAATTTGCAATATTAACCGACTTTTTATTCATTAATTACCGATGCACGTGTAACTTTCGCCGTGTCGCGCAGAGCGTCCGACGTCTTGTGTAGATAGACATTCGCCTAAAAATATGGAATCTGAGAAGCTTGGAAGATAAAAACAGAAAAAAAATTCATTAATTAAACTAAAGGCGCTTGATTTAAAAAAGTTCAAAATATTCTCGAAGCGAATTCGGTGTGCTGTATCCCCCAGACCGCTCTAAACCGATTGAATTTGCCAAAAAGTCAAACCGAGCGGAGATAGAAGAGAAGCAGGGCGATCAAGACGACGACAGCCAATGAAATTGCCGAGTTCACCGACGACAGCAGGAATAACAATCTTTCGTACGCTTCGGGTTCCATCTTAACTCTTAAATTATTATTGCAATGTAGCTCAGTCGGTAGAGGTTATATCTAACGTCCACAAAGTGACTGGTTCGTGACCCTAAGAGGAAAAGATGTCAAACATAATTACGAAAAGAGGGGACAAAAAGAGAAGAAGAAACCAACATCCAAATGGAAACGCAGATATTCGAAATGAGCATTTTCGCACGTTGCTTGTGTTAGATTTTCCGAACAAAGAATTAATATGAGCCGTACAAACGAAATTATTTCTAACAATGAAGGTCGCGTCGAGAGTGATACTTTTCGGTCCTGAGTTTATAAATACTTCAAAAAGCACACGATAGATTAAAAGAAGCGAGTCAAATCATGAATTGAGTCGATAGTTATGACGCAGTTAGAAAAAAAAAACCCAGAAACGCCGATTTCTATTCAAGAAATATATAGAAATAACAAAAATTTTCAGCCGGCCTTTCATTCTTCTTTTTTATCGAGGAAACAGTATCTAATGGAGAAGTTCAAATATCATTCGATAATGTTCCAAAAGTGAGTCTGCGTTAAATGTTTAGGAAAAAATGTTCCGGGACACAAAATCTCAAATCTGCTTTTTTTTAAAGTCGCAAAAGTCTTCGCAGACTTGAGAAAACGTTAAAAATCTCAAATCGTATATGAATGCGCCTTCCAAACTGAGATAGCCGGGATATAAGAGTGCACGGAAAAATAATTGTTTTTAAACTGGAATGGATAAACTTTGCAGCACATAGGAATTTCAGGAGAACGATTCCAAATATCTAAATGAAGTATATTCAACTAAAGGACTTGATAAAATAGATGTTACGGTGACCATATTTCAAGTCGAGAAAGGTATTCTGAAGCTGAAAAAATCTGAAAAATTGATTGATAATGGATTGCAGAAACGACTTCTAACTACACGATAATCTTGGTGAAGCTCGACAGAAATTACAAGACTCTAAATAGGATGGAAATCGAGAAAAGTCAGTTCGTCTACTCGAACAAGCGTTCCGTGTTCAAGGTTAGGCCAAGGAGGTTTTTTTCTGCTTTTGAACTTCAATTTCAAGACATGATCGAAAAAAGAACTAAATATAAACATAATTCATTCATTTTTTTTTTCTTAAAATTAACCATTTCTGACAGTGGAATGAAGAGAATCAGGTTCCGTTACCCTAAAATATTTCCGTCGATTTTTTGTAATCCCCTTCTACAAGTTTTTTGCCATGTAGTAATTTCCGCGAAATTCGAAATTTTCCCAGACTCTCAAAAATTCAGTTATGAGGACTAAGCCATTGGTCATCTAAAATCCGTTTTTTGAATGAAAAACGATCGATGGATTAATTACAGAAGAGTTACGAACAGGCCAACCTGAAGGACTGCTGGATGTCGCGGTCGGTGTGGAACTGGTGTCTGATCGGGGCCGACGTCGTCTTCATCCGCTACGAGAACGTGCCGCGCAACGTCTGGCGCATCGACGGCGTTTCCGTCAAAGTCGCTGTCGAGTTCAACGGCGACAACTACGTTGCCGAGTGAGTCGATCAGCTGATCTCTGGAAAACATTTTTGTGCAGTTCATACGCCACAATCTGAAATGGTCTGACCTCTCTGCGCTTTGTTTTCTTTGATATCGCCGATGAAAAGGGACGCAGACAGGCCAGACTGTATCAAGATCTGAGGGATGAACTATAGTGCCTTCTCCTACCATTTCAAATCTTGAGAGTTCGTTCAGTAGCATTACGTAGGGACCGCAAAGCCACGCCCCTTTTCGCGATAGAAAAAGTGGCTTTTTTTTGGTTTTCAACTTTCATTTTGCTGTAGTTGCAAAATATGTGGAACTTGATAATAAATTTTGGCACACATGTACAAAAAAGCTTCCTCTTTCGTTTAAAAAATATTTCACGCTTTTTTGATGCGTTCGCGCGGAATGTCGTACAAAAACGTGAATGGAACTAAAAAATTTTGTCGTTTTTTGCTTTTTCATGTGTTTTCAGGTCGAACGCACTCTTTCTTTTTTTAAATAATGATTTTGATTCAAGTAACGGTAATTTTAAAACAATAAAATAAAAAATTCGTCTTTGCCAAAAATTTTAGGGAGTGCCGAAAGTCCTAATTCAAAATATCGTTAATAAGCGAATATAATCGAGTTTTTGTTTTTTCAAAATTTAGACCATGGGCTTACTTAAATTTTTTTCCACAGCATATGTGCTTGAAAAAAAGTTGTTTGATACGCAAAAAAATGCTCTTGAAAAATAGAGAATAAAATTAGCGGCGTTTATTACACAGAAAACGGTCGAACGCAGGTTTTTTTAAACGATTATATACATTTATTAGTAAAAAAATCTTTCAATTAAAAAGAATAAAATAAAAAAATTCGTCTTTGCCAAAAAAATTTACGGGGCCGTTTTTAATGCAGCGATCGTTAATAAAGGCAAAAAAAGCACTGAAAAAAACAGTTTTTTTCGAAGTGAATTTCCACGAAAAAGTTTGAGAAAAAAATTTGCAAACATATTCTGATAAAAAAATAGCTAAATTACTTCAAAATTTTTCTTTTTTGAAATAGGCAATCTGTGCTATTCAAACGGCTCAAGGATATGGCGGATGGAAACTCCCCTCGTAATACTTAACAGCTTGGCGCAGCGCGTGCGCTGCGATTTTTTTCATTTTGAGGTCGCGAGTTCGATGCCCGCAAGCGTCAGTTTTTTGTTTTCTGGAAAATACTGACTTTTTCGGCAAACTAGCTGATTAGCATCATTTTAGCACTCTATTATAATTTGTTACATCATAATAGACCAGTATCAAAACTTGTTCTAGAAGAAAAATTGAGAAAAATTTCAAAACTATATAATACCAAAATTTCAGTACTAAAAAAATGGTGCGCGGCGCGCCACATTTTCCGTCATAACTTTTTTCATCTTCAATCTTTTTTGAAAAACTAAACGGTTCTGAGTTTTGAATCGAAACAGCTATCAAACCATACAAAACTCAATGCTGAAAAAAATTTTTTGAAAATTCGTCTGCGGTCCCTAGCATTACGTCTCTGAGTAGTTGATCACGCCATTCTTCTGCGAATTGTGAAGAGCCATTTGAAGACGGTTTAGGCAGGAAAAGTTAAATGTGAAAAATACCTTGAAATCGTTCAAAAAGAAGCATTTTGGAATAGGCCAACCTGAAAGACTGTTGGATGTCGCGGTCGGTGTGGAATTCAAGGAGCTTGGAGCTCAAAGAGTCTTGGTTTAATATGTTCATTACTTTTCTTCGCTTCTTATTCTCCCTCCTTAGGTGGTGGAAATTTCAAGACACTAAGGAAAAATGGTCCCTATGGGGACAACCTTAGGGACCCCTGACGGCCCCTTTCGTCGGATTACTTTGCTTGCAAAACTGGCCGCTATAGCCTATAGGAGTTAGGTTAGGAGTTCCTTTAAGGCACATTCTAATCGATTATTGTTATGAACTCTGTTAGAAGAAGCATTTCTATGCGAAAAACTCAATGAATTACCGTTATCTGAATGAAAAATATTAACAGAGATGAATTGTTTTTGATTTTCAAATCTCAACAAAAAATTGAAAAATACTTGAGCTTTAGGGACTAAAAGAGCAGACCCTAAAACTCTATAAAAGGTCCTTTTTGTCCTTATATCATCTGTAACCCCTAGAGGGACCTTTCTCGCGTTCCTAAGTGACATGTTAGCACGAGTGAGGTAGAAGAGGGCTCAAAAAGGTCAAGTTGTCTCGAACGAAATAGTTTTCCAGAAAGAATCAAGAGTACATCTATGAGCACACCGTCTACCTGCCCTACAGGTCGTTCATCAACGAGCGGAGGACGTACCAACTTGGGCCTCGGCCGACTTTCTTCCACGCCCACGTCAGTAGCAATCCGGAGCGACTACCAGTTTGCGACTTCATTCCCTACGAGGACGACTCCACTGACGAAACTTGATTCTGTTTTCAATGTTATTCAATTTGGAATAAAGGAATTGAAACGCCTTTCGAATTCATCACTTTCGAACTTAAATTGAACAGGTACGCACTGCTAGGCCTATACTCCATTCATCTTCAACTGGACGCCAAAAGAAACGTCTAAAAATTCTTCTTTCGTAGAATATATCGTTGTTTTTTTGGAACTCACAAGCGAATGAACTATTTCTGGAGAAAGCTTTTCAATCGGAAAACTCCAACACGTGCACTCCACTCGCCAAAAGTTGGAAGCATCGGATTTCTATGCACCCTCTCGCCTGTACTTGCGACTCACGTTTTTTAATGACGTCGACAATGAGAGAAAAGAGGGCGCAGATAGGTCATCTAAAAAAATTATTCAACCCGTTAACAGTCTGGAATTGTTTTTCTTTCGAATCTTCAAATACTTCAACGAAAAAACGCGACAGAGTTCACACATTTATACAACTACCAATTGTTCAATTGTTCAATCACAAAAAAATAAACAAAAAAAATAATGAATATATATATGGAAAGAGCAGAAGTGAATGGCTCGAAAATGCGCGAGGGAAACAAAGTGAAAAAAAGGCTTGGAAATCTCTTGAAAAACACAATTTGAGGTTCGATTTGCGCTTATCTTGGAAGAAAAATTGGAGGTGAAAAAGAAAAACACATTCTTCAAAACGTTGAGCAATTTCAATTCAAATTGTCATTTGGAAAGAAAAAAATGATAATAAGACGTCAAATTTACGCTTGGCGCGCATGGGTTCTAGTTTCATTAAACAAACATTGAAAAGAACAAAAAATTACGGTTTAGTAGTCCATTTGACAGTTGGAATTAGGAATAAACTTCTTTTTTTTCTTTGTTACAAAAAGAGCAAAAATGTGAACCGATATCAGAACCCGTAGGGATCGACGGAAAAGATAGTAGTGGAACATACACAAAAACTGATGGAAGCGCGGGAAATTGAAAGAAAAAAAGCTATACAATATATAGTGACGACTACAGTTAGTGAAAAGCCGCTAGATGTGGAAAAATCGAGTCAGGACTTTATTTTTTTGATCTTTACCTGTGCGCCTTCAAGGTATTGCTGACTGTTTTTTGAGATTTGTAGCTGTGGAGAAAGATTGGATTTAGGCTTCTTTGAAGCCTCATAACTCGAAAAAAGAAAGTAAAAACTCAAAATTAAAAATTGATACTGAAAAGTTAGGGTTGCATTATAGCAAAATTTTATCACAATCTAAAGGATAAAAAAATTCAATAAATCTGAAGACGCATGGAAAATGGCCCAAAGGAAATCCCAACGAGCGCGGCTATTTCTTCCAAACTCAGGCTCAAATAATAAAAGGCACAAACACGCGTTATTATCCAAGAGAGCCCGGACAAATGCACTGAAGACGGCTCAAAAAATCAATAAACTGGAAAAATGAATGAAGCACGAATAGGCAAGAGTCGGGCGGTGTCGTCGTCGTTTTGAAATACACATATTTATAATCCAGATATAGATAGGAAAGGGACAAGAAAGAGCTCGACAAAGCGACCAAAAATATTTTGAAGCACAACCAATTTGCGACGAGACTACTGGTAGAGCAGGAAGCGTTTCAGGACCGGCGGAATCGCCAAATCGCTGATCTCGTCGATCCGATCCCGGCCGAATCGTATCCGAATCGACCGCCGACAGACCTCGGCCAACGCCAGCGGCTCCGCTGCAAATACAACCAGTTTTCACGGGTTCCGTTTTTTTCCACTGGAAAATTTCTTTTCTTCTCTTCTCATCTCAGTCCACATTATAATTTATTTACCGCTAGCTTGAGACAAGAATCGGGTCTAAACCTCTTTTTTCTCACAGAATTTTTCGTTATTCTCAAAAACTTCCTCAAGCCAGCGATGATTGTACTATATACCTTAAAAACTTGAAAAATCTCTTGGTAGCATTCACAATGGCTCATAAAGGCTGAAGCAGAATTTCATCACTTGGAAAAATAGAGCGACCTGCTCAGAACTCAAATAAACTCAACGCAACCGCAACGGCTCGAGCCATTCCAAATGTGATCAAAAATGTCAGATTTGGGTGTTAGGTCTGCACTGTTACAATTAATTCAAAACATTTTTCTAAAACTTTCAAGATATAAAGCTATTCTCCCTGCATCTTTAAACAAGAAGCAGACAACATTTAAAAATAAAATATATATATATAATTATTTTTCTGGAAAAAAACTGAAACACCAGCATATCCTAGAAAAACTAAATTAAAAAAACTAAAAAAACTCTAAAAAAATATTTTTTTAAATAGATAATTTTTATCTGCCACGTAAGCAGCACATGAAAGCCCACACCTTGCATGCAAACAGAAAGAAGTTTGAGAAAGGAAAAATTGATTGACAGGGAAAAGAAAAAGAAAGATGAGTTGGTGAAAATCTTATAGATCTCCCGCTGGCCTGAGAAAAATATCAGTAAAGCTTTGAAAAATTGTGAAAAAAAGCTCCCCAAAAAAATGATTTGTGCCAATTCTTGGTCATTAATAGTTTTTTTCAACTTTATTAGGAAAAATAGAGAAAAAACAGCCGTAATTTGAAATTAACTTAATTTCAATAATCAAATTACGGCAAAAAAATCTGAAGAATCAAAATAAAAAAATCCTAAAAAAATTGAAAAAGATTCGAAATCGAGGACGTTTTTTTACTGTGTCTTAGGTCACAGAAAAAGAGATTCCTGACATGTCCGATTTTTTGAAAGCGGTAACAAGTCTACGAAGATTTTTCTCAAGCCAGCTTTTATACATGGAACTCATTATCAGTAGAAGAAGAGAGGTCGTCGAGAGACGGTCCGAAGAGCGGCGACAAGGATCCGACCAGATGAGGGGGCAGCCGCTCATCTGCCCGTCTCTCGACGTCTTCAAACTTCTGCCACGTCCTGGGCGCCTCGAAGGCGTAGGCCGTGTCGCAGAGATCATAGAAGGAGAAGATTCGAGCGAGGTCGGAGTAGGGCGAGAAAGGCAAGGTGGGAGACCTCTGCCGGTAGACCGGCGAGGCGAACAAAGGTGGTGGAAGAGGCTCACGTTCTAAGGATCCCAGGTAGCGCATGCTGATCTCGCAGTGTCCCCAGACCGCCGCCACGATCGGATACAGCGTCTTGCCCTTCAGATTCCTGAACGCCACGCCGAGGTAGCGGTCCTCCGTCGAGAACGCCATGTAGCCCTCGTCCATGTCCAGAATGCAGTAGAACTGCAAATAGCTCGTTTTTATTCAAATTCAAGCTCTAAATGTTCATTTTTATATACAAAAAATCATGGCTACGGTAGTTTTTTTTTTCGACATTCCTTTATTTAAATTCCTTTTTAGGAATTGATCCGGGATTCTTTTCAACGAATATTCGCGATTTTTAGAAGCGGGAGATAAATTTCGCCTGAGATTCAGTTTTTGAAAAAAACTCGGATGAAAAATAAGGAAAGTTCCTTTAGAACTTCTCAAAATCCAAAAAGATTCTCTATTTTCATGGCAACCTCCTAAAAAGTGAAAAAAAGGTAACCTTACACTGCAGATCCGCATTGAATCACAAAAAAGCTTAAAAAATGCTTCAAACTCATATAAACTTGCAAGTAAATCTTGAAGGAACGTTTCCAAACCAACAATGTTATGAATATCAGTTGAAATCAGATAAAAGCAAAGTAAAAACTCTTCGAGATTCAAATTTTTAGTCGCTCTTTTTTTCCTAAAAAATCATTTATTTGCGATTTCGAGTACAGAAACCCTCTCAGAAAACATCAAACATCAAAATCACCTTATCAGGAACGTTGTAGGTGCTCGGAACGTTGTAAGGATATCGCCACGTCTCCGTGTGCTTCGAATCGTGGTGACACTGGCGCCGAGCTGAAGAAATAGCATTCACAGAGAGTCTCCGAGGTTCTCCTCACTTATGTCCCATCCGTAGCTCTCGTTGGTGGTGCCGACAAGGGCCGTGTAGCCGACGGCGTGCAGTGGCGCCGCTTTAGTGGCCACTCCGACGACGGCGTGAGTTCCTCGCTGCCGCTCCGGCCATTCGATCTGCCAGACGTGGAAGCCGCGGCTGTAGCCGATCTGAAGAGTCATTCTTTCGTTTTTCATCATTTAACAAAAATCTGTCAATTCTTCTCGAACTTTGAAGTTTTTTAAATAAAAAAATTAACTGTGCTCCTAATACTTTCTAAGGCGAAAGCGAGGTCGTTGACGTATTTTCGACGCGACATCGTATTTTCGAAATTTTCCAACTTTTTTGAATGCGACAGAAACGCGATATCGCGCCAAGAAAAGTACGATTCATTTGCAAAGTTTTCAATGTACCGTCATTACCATCGCTTTTCTTTCGCGCCAGATTACGCGGTTGTCTTTCTTATAGACGAATAAAATAAAATGTGACAACTTTTGAAAAAAAAACTATAACTGAAACAGTAAAATCTGTCAAATATCGACTTGAGATATTTTTCCGCAATATTTCACAAAGTTCGTTCCACTGATCAAAATTGCCTACGAATAAAGAGAAAAAATGAGGATCATATTCACCTTTCCTCGTATACAATCGGTACTCTGAGCAACGGGATGTCGGTGGAAAGTGAACTTGTCCTCGTCTTTCACGAAAATGTTCAAAGATCTGGAAATAAACTCGGAATTATTGGATTTTCAACCGAATCGGTTTTTAACCTGTCCTCAGGGTTCCAAGAATGTTGCTCCTGGACGTGTTGATCGGGCGGTCCTTTCCGGAGCAGATGCTCGAAACGGTCAGGTTTCAGGTAATCGTCGACGCCAGTGTTCTGGAATGCATTATTCTTCTTGAAAGTTTCGCTCAAACCATGATTTCTTATCACTCAAATTTCAAAATAGAAACGTTAAAATAGATTCTCCAAGCTCATTTTGACGACTCTGACCTTAATTATCTTAAAAATACTTGAAAATATTTTTTTCCTAGGTTTAATATTGTCGTATGAATATCAAAACTAAACCTCTGATTTTAAATTGATATGAATGAATTTTTGGAGCTAACTTTTCGGCTTGAAGTTCAAAAATAAACGTCGAAAAAATTATAATAAGCTGGAAAATAAGCACGAACGACGGTCTGCGGATGAGCCGAGGAGACGCTTCTCGGGAGGATACTCTGCCGTGGACAGCGGACCTCGATCGTCGACATGAGCGACTCGGGATTGCGGCGATCGCCGCGGATTTCGCGCGTCACGATGCCGCTGATGCGGAGGCCGCCCGTCGTCGACGTCGACTTGTTGCCGCCGGTTGATGACGTCGTCGGGGCTCCTGATGCTCCGCTGCTCGACGAGCACGCTTCGACTGGTGATACTGCAAAAATATTGAGTTGATCATTGATCGGGGACGCTATTTTCAATGATTCTTTGCTCAGTTGCTTGGAATAGTTCTTCTAAAAATTAAATATTTGTTTTCTTTGTGAAACCCCACTTTATTTTTAAAAACCCTCATTTGATATGAATCAGTTGGAAACGTCATGAAAAATATCATTTTTGAATTAGAAATCTTCCGAGCGATTTCAAAGGCCTAGTTGTATCGAAATATCAGAAAATTGATCTGACCTTCGAATAAAAAAGTATTCAGAACGGTTATTTGAACATAGTTAGCCCAATGTCGCCTAGAATAAAATGGAACTAAAATGCTAAAATTATGAAAAAAATGTTCTTTCAATGTAAAAAAACTGTGAAAATAATAAATAAGCTTAAAAAAACCTTCTAAACTTGTCAAAATGTAAAAAAAAAGTTAAAAACGCCCAAAGACTCGAAATTTACGTAATAATTGATCCCAAGGAATGAACGTCAGAAAAAAAAGAAAAGAAAAAAAAGCATTTTTTTTTCGCCGAGAAAGCCAGAAAAAAGGACCAGTTTTCTGGGCACTCTCGAGGCAACCGGAAGTGATCCTTTGGACACTATTTGTTGTTTGCTTTGGAAAATGTTCGAAATTTTCTAACTATCAAACTCAATCAAAATAATTGTATTTAAAAACACGTTTAATTTCTGAAAAGACCTAACAAACGTTTGAAAGGCGGTACTAGTTCATTGGTAATTTTAAGGAGGTAAAATTGTGAAGTAAAGACCAAGAAAATCCTCAAAACTATCAAGAAAAAAAGGTGAGAGAAGGAGCTCTTTGTACCTTTGGGAACATTTCAAGAAACTTTTGATCTTTTTTTCGAGCTCCTGAGTAGTTCTCCCAAGGCTAGATGGAAACTTATCATAAGTTAGCGATATAGTATGCAAAAAAAAAAAATTCAGACACCTTAAAGCGGTGATACTAGCTGAAAATTATGAATAACGAAAACAGGTATCTAAAAACTTGAAAATCAAACGTAACGCTAGGAAAAAAGAGAAAAAAGGCGATCAGTAGTCGAAACGATGGAATGATAAGGGCCTTGGAGATCAAAACGACGGTTCAAATGTACTTTTAATCGAAAATCGAAGAGAAGACCTGTTAGAGAAACGTTCAGAGATCATGGTCTAAAGTGTAGATCAGAGCGAACAAAAAAAGGTCTCGCATGGAGTTTTTCCGAGTCTCAAACCGATATCAAAGAATGAAAACTGTTTATATAATCTTGATAATCTTCTTTCAATTTCACAACATGACCTACATTAATTATTGGTAAAACTTATGAAATCTTCACAAAAAATACATTTTTCAAATTATTTTTCATGTTTTTTTGAATTGATTGATCTGGACTCTTCGAATCAATTTCTGTGACATGAAAATAAATCCAAGAACATGAAAAATCCCTAATTTGTGAATTTTTAAAAGCAATCGAACGTGATTTTTTTGGAATTTTGTTGATAAAATCTCCCTTGAAAAAAACAGTTTTTTTACCTAAAAAAAGTTCCAAAACAGGATTTTTCTCAGGCCGATGGAACAATATCAAAAAAAGTCACTATGCAGAAAGCAAAATTTCCAAAAAAATATTAAAAAGACCAAAAAAAGAACTTCTTACTGTTAAATAACCAAATAGCAAGATTACTCTTAATTCAATCGACATAAAAACATAGAAATCAAGAGAAAAAATAGCTACAGAAGGCGAAGAAAAATTTTTCCCAAGTGAATAAAAAAATTGATCTCAAAACCGAGTGACTAGACGAACCTTACAGAGGATTCAAGTACGAAAAGAAATCGACCTCCATTTTTTTTTTTTTCAATCTAACAGATCCAAAATTTACCGCCACTCTGAAGCAAAAGCTGGGCGATAAGGGTGGCATTATTGACGAAATTCTGCTGATCAGTCGAATTGGCGGCGGCGACAGAGAGCAGATTCAGGAATCGATCACGACCCATAGTCGCAGCAGATCCTTCGAGGATCGTCGTCGGCATTGAGTCAAGGGAGCGTCGTCGCTTGCGCGACTCCTCCGTTCGCGATGTCGCATCTAGCAAGTCGACAGGTCGCTTGCGTCTCTGCGATTCGGCGAAGGCTCGTATGGCGGCAGCTCTGTGTGGCCGAAGGCGTCGAAGTCGTTCAGCGACGATTTTCGAGGAGGAGGACGACGAGGAGTTGGAGTTCATGACCCATGAGGGGTCAGGTTGCGTTCAAACAGCCGGACGATGGAATAGAAGGAGCGCGAGACAAGGCGTCGTAAAAGAGAAAGTAGGGATTTCGGAAATCACCGACAGTCTCTGATGATCGCGAGTGGAGATAAAGGCGACCCTTGCCGAAAATTGGGTTCGACCGTCGTCGAGTGAAGTTCCAAAACTCTCACTCTCGACCGGGGCGCGCAGGTCAGGTCAACTCTCGCCTCGAAGACGAATTTTTTGAAAGTCAGAAGAATCGATAATGTAGGTGTGGAATATTCGGGCAGGACGATTTGTGTATCCAGGCGGCCGCTAGAACTGGACACGACAAGAAGACGGGAAATTCAAAGCCAAGGAATCTGGAGACACACAATAAATCCGGGAATGGCTGAAGAAGGCGTGGTCGACGGACGGAAAATACGAGGCGGCCGCCGCGCGGAACCAACCAACCAAACGCGAGAAGAAGCAAGATTTAAGCTGCTAGCCTCCGATTCGAACGCCTGCTTAATCGAGAAAGAGAGTCAGAGAGAGGGAGAACGCCACAGCAAATATTGCACCACCGGTTGGTCAGTCCGTGGTGGCCGTCAGTGCCAGAACAACAACTCTTTGTTTATTTGTTTAAATTCAGACTAATTTCAAATGTTTAACTTCAGATTATTGTGACAAACAGCCAGAACGCTGAGTTGAACCTTTGAAAAATGAGCTTCAAAGTTTTCTAGAAGCCGTCTGTTTGAGCTCAAGTCGTTTCGAAATGTGAATTCCAACATTTACTGTTAAAAATAGACAAAACAGAGTTTTTCGAGAGAAAAAATTCAAAAAATAAGCTCAAAAGCCGCTAAGAGTCGTCAAGTAGCTTTAAAGTTTAATCTTCAACATTTACTTGCTGTGGCGAAAAATCCAAAAACTAAGGTTTCTACGAGAAAAGGTTCAAAAATATGCCCAAAACGTTCTTAGGAGATGTAAAAGCCAGAAATCACGTGACTTTACCCAAGCCAAAAAACGGTTTGAAATTTGAAAAAATGATGAAAGTTGACGGAAACACGTCGGATAAAAAGCCATTTCATTCAAATTTCGCTCTTTCTCTCTTCCTCGTACCGCCAACCAACCAACCAGGGCCGAAACCCGAACGCGACAGCAAACAATTGTGCAAAAGCTGCAAACAGACACACGGCGCCTGTTATCGGCAGAAATGATGGGGGACCAGGCCTAACACGGAACTCCACCGGTAACTTTCTTCGCCATCTCCCTATCTTCACGGAAAATTACTTTAGTGTCCCTAAAAATGCTCCAGAGAAGTTCTAAAATGGTTCACATAAAGATCTAATCGTGTTCTACCAAATGCCAACCTAAGAAAATATTGAAGCAAAAAGTCTTGAAGAGGAGTATTTTGATTCACAGGACTGAGTGAAGAAGAACTCCTTGAAATTTCGCAAAATCAATAACAGAAAAATGGGCCTTTCCGCAAACTCCGAAACCTTCAAAAGGTTTCTCTAACTTCTATCACATTCCATGAATTGGGTGCAGCTGAAAAATTAAAAAAAATTAACTTTTCAGACTTTTTGGATACCTTCAGAGTTCGAATTTAAAAAAATTTCCGCAGAAAAGGGTAATCTCAACTTGTCGAAAGAATGCTAGCGTCTAAACCCTAAAAGGACCCCTCCAGCCTCTCTCAAATGCACTGCTTATTGGGAAGCGCTGCAAGAATCGAAGGATTCTCGAAGTTCAAACCACAAACTTCGTAGTTTCCTCCCCAGACAGTTTTAGCGTATCGGTGAATCCTTCCTTGTCTCCTTCCTTCATTCATTCATTCGTTCTCCTCCTTCATCATCTCAATTTCTTCTTCGATTCTCGGGACGCATTCACACGCGTCGCCGCCAGCCGCATCCGGACACGGCAACCGGTCGTCCGCCGCCGACGCCAAAACTCGCCACCGCCACGCGCCTTTTCTTATTTTGGAGGGGCCAACCAACGCGTCTTTCTCCTTTCCATTCAATCCATTTAATTCCCTCTTTTTTCTATTCTTCCTATTCGTTGGTCCTATCACATTAAGCCGTTTTCGCTGGCTAATTGAGTTCGTCAAAAGGGAGATTCGGATCGAGAAAGTACTTTGGAATAGTTGGATTTCGTAATTTACAAGATTCGAGGAGTTTACGATAATTAGGTGAAGACTTTCCAGAAACTAATTTTAATGGTCAAAATTTCGACGCAGAATACTTCAATACAGAAACTTCGGGAAAAATCGATTTAGAGATTTAGGAAATAGAAAAGCTTTTCACAGCTGAAAGGGTCCGAAAAAACGCATTTTAAGGTTTGAAAAACTTGTGATTAAATGTGGAGACACGTTTTTCTTTATCACTAAAGTTAATGAGAGGAAGATACTACTTTGAAAAAAGTCCTAACAAGAAAAACTTTAAAGATTTTAAGATTCTCTAACATGTTCTCAACTTCAGCTACTCCTCAAAGTTAGATCAAGAAAATTATTAATTTTCACACTATAACACCGGAAACTTTGAATTTGAAAAAAAAACCTGGTAATCTGATCGAATCGCTTGGCGTCGACTCGATCTCCATGTCTACTATCGCCGGAATCATTCAACAAAAATCCTCAGATAATATTTAGATCTGCAATGAGGTTCAGTCTAGAGAAAGATTCGATTTTGAAAGAAACGTCGACGAGAAAATGACCGTGTGAATTTCGAAAAAGTTATAAAAATCTATCGATTCGAGGCGAAGATGAGCTTTCAATAAAAAATAGACAGCTGACGTAAAATATCTAAAAATTTTATTTTTTTCCAAAAATCCGTTTTTCATAGCGGTTAACATTTAAAACACTTATTTCAAAAAAAAAAATTCTTCAAAAAAATTCCTTGTGAAGTAAAAACTGGAACGTTTCAATTTTTCAATTCGAATTTTTTTCCCCTTATTTCATCTTCATAATGGTTAAAACTGCCAAAAAAACTTTCATCATGACTGGAAAAACCTTCGAAACTATGAAATAATCAGAACAAACGAGAAAAATCAAAAAGAAGAACTAAATGAATGAAAAAAAAAACAATTGATGACAATGATTGGAAGAAAAAGAACCAGTCCCGGGCAAGAACAGTTCTTTAGATTGCCAGACGAAATAGGAAAGAAAGAGAGACAGTTTGGCGTCGGCTCACACGGCCCCCCAAACACACGCCTGTGTAAAGGCGCCAAATTCGAATCAAAAAAAAAAGAAGGGAGATTGTCCTTCCGCGGAGGGCAAATTGTAATACTGCCAAACGCCCGGGCACTTGGTGGCATAAAAAGTTAAGAATCTCCGACACAAAAAAAGACTATTTTTTTGGCCCTTTATAGTGAGGGAAAAAAAGTTCAAGAAATTTTTCTGAAAAAAAATTCTGATTTTTTTGGAAAAAGTGTATTCAGATGAAAATTTTTTTAAGATTACAATAAGAAATTTCTGTTCCAAAACCCAACAAAACCGAGAACTGGTCGGTTTTACATTTCAAATTATAAAAATTGATACTTTGTTAAATTTGCCAACTTCAACTATGGTCCAAAAAACTTACAAAAATTGATTTTTATCGTTCGAAAAATCATTGAAAACTGGCATTGTCACAAAAACAAGAACTTGAAATCTTGAAATGAAAATATTTTTGTGAAGAGAACAATCGAAACACTTGAAGCAGCCAAAAATGAGCTGATTCGAACGGAAAAAAAACAAATTCAAAAGACCTCTGAAAACTTTGCAAAATGACATCGTCAGTAGTAAGACTTGAAAATATTTTAGAGTTCAGAAAAAGTTTCCGAGAAACGAAAAATTGGTTCAATCGTTTAACTTTCATCACATGACGCCCTAAAAACGGTAGTAAACAAGTGTCAATCTCTTGAAAAAAGAAGTTCAAACGACATTCCAGACTACGCTATCACAGAGACGCGGGGAAGATCAAAGAATGTCAAAAAATCGTCCTCAAGAGAGATTTATTGATAACTTTCGATGTTCAAATGTTTTAAAGGTGTAATGAATCTCCCTGGACGAATATTCAAGAAAAACTCGAGAAAATTGAAGGCGTCTGTCTTTTATTACACTCAATTATCGTGCCAAGCCAACAGTGTATAGAATTTTGGCGCCAAAATTCGAAAACGAGAGTTGATAAGGAGATTCAACAAAACGTTAAACAATGCCTGAATTTCATATAAAAAGCGTCAAAGAAAAACCAATCCTATTTGCATAAACTATAAAAGCCAAATCTAGAAATTTAATTTTAAAAAAATTTATATTATTCAGGCCGATTTTTGTCAAAAATGAAGGAATTGATTTTAACGAAAAAATTTTAATGAATCGAGCCAAATTTTCATAAAACGCATCAAAATTAAACGAGCCGAGTAGAGCTTCATTTTCTCAAGGCAAAGGTTAAAAAAACCTATTCACGCCAAAGTTCAAAAATTCAGCATCTAGCACATAATTTCAGCAAAAATGATACCAGATCTTTTATAAATGCGTCAAAATTGAATAAAATTAGAATAACGTAGTTTCTGAGCCTAAGGGATCGGTGAATGGACTGTAATTTCCAAATTTTAAAATTGAGCATTTGACACAGAATTTCAACATAATAAGGCTGGAATAAGGGAGAAAGATTTTATCGAATGAAAAAAAAGACGAAAAGAAGAGAGGGAGAGAGTCAACGGCAAATGAGCTGACAGTGTATATTTGTGAGCGTAGGAGGTGGGGGTCGACCTCAGAAAGACGCGCACCCAAAAACCAATCAAACTCTCCTGATTTCACACGCTATTTCGCCGTTTCGACGACGGCACTCCCGATTTTTCATACGGCACTCACACGCATACATTGTATGTGTTCTTCACGTACTATTCCGGTTTTCTATCTCCTACTTTCGATTCTTCCAATTTACTTCTTTTTTTTCCTGCCACTCTTTCTCTTCTTTCCTTCTCTTTTACTGCACTTTTGAGAAGCCCTCATTCACTATTTCCTGTCAAATCTATAGAAAATGGAAAAATACTGATAATTTTCCATATCATATCAGACACCGGTGTAGTCGGGCGTCTTCAAGGGATCACTAGAGAGGCGTACGGAATGATTCAAGTTCAGAGATTTCCTTCGTTTTTCTTGGTCACAAATTTGTTCAGAAAGTATCAAGAGTCTTAAATTACTATAAATCTTGATAAATCTTAAATTTATGGGAAATTTGAGTAACTATACAACTTCAAGACGGAAAAAAAGGCAAAAAAGGCATTCTCCAACTAAAAAAAAAAAAATTTTTAACCAAAAATCTCAAAAACTAAGATCTTGACACCTAGGTAGAAGTAAACGAAAGTCAAAGTCCAGTCAAAACAAATAAAAAACCGAAATTATTCAAACGAGAGAGAAAAAAAACCTCAATGAAAACGAGGGACACTTAAGGATCAGATAACAACTAAAATTGCCACAGCAACACTCGACGAAAAGCGGCTTTGATGACGGGGGCCAGATAAAGGCGTTTTGTGATGATGATGATGATGAAGACGTCGAGGAAGCCCCGCCGACGACGACGGGAAATGTCTCGCAAAAACGGGAAGTCAAATAAAAAAGGGAATAAAGAAACGATTGAGATAAAGCCGCCAACCGAAGGCAGAGAATTACCCAGGGATAAACGATGGCGCGAAGAAACAGCCGCGGAAAAATATGCTTCAGATCGAGATCTTGCGCTCCACTGATAACTTCTCAAATCATTTTCTTTTCTAACACGTGCTATTCAGGGAAATTAAACCATTATCAATAGAGCGCAAAAGCACCAGTCTAGCGCGGCCCTTTTTTCCAAAAAAAAAAATTTTCGTGGAAGATTTAAATTTCTTGTCAGTCATAATTTACTCGTTTCGGCACATTAAAAGAGGGGGGCAAAATGTGTGTGTTGGGCGGAAAGAGCGACTGGTGTGCAACACACAGCACAACACAAAGCGCATTGTCTTCCGCGCGACCGTCCTTCCGACCGACGGTTTCCTCGTTTTAATTTCGCTTGCAACCTTTTGCCTCGCCTCGGAATTGTTTACTCGTTGGCTGCTGCAACCGACACCAGCGACGCCATGGAACGATTAAACAAGAACTTCTCTCTCGAGAAGAATCGTAGGCATACACGTTCACGGTCCGTGATTGAAGAAAAAAAAACAAAAAACTGTGGATGAGCTCGAGAAAACTTGAATGTTCGAGGAAAATCTCTTTTCAAGGGTCTGCGGTTATCGAGAGATTAGAACGACTTTAAAAATTTCGAAATCCAAGAAAAAGTTCAAATATTCAGCTCAAAGGTGCAAGGTCCCGAAAAAAATTAAAATTTGAAAAAGACTTTTTAGAGGCACACTGATGCTTTCAAAAGCAACTTCCAGAAGAAAATAAATGGCCTTTTTTAGTCCAAAAGTCCCCCGAATCACGAAAAAAAAACAAATTGAAACTCCGTCAAACTTCGATAATTTTTGAAAACTCTCATTTTTGTTCATATGTGGTAAACTATTACCCCATTCATGAGCACTAAATTCTGAAAAGACCTCGTCCAAGTCTTCCTCCAGTTTTCGGTTCAACTTCTTCTCTCCCAATTTTCCCATGCACCAACCGTAAACCAAAAGAAAATTCGGGCTGTAAACCTATTAGCTTTCCTTTCACGGTAATCAGCCGTTTTCCACAGGGAATCAATCAACCGGAAAACTTTCTCCCGAATGAGAAGGGCAACTACGCTCGATAGGGTTTCTTGAAACTACGTCTGAGGTCAGAAGGACTTCAGTTGACGTTTACAAGTTTCAAAAATCGTGTTGTGAGAGAAGCCGTTCGATTGCCAGCAGAAACAATTCTCAATTGAGCGCAGAAGCCATTTTCGACGCGAATATTTATTCTGAAGAAAAAAGCAACCTAGATAATGAATAATTCGCTTTTTCCAGGTGCTCCCAGAGTGCTAATTATCCATAGATGAAAATAATTGGTGCTGCTTTTTTTTCCCCGCAAGCCAAGAGGTACATTTCTTTTTTGGAAATGTGTGTTAGGAAAACAATGATCCCGAAAAGTAAAATAAAATTATCGCGGCTCTTTTTTGACACCTGTTTTTTTTTTTGCAACAACCGTCATTTTTTCACACAGAACTGAAACTGTTTTTTTCCACACAATTGATTGAAATTTGACCTTTTTTTCTTTACTAAAGTTCTCTTCAACCATTATCAACACGACAGTGAGCTATCCGCGAAATCTCTCACTAAATTTTTTCAAAAGAATAAAGTTATACCTTGACATCCCTGGTTCTCCTGCGATTGTTTGGCGCCCATTGCTCCAATACCGGCCTGAAAAAATCTTCGATTACTCTAAAAACACTCCAGATTAATAGTGAAAAATATTATTGTGAGGAAAAGTATTGCAATCGGGCAGAAGAAAAGTTCAAAGATTGCGAAAAAGTGTTCAAAATCTTCAATTAGATATAAAAAATCTCGAAAGCTGCTTTACCAGTGAGAAAAACGTAGAAAGGATTTCAAAAATCACCCTAGCCCCACTCAGAATGGCTCAAGCTGCAATGCGAATTTTCAGATCAGAAATCTTTTTAAACCATATCTTCTAGTATACTTCAAACAGATAACTCTAACGCCGGCGCGAAAGCCGTTTCACGGTCGGTTAAAGCTAGGAGCCATACGCCATGCGGACATGATTTCTGGAGCCGTGAAAAATGTAACAAAAAAACTGATTTTACAAATAGAAGTCGGTGAAAGAATAGATTTTCAGTCGCCCTTGGAACGACTCGATTTTGATCCATTCCCAGTGCGACCACCGTGTTGAGAGTCGAATTAAACTCAATAAAAAGCGGTTTTTTCCACCTAAAATAGCACCCTCAATTCAAAAGGATCCAAAATAGGAATTGTTAAGGAAGGGGCGCGACCTCCCTGTATTCAAAACGAAAGTGCAAGAATAGATAGCATTGATAAAAAAGTCCAAAAATAGTTAGTTCTACAGAGAAAATTTGGCAAGACTACAGCCACTAAATAAAATCGCAAATATTTACAAAATGATTCGAAAAAATGAAGCGTTGATCGGAGTGACAAAAACAACAACTTTGTTTGGTTGTGTCGGCAAAAACCGAACGATTTTGTGACGTCAGCCAATTTTCAGTGATGAAAGACCAATCTTAAAATAACTGAATAAATTTCATTGTTTCAAATTCGATGATACATTTCAAAAAGCCGGCAGGTTCGAAATTTGAAGTTTTTCCTCTTAAAAATCGGATAAAACTTTCTTGAAACTACAGAGGGGCCAGCACTATCTTACTTTGCTCAATCGAAAAGGCCAACTTTTCAAAATTGAACTCTCATAATTTTTTTTCTCACAGTCCTCCTTTGCAGTATTGAGAACAGACTCTGAACCACATCTGGTATGGTTTGTCTCGTTCAGAGGTCTCAATCTGGTTTGAGACTATTTTCTGGTTGGGACTGTAAGAAGAAATTTCAAAAAGCTACATATTTATAAAAAGAATAATGACTAAACTTGGGTCTGATCTTCTTATTTTGATAACTTTCATACGAATTGTTTCTTTCTCAATATCAAACAAAAACCTAGAAGTTTAGGGCTGAATGAAAGGAACTTGAATCGAAAAACTGTTGCAAAAGCCTGCATCTTCAGGTCACATGCAAAAAGGCTGCAACTGCCGTGCAAACTATCTGGAATGGGGCGAGACGAGAGAAGAGATAAAAATGCCAAAAAGTCAACGAACTCTTCGCCTTTTTCAGAATTTGTTTGTGCAAACACACATACAAATTACAGCCGTCGAAAAATCGCTTCGATTTGCACACCTGCGCCCCACGGAAATAAATGCCTCTGTTCATTCCGTGAATATTAATAGCCAATTATTTGCGCAACCGTTTTTGCCTCTCATTCAATGAGGTTATGGAGAAAGTGAAAGTTGAATATTTTTGAAATAAGCAGAAAAATTGAGATAAAATCTAGACTTTCCGGATCTTGCAAGAAACTTTGATATTCTTGAAAGGAGATCAATGGCAGCTTATCCGATGTCGTAAGCTCAGATGAAAGCTCCCTTTGTTGCAAAAAGGAAAAAAAAATTGATCCATGTATCAAAGAAAGAAGGATTTTGCAGAGAAAATACGATGAATGAGCCCATTTTCAAACCTCTCAAAAATTGAAAGTTCACGTGCTTTTCTATTTTCCTTTAGAGAACAAAATATCTAGGGATTCCTATGTTTCTGGAACTTTGAATAATTCTATTCGACATTTTCAAGTTTTGAAGAGCATCGTTAGAAGAAAAAAGAATTATATAAACTAGATCTTTCAATTTGAGCTTAACTAGTTGGAAAGAGATTTTGTTTAGTCCATTTTCCAATTTCTGAATCTCGAAAATTATTCGATTCCCACTGAAATCGGACCAAAAACAATCAATGGCGAAAAATCTGTCCTCAAAATTGATTTTGACTGGACAGCATCTAATTTCGCTCATTCCGATGTGAAAAAAACAACCCAAAAAAAAAAATATATATACGGGCCACTCAGTTTCATAAAAAAATTTGCTTCGAAAAAATCTCCATCTTTGAGAAGATTACTTTGAAAAAAAAAGTTAATTTCGGAAAACATGCTTACATTCAAAAACAGTATATAAAAGAAAGGATCTAGAAACTAAAAAGGAAAACTGCCCTTATCAACAGCAAATGATATTTTCTAGCCAAACTTGAACCAAGAAAAGAATGACGCAAAGTTCAACCAGTTACTTCGTACTTTGGAACAAAACTACCAGAAAAGTACTAATCTCAAAAGCTTTTTCACTAATCGAGCTAATTTTCATGATAAAGGTCATTCAAACCATTTGAAAGCCTGACGTGCTGATAAGATAACCTTAAATTTGCAAAAATAGACTAAAATTGGTTTCAAAGAAAGAATAAGAAAAGATGAAAGTTCATTTTTTGAGTTCTGAGGTCAGAACAAAAAAGTCCCCACAAGACCTCAACGAGTTTGAATGGTTAAGAACCTCATTTTCGAAAACGGCTTTGTGCAGTCTTTCTGCAAGTCTTTGTGAGTCAAATGAACAGTCAAGCTTAAAAACTCAAATTTGAACTTAAAAATCTATAATTAGAAAAAAAAACGGCATCTAAGGCATAGACCTCAATAAGTCCATAACAGTCAAGTTTGAAGCGTTGAAAGTTCAAGTTTCGAATTTCGAAGTTGAAAGATGAAAAACGGCTTCGCCGGCCTTGGTGGCTGAAATGAACGCGTGCCGCACGCGTTCATTTCGCGGCGTGCGAAGCAGCAGGACAACCGTGCCCGCCGATGACGTCATCCGTCATGCTGCCGTTCACACGTTCCTTCCGTGTCGGTCGAAAACTGGACTCCGTCGGCGCCCAACAAAATGAAACCGAGAGCAGCACAGGTGGCGGCTCATAATGAACAAAAAAGAATTGAAAAAGACTGAATGGAACGAAGGGAAGAGACGTCGGCAAAAGGCAAGTCTGGCGGGAAGCTTTCGCTTTCCTCTAGTGGTTGACACTTGTGAGGAGTGAAGGTCAAATCATGAGGATTGCTGACTATAGTTCATTCACCGCTGTCTTGAGGCAAAAAGAGGGTTTAGAAAAATTGAAGCTTGTTTGTCTCAAGATGGCGGCAAATGGAGTATACTTCGCTGAGGTGTTCAAAGACGCAGGAAGGAGCTTGGTAAAAAGTTTCGGCGCAACCAAGAAGTTTCGGTGAACCATATTTCCAGTCTATATGGCTCCTGGAAGTTTCCAACGAACCAGATCTCCAATTGCATGCGTAACTTACGCGGAAGCGATTCTCACACGCAAAAGAACCAGGAAATCGCCAAGCCTAATCTCAAATTCATCCAACTTGAATCTTCAGCGGAACTGAAGTCCAGAAAGCTCAAAATGTTTTCTTCTCAGCTGATATCCGTTCTTATTTTGGGATAGAACTTTTAAAAATGTTTTTCTGATAATGTCGATTCGATTATATCTATATTCTGAAATCGCAAATCCATCCGAATAAAAAGAGAAACTCAAGCACGAGCTGGGATCCTCAAATGGAGATTTTTGGAGATTTCCAGAGTTTAATTGAGCAAACAATGAAAATGGGTTTTGATTTTTAATCAAAAGTTTTATTTCTCAAAAACAGTCCACACGATCAAACTGATCGAAAAAAGCGGAACATTCAGAAAAAGGCAGCAGCAGCTGGCAAAAAAAGCGATAAGATGATTGCCACGTCTCTGTTGCCTGCCAACTTCGGAGAACATTCCAATATAAAGTTGTACAAGCCAAGGCGACAAAGGAGAAGAAGAAGAAGTTACCTTGAGCCATGGTCGGTTGGAAAACAAAACACAGCGGGTGAAAAAGAGGAAAGAAAGAAGAAAAAAGAAGGGGAAAAACGGGAGGGGACAGCCTACAAACAACAGCGACCCAACGAGGAAGAAGCGCGTCGGCACGAGGCTCACTAAAGTGTCAACTTTCGACGGCTTTTCCGATCTTCATTACATTTTTCTTCAAAAAAAATTCACACCTATAAAAGCAAAAGCCTTTCATGGCCCAAAATATCACCTAAATATTTCTTCTAGGTTGGACTTTATACATCGAAAAACTAAAGACTTTTAAAACTCTTTGAGACGGCAAAGGAGAGAAGGAGTCAAGAGCCGCATAAACTAACATAAATGATGGAATTTCTGTTCAGAGCCTTTACGAGTTTATCCTATGGTGCTAATGCTTGAAGACGAAAAAAAGAATTTTACGATTTAGCTCAAGTGCTAATGTCTGAATAAAGAGATAGCTCCGAAATTTGGCTCCCCTAAAATTTTTATTTCCAATTGAAACTTTTTTTTAATTGCAAAAGTCTGGAGGCTTCCTTACGTGTTTTCCATTCATTCTTATTCTTTATTGCAAGATAAGAAATGTCCGGGTAACTATACGTTTTGCCAACTTCCTATATGTCGTTTAAAAAGAAATTCAGTGATATTTCAGGTGATGCCAGGCTTTTCCTACTTTTGCTAATGCTTGAAGTCAAATCGGGTGAGGTACATCAAAGTCCATTTGCTTTTTTTTCGGGGTCGAAATGATACCGTAGGATTCGCGTGTTCAAAAGCCGCCGACCATAATGAATCTTGATGAAAAGAGAGATGAAAAAAGGATCATGTGACGGTAGGAAAAAAAAAGCAACTGCCAGTCGCAGAGCGAAAAGAACGGGTGCCACGCCGACGGGGGCTAATCACCGCGATTAGAGAACGGCGAAATGGAATGGCTGCCCTGATAAAGAACACCGGCGAGGACACATCCATCTGACAGTCCGAAAAAGCTTCCAATTGATTGATGCGCAACTTTGTACGGTTCATAATACACAGAAATTCATAATAAATGTACTCTGCTCGGCACGATTTGGAACGCCATGAAACCGCCTAAATGGCTCGGTCGAAATTTCAGTAGAGGGTGAAATATAACTGCGACCGCAACGTTTTGAACCCTTTCAGACGGTTTCATAGATTTTCAAATAATGGGAAGCAAAGAGTATCATCAAATATTGAAGTTAACTTTTTGGTACTGACCAGAGAATGGTCTGACTCCACACAGAGACTTTTGAAGGAGAAAATATGAGATTAGGATCTCTAAATGAAATGTTCACGCTGGTTCCTATACAGGGCTCAAAAACAGGCTGAAACGTTTCAAAAATAATTATTGCTCCTTAAATTTGGAATTTTTTCCATTCTACAGCATCCTTTTTGAAAGCTGGAGGTAGGGCTTATGGAAATGGAATTACTCGTGAAACATAATGATCGTCTACTCTTGCAAAAATAATAAGTTTGAAGATTAAAATTTAAAAAAATCCTATTAAACTTCTCACACCGACAACCTGCGAATAACTAGAAAACCGAAAGGCCTCGAAAACTACAAAAATCATCGCCTTCTAATGCAAAAACCAACTAAAACACTCTTGTTGCCTACAAAACGGGGGAAAAACCTTTCATTTTTGAACCAACACAGCTCTATTGTTAGTGCGGGGAAAAAGTTGTTGAAAAGAGATTGAGCGCGGCAAAAAAAAAGAGTAAACTGTGTCGATGAAAAGTAGGTAAACTCTCTTTTATACTAATAAGGGCAGTGCAAAAAATTTTTTTAATCATAAAATTTAACCGAACACCCTGATTTTTCACACAGAAAAAAATTTTTTTGAAGACATTTATCTCCGAGTTTTTAACTCAAGTTCGTTGCTGTAAGGGAAAAAAAGTTTTTCAACGTTTGTAGAACTCCTCAACTCCATATAAAAGATAAAATTCATGGAAATTTTTCTTCAACATTAGAATTAGGATGCTAGAAACTACGTCTACGACGATTTCCAACAAAATCTCAAAATTTTCAGTTAAAAAATTTTTTTCGAAAAAGGTGGATATTTTTTTGGAGCAAAATATTCCAATGAAGCTCAGTGGCCTATGGCCCGTATATATATATTTTTGGGTTGTTTTTTTCACATCGGAATGAGCGAAATTAGATGCTGTCCAGTCAAAATCAATTTTGAGGACAGATTTTTTGCCATTGATTGTTTTTGGTCCGATTTCAGTGGGAATTGGATATTTTTTTGAGAGTCAGAAATTGGAAAATAGACTGAACAAAACCACTTTTTTTAACTAGATAAACTCAAATTGGAAGCTCTATTTTTTTATATATATCTTAATGTTCTTCAAAACTAGAAAAAAATTGACTAGAATGACATAAATAAATTTCGCAAAACGTAAATCTCTCTGGATGGTTTTTTTTGTCGGTTACTAAAAGTCAAGAGCAAAAATGCGGAAGAAAGACTTAAAAAGGCAATTCTTCAAGAGAAAATTTGCAACTTGTGCAACAATTTCTCATTGTTGGGGATTCAGAAACTTACTTGGATGCAAAAAAGTGCAAATTAAGATTCTAAGGACTTGTTAGGAAATTTTACGATAATCATTAACCTTGATCGAAATTCCTTTGGAGGCGTGTTTATTAAGAATTTTTTGAATAGACTGTAGACAATTAAAAACAAAAATTTTTTTAACTTTTCAAAACTTTAAAAAGATTTTTTGCAAACAAAAAACTGGTTCAAAACTTCAATTCACAGCGTTTTTGAAAATCGAGAAAGTGCTCCATTGATAAAAGAACAGTAGGGCAAAAAATTGACAGGCACGGCAATAAAACTGTCAGATTAAAATATTTCGTACTTCGCCACGTACCCCAAAAGTTATCACTATAATGAGCTCGAAACAGACAAATTTTCGTTGAAAAAGGGAATCGACCTCAAAGATGATAACCAAAAAAGGCGAGCCATTATCACAAGGTCTTGTTGATAATAAAATGAATTCGAGACGAAAACTCTGCCGAATAATCATTTTTGAGGTCAATAGGAAAGTATTTGAACGGAAAGAAATTGTTGAGAATACTGTAGCAATCATAAAATTGCGCTTTTTCTTTTTTCAAAATGTTGAAACTTCAAAATTTATAGTCACATTAAAACTTTGAAATCTCTCTTGTGTTTTCTAGATTTTATAGCTTTGTTTCATAGCTGATGCAAAAGAAATGAAAAATCTGTGACAAAAAAGTTTATTCTAAGTTTTTGGAAGAGCCCAAAAGAAAATTTAAAAATCGATTTTTCGATGCGGATTCAATAAAATGGAACAAACTTTCATAGAGAGGCTCAGTTTACTTTTATTTCAGATGATTGATGTAATCTTATTCCTGAAACTAGAAGAAAAATAGTGATTGTTTCGTTACGGCATTAATATAGTAAAATTTGTGGAGACTCATTTTTCCTGCACCTTTTGAAGCTTGATTTGCTAATCCATATAAAATTAATCCCAAAAACCTTACAAACAAGAAAAACGATCTTTTCTTTCGGACTTAGGAAAATAACAAAAAATCGCTTTAAAAGCTCATTTCACCTACATTTTCTAAATTCCATTTGTTGTACACATAAAATTAGAAGAAAAAGCCCAAAAGAAGCGCCGCAAAACTCAAAAACGCGTACAGAAAAGCTATTGGTTGATTGGCGGCCAGTCAACACACCACAATTGTGTCTGAAGTTACACAAAACGGGTACTTTCCCGCAAACAATTGACGGCGACGACGACGGGTTATCATCATTTGGTCGTTGTGCCGTTGTGATGAGAGCAAGAAAAAAAAACAAAGTGAAGTATGGACCGTTCAACAAAAAGTTACATTTCGATTAGTCATCAGGTACGAGAAAACGTCTGGATAATTATTGTGAAACCTAGAGAGGCCACTTGAGAGCGCCAAGATAGTTGAACGAAACACTCAAGGTGCAGGTTCGGATGTTCCAAGTGGTAAATCAAGACTTTTTACAAAAAGAAGCTTTTCTAAATTTTCTTCTGAGGAAGATTTGATGAAAATAAAAATCTTAAATACTTTGAAATAAACCTGAAGGGGTCATTTAAGCAAAGCGATATGATAGTTTGTTGTTCCTCAAGAGGTCACTTGAAATTAGTTTCATATAAATTCTGATGCGGACTCGACCAACTCAAAAGAAAAATAACTTGAGTGGCTACTCAAGGCTCGTCGAAGTTGCCTATTAAGAATTCTTCAAATAATGTAAGTTTATATTCTTTACGTGTTATGCTCACAAAAATCCCTCAAATTGCTCCAAGTGGTCAATCAAGGGAAGATGTGAAATAAGATCTATCGCCGGTTATAAGTTCTCGCGGAATATCTAACTATTCTTTCCAATTATACATGCGTGATCACTCAGCTGCCCTCTTGAGGGATTACTTGAGACTTGAGAAAAACTATGATCTACTGAAAGCGAGGGTTGAAAGCTGAGGTCCATGCCATAACTGGTGAAGCAGATTTTCAGATGTTTCATTTAGGTAAATTATAGATTTTTGAAGCTTTTTCTACAATATAATTTCGTACCGAGGAGTTCCTCAACAGTTGACGTCGTTCGTTCGAATCTTCAGCGCCTGGAAAGTTAATCATAATCATTTAAAAAAATGAGAACTTCAATTTCTTGATGAATGAGAAGAAAACAAGAAAAAAAAACTAGAAAATGAACTCAATTTCGATGGAGCGCAAATTCATTGAACATTCAATGCATTTTCGAATGAGCAAACATTCTCAAACATCTTGGCTCATTTTTCAATTGTTTAACTCAAATTTTGACCTTCATTTGTCGCAAAACTTTCTTATATTCCTTTTTTTCTTGAACTTTTCGTAGCCCTTATCTTTTCCATTTGAATATCATGGTCGCAGTTGGAATGGCTCAAAGGATAACCGCTGCGAAAACATCCTTTTGAAAAGCGTCTGAACCAAACCTACTCGCGCATAGAAACTTATTGGTCACGCGTCAACTTGAAATCGAGAAAGTACCGTATGAACTTCGCGGCAAAATTCGCTTTGAAACCCGCTTTTTTGAAGAACGCAGAAGAAGCTGCGTTTACAGTATCTTTTATTTCGCTGTATTTCAAAAAGGAGACCAAATCGCACCGTGTACAAAGAATCATGTTTCAAAAATCTCGAATTTTCGAAGTTAAATTCTTGATAAGAAAGCCTCGAAGCGATCTGATAAATTTCAGGTCGGATCTAGACTATACTAGAACCGCAACGCTTCCAGTCATTCCAAATGCGATCATGGCTCTACTTTTTCTTTTGGTAAAGGATAGAAAACCAGGTGGACGATTGGCCGGAGCCTGAGATCCATCGGAGGTGTTTCCCGGCGGCGAGCCCCAAAATCCTCGCCCACGAAGCCAATCCATTTTTTTCGGCGCTTTTTTCTCGTGCGGCTTCCGTCTGCAACCAATTTTTTTTCCTTCTTCTTTTCTTGGTAACATTATTGAGGAAAGCTGGAGGAATTGAGAGCGAGAGAGAAGGTAGTAGTGGTTCGGAGAGTAAATATTGTGTGCCAAAATTTTGCCTCAGCTGAACGATCAACGAAAAATGTTGACGACACGCCGCAAAAAGAAAAAAGAAGAAGAAGACAAATATCGTTCAAAACGTTTCTAATAGGTCTATTTTTACTTGCTGTCGATGGAAGAAACCCTCGAAACAAAAAATTAGCAAAGTATAAGTTTTTTTGTTTTGTAAAAACGTTAAGATAAAAAAATTAGCCGCTCAGCTATAGTTCACTGTTTTTGAGGAGTCCAACCTTTCTAAGCTCCTACTCTCACCTAAAAAAATTTATTGAAAGAAGAATTTAATCTTGGAAGAGTTCACTTTAAATGCGAATTAATTTTTAAACTTAAATGTTTCTTATTTACCATTCTCAGAACTATTCAGGAAAAAAACTACAACCTATTCGCGTTCTAGAGTGTTCTGGCTCATCAACTTTTTTTGAATATTCAAACATTTTGTCGAAAACTTTTTCAAGTATACTCTATTACATTTCAGTGAAAACGCGCTCTCAAATAAAAAAACTCGCGGAAAGGCAACTGATATGAAACGAGTGGGAAAATAAGTAGATAAAAATTTGATCCGTCGGTGTTTCAAAGATTAGAGTTCGTCCCGCTTGTTATTCACACGCTTAGCCGAACAGCGATCATGATAACAGAAAATGGCGCCAAAATCGAATTGATTCGAACTTTTGAAAAACAAATTATTCTCATTTTCTATAATAATCCAATATTAGAACTGGAAAGATTGTCACAATTTTGGTGGAAATCATGGAAAAAGTTGAAAGTAAAAGCTTTTCGTGTTATTCAAAGCTTCACCGCTTCATTACAAAGCTTTTTTTCTCTTGATACTTATGAATGATCGAAAAATATCACGAAAAGCGTGGCCTTGGTGCACTCTTTTAGGCCAAATGGGAGTGTGGATGCGGCTCAAAAATTAAAATCAAGGAGATAAACGAGAAAAATTGAAACTCTTCAGCTGAGAATCTTCTAGGCAACTCTGCACGATTCAGTGATCACTCAAGAGGTTTTGCCACTTCTTCAGTGTTGACTTGGGATGAAAAATCTTTCAGCAATGCATCAACATTAAAGTGATAAAAATTGTTCGTCAGAGCGCACTTGAGGGCTTATTGGGTTGCTTTTTCTGACTGAAAAGGCTGTATGAGTTGATTCAAACTCGAGAAAGCCAAAGGAAAACAAAGAGTACGTTTCGTCTCTTTTTCAAGACCAAATTATACATTTTTCTTGGTCTTGAGACAATAAGAGAAGAGAACAAGTACGACTAACATGTTTTTCTGGGGGCAAAAAAGGGAGGAATGGAAAGATTGGATCAAAGGCGTGAAAGTGACGTTCTGAGAATGCTTCCGTCTTCATACATAATGCAAAACTTTCGGCGCTCAGAAGGCATCAGAAAAGAAAAAAAGTTTTTCTCGGGTATTATACGCCATCCAGCACGGCTTAAAATAGTCTGACCTGTCTGCGCTCTCTTTTCCTACACCTACAAAGTCACAGAAAAGGGAATCAAAAACAATAAGGCGCCGAGAAATCAGACTGTCTCGATTCTTGGGGATTAGATAGAACGAATAGGCTTTTTTCATTAATGAAAAAAATTATAACTAATAATTATTGAAAAAGCTTTTTCTTTCTGAATGAAGGAGGAAAAAATCGAGAGTAATCCTGGAAAAAATCAAGAAGAACCTCCAAAAAAGGCCATTTTCAGGGGAAATACAGCGGCTAATTCCTACCAAAGGACGAAAAATGTAATTCTAAACAGTGGCCAATCAAAAACCAGTCACATGTTCCCACGCATGCGCTATTTACACGATAAAAACGGACTATTTTTACGATCCCATCCCATTTTTGCACAGGGAAAAAACAATGGCCTCTCTATTATTGCAAAAGATTCCTATTAATACCCCTTGTAATAATCTTTCTCATATCGGTTCATTCAGAGAATTAATCCTTATCATTTTTTTCATAAAATTCCTTTTTTTGAAAGCTAATAAAGCCACATGGAAATTAGGACATTATAAAAAAATCAGTAAGATGGCTCTTAAATCTCAAGAAAAACACTATTTTTTTGTATAAATTTGAAAAATTGGTGCAATTATCATACGCTAAAAAAATTCCAAAGGCAATAAAAAAATTTTATAACTGTTAAAAATTAGCTGAGGCTCAAAAAGATAACTTTTTACTCTTTCAACCTTCCAGTCGAGTTATAAATTCTTCAAAACATCAAAAAAGTTCGAACTTTAAAGATCCAAACTCCAATAAAAAGAAAAAAATCTGTGCAAATAACTTCAATTGGGATCTGAAAACTCTAAAGTACCTCTCAACTGTGCTTCAAAAAAACTTTCATAACTTTTGCTTTTTCTACTCTTTTAATTGAAAAAAATCCCCCTTTTCCAAGAATTTTTTTATAATATTACAGTAGTTTAAAAACACTTAAAAATGAGAATCATCAGAAATCAAAGGAAAAAATGAAAAACTTTGATGAAGACGCTCAAAATCTGTACACAAAACCCCGTTCGACATTCTCCACCCCTTTTCAAAGGGCAACATGACAGTTGTTCAGAGAAAAACAACTGAAAAACAAAAAGATCAAGCTGCTGAGGAACTTTTGTTAGTTTCAAAATAAAATCCTACTCTCAGAAACTATCCGCTGAAGATTTATTTGGAATAATTCAAAATTTATCGAGTTTCAAAAACTGGAAGTAAAATAGACAAACTCTGATGGATGAGAAACACTGAAACTAACCCTCCTATTTCAAATTCCGAAAAAAAAGCGCATCAAGCTAATCTGGGAGGCTTAAGAAGCTTTGGCGAGCGTCTAAAATAGCTCAGTCTTTCGAAAAAAAAAACAACAACAAAAAATGAACTTTTTCAAGGTGACGTATGATCTTAACGTACAGTACCGCTCAAAAGTGTATTAAGTTTTGGTTTTTTGAGGATATCTCAGCAAGTACTTATCCGATTTATATATAACTTTCAGGGATAATGTAAAATATACTTTGAAACATATACGGTATACAAAGACATGTCCGCAATCACTGTAACGCGTTTTAGGCATATTTTATTGAATTCAATTTTTTTGTTTTTTTATGCTTTTTATTTTTTTATTTATTTTTTTATTAAATTTTTTTAAAAAGTAATAATGTTGCCATATGTTTTTTTTTCGTGTTTTCAGACATGGGAAGAACCTCTGGAAAAAAGGATTTGACTGATAACGACAAAAGAGCCATCGTTGTGGGTCGTCAAAATGGACTGACCATGATGACGTTGGCAGGAATGTTCGGCGTGACAGAGGCGTGCATTTCTCAGTTCCTAAAGCGTTGAAAAGCTCAAGATGGCTTTACTAAGAGCCAACGCACAGGGTGAAGTGGGCGAAAGAGCATCTCAACTGGACCCGTCAAGACTGGAACAAGATTCTGTGGTCCGACGAAAGCAAGTTCCTCCTCTTCGGAAGTGACGGAATTCAGTGGGTTCGTAGACCAATTGGGTCCAGATATCATCCGCAACACCAATTACTTACTGTAAAACATGGTGGAAGACCGTTTCGTCGGACCACAGAATCTTGTTCCAGTCTTGACGGGTCCAGTTGAGATGCTCTTTCGCCCACTTCACCCTGCCGGCTCGATTCTTTTCAGAAATCAGCGGTTTTTTCACTGGACGTCTTCCCATGACTCCAGCAACATTCAGACGTCGTTTCACGGACCAGACGAATGGCGGATATGGCGAATTCAAAAAAACTTCCCGTCTGATCGCAGGGGCGGTGAGTCTTGGATTGGTTGTAGACGTCTTCAAAATGTTTCTATCGTCATTACGATCAGTGACACGTGGTCTTCCAGTGCGTTGGCTCTTAGTAAAGCCATCTTGAGCTTTTCAACGCTTTAGGAACTGAGAAATGCACGCCTCTGTCACGCCGAACATTCCTGCCAACGTCATCATGGTCAGTCCATTTTGACGACCCACAACGATGGCTCTTTTGTCGTTATCAGTCAAATCCTTTTTTCCAGAGGTTCTTCCCATGTCTGAAAAACACGAAAAAAACATATGGCAACATTATTACTTTTTAAAAAAATTTAATAAAAAAATAAATAAAAAAATAAAAGCATAAAAAAAACAAAAAAATTGAATTCAATAAAAATGCCTAAAAACGCGTTACAGTGATTGCGGACATGTCTTTGTATACCGTATATGTTTCAAAGTATATTTTTACATTATCCCTGAAAGTTATATATAAATCGGATAAGTACTCGCTGAGATATCCTGAAAAAACCAAAACTTAATACACTTTTGAGCGGTACTGTAAGAGTACTAACCGAAAAGTGAAAAATCAAAGTTTTCACGTTAATGAAAAACTCAAAAAAAAAAAACTATTCGCTCATAAATTTCGAACCCCTGTCGATTCATTGAATCAGAAAAAAAGTGAAATTTATCTTTAACGTGTTAATTAAACTTTAAAAAAAGAATTAACAAAAACTCCATTTTTATGCCAGTATCAAAAAAACCATTGAAAATCTTCAGATTCACAAAAAAAATTTTTCACTAAAGTCCAAAAAAATTACAGTTTCTCTGTTTTTTTAAGCTTTTTATCTCGCTTCTAAACCATTTTTCTTTGTGTATTAATCCACAGTTAAACAGTCAATAAACTAAAATGTTCGAAGAAACATAAAATAAAGCGCTAAAAACAACTGAAAGTTTGGAAAATTTAAAAAATTAGAGAAAAGCGACGACTTCAGGAGGCTCGCTTCAATTTATTTTTCTTTGAATACTAGACTAGCTTTCGAAAGTAAAGAACAAACCTTTTTTTAAAAAAAATGTGTCCAAAAACAGTTCTTAAATCGGAATTTCCTGTTGAATAGAATTTTTGATAAGATTTTGAGAATTTTTTGACGAAAATAGTGGAATGAGAAATTTAAAACTATGTTCTGAAAACTAGTAAAGCGGTCAAGACCTCAAAAGATATCCGTTTCAAAGATTTCCCATTAGAAAGAGAAAAGAAAGAAGAAAAAGAATAAAAGTGCTAAGACGTCGAATGAAGCGTTTGGCCGTGGCATGGCCGAGAAGTGGTGGTTTCGGAGGAGGAGGACGGAGGGAAAGCGGGGGGAGAGAGGGGGAGGCAGTTGTGCAAGTATACGCTACTGCCTCATGTTATGCATGGGTGTGAGCGTTTCTGTGAGTTTCCCCCGTGAGCTCTCGTGTGCTTGTGTGTAAATGGACCACGAAATTGCGGACGCTTTTGGAATTTCCGGCTCTCATATTTATTCTTTCGTCGAGTTCTGCTGTATAGCTATGTCGAACCTTCAATTTTCTGAAGAAAAAGACACCGAAAAACAAAATAATTGAAAATACGCTGAAACTAGCTAAATGGGAGGTTGTTAGGTGTGAAGTTTGAACACTTCTGAAAACCTACTCAAAAAATCCTTAAAGGTTTGCTCAGACTCGCATCAAGTTTTTATCCAGTGGTTGAAGATGTCGCCATCAGCTCGACGAGCCTTTCTGACGTCATTTTTTACGTATTGCAAGCTCCTCAAAAATTTCCAGAGTTGCAAAACCGAGCCCAAAAAAAAAAATTGAAATTGTAAAAAAGATCTCGCAAGTTCCCAAGCTTGTTTAAGTTCTGATTTTGATAACTCTATATTAAACAGTTTGCTAGAATCAACAATGGTACTATAGCTAACTCGTACTTTTTCAGTAAAAGAGATAAATTTCCTTTGAAGTATAGGATTCTTTTTTAAACTTTTCAAAGGTCTAGAGGTCTAGAAGATTCCTCTTGAATGTTCAAATCTTCCAAACGTTCATTATTAAAGATATCAGTATTTGAAGTTTGCGTAAAAATAGCGGAAACTAACATTTTGTGGGTGTCCTTGAGCCTCAAGAGAAGCTGGAAAAGTCGGCTGATGTCATTTTTTCTATTATTCCAAGCTCTGTTAGTTTTTTTTTCAAAGTTGCCAGACCAAAAAAAAACTCTCGCGAGCACCAGAAATGATGGTGGATGTCCTCGCTTCGCGCGTAGCCCCAAGAGGTCTCAAAATTTTTCCGACACTAAGATTGATGATATGGCCGGCAGTTGAGGCAAAAAGTGGTAAGAATTATACGGCTTTTCTCTCGGCTACTCTCGGATATTTTTCCTCTTGGATTAGATGAGAGCATCAAGTTTTCACCATGTAATGGGTTTTAGCTGTAGCTGTCCTCGGGGAGTGCTAGTATTCCTAGAAAAAGTAAAGATGGACGGGTTTTTTCAAACCTTTGTCTGTGAGAAGAACTAAACATTAAAGTTCTAGGACTAGCGGAAAAATACAAGTTGAAGCCATGGAGGATAACACAATTTGAGGTTTAAAAATCTAAAAATCTTCGTTTCATGTTACAGATACCCATAGTGAGTCGAAAAAAGGTCCTTTTTGATGGAAACGTTGGAAAAGGAGCTAGAGGAAGAAGCACTTTTTTTCCTGAGGGAAATTTTGAAAACGTAGTTGTCGTAAAAAAAAATGATGGGGTGGCTTAACAGTCACGATAAAGAATATCTTTCACGAGTTTGAAAACGGAGTTTTAAGAAAGAATATTATTGCACCTTTTTGGAAAATTTCAAAAAAAAAACTTCTTTATCTTTTAGGTAAGTTCTTCCGAAAGTATTGACAACGATTTTTAAATTTAGCCTTCCAATTCGCGATTTATCATCACAAAAACTTCAAACCGGTCAGAGAGGAAAAAGAAGCAAGAGAAATGTCAAGGAAACCGGCGGAAAGTGATAAGCACCTCGGCGCAGAAAGATCAAACAATATGGAAAAAATGGATGGTCATGTGATATATACTTGGCACGTGAGAGCCGACGTCGTTCTTGCGCAAAATCGTCGATTTTGCCAATGTGTTCCCATTTCCAAGAAACAGTTCGTCGCAAACACATTACAGCGTGTGAGAACAGTGGAGAGGTCCAAAAAACAGAGGGGAAAAAGACTATGAAAAACGTTTAGATGCAGATTCTACAGAAAAGAACCGTACAAAAGTATGAGCTTCGAAAATGTGTTCAGACTCTTTTCAGACGTCTTCGAAGCGTTGTGATTTCAACAAAATGTTTCTTTTATCGAATTATGACACCGCAAGACGCCAAGAACCCTATTTTCATTTCTACAAGTGTTGACGCGTTATAACTTTTGAGTGGGAGTCGAAATTTCAAAGTTAAAACTCATCGACCCATTCACTTTCGTTGAAAAAAAAAATAGAAACACGTAAAAAAAATTCGTCTCATTTCCAAAAACTTCCTTTTGAAATGCTCTTGTGAGAAAAAAAAAGTAGGTTCGTTTTTATTTTTCATACTACAAAACAAAAAAAGGTAGTTTGAAAAAAATAAGAAAAATTTTGATTCCAAATTTTTGAAGGCCGAAAGATAGAAAAATGATTACCAAGATTCGATTTCTTTTTTTCATTCACTCAAGAAAATACTCTACTTTTTCAGATTATTCTTTTTCCAGCATTGAAATTTAAGGCTGATGCCATGTTTTAAGTTAAATTCAAAACTAGAATTATCTCTGATTCTCCAAAATTTCGTATTTTTTTTCCACTCTGACGGTTATTTTGAATTTCACAGAATATATAAGTTAACTAAATTTACTTGGGCTCAAATATTTTTGAACATACCCATTTTTTTCTATTTTCCTTTGAAACTCGATTTATTCTATTTTCCCTCGATAAAAACTTTCGCCTCGAAAAATTTTTTTTTTCGTCTCTCTCCGTCTTCGAAAACCCACATCTTCAAAAATTAGGTGGTTTATTAGAAATGGGAAAAATCTGTTAAAAAGTAAAAAGTTACCCAGACCGAAAAGCTCGCTTTCTGCTTCGAGTTATGTAAGCGAGACGCTTCGACATCCGCACCATGTCCCTGGCCCAAAATTAATTTTTCACATTTTAATTATTCTAGTAAACCGTGCATGAGGACACAAAATCACAGAACAATCAACAGGTTATGAATAATAAAAAATACGTAAATCAGTTTATTCCATTCAGGACTTAGAAAATCAACAAAACCGGTCACAAAAACTGTGAGAACAACCACGAAAAAATCACATAAAGTCGTCCGAAAGATTTCCATCGCTTTCTGCTCTCTCCAGGTTGGTCGGCGCCGCGTCCCAATCGACATCTTCGTAGTTTCTGAGCAAAATATGAAAATAATTGAGTCAATCAACTTAAGAGTGAAATTAAGCCATTGGACTTTTTCCTAGACTACAGAAAACTAGTTCAAATAGACTGAGCACCAAAGGTTCACTGGGAAAAATCTGAAGCTTCACTTATTCTTTAGACACAAAAAAGATTCCAACTAACTGAGAAAAAATCTATCAAAACTTTTACAAAATATATTTTGAAATTATTTTTTTGAAAGATCTAATAAACAATCATTTCTCAAAATCCAATTTCATCATCAACAAAAAATTTAAAGGCAACTTCTTACTGGATCTTCCTCTCCTCTTCTTTCTTCTTGGCCTCCTGAAGTTCTCGGTCTTTTTTCGCTTTTTCCAAGGCTCTCGTTTTTTGTCGCTCTTTCGCGTCCCTAGCTTCCCGTTCGGCTCTGAAAATTAAATTCCATTTGATTATGAAAATATGCTTGAAGCAAACCTGTAGTCAACCGTTTCCTTCTTCTCTGTTTTATTTAATCGGTTGATAATTTCATTTTTCCTCTTCTCCACTTTGGCGTGCTTCACGCTTTTGTGATTGAAAAAACCAACCTGAAGAGAAAGAAGAGTGGAGGTCAAAAATGGATGAATATCTGGCTGGGCATACAAATCTTCTGGAACTAAATTGCGCCTAGACTGTTTGAAAAAAATAATGAAAATTTAGAAAAAAAGTGCTCCAAATAAAGGATATAAAGACTTCAATTTGTTTTAAGCAGCGAAAAAAATTTAAATACTCAAAATAAATTGAAATTAAAAGATTTCCACAAAATAATTGATAAAATTTCGTTATCGCTTATAAATTGGAAAAAACCTGAATTAGCGACTGGAAAAAAACTCTTGACAGAAATAAATGCTTTACTTTTTTCTTTAAGAACATTTATTTTGAAGAAAAAATGAACAACAAAAACTATAAACAAAGCACGATTAAAATAAATAACCTGCCCCACGGCCATATCTCCCGTCTTCTTCAAATTCTCCCACATCGTATAAACGATATCGATATTGTTCAGTTTATTTCCTTCGATTGAGTTGGCTTTGACGAGTTGGCAGCAATCTTCAAGCTGAACAGGTCATTCAAATCGAATTTCTGAATTTAAGAAATATGGGCAAAGTTAAAAAAAACATTTCGGAGACCTTCCCAGCGGCTTTTTTTATGCCTTTCTGCTTACAAATTACTTTTTAAGAAAGTAAAAATTGGGTTTTTTTTTCTCTTTTTGAAGCATTTTTCGTTTTTTTTTTTTTCTTCTTTTTTTGGAAGGCCTTCTGGACTTTGCCCATGAAAATTTTGAGAGCAAACCAATTCTGGAGGTATCGAATGAATCGTCATCCCTTCGGGTAGTCGCAAATAAACGTGAGCCGAAGACAGTTTGTCAACGTGAAACCAAACGTCTTCTGGCCATCCATACTTAATAATTCAAGATTTTCGGTGAACAAGTTGTGAAAATGAACGTTGAAAATTGAAGAAAAATCTGCAGAAAAATCATTTTTCCAGCAATTTATCGAAGTTCGAAGCTTTGAAAAAGAAAATTAAATAAAATCTATCAGAAGGTTATCAAATCAAACAGCCGTTTTTATATTTTTGAAGTTAGATAATGCTACTTTTTCGACATCTTGACTCTATAAATACGCAAAAGTAATCATTAAAAAAACAATGCTTAATTGAAGAAACTTTGCTTTATAAAGTTTTCAAATTAAAAAAAAATCACCTTTATCAAATCTTCATTTTCAACTTTGTCAACGCCCATGTAAAGCATAACTGGCGGAGATACGACGTTCGACGTGAATTTTATAACCATCTTCCGCAAAATAAGATAAATTGAACCTGCAAACGATTTCATCAGTACAAACCTCCGAAACAAGGAGCGTTGACTCAATGATTTTTGGGGGAAAAAAAAAATCATTCATTGAAAATTTTCAAAAAGCACGAAAAGAAACACAGATATTTAACAAAAAGAGAACAGAAAAAAACGGGTCGGTGAACGCGATAAAACTGGTGTAAAGTGGAATGTCGTCCGAAACAAAAGCGGGAAACCGCGAAACAAAAAAAAAAAGTTAGATTTAAAAAACGGTTGATTGATTGATAAAACGTGAGGCTAAGTACCAGATGTCGTAATAATGAAGATTTATTGTGGGTGATGGGTTAAGAAAGGAAAATCAAGTTTTCTCAATCATCGGAAAATTTTCTCGTTGAAAATTGTTGAGTGAGAGTCAAAAATTGAAAATCTGCATTAAAAAACCCATTCACTTCCGTTAACCTCTATTCATACGACTAAGAAACAATTTCTAAAAGCTATTCACTCGTATAAGTTTGGGTAAGTTGCAAGCGGTGTGCACGGAAACTTTGGAATGTGGAACATCTGAAGCTCGTGCAATACTGGGAAACTAAAAAATCTAAACAAAATATATGAAAACATATGTAATAAGTGAGGGAAAAAAGATAAGAGGCAGGGAGGGAAAAGATGAGGATATGAAGACCGGTTCGTTGGACTTTTCCTCGATGAACTCGTTGATGAGAGGGGCGCTGGCCGTGGCGGAATGCAGCAGTTCGCCGTTGACCACGATCATCGGGTCGTTGACGTAGTCTGAGACGTCGGCGGCCGGCATCGGCTCTTCCAACAGCTCCTCGTACGCCACTGGGTTTTGAAATTCTGAATTAGACATATTTAGGGTCATAAAATCACTGAAACCAAGCTCCAAATAAAGAATTTTTTTTTGACTCTCTAATGCTTAAGCGTTCTGTGGTGTGAAGTGTTTTCAGCCATCTTTCATGGGGTAAAGGAGAATATGAAGGTCTGGAAGCGAAGAGCCGCTCTCAGTTTAATTTTAGATCACATAGAGCTTTCGCGCCTTTCAAAGTTACAGAGAATTTTTTTATACAACCGTTAAAAAGTTTCAGTACAAAAAAATTGATATCAAATGAAGAGAACGGGTAAAAATCAAACTATTTCTTCTAAGGTAAAGAGCATAGAACAAATATTTGATCATCTTATTTCGAATTCAATTTGTTTAAAATTTGTTTAAAATCGGCTTTTCAAAATCCTTTTCAAAAGCACTGCAGTCAAGGTTTTTTCATTACAGGGTGAGTACTAATTATTGAAACACCTTTGAACAAGCGCAACTCCGAGGAAAAGTGAATGATCCGTACCAAAACTTTTCATTGGCAATTCTGGCATGTACATTCCGAAATTCATGAAACTATTCCGATTCCCATCTTCATTCAGCTCTGCTCTGGCTCGAAAAGAGTGTAGGACCCAAGCTCCAACGGCACGCGGTCATTTTTCGATGTTTACAACTGGTAAAAAGTTATCTGAACGTTCATGTTCAAATAAATACACAAAAACTAAACTTTGGGTTTTTCGCAATATTTCTTAGAAATTTCCATCAATGAGCGTTAACAAAAATGATAGGAGCACTCCCCGAAAAGAGCTAACAAAACCGTTTTTTTCATTTTCAAAATCATGCAAAACGGAATTTTATCACTGCTCGAACTTGATTTTTTCTAATTCAGGGTAGGACTACTTTATACAAAAGCCCAAAGTCTCAGCTTTGAAAAATATATAATTGGGTCAAGGTTAGGCTGTTCTTATTTGAGAGGGGGGCTGTAATATGCGATTAATCGTTGATCTTAGATTTTTTTCGCATATTTTGCAGTTCTAAAAAGAAAGTAAATCTAGAGTAGCCTGAAACACATTTAGAATAAAGAGTAACGCTAGTAGTATAAGACAAAAATAATTTGGGTTCCTAGAGTTGGCTCCCTTCTAAGAAAAATTGCCGTTGTTAGAGATGATGGTTAGCAGCGTGCCAAAACCTGATTTTGGGCAACCGATTGGTAGGTTTCAATTTATCATGATTTGATCAAAAAAACAAGATATTAGAAAAATGTTAAGACTTCAAGTTCACGAAGGCGTATAGACTCTAAAAAATTATGAGTGAGTTTTATTTATCAAGTATGATGGGTACACCAGTCCTGAAACCGTTGTTTCAATATTTAGTACTCACCCTGTATAATCTTGTTTGTGTAAACTTTTCTACAGAAAATAAGATAAAAGTTTTTATCATTCGTTTTTTATTCGAGCTTCCAATTTTTTTGTTTTTTGCGTTCCAAGTTGTAGAAGTAAATAAGAATCTCAGAAATCTAGCGTTCTTCTTCTCCATGTTTCCGCCGAACACCAATTCATACAAAAAAGAAGAAGTTCCTTACCAAATGAGGGCGGTTCCTGGAATTTGAGCTCTTTGTTGGGTGACGCCTTGGGAGCACTCGGGAAATCCGGCGGAAGCTCGGTTGGAGCCTCCGACTTGCCCATTATGGGCCGCTTGTGAACCTAAAAGACCACAGCCACAATTCACTGTCCTTCAAATTACTTTTTTTTTCTCTCCTTATTCACTGCGCTCACGAGACTTGTACAGTGAATTAATGAGAGCTCTAGCCCTCGGGCGAAATTTGAAAAACTGTACTTTTTTTTCGAAAACGATTACCTCAGAAATATCTTCGACCATCGGTTTGTCATGAACAATTTGTTTCGCGGTGATCCGCAGCGTTTCCACTAAAAAAAAATCAACGTAATGTTTTGAGATAATTTTTTTCTATTTGTAACTATCATTCAGGTCTTTTTTTCCAAGAGTCTCTAAACAGCTCAAATAACTTTATAGCTTGAAGATTTTTCTAAAAACTTTAAAAATACTTTTTTCAACGATCAGGGTGAGTAAAAATGGAGAATGATGTGAAATTAGTTCAGAAACGTTTAATATAATTTTCGGAATATTCGACACCTAGTACGAAAAAAAAAATTCAAAATTGCCAATTTGTACTGAAAACTTTTTCTATTCATCGATACATTGAGACAAAAAGCTACAGAGACGTCTAAGCCTCTTCTTTTCGCGCTAACCTTCGCTAAATGTGTGACAATTATCTCAAGACTTTGCTATTTAAACTAAAAAATCGTGAGTCAGAAACCATTGGCAGTGCGGTTCAAAAGCCGATTTCTGGTCTCGACAAACTGTTTGGGAGTCAGATACATGGCCTCCAAGCCGTCGATGTCCTGGGCAACTTGTTCCTTCCAGAAGTTTCCTGGAAAGTATCGAACTGATTTTTTCGGGAAGGAATCTGAGTCTTCAGACCGAGCCCTTCGCGGATCATTGTTCTGGACCTAGAAACGAAACGTCGACGATCATTATCTGGGTAAACGACGTGGCAAACGGTGGCCGATGGGCCCTCAGACCACTCCAAAACGCCTCGGAGCACAGCTTCGCAGTAATATGTTTGGACCGTCTTCAAAAAACTCTCCTTTTGAAAATCTTCGAATCGTTTCGAGAAAACTTCAATTCAATTTTTAGATCCAATAAGTCTGAAATTACGAAACTTCTACTCAAATAATCACAAAACCTTTTTATCGTACATCTTCTTGATATTCGCCTTGACCTCCTTGTTCAGATTACCCGGGAACAAGGTGAATTCCAAGGCTCGCAGCTCGAAAAATCTGCGGAAAAATCGGTAATAAGGGAAAAAGAGATATAAGTAACCTCAAATTCTTCCACAGACTCTGAGCCGACCACGCCTCGACTTGGCGATCATCCACAGCCGCCGATATTTTCATCATACAAAGGTCCTTCAAGCCTCTACCCGTCCCATCAATAAGATACTAAAATTGGGAAAATGTCAAAGCTCTAGTGCATTCAAGGCTAGCCCAAAATTCATTTTAAAAAAAAGACACATTTTTCGCGTCAATAATCATTTAAAGCGTCGTCCATGCGCCTTTATTTCTGAAGAATTTTTGAATTTTGAATTAATCAATCCTCAGCGTATGATAAGTGGAAAAGTCACGAGAACAAAAACACATCGAAGACAATGGCGATTCGATTAAAGGCGCATTGAAAAACTTCAAAGGACATCCCGACAACAATTTTCCTCCCAGTTATTTGTATCAATTTTCGAAGCAACGAACAACGTCTCCGATGCCGTCTTCGAGAATTCCCATCACGTCGACCGTATATGACAAATTATTGAGATTGGAAACATTCAACATTGTGCCCCATTCATGAAACACGATAGGATCTGCGCAAACCGTGTCGATTGACCTGAAAAAAATACAATTTCGAAACTCTTTACTGTATAATAGTTCATCCATTGTTTTTCTTGTGAGAAAAACATTTGGGAAAAAAAAACAAGGCAAGTATTATTTGATATTCCAACTCAACTAGTGACTGTGAAGCCAAAATAAAATCTTTATGAGTCTTCAAAGGCGTAAGAAAGTATTGAAAGAATAGAAAACAACACTAAAAATAATTTTTTGATGCACTACCATTATCATTAATTAGCCAATGTTCCTTTGAACAAATCCAGCAAAAATCATCTGTGATTAAATTTTTAAAAAATCGCGAACTAACAAAATATTTGAAAAAGATCTCCGTCTAATGCACATGTGGATTTTTAGTGGGATTTGGCCCAAGTTAGCTGAAATTTACCCATTATAAGCAGCGTCTCCAATCTCCATCCGGTAATTTCCATTTTCCAACGGGTACAAGGCACATGGAGACGGTCCGTAGCGATCAACACAGGCTTGGTAGAGCTGAAAAAAAGTGTTTTCGATGAAAAAAACAATAAGAAATTTACAGTTTTCGAAGAATTGTCACGCTGAAAATATTTTTGGAAGAGAGAAATGAAAAGAAACTTTCAGTTTTTGAAGAATTCTCACACTGGAAAAGACTATAAAAAATGGAAACACGGAAATCGAATGATTAAAGCTTTATTTAACTTGACTAATGACTGACAGCATTCAAGCTTCACTTTTTTTTTTCAACAAAGGAACTAGAGCTAAAAAAATCTAGCTTAAAAATATTTTTTTCATCTTTCAAATTTTTCAAAACTGCATTTCAAATAACATAAAAATTTTTTTGTTTTTACTTCGAAATCATTGATGCCAAAAAGCTCCGGAAAAAGTCCTAATTCATGAATGGAATGGGCTCAAAATAAAAAAATGAATTCATAAATATTCCGATTCAAAAAGCTTTGGATTGGAAAAAAATGATGGAGCATAGATTCAAAAATTAACACTGATGCGAAAAATAGTAGCAAACTATAAAAAAGATTAAACTAACTTTTTTTCGCTCACTTTAACCGTTAATCGAGTCAGGGTCATGTTTTTGAACCTTTTTTTTTAGAAAAATCTGGAAATTCAAATTGGGAGAAACATGATTTTTTTAAAACTAAAACTATTCTTTTCTACGCTGAAATGGAAGTTCTCTGTACTCGAGACCAAAAACTAGAATTTTTCAAGAGTAGTTTTGAAAAAATGACGATAAAATAATAGGAAAATAGGCAAAATTAAAAACGGACAACGTGCATATCACAGCTGACTTCGCCGGCCAGAAACACCGGCTGTTTTTTTCTGGAGCAAATCGCGAACCGTCGCACCGGCTGGAACGAAAAAGACAGCTTTTCGAATCGAGAAACTGCAGCAAGTCCCCAATCTGTGAAAAAATTCCATTATTTTTTAAAAGCTAATTTTAAAAACCTTTCTGGGTTTCCTAAGCACGCAAAAATTATTCATGACCAAAAAACACTGAAAAAGGCTCTTCACCTCGAGAACTTTTTGAATTCCAGCATGTTTCTTTACGCTCTAGTTTCTTAACAGAAAGACTAGAGCTCTGAATTTCGCTTTCTTGCGAGAACAGAGCTACAGTAACCAAAAAAACTCAGGAAAAAATCTCTTAATTTTGAACAGAAAAATAAATAAATAAACACTTTACCGTGTCCTTCAGTCCACGGACTATCAACGCCTTCATCCAAGCCCACTGATAGGTCACCCCGTAACTTTTGAAAAGCTGAAATTAGAAGGCAGTTAGTTTAAAAAGTTATGAATATTAATATTCAAACGGCCCTTCTCTTGACGAAAATTTCGGAGCCAGTATTATGCTAAAATTACTCTAAAATTTTAATTTCAAAATAACTTAAGGTAAAATGGTTGAGAAATTCAAACGTTTCATTTTTGAAACCTATTACGTCCATTCTGAACGACTTCTTCTCTTTTTTATTTCTCCGAACATCATCTGAAAACGGAGACATGTCATAAACTTGATTGATGGCTAAAAACGTCTGCGATGGCTCTTGTTCCGGCATTATACGACAAATTTTTTTTTGTTGATTTTGAGACAAACTTTGGTAGGGACGCCGGACCAAATCCATGGCCTGTCCACGATTTTGCTGTACCTCTGAGGCAACTCAATGAAATGCGGCGTTTCCACCTGAAATAAAAATAAAATTATTGTTCCAACAGAAAAATAAATAACGTGTTCAATGGAAACGTGAAACATGTCTCCATTGAACACGTTATTTATTTTGTTTTAAAATCGAAAAAATGACTCGAAAACAGTAATTTTTTCGAGCTTCTTTGAAAAGTAAAGCTTCACCCATTATTATCTGAATGCGAAATTCAACAAAAAAAACCGAAAAATACTCGATTTCAGAATGAATCTGGTGTCGCCCCTAGAGTATAACTACCATAAATTACTTCAGAATCGAGAAATCATGGTCGCGTAAAGCTATAGAAAATTAGGAATATGTAATTTTCGGAAGAATCTTCGATTTTTGAAGTTATTGAAGAAAAGTGATTCGAAAAATCTGAGTAACATTCAAAAAAAGGCCGATTTTTTTTTCTCTAATCCAAAGAATTTTTTCTTGATTTCCAGACATTTCAAGCATTGAACACGCCGATTTTTTTCTGCATTTTAACACTGACAGGACTGGTGTCGAGGCACGGATCTGAATTAACGTCCTCCTGTCGCACGAATCTTTGTGTTGCATTTGCCACGACAGTAATCTCGGGAATCGGAGCGGGAATTTGAAAACTCGTTGAAAAAATCGTGGCCAATAGAAAAACTAGACGCATCGCTACACGGAAAAAATCTGGAAAAATAACTTTGACAACTATACGTAGAAAATTGCACATAGAGAAAAAAAAACACATGCCAAAAGAGGGACATTTGGAGCTTTGAAGTTAAGAGCGAGAAAGGGGACGCGCTTAAAGGGAACGAACGGCTCAATCTTTTCTCGCGGCGTTCGCGGGGTCCAAAAAAAATAGGCGGCAACGAATGTGAAAAAGGGGAGGAATGGAAAAACAACCAGAGTCATGAAAAATACATGTATGGCTTAAACGGCGATACAAAAAATCTTGAAGAATATTATCTTGAAGTATACAGTTCTACTTCGCTGAAAGTCGTACTATGATGATTTTCATATGACTCTAGTTATAAGCTTCGAATCTGGGATAAAAAAATATTTGAGACTTTCGACTAAATAAACTTGAAAGAAAACAGTTTTATGATGTTTCAAAACTTGAAAAAAGGAGTCTGAACTTAAAGTTCTAGACTTATACAAGTATCAGCTTGACTGACTAGTGAGTGCACTGGAGCTCTCAGAAATGACATGTCATCGGTATCGACGTGCTGAAATCTTCGACCGTTCAGTTTTCAACAACTCGACTTTTTGATAAGAAATGATCCTTCGGTTGCATAATGACTTCAGACCGATTGATGGGAATGAGCTGTTGGTTCATTTGTGACAATGGCATATCATTTGAATGTTGTAAATGCAATCGATCGTTCAGATCGAATAATGGATTGATGAAAGTTGATTATACGATTAAAGAAAACAAATAGAGAATACTTGAATAAATATCCCATGCATTTTTGAAAATACTATGAGTTTGCGCTGCAATCAAATAAACCATAGATTAGTCCAGAAATAGAAACACTACAAAAGGATCAAAAACATATGAAAGACAAGCATCATCTCAAGGCGGAAATGCGAACATCGGCGAGGTTATATTCGTTTTATTTCCTAACCGAACGTTGCCTCGTTTTCGTTTTTTTTTTTTGCTGTTCGACTTTACGCTCTATTATCTCCATTTACATCATATTGACACCAAACGGGAGCCGGTTTTTTATCCTCGAGATTTCGGGGAAAAAATTGGCCCGAGATTTATTCCCAAAGGTCATTTCAATATCTATGAAATTGCGACTAAGTTATGTGTAAGAAGTCTCGGATTCGTATGATCATCAAGTTTCTATTTTTTCTGAAGGAATAGAGACAGAGGATAGACAAAATTTGGCAAGAAACACACTTTTTTTTTTGAAACTCAATTTGAGCTGTTTAAATTCAACTAGAGCTCTGAATTTCGCTTTATTGCGCAAAAAAGCTATAGAAAACAAAAAAAAAAGAAAAGGAAAAAATAAAATCTCTTCCAAAACTGAACAAAAAGAAGACAAAAAAATTTATTTATCAAAACGACGTAAAAGTCAGGGCAAAGGCTTTATTTTTGCATAGGTGAGAAATATGAACTTAATAGTATTTTTCTGAGAAAAATTTCGAAAAATGTTGTGGCTCCTAAAAGGCCTAAAAAGACACCTAGACTAGGACATTATAAGAAAAGAACGACTGGGGCCAATGTTAAGTCAGAAAAAGGTCCACGAACTTTTACGCCTCGTTAGCCGTTTCCTGCAGGAGCAAGGAGATTTTCCAAGGACCTCGGAGAGCACAAATATTTTCTCCCCTTCCTCAGGTGACCCACGTGCCATAACGACCGGCCAATTTTGAAGCTTCGAAAGGACTCCCAAAATCGAAAGGCGCAGCTAAATAATGTGGCTAGCAGTTTGAAAAAAAAATTGCTGCTTCCCGTTCGTTCCCTTTTTTTTCTCACTTCAGATAAATCATAAAACTAGGTGGACGAGGTAAATAATGAAGTAATTGCCACCAGCCAAGTGGAATTAAAAACGTTTGGCGAGGGAAATACAACTCGAAATTGGATGCGTCGCGGGAGCAGAAACACATGCATGCGCGATGCGCATCTCAAGAAACATCAACCACAATAATGCATTGGCCGTGCTGGAAGTTGCGGCTTTCTAATTGTTCATACGCTCACTGAACTGAATAGCGAAAAAGCCTGTTCGAAATTAGTGTTTTCAAAGGATGATACAAAGCCTTGAATTCTATAAGTAAGAGACCATCTGCGGCGTACTTATAGGTCATGAAAGACTCCTACTTTTTCAAAAAACCTAAGAAAAAAAACTTTGAACAGATTGAATCGGAAAGGCGAGAAAAAGTCAATCGGAGGTTCGAGGAGAACATATCAGAAAAGGATGCGAGTGTAGCGGCCCAGTATTCATGAGCAATAAACCCGCTTAATTGGTAGGGACTGCGAATGCAATCTGCTTAAAATTGGGTTAGGGAGATAAAAAGGAAAACTTGAAAACAAAAATCAAAAAAAGAATTTTTCAAAAAAACTGCCTCATATAAAAAATGAACAGCAGCTGAGTTTTTCTATTCAACCTTACTAATAGTTTTTATAAAAATGATATTAATGACGCTTTTTGCAGTGATTTCGTGCAAAAATTTATCACGTAAGAATACTAAAAAAAAATTTTAACAAACGCTCAAAAAAATCTTACCTTAGAGGTAGTATTTTTTTCACCGTTTTTAATTTAAAAAAATCGCAAAAAAATATTTTTAAAGGGGCCACTCTTAATGAATCAATCATATGATAAACAGCGATAACATACGAAAAAAGTTTAAAAAAAACTCAAGCGGAAAAATTCTTGCACGTAGGAAAGTTTGCGCCAGTGGACATGGGGGACTCTTCGCTCCGAAGTCCGTTTTCAACGCGATTTACGCAGATTTTTCTGTCTTTTTTTTTCAAATTTGAAACAAATCTCGGAGCTTGACAAACATTTTGAATAATTTTTTTAAAAACATTTTGCAGGGAATCCTTTCAAAAACCTCGGTCCAGAAAAACCACAGTTTTGAAAAATCTTGAAAAATTTGAAGAGTATTCAGTTTTTTTATTTATTCATTTTTTTATTTTTTTATGTATCATTATAAATATTTTTCGCATCTACCCTGAATGTCTGATTTAGTGCTTTGAACAATTATAGGCTGTTTGGACTTTTTTCTTCATGAATGCACGTTCGAAAAAAAAAAAACTAACAATGAATTTCTGTAACAACTTCAAAATCAACAATGTTAAAAAATTGTCGCATAAAATTATTGCAATCGTGTCAGTTTACACACATACATTGGTCCAAAATTAGAAGGTAGGAAAGGGATAACGAGGGCGCCAACAGTTGTGTCATGGAATCGGAAGAGGCCCGAAGACGTCAAATGTCCAGTCAACTGGTTTAGAGATTCTTCGACGACCTGAAGTTGATCTTTTTGGAAACATTCCGACTCCGTTGATGAAAATTTTTTCACAGCTAATACCGACCTCAATTCCATATTGCTGTTTAGCAACACCGACCGCGTTTTGTACGACAGCCTGAAAAGGGAGATTTAGAAGTTAAAATCAAGAAATGATTGAACAAAATGAAAGTCCGAAGTTGAACCTCGTTCTGGCTGGGCGACAAGGTGCACGTTGAATAGACAACGCTTCCACCAATCTTTGCCGCTCGCAGGGAGTTACTGTAATCTTATTTTTTCACGGTTTCCAAAAATTTACTTTGTGAGAAAAAAGTCAGGAAGAATGCTTTTATTTTATTTGTTTATTATTTTATGTTCGAATAGGTTCCGCACAATACAAAAAAAGCCGTTTACTTTGATCAGGCCTTTTTTTCCAAGCATGAATAATTTATAGGAAAAACCGAAGACCTTTTTCACCAAATCTAAGATAAGTCCAACCGTAGCTGGGGAAATTTTCTTCATAGTTAAACACAACTCCCCATTTTTTTTTTAATTTCACAAAAAAAAGTCTCTATTTTCAAAAGTTCAACTATTTATTATTTTTTCATATGTTAAAACTGTATAACTTTCGGAAAACCCACAAATTCCAATAAAAAAAAGGTCAAGATTTTTTTTTTCGTATTTGAATTCCATGAGAGGTCACGCAAGGATCGCCTTTTGCAAAAGTGACAAGTCGAGGCGCCGTTGAGTATTCGCGGCTGTTCGCTTTTTGACTGGCATATGACAGAATAGCCGTGAACAACTGAGCCTCGGACAAAACAGCCGAGATAAAATAGCCGCGGACAAATGAGCTCTCTGGCTAATTGAGGGAGACAAAGTTAGGGATTCGAAAAAGAAATGATACCTTTCCAAAGGTTGAGAAGAGCAAAACTTGTCATTTTTTCCGGTTTTTTTTTGTCCAGATTTTTTTTTCATGAACAGCTCGAAAAAAAAGACGGAAATATGTCTTTTTGAAGGAAATTTTCATGCCTAAAGGCTAAACTCTTTAAGATTTCGGACAAGGAAGGTTATTTTACTTCGCAGTTAAAATTTCCTGAAATATTATCATAAAACCTTTAAATAAACCCAAAAAATATTCTGAACGTCACAACTTTCTAGTTTTCGAAAAATAAGGGAAAAAACTCAAAAAAAAGCTTTTTTTTAAGGATTTTTAGACTTCTTTTTTGATTTCGAGGTGCCGTTTTTCAATTACCTAAAAGTTGTACAGGTCAGGATTCTCAGGACCTTCTTCTGGTACATCGAAAAGTGCTCTAGCCAATTTTCAGGAATATGCCTATCGCAAAGTAAAACACCCTCCTTTTGAGAAGGAAAAAAATTAAGTGACGAGCGACGAATCAGTTTTCTCCATGAAAGTCTCACTGAGATATAAGGTTCATCTGAGCTCCTTTTTCATTAAAATGACGGACAGATATTTAAAAACTTCAAAGTCTTACACAAGGATCTTCGTCTGGAGAAGCGGCAGATCGAGACGTTGTTGGGTTGTGGCGGGGCTGAAAATGTTGCCGACGTCGGTCGAGGCCGAGAGTCGGTCCGTCGAGCAGGGAACATCGGCCAGGACCTGAACTTTCCTTTTCAAACTTCGATCCCAAGAATCGACCTTGTCATAAGCGTTGAGCTCGTCCCACATTTCCAAATCGCCAGCATTTTTCCGCTTTAGCCTGACCGTATCAGCGACCTGAAAAACGCATATGGTCAAAAATTTTGGCTTGGATAAAACCTCATCATCTGGGACGTAGGTATTCAGGGCTCTTTGGAGCTGGCCAAGCCTCGTTAGCTTGAAATCATTGCACACGACTTTTCCTAGAAAATCAATTTTCAGTAGAGGTATACTAACTTCTCACCAGAAGATTTAAAATTAGAAAAATTGTGAAAAAAAGTTGGGGGCTCTCAAAATCCAAAAATTCTAACGTCTAGATTTATTTTCCCTCATCTGTGGCAGTGCTTTGAAAAATCATGTCCAGGTTTTAAAAAAAAATTTTGAACAAATATAATCGGTTTTACGTTATGAGATGGACAAGATATATGAAACTTCTGCAAATGAGCTCAATCGGACACATTCAAATTTTCGACTCTTAAAAGCTCCCAAATTTTTCTCACAGATCCCTCGGCAGTTCTTAAACCAGATTTGGAATCAGCGTAGAAAGCTATTTGGTTGAGAAGTCCCACTGCGTTCGGGGACCATTCCCTGGTTGGTTGATAAAAGTGAGAGGAATTAAGAATTTTCACTTGGAAGCCTGCTGAGGATTGTTAGAAGACTCTTGCCGCCAGGCGCCGCACAAACGTCGAGAACTGAATCGTCTTGCTGAAGACCGAGGGCAAGGACTGGGATCAAGGAGCCGCCGTCCAGGAGCCAGTAGCCTGAAGAAATCCAGGACTTGTCTGATTGGTTGACCAAGCTAACTTGGAACTCCAGCCTCGTCCTTCATTGGAGACGGAAAATCCATCAAAACCGCTCTGTCGAAGCATCGGATGTGCAGGTTCCTGAAATTATTAGGTTTTAGAAGAGAAGGTTTCAGAAAGACACGCAGACTGTTTTTAAAAAAATCGAAAATTCAAAAGAAAAAAATCTTATTTTTATAAATATAGTGATGAGTAAAAAATGATGGATGCTCCACATGTTGGATATTAGAAATTCAATTCAGAATAAAATTTAAATTTTGAAGAAAAACGGTAGCAGATCACGTAAAAGTGGAAATTCTGATTTTCGAACTTTTTTTTGAACTCTTACTTCGGGTATTCAATAAAATGTTCCCGCTTTGGTATCCGAACTGACGCGCCTTCGTAGCCGGTTATCCTGAAAAAATAAATTCAAATGAAAATACGGACGAGTCTGAACCGCTCAGTGATCACTCAAGTGGTGTAAGTGTCTCTTTAGTCTTCACTTGACACGACAAAACTGTCCCGTAGTGTATGAACATGCATGTCAAGCTTGAAAAGGAGTGAAAGAAGTCTCCAATAGGGAATGGATCAAAAATGGATCAACTTCTCTGATTGACTGGCGTGGCCAGTCAATCAGAGAAGTTGTTCTACGAGAGTCAAGAAGCTTGGAAATACGAACTCAAAGCTTTTCTTGGCTGGTCCTTGGTTCAACTGCAAGTCTGCGGTGGTGAGTTCGCCACGACTCCCTCGGAATTCCCCCAAGCCTGCCGCTGTTCTCATCTCCAGGTCCTCTTCGAAATCTTCCGTCCGTGACGGTGGTTTTTGCTCTCCGGAAGTGCTTGCCTGTAAACGAATAGAAATTGTTGAAAATTTAAAAGAAAAAGTAGATTTACAAAATCTTTTCGCAGTTCATCAGCCTCGCGCTGAGAACTTTCCCCGATGCGTCTTCTCATCGCGTCGACTCGTTCTTCGGCCGTTCCGCCTCGGATCTTCTGCAGGACGTCGATAGTGCCCAGGTCGGACAGGATTTCGTCGTGAGCCCTCCAATTTCTGGAAAATCCAACTGAACAGCGGAAAGGGCGTCCCGGTAAGTTTATGGGAACATGGTATGTCTAATCAAAAATTATTAACCTGATCAACCATAAAAGCTTCTCGATTCCTCACATGAGGCGAAGTCGTATTTTTATAATTAAACCCGACCTTTTTCCGCAAATTTGCCCTATTTCCTCTCTACGGATGAATTTTTTGTTCATATGATTAAAACTTATTGAGTTGAAGTATGGGCTTCTTTCAAATTTTTAAACTTCAGCCTGCTGAACTTAGCTTTGGTTCGCTAAGCTTCAGTTTTTTCGGGATGAAGTGCGGAAATATATATTTTTCATGTCGATTATTCCAAAGGGTGCATTTACAGCTTTTTTGGAGCTTCAGCAAGCTTTCAAGAACGATATAAAAGTACTCAATCCATCCACAATCACTCCATAAAAATAAAACCCTTTGAAATTTTCAACAACAAAGTTTGTGGACCTTTACAATTTTTCTACTTTTCCAACAAGCTTGAACTCAATTTCAAACCTGAAGCTCCACCTAAATCCATTAATGATTGTTTCGAGAATCAAAAAATCTGACAACAATTGGTCCTTATTCCCACTTCGACATTGTGTTCATGACAGCCACGTAGCGATTGGACGAAAGAAGGCCCAGTCGAATGCTCGGCCACTTTTTCCCGAACAGAGGCCCATAGTAGAAGTCGAAATGGTCGAGAGCCAAGATTGAAGGGGTCTTCAACTGGTGAGTTCGGGCGATCTGTCAATAACTTTCTTCAAACGTCTTTTCTGATTTATTATCTACCTTGGGTTTGAATTTGACCGTTTTCTGACGGATCTGATTACTGGCCAACGAAGTTGACCTCAGGAAACTTGTGTTCATTCCGCTCAAAGTAAAAAAATATTGGGGTTTACTCTGAGAGATTCGGCCTCGATGAAGTGTTTATTTGTGCTCAATGGACATTAAGGATTGGCTTAACTTTGAATTAGTCAAACTACGATTTTTTTTTTTGGGGAGAGCGCTCAAGGAGAAAATGATGGAAAGCTAAGAAAATTGTAAGTCAATTGAAATTGTATGTCAATGACTTCTTGGTGTTCAATTGAGCACTCTCAGTTAAAAAGCGGCATTCGCAGCCATTTTTTCGCTCACCGTTCCATGGAGCGCACTTGAACGGCTCATTGAGACTAAATTTCTCAAGATAATTGAAAAAATAACTGGAAAGCTTTTCAGGCCACTTTTCCAACAAGAAATAATCTCAATGAGATAAAATTTATTCCCGCATGCAATCAAACGAGTATCAAGATATTAACTGATAAGGACAAAAAATTTTGTACAACAAAGAAAAAATAAAAATTAAGAGTTCAAGATTGAAATGTCATAGGTTCTCAACATTTTATCTCTACAGCAAGAATAGAGTTTCTCGTCGACAATGGTGAAATCGTAGACGGGATCGCAGTCTGGGCCGCTCAGCTCGAATTCTGGACAGAAAACGGAGAAATTGGTGTTGAAGTCGCTCAGCAGAGGAATACGGTAGGCGGCGATCGTTCCATCGTCTGAAATAGAGGAGTGGTCTCTAAAAGAAATAGGAAAAAAAGGACCTCTATAGGGCAAAGTTCCGGTGGTTCATATAGGGGTTTACGGTCTAACCTTAAGCCTCTAAAGGGGCCCCTATAGGATTCTTTCAATTTTTATACAGATTGAACAACTAGGATGCTCTCTAGAGTGGCCACTAACAAAAACCACTAGAATCGCCTCTTTTGCAAGCTTTAATGTCTCTATAGGGGAAGGTAAGATGGTCTCTAGAAAAATCCTTCGAGTGCATTTAAGTTTGCCCTTCTAGGTACTTAACATTCTTAAAAATTATTGGAAGTAATAATGAATTTCAATTGGTTGAATTTTTCAAGAAAGAAGAAAATAAATTTTCAAGAAATGAAATCACTATGAGCAACAAGAAGATGCTGGCCGTTGCTTCGCAGACAAGTTACAGCTCCTCGCGAAGAGCTCAGTTGTGCCAAGCAAGACCTGAAAAAAAAGTTTAGGTTGAAAAGTGCATTCACAAGCCTCTTAAATGAGAAAGGGAAAAAATTGAGTCTAGGTTCGATTCTTAGAAAGTTTGAGTGTTCAAATATAAGAGTGCGGGTCTTTTTTTTTTCTCTGAACGCCCTCTGGTTTAACAGTCTTTTCAAGCTACGAAGATTCGAACGTGAACTGGAAAAAAAAAATTATTCTGTTAAATATTTAAAAAAAAATCGTTTTTAATTTTACTTTGCGGCTTCAAATGTTCCAACAAATGAACTATCAAAAATTCAAATTCCTCACCCATCGCCACTGTTGTAGACAGCAACACCCGAGTCGAATCCGACAAAAACTAGCGAATCCGAAGTGCCAGCCGAAAAACAAACGGCTTTGGGCTCCGACGGTAGCTTGATCACTGATTTATTCTGGAAGCCATTTTTATTATTTTATCGGCGTTTTATCGGAATGAACATACTCCGTCATCCAAGGGACAAACAACCAAATTCTTCGCGTCGCAAATAACAGCAAAGAATTGTTCATCTGAAAAAAGTAGAGAAATTTTGAATTATTCACTTTCGTTATTCTTCTCAAAGCTGATGAATACCAAACCAGAGGTTATTAAAAGAAAAAAAACGGTTGCAATAATAGTGGAGAAAACTAAGTCACTTGAAGTATAATCCGTCCTCCCTGACTACACATTTTTCGATTGTCTGCGTCTCTCTGTTCCCTCACCGGCAAGGTCAGAGAAAAATTTAAATAGCATTTCAACATGAGATGGTCGTCGAGAGACGAGGGCACAGAGAAATCTCGCTCTTTCAAGTCGCGGAAAACGGGCTATAGAGGGAAAACTGCAGCCACTTAAGAGGTCCTTCAAGGACTGCTTAGAGAGGACACTGAATAGGCCACTAAAACCACCTCTATGGAAGCCACTATTCTCCTTCTTAATGGCCACTACAGTATGTTTTAGTGATCTAGTAATAAAACTTAGATTCCTGAAGAGGCCACTAACCTTTAGTCACCTTAGTAGCCACTAATTCGCCTATTATAGGGTTCAATAAGACATCAAATCCCTAAAGTGAGTAATTAAAATTTCCCTAGTAACCTACAATTTTTTTAAAAATTTCCCTATTAACCTACAAATTAAATACTTTCAAAAAGGGGCGTGACTATTCAATCCAGAAAAAGGAAAAATTGTATACCTTTGCTCAAAGCGAGGCCCGTGCACTTTCCCAAATGGAAGTCCCATTTTTGAACAATTTCCGAGCTGCCGCAGTTCCATCTGAAATTGAAAACTTTAAATCTAACAAAATTGAAAAAGACAAACTTGATAACGGAACCGTCGTTGGAGCACGAGAGGACGTTTTTTCCGACTCCAAGTACACAAATATCGGTAACAGCTGGGAAAAGTTTTCAAAAAGTTTTCGATTTTTTTTCCTACCAAGTTTATGTCCTTTCAGGGTCCTGGCGCAGTTTCCATTGTCGATTGCCCAGATTCTGAAAAATTGATGAAAAATAAGTTTTTGTTTTGAAACTGTACCTGACAGTCATATCCATGCCGGCAGACAAGGCCACAGATCCTGATGGGAAGAATCGACATTTATAAACGTCCATCGCATGTCCCTTCAGGGGTAACTGTAACATTTCAACCTTTTTGTCGATGTTCCAAAAATTATTAATAAAAAGGAGAAATATAGCATATTCAGTTTTTTTTTTGCTTTTTTATTGCAAAAAAGACCGAATACCACATTGGACCAAGTTTGAAAAACTTCGTTTCAATACCTTCTTTTTTGCAGTTTTATAATGCAAAGTGTATACGGTAACCTTTTTTGCTGTTCTATTAAAATATGACCTTTTTTTGAGTATGTACTGATTATTTCCTGAATAGGTTCATAGAAAAAGGTCAACAAACAAATTTTCCGCGAAATTCGAGTTTATGAGATCCCCTAGAGAACCTTTTTTTCGAGTTCATTTTCGGACCCAATCACATAAACAAAGTCTGAAGGGTGAAAAACGGTTCCATAGAAATGTTAATTCTAGGGTGACAGATTCCTTTCTCTGCCGTTTTGCGCCATATCATCGACTTTTTTTGCACCATTTCTTGAGCCTTCAAAATCCCAGAAAGAATGGAAGACTCGAAAAAGGGACTCTTTTTTCTGCCTTTTAACAGCCTTTTTTAAGCCTCTCTCTTTAGGCTGCCATTATCCACCATTCCGACTTTGCCCGAGCATTTATCAGAATTTTCACCGTTTTTGTCCTATCAACGACCATCGAATTCACGAAATTTCCACTGGAATCAGCGGCAATATAGGAAAAATTGCTCGAAGTCGTGACATCGATCGAATGAGGGGCTGATTGTAATCCGGGAATTTCCATCTAGAAATTCCAAAAGTTGATGGGAATGAAAAATGAATAACCTCGGAAATCGGCGGGATAAACTTCGTGAAGTGATCGCCATGCTTTATGACCAAATTGTTCTTTAAAAAAGGGATAAAAAGCTTGTTTTTTAATTGGTTAACCACTTTTTCATCGACTTTTAGTGATAAATCAGGTTCCCCGGTGTTGCTGTGCCTTTGAAAAACCGTGAAGGATAATTCGTCAATCATTTTTGTTGATTGGACATCGAAAAAGGATGTTTTTTCGGAATTCGGTTCACGGATACCAATGAAAAAGTTGGCAACAGCGTCTCTAGAAAATGAGCAACATAAGGATTATAATAATTTGAAGTTCTTACATTTTTTTGTACCTGAAAAAAATAATTTATTTTTGAAGGCTCTTTATGAAAAATCAATTTCACACGGCCGAACTAGCTATTCGAAAATTCAAACCAAAAAAAATTTTTCTAGTTTTTTTAAAAAGTTTTTCTACCCTTTTTTTAATTTTTCTACCTTCGAAAATTGTAAATTTTTCAAAAAAATAACGAAACGGTTTTTGAAGGGGTTGTAAATACAAGGACGATTCTTTAAAACTACGTATAATTTACAAAATGAACACCTCAAGACGACGTTCCAGTCGTTTTGCACGACGAAACGTTTCTCTTGGAGCTTCTTCGTTCCATTATTGGCCTCATTTGTTGGAATTTGTTGCACCCGTGGTTTTTTTCATTTGAAGACAGCATTTTTCAATTTTTTTTTGAAGTTTCTGCCTGATTTTTTTACATATACAAATCTGAAACAGATTTTTTTATATATAATTAATAATTAACAAGCTTCAATAAAATTGACGTCAAAAACGTCTTCGGAATATCCTTATTCCAGCTCATTCAATAAAGTTTATTTAAAATCAAGGAAAAAAGGGAAAAAAAGCTAACAACACGAAATATAAAAAGACAACAATCTATCACGATAGGAAAACTAAGAAATAAAAACAGAACTAATAATCTATAGAAAATTGAAACTGGCGAGAGAATTACTAAAATTATCACTTGAGACTTTCAAACTAGCCCCTAGGTTTAGGTCTCCGAAACTTCTACACTATTTCTCAAACTTTAATTTCTAAAATTTTCCCTCGCATTTTCCAATCTTCCTGAAAAGACTACAATTGATGGCAAAAAGGACAATGAGACCAGTGAAAACTTCCTTTTAATTTAATTTTCAAACTGTCGGTCAAATTCTTTCCGCATTTCTTTCTCTTCTTCCTTTTGTCGAGCGGATTCTTGTGTCGCCTTGATTTTGGCCAAAGCTTTGGCGCCTTCTCGATCAGAGGCTGTGATCTGAAGAAAAAATCCATTATATATTTATATGATTTAAAATTAACTTTTCATTCCTTTATTTTTAATTTAAGTTTTCCATGCCTTCGCAGGAATCACTGCAAACTCTTCTTTTCTCAAATTGTTCGCAACCCTTTCGAATTCTCCACAAAAATTTTCTCAAACCATCTCAGGGACTACAGAGCGGTCCCTCTAGGGGTTTTCGTCCCTTAAAGCAGCTGTTTTTCGCCTAACCCCTATAGGGGCTGAGGGTCAGACTCATAGAGCCTCCTTAATTTTTTTCATTCTATATGAATCACTCTAGAATTCCAAAGTAACAGATAGAAAAAATAAATATTTCGCATTAGTTCTATTCTTTTCAGAATTATTAAATAAAAATCCAAGCCTTATTTCAAAGTTTATTTAATTTATTATTTATCTCTTGCGCCTTGCTAGTTTTTTCAAACCCAAAACTTCAAAAACTCACGGCTCTATTAACAATTTTGTAAACGTTGCCGGCGGAGTCAACATGTACATCCAAAGCTCCTTCTCGGGTAATCAATTTTTGCTCAAATAATCTATTTTTATCCTTTCCATTCATCAAAAAAACTTCTTTTTTAGTGATGAAAGAGGGAAAATAGGATAGAAAACTGGATTCGAGCGTCTGTAACCGCCAGAGGACGACGACAACGTCTTCGTTTTCATAAACACAGGATCCGATCCACTGAAAAAAATTGAAAAAAATCTCAATTATATGTGAGGATTATTAAAAAAATTAAATTCATGAAATTTAGTTGCTCGTAAACACTCGAGGGTGTTTTTAAAGCTTCAGCAAAAGACTTTTTTTAAATTTTTCAACGCATGTCTTTTAACAACGACTTCAAAGACCGAAACGTAAATTTTGATGAAAAAGAACCTCGAAATAACTGCATTCATTATTTTGAGCAAAAATTTCGCACTGTTACCCGGAAAAAAAAAAATAAATGCTCCTTTTCGAAGTTTTTGTTCAAGAAAACGCTTCAAAAGACAATAACTTTGATTTTTCGAAAAATAAAATCGGGTTCTATTGTATCAAAAACTGACTTCAACTTTGTTAAAAGGCGATAAATATCGATAATATAGCCGGATCTTGGCAATATGCGTCATCAGGGCGGATCTGCTCGATACCTGGAAGAAAAAAAGTTGAATTTAATTGTGTTGAAGGAAAAAAATCAAACTTTATAATTGAAAAGACGATCCTCCAGCTGAACATCTTCCTTGCAAATGTCGATAAAATTGCGCACGTGTGATTTCAGGACAAGTGGGGCCTCGAATTGAAGGTATTTTTCGTTTTTTTATTTTTGATATTCAGAAAACTCGTACAGAAAAAAATCTCATTAAACTGTAATCATAGCTAGCGAAAAGTGTCTTTCATTTTTTTCAAAAAAATCAAACACAATTTGAATTTATTAAGTTCTAACTTGAAGACGTCTTCTCGGGCAAAGTCGGAATGGTGGATAATGGCTGCTAGAAGGGAGAGTCTCAAAAAAAAGTCCATTTATCGAGCCTTATTTTTTTTTCAGAATTTTAAAGACTCAAGAAATGAGAGAAATAGGGATGGACAGCAAAAAATGGTGCAAAAAAGCCGATGAAATGACAAAATGGCAACAAAAAAGGAACCCTTGCCACCTTAAAAAGAACATTTCTATGTCCCCTTTTTCGACACTTCCGTCTTTGCCTGTGTTGCTTTGTTCTTCAATGTTTTTCTTTTTGAAAGAAGAACACAAAAAAAAATTTTCAAATGGATGATGGGTAAAAACTTTTGTTCGACATTTCTACGTTTGATTAATTAAATAAAAGCAACTAACCACTTTCTCCAGCAGCCAATCGATCCTCAAAAGAGTTTCCTTAGTGGGTAAATTCCCATTTTCTTTTCTATTCGTGGCTGGAACAATTTTCGGCGGGGCTGTTGACAAAAGTCGTGTGGCTGGGGGTGCTGGAAATATAATTTTCAATCAGTATTATACATATTTATACTGGAAAATATTTTTGCAGAGCAAATTCTAACTTGAGTTCTGAATTTAGGGAGCATTGACCCAAAAAAACGATGTAAAAAAATGTTTAAAATAAAGAAGGCTTTGATAACTTTATTAAAAAAACCTTTTAATTGGAAAAATCGACAAATACAAAAAAATAGCAACTTTTGCCAAAAAAATAAATTTTTTTAATTGAAAAGGACGTAATCACTGGGTACATGGAGAATGAGATCTACAAATAAACTTTTTCAGAGCCAATGATCTGGAACTAAAAAAAGTTTCCTCGATGGTAATTGTCTAAAATTTTCCATAAAACAACTTTACTTGCTTTCCTAGGTGTTCTCAAAGTTATTCAATCAAAACCAACCGAAAGAAGTTGATGGGAGCCGACAGAAGCTCGGAGTCTTCGTATTCTGGACGACGGCCACTAGGCCTCGCACTATTTTTGTTCCATTTTTAGTAGCAAACATTGTTATAACTTTTCAATCTAAAAAAAGCTACACTTTTGAATTCCTTTCATTTTTCTTTACAAAAGTATTTTTTATCGTGATACGATTAAGCTGGAGAAAAAAGGTGATTCGATTTTATTTATTATAAAAAGAGCCGAGTGATAGGAAATTTGGCAAAAAGAGCTAGTTTGTCACAAAAGGAGTTCTCTAGAGGATCGTCCACATTTTCAGTATATTGTGACAAGCTAGCAGAAGAAAAAAAGCGAAAAAATAAATATATAAAAGCAACGGTTAGAAAAGATACAAGTAACGAGCAGAAATCACAGCGAAGAAGAACTACAATCGAATTTAATTTCAGCTTCGAAAGCGAAAACAAAGTTTCCATAAATAGGTAATTAGGCAAGGTTTAAAAAGGTCTTTCAAGCGCAATTCAGTTGAAAAACCGCGGGAAAAAAATCCAGAAAATTCTTTTCTCCTTTTTGAGAAGGCCTTTTGAACTTTACTCAACTCATATTTCAAAAAGACCAGGAAGGAAACATCGAGTTATATATTCACAAATCAAGAATATTACAAATATTTGAAATATGTACATTTTTCACTACCAGTTCAATGTTATAACATAAAGAAAACGCTATACGAGTATAGTTCCTTCACCGCTGGCTTCAGAAATTATTTAATACAAAAATAGCTTCTTTGACGCTTCCTTTTTATCTTAAACCAGCGGTGATTGAATATGTTGAATCAATGCTTTTTACGAGGAAATGTACAAAATTTTCGAGAATATTCGTAAATTCAAGGCGTCGCAGCCTCGCCAATATTCAGATAATCGCAAATGTGGGCGGGGAGTTTGTCTTGGCTGGCCGATAATTGGTGGAAAATCGCTTCGGCGGCTGTCAGAACCTCCTCCAGCTTCAGGTGCATCGAGAGGTCGTTTACGTGCTGGAATAAAGTGTGTTACGAGCGAAATGTCGCTCCCGTAAAAACGGATTTTTTGTATTTTTTCTGTACATAACTGCCAAATGACCGCAAAAGAAAACAACGGTCTTGGAGTGAAGTGCGGTAAAATTTTATCTTATTTGGTATATGGGCTTTTTGCCAATTAAAAAAAAAGACAAGCGCGAAATGGCCCCAAGAAAATAATAACAGATAAACGCAATATCGGAGGCTTTGAGATATCGCAAAAATTTTGCTCTTTCCTTGCGCGGGTCTTGAACGTTGGTAGGCGGCGCTCCGCATTTTTTTTCGGCGCGACATCGCATTTTTGAATTTTTTCTTGTAGAGCGAAGGAAATGCGAGATCGCGCTCGTGAACAGAGCGTCCAGTTCGCGATTTCCCCATTGCACCGCCACAAAATATCTCGCGCCAGACTTGGCAGTTATCTTTTGTTGGACTATGTACATAGGAAAATCTATATTTTTGCTCTTTCTTCACTCTACTTGGTTGGAATTCATTCAACGTACCTTGAGAATCTCGGTGAGGCCGAACTTGTTGTCGATGATGACGTTCATCTGAGAGTCGAGGATGGCGACGCAGACGAGCAGAAGGAACTTGGGACACGGTTGCCCAGTCCACAGGACTTCCCACAGTTTGCACGTGTCCAGGAAGGAGAACTCTCTCTTGAACCACACGAGAACCCAGCGGAAGCAGAAGTACATGTCGTCCGATTGGTGGCTTTCTGGAAGAAGTTATGCAATTCGATTTTTGAACCATTCAGTTACCTAAATAATTAGCAAGCCGGGGGTTGACTATCATGACGAGGTCCCGAAGTTGATTCATCTGCAGCTTGATGTAGGCTTGATCCTTCTCGAAGTTTCGGTGCTGAACATTGTAATTATCAAGGTATTTCATACAGAGAGAGCTTGCGGAACGACTATTTACTTTCAAGCGAACACTGAAAACACTACTTGAGTGATCAGCAAAGGACTCAGAATCGTTCAGAAAGCGTAAAGAAAAAGGAACTCCCACCGTTCTCTCCATCAGCCCAACAAAGCACCAGAATGTGTCGGCCTCGTTTTTCATAACGTAGAGAAGCGGGGAGGCAAAATCGCTCATACCTTGGACATATCCTAAAATGAAAAAATCACCCTGAATCCGTAAAAATGAAGTAGATGGTAACGTCGAGGGATTTGAGAAACAGCGAATTGAAAAGATACCCTAAAATTTATCAGCACCCCTAAAGAAAACCCTTGGAATTATTTAAATAAGCTTCAAATTAGCTTTGAACGCGGCATTAATTTTTTTTTCATTGATGAAAAAAACAAACCGAGGTCGAAATTGTACATGACGTAGGTCATGAGAACGTTGTGCAGGGCGGTGAGGTTTGGATTTTCGTCGCCTTGGAAAAACGGTACAGTGCGGTCGGTACGCGCAACGTCTTTTTCTGGAAAGTGTAAGTTGAAATTTTGATTTTCTGCTCTGAACAGTTAAATATTTAATAATTTTTGACAAAATTTTTGAGATTTCATAGGAATACGAACCAACGAGCGCCTTGCGTTTAGCGAACTTGGCGAAACGTCTTTCTTGATCTTCAGTGATGGATTTCCATTGAGCCTTCATTCGTTCGTACTCAGCGGCGAGGGAAATTCGTTTCTGAAAGAGGATTTGTGGGAAAAAAATTCATTGCGGCACAGTGAGCATTGAAGTACTGCTCTTTGTTTTGCTTGCTTTCTCATATTCGAAGCCATCCTTCAGTGAGTTTTGATCTTAATTCAAAAAACTACCTACTTTACAAGACTTTTTGTTACTGGAAAGAGTGACTCTCGCAGTGAAAACTATAGTGGTCACTTAGGAGATTCCTCAAGGGATACTTGGAGGGAAATAGAAGCGGCCATCAAGATCGCCTAGGTAACTACTATTTTACATCTTAGTGACCACTATTGTAGTTTTGTGGCTGACGTTAAAAGCCCAAAAATAAACGTAATATTTCAATAAAAAACGAAATAAATACTGACCGCCTCAAACTCTGAATTGGTTTCCGTCCACTGACGATAGCCAAGCAGCATTTTCCACGCCTCTTTTCTCAATTCCGGAGCGATTCCTGAAAGTAACAATTCGAAAAAGTTAGCCGATATGACTTCCGGAAAACCTCCTCGAAAGACGTTCATCTTGAGGTGGTGAAGTTTCTGGGAATCCATCGTCCCATCGGACAGTTTGAAAGAGTCCCAGACTTGCTGAAATATTTTTCTTAATAAATTTGAATTATTTTTCGAAAAAAAACCTGAGTAACTGGCGTCTCGCGGTAAATTTCGGGACGTGGCGGCAGTTCCAGTTGAGTGACCACTTCGAACTCGCCTCCAGCATCGGAATGGATCCTGAAATAAGTTGAAGTTTGTTAAGATTACTCTTAGCTAATAATGAAACTTCTATGTGTCTTTCGTTTTTTCTTTCCCCGAAAAAATATATTTCAAGTACCTCAAATGCTCTTCGCATTCGTCTCTGATCCTCAAATCTCTCATCGCCCGAATTTTTTCCTCTTGGCTCACCGCGTCATCGTCTTCCAGGAGAGTTGGGATCACCTTAAAACAGAAATATGTTGAAAGTAGAACAACTCCAAGAAAAAAACCTGATCCTGAACGAAGGTCGTGATTTTGCTGAAGCCAGTCATCGCCGTAGCGTATGGGTTTTGCATGAAGCGCTGGAAAAATTACAGATTTGAGAAAGGAGTAAATTAAGTTTCTTTTCAAAGCAGGAAGCGTATTGGAATGTTGTTATAACTTTCTAACAAGGAATTCAGTTTTACTTTTAGGCTGAGAATTCTCAGAAAATCGCCCAGAACACTCCTAAAAACACCAAAAAAAGACACTGAAACTACCAAAACTCGTTGAAACAGGCCATTTTGGGAGCATTTGAAACCTTATTTCTCAAAAACTAGAAAGCTGTGCTGAACAAGACTTTCAAAATCTTTATTTTTTTATTTTTCAATTTTTCTGGGCAAATAGAAAAATCCCAATCACATATTAAAATGACCTTCCTCGCTGAAGTTTTTTAGAAAGCGCCTGAGAATCTTTTAATAACTTTTCTAAGTTACTTTCTTAGCTCTAAAAAAAGAAAAAATGGATAAACCGATAGAATGTCGCCGTTCTCGTCGAGCATGCTGACGCTTTTGGCGAGGGCTTCTGCCTTGTGGTCGACGACCATCACGAGATTTTGTTCCCGCGCCGAACGCCGCAGGGTTATGTATCTACAAACACGAAACTTTTCCCCTTCTCTCTATTTGTTGGCCAATGTTGACCGGAAAAAAGAACTGCCGCAATTGGCGCGCTCTCACGTCACGGAAAGAAAAATATTTTGAAGGTCATTGCGGAAACTTTTTTTGTTTGAGCTCAAAACTGCAGGAAAATAAAAAACAACAAACACACTCGAAAGTGTGCGGTTCCGAGGAAAAATCTTCATCTTAATTTAGGACTTTTTAACGCATTAAGAAAGCATAGATATTTTTTCAATTGTTAAATTTATCATTCTAGACAAACCTCAAAAAAATTATTTCAAGTTATTTCTCATGGAAAAAGTTTAGCGAAACACAAAAAAATATTTTTTTAAAAAAATCTGAAAAAAATCTAACAGTAAGTTTCTTTATGGAAAATTCTTCGAAGACTTCATCGAAACTTTACTATATTGAAAAAAAGTTTAAAGAACCTAAGGCATTATTACAAACTCCACGAAATAAACAAGGTCTACCCAAAAAAACTTCTAAAATTAAAAAAATCTATCTGAAAGTTTCAAGTGTATATATTGTTAAAAGAGAACTTTCCGATTTAAAAAAACAGAAAAAAAGGTTCTTCGAAAATTAGACGATTTTATCTCCAAACGGCATCTTTTAGCACATTTCTCCCGAGAAGAAGGATTAAAAAAAAGACTAATTCGGTAAAAAAAATTCTCATTTTCAATAGTTTTTCTAAATATATCATCTAAATAATCACCTTTGAAGGACATCGATAAAATTAGAAGTCGGGGAGTTTTTTTGAAGAAGAGCGGTACGTAGCTAGTTCCGTCCTTGCAAATGAGCCGGATCGATGGGCATCCCTTTCCTGACAAAAAATAAATTGATTTTTTTTTCTAAATCTACAGAAATAACCTTTTTTGGGTTCATTATTGCGGAAGCTGCTCAAATCGTTGACATCGAGTGAGAAAGCCAACTTGGAGTAGCTGTCCGGGGAGTGCTTAAAATTGAAATATTACAAAATTGATTTCAGATTGATTATGAATTTTGTAAAAATGAAATTTTCCTGGTGAATAATTCGAGAATCACTCAAGTTATCACTATTATCAAAATCAACGAAAGTAAAAATAGTATACATTTTGAACTATTTCAAAACTTGACTAGCAATGAACAGAAAATGACCACAGAGTAACAAATAAATTAAATATAATCAGTAAAAAAATCCTATTCCAGCAATTTTTTTACCCTCTCAACGCCGGCAGTCGGACTTCTCGAAGAGACCGTCACGAGCTCTCCGTTGTCAGTCGCCATAACCCAGGAGGCGTCCGGATCGTCAGAAGGCGCCCATTCGATGAACACGCCAATCGACTTAAAATCGTACAAAATTCACGATTTTTTTGAACAAACATTCAATGTTTCCATTTTCCAGTTTTTTTTTTTGCCTGATCTAATGAAAGCTTTCATTCGTTTTGACCAATTATCCAAGGAGTTCAAATTCTTCCAATACATCAAATCCACCGTAAGCCTTTTAGAAATATTCAGAAGCGAAATTGAAATCGCTGCGATACCAAAAAACCTAACTTTTTCATCCGCGCCTTCTAACACTTCTTCAAGTTTTCCTAAAAAAATACACAGAAATATGTGAAAAACCTTTTCAACAATGGAAATTGCGCCGGGAACATATTCTTCGGAATCTTCGGCCAATTTCGCGGCCACGCCGGGTATTCGAAGAACCACCTGGAAAAAAACAACAGTTTAAAAAATTCCTATTGTAAAACCTGATCCGGAATGATGGATCGGCTGAGATTTGAGGTCAAAGTTTGAAGATTTTCCGACATTTCGCGTTGGTTTTGATCTCGCCTGTTTTTCACGTACTTATAAGCAACGTACGGCAACATATAACATCAACTCCGACCTCTGTAATTATTAAAACGTGGAAAAGATCCAAAACTTGAATCAACGACGAAGAAGTCTGTTCAAAATTCATTTCTGGGAAGATTAAGGTTCCTAAATGGCATCGAAGCGACCATACAGTGTTACTTTGCAGAGCTTTTGCTCTTAAAACTACCAGCGAAAACATTTTTAACAGACTTTTTAAACGAGTTACGAAGCAAAAACTGGGAATACTAGTTGCAGTAGTGAAAAGCTACCATTAGAGCACTGAAAAATTATAATTTCCACCTGCAGGTCTGGCGGCAATCTATAGAACGAGAAGATTTCACAACGAAATAAAACGTCATCCAAAAGGCAAACAATGTCAACCTGCTACGATATGATTCATCACGCCACTGATTTTTTCATAAGGTTTACAGAAAAAAATACACGTATTCAATAAAAAGGAAATAAAATTTTTGAAACCAAAAGAAGTAAACAAATGTGGAATGCTTGGAAAACAACAGCTTTGTCAGCTGTTCGACGACAATTTCACGTGAAAGATTGCCATTGAGATAGGAAAACAGGAAAAAGCCGTGTGAAGCTTCATACTCCATTCAAAGCAAGCTTGGGACATAAAAATTGGCACGATTCTAAAAAATCTTCTTCTTTGCAAGACTTGTTTGTTAATGGCGCAGATAACTCGGTAATTAGTGTCTTAAGCTATTATTTCTCAAGCTTCATGCTGAAAAATAGTAACGATCGCAACATTCAGCGAATGTTGCGAAAAAAAAAACTGAAGGGGCGTGGTTGTCAGCTGATGGCACGCAAGGCCGGCGCAATGTATTTGCAAAAACTTGAAGGGACGCGGTTGAGGCGTAGGTTTCAAGAATATCCAAAAAGCTTATTTTAGAAGGTGAACAATAGTTTAAAAAAATAGAAAAAAAAATCAAGAGGAAAGAGTTTAATGAATCCTTGAAAAAAAAAAAAATTGAAATTAAAGAAATTTCTCATTTTTTTGCTATAATTGTGCCAAAAAGTTCTATTTTTCTTGGCAATGAGATGTGATAAGTGATTTAGTTTGACAAAAAAATAATTTAATTTTTTTAATTTATCAACCTGTAGAACTTGAGAATTTCGAAGAAAGTAAAGCTCAAAGCCTCGGAATGGCCCGTTTTTGTGGATTCCTTTTACTTCGTCTTTTCTCGGAATATGGAGCTTCACAGATTGACACTCACAGAATCCTCTTCTGGATCATCAAAAATATTCTGGCCGAGATGATTCCCAACCGTAGATAATTTTCAAAGCTCAGCGGACCAGTTCTGTTTGCATTTCAATGTCTCATTGGTTTCATCATCCTAACAAATTTTTTTGAAACAGCAGATCGTTCCGAAAATAGCTGAATGATCCCTCTGAAAAAATTGGAATAGATGCGGATGGGCCTGCCGGTCAAACAGTCGCCGATGATGGTTTGACCACCTGCACGACGGGGATCCTATGCAAAATATCACAACACAGCGCCGCGGCTTCTCATTATCCGTCTGAACCCCTCACGCTATGTTGCTGTACAGAATAGGAGACTTCCTCGGATTGTTTTTACTCTTGGTTTTGCAAATCGCCGAGGCTCGAATCGTTCACAAGGTTTGTAGCGTTATGAGTTGTGTAAAAAGGGAGCTCTTGAAACTTCTTTAAACTAGGTACTTTTCTGAGATGAGAAAAGACACGTTAAAGTCGTAGAAGTACATCAAAAGCCTGTTTGAAAGTACATTTTGAAAGCTCTTGCTCATTTTTTCCTGAAAACTCAGAATTAATTAATACTGAAACATTAAGAAGCTATTTTAGGACTTCGAAAAAATTTCGGCTTCATAAAACTTCCAAACGAGTCGAAACTATGAGTTAGTATCAATGATACTGTATCATCCCGAAAATTATTTTAATAAACTCAGCCGCGAGAGTTCCGATGCGGCAGAATGGTGGTGTTCGGAGACAGCCTATCGGACGACGGAGTCGAGGCCGAAGGAGAGAGCCACGGCTTTCTCAGAAATAGCAATGGAAAGGTCTGGCCAGAGTACGCCCATGAGATGCTCGGCTGCGATCAGGTAGAACCATGTTCTTTTTTTCAATTTCTCCTTTTTCTGTTCAGTACCTCAACTACGCCTACAGCGGTGCCAAGAGCGGCATCGGTAATTTTTACTTCGACACTTTTTCCGGCATCCAATGGCAGACCAACCAGTTTCTCCTATCCCACAAATACCTCGTCGACGGTTAGAAAATACTCAAAAAGCGAATTCTAATCTGACATGTAGATCCTCTGATAATCATTCAAACCGGCGGGGTCATCGACTTCTTCGCCGGCGCCAACGATTCGACGACTGTTGTAGAGAACATCCAGAATACTATTCATAATATCACGCAGGTTATTGGAGGATTTCTCGAACTTTCGTCTCGAACCAAACCGACCAATCACAGCAGCCTAACCAAGCTGAACTTGCAGACGATGACGTCAGGAACTCTGATCGTCCTGACCTTGATGGACTTGAGTTCTTCACCTGGCATCCGAGCCGCCGAGGACTCTTCTCAGCTGCAACATCGGCTGGGGACTCTTGTCGCCGAAACTAACAGGGTATTCACTTCATGCACAACTATCTCAAGAGATACTCAAAAAAGACTTCGAAGAACCTTTCCAAACTGTATAGAAACTCTTTTGAACATTGTCTCAACTGATTAGTGATTGAACTATATCAGAAGATTTCCATTTTATGCCGTTTCTTCCAGCAACTCCACTACATCGTCCTGGACTCGGACATCGGCACGCGACGTCTGAATCCGTTCCTTAGGGTCAAACTGGTCGACGTCAATCCCATCGTACTTGCCGCCATGCAGTCGCTCAACACTACCGAGCCTTTCAGTCATCATTTGCCCGACCTTTTGTGAGTTTTTTAGGAAGTTTTTTTTTTCTAATTCATGTAATTTTGTTCTAGGCATGTTTAGAAGCTGTAGTTGTAGTGGCCAAAGCTTTGAAATTGAAAAAATTCAAAAATTGGAGAATTATGCTATCTTTTCCATTTTTTTTTCTTGGAAGCTCGAACAAAAACCGATCATTTTTCTTGAGCTTACATGTCAAAACTTAATCTTAATGAAAAAAATTTAAAAAAATTTTTTTAACTGTTTTGAGTGCTTCCAAACATATCCAGCACCTTTTCCAAAGTAATCCCTATTTTTCTGATTTTAAAATCTAATAAATGAGTTTCAAAACTTTCAACCGATCGAAAAAAAGTTACTGAAAACTTGGATTTATTTTTATTTTTCAAAGTCCCTAACCTTCTTCGGAGCATAAAAAGACTTCAAGTTCGAGTTTCAGAAATATTTTTAATTACCTATAAATTATTCCAGAAGCTTAATGTAGCCTTTAATTTGCTTAAAATCATTTTTTCTTTGATCAAATATCCTAAAGACCCTAAACATTCAAGTTTGGAAACTCAGACCTCAATCGATCTACCGGTACGCGTTCCACGACCTCTGGAACCCGTCAACGTTTGTTCACTGGCACCTGGCCAAAGAGATCGTCCGCACTCTCCAACAGTTCTAAAACGCGGCAACATTTCAATCCAAAGCCCTTCGGGTACAATTATGTGTGTAAATAAATATTCGTTTTGATTGAAACAAAAAAGATAAAGAGTTTCGAAGAGTTTTTATCCGTCTGCCTACATATTATCCGAACATTTTTGTACAGCAGTCGTCGTATGTCGAGAGGATCACAATTTCGCTGGAAACAAAAAAAGAAGGAAATTATTATAAGAAATAAAGAGAGGACATGCAAATTACCATTAAAATACAGCAATTAAAACGAGTTACGTGTACCAAAAGAAATGCTAATCAAACTGTTTTTTTGGAAAATTACAACCAAGACCACGTGAGAAAAAGATCATCCGCGAGGGGTAAAAAATTTGGAAAAAAGAAGGAATTTGTAAGAGCTGAACCGTAGATCAGAGATGGAAAAGTTTGAAAAAAAAAAATGAGAAAAAAATTTTTTTATTATTTCTCCTCAGCTTCCTTTTTCGGCTCGTCCGACAGATTCAGTTTGTCAAAATCAGCAACGTTCCTGTCCACCTGAAAATGATGAAATCAATTTATTTTTAAAAAACTCTTGAAAGAAGTCTGAGAAAATGGAATGTTCTAGAGAAAAAGAGCCGCAAATGTGCGCTCTACGGATAAAATGCTCCATTTTTCAATTCAAAATTTTCAGCTGAATTTTCGCTGTTTTTTTCTTCACCACGTTTAGAAGTTACACAAAAACCCAACACCAAAAGACTACCCGGAAGCGTGCTAGACATGAGAGATGTGAAGAAAGAGACGACAGTGACATGCATACCTGTTCATTTTGTTCCTGAGGAACAGGATCAATCGGCACTTCGTAGCAGTCCGAGTAGGCGAGGTGCTAAAACGACAACATTCAAGACGTTGAGAAATCAAGAGAAAGATTATCTTTTTCAGTTATTCAAACAAACAACATGCAGTGATTAGTAAAGCTCCTTCAAAAAGATGTCAGTTAAGGAAGTAAAAATCAAACTTTCAATAAACTGTTGCCGAGGTGCAGAATCCAAACCCGCTACTGCGTTCAAAAATGCCATGAAATGAAATATTGCATTCCCAAGTTGAGTAAGATGATATTAATGGCCTTTAGACTGTTATAGCCAAAAAAAAAAGCGGTATGTCTAAAGCGTGCAATACAAAGATAATGAAAAAGAGGCCAGTTATTGATTGATTTTCAAAACTCATGCAAATGAAAACCCTTGGCGAAAAAAATAGTAGTGATCGAAATAAATTCAAAAAGCATTTTCATACCACTACCACCTACCACGAGCGGCGGCGAAGTTTCGAGGACGAGAAAAAGATCAATTTGGTTCTTTTCTTTGCCGAAGTCTACGACATACGACCAGCATTTTCATACATGCAAATCATCACAAATTCAAGCAAATGAAACAAAAACGTGCAGATTTTTATAGAAAGAAAAACTAACCGCATCTCGTTCGATTTCCTCCTTGACAAATTTGCCGAATTCGGCATCAATCTCCTGGTCGTCAACGTCCGCTTCGCCTTCTTGATCTGAAAAAAAATTGTAAATTAAAAAAAAATTGAATTAGTTTCAAGAACAAGTGACATGAGGCAAGGCAAAACTTTAACAACTCTGATAAAGAATTCTGTATTATCCCATTCAAAATTAGATGTTTCTCCTTTAAATCTCACCTTCAAGCTGTCCAATCTGGTTCTCCAGGAAGAGACGTTCCTCCTCGCTGAGCTCAAGCATTTGGCCGTCGGCTCCGACAATCGACCCGTAGGGAGCGGAGCTCGAGCTCAAGGCCCTGTTGACGGTCCGGCCCCAGCCCTTCTGTCGCAGCTCCACCAAGGCGGCGATTTGTGTCTTCGTCGACCTAAAAATCACAGCATAGAAACTTGTAAGAAAACGGTTTATAGCCACATTTTAAAAAAAAGCTGCTCAAGATATACAATCTGAAGCTTTGGAAGATCTTTAGAGTGCTCTCAAGACTTCATTCGAACTAGCAAAGATAATTTTTTTTTCTTCGAATTCTCACTCAGAAAGGTGAGGCGATCCAATGGCGAAAGCGTTCATCCGCGTCAAAATCTCATCGATACGTGTCTTGGAAGCTTCGAAAGAGTCCAACGAGGCGCCGGTCAACTGAAAATTAATTTATATTCCAACTTGCAGCGTAATTTTCCAATTTGTACCTTAAGAATGCGGATCAAATACTTCATGGAGGCATCGTTGGGCTTCGGCTGCTGAACGATATCGACGATTTGGTCGCACAAAGCCAGGCCGAGCATATCGATTTTACTTCCGTTTTCCTGAAATTCGAATAACTGAAATAAATGAGGTAGCTTCTATAAGTGATGCATTATCCTCAAATCTTGAAATACATATGAAAAACGCAAAAACATGTAACTTTCCCTAATTTTCTACTTAAAAAAACAGGAACTTCAATTTTCAAAAAATCGCCTTGAAGAAGAATCACAGTTATAATGAACTTTTTCAAGCTACAATTCTCAAAAGAAACGCACAAAAGTAAGCTTGTCGTAGACTTCGGCAAAGAAAAGAACCAAATTGATCTTTTTCTCGTCCTCGAAACTTCGCCGCCGCTCGTGGTAGTCCTTCAGCACGTTGAGGACAACGTTTCGCGTCAAGGTCGAGATCTGAAAAATTCGAACATATTATGGAAAAAGTGAGAAAAATGAAAAACCTCGGCGCCAAGATAGGCAAGAAGCGTCGCAAAAGTGTACTGCGGGTTGCCGCCTCGGAGCTCATTCGGCGAAAACGTAACGGCCTGGAAAATCGCAAAATGAGGCCGGAAAAAGTAAATAAATCTACCAATATATATGAGCAAAATATTATGAATCAAAAAATGTGAAGGAAAAACGAATGAGGGAAAAGAGCTATGGGCATAAACCCAACTCAAGGTTTTCAAAACAATCATACCATTTCCAAAAGGAGCGAAATGGCGGTGCGACGGCTCTCGTCCGACATCTGGAGGCCTTCTAGACGCTGACGAATCGCACTCGACCAGGTCGTCATTCCGTCTTCATCCGACTCTCCCATCAGCTGTTCGAAGCCGACGAGAACCTGAAAACAGTTAAGATAATATCTAAAGCAGTAATAATAGTCATTATTTAGAAAATGTTGTTATCAAAGATTTTTCTGGAGGTCATCAAAATTGTCGACAAACCTCCTGGAGAAGAGTGGCGTTTGGACTGTTGATCATTTGATTCCAAAGCTCCTCCGACGGCTGATATTGCTGCTGTTGCTGGCCGAACTGAGCGTACATGGCGTTGTAAGCCGCCTGAAATTGAGCTTCCATTTCGTTTTTTTTTCGACCTTATCATATTTTTCAATATTGCTCTTGAAAAAATCAATGAAGCATAAACGAATAATCTTCGAACAAGACTTATAGCGAAAATAGTGTTTGGTAAGGAGAAATTTAGAAGTCTTCCTGTAGTATTTTCCGTACCAAGCTAAGTTACTATAGTTACTGTAGTTCACAACAAAAAAATAATTAGAGCAAATCTTGTGAATCGGAAAAAAATAAAAAAACCTGACACGATACTATTACTATACAAAACCGCCGAAAATCTCTTTTTTTCAATATTTTACCTGTTCTTCCTCGTTCTCCGAGTAGAAGTCGGTCATGACGGGAGGAGCGTAACTGGTGTAAGACGGCTGAAAGAACAAAATTCCGTGAAAAATGAAAGAATAAGGTTAAAATATTTTTCAACCAAATATTTCAATAGAAATGAAAAGGAAACGTGTCTTCCTATTTGCGTCAAAGTTCACGGTCGAATGGAGCAATTAAAGCAAGAAATTAGGCCAAAATTCGGCCGTGGTTATTTTCCGGTTAGTATTCATTTCTGTTGTTATAGCCGAGCGGGGTTTCGATTTTGCTATGTCTAAAGGGATTGCAGATGCGATTCTAAAGAACGTTAATGATGATTACTTTGGAGTAAACTGAATCGTGTAGTTCCTATGAATAAATTTTAAAAAAAAATCGAGGCATTTTTCTATATGAAAAAAATAAAAAAACAAAACAAAGACAATGAAAATGAAAATGAAAATGACCACCAGCAACAGAAAATGAAAGCGACAATCGAAATAGAGATCGATTTTCAAACGAGCCGAACAGAAAAGAACGAGAAAAAAACAGAGCGACATATAATTCCTCGGGCGTCGAGTGCGCTCGTCGGCGAAACGCGAAACATAACGGATCTCGCGGCGGACACTATTTTCCCGCACCAGGAAGAGAAAACTGAGTGGAAAATACGAAAAACAATACCCGTTATCGGGGAGAAAAAGAGGATAGATTGAAGATAAAGCCTCAATTTTATCGACTTGGATCATAAGAAAAAGGCTTGATCGATTAAAACCATCGTTTAAAAAAAATTGTTGCGAATTAAAGATAAGACAAATTTTGAGAAAAACATGTCTTTTTCGGAAAGATTTGCAAATAAATGTTGTTCAACTATTCTCGATTTTTTGAAATTAATGTAGTTTTCATCCCTATGCTTATAAAAAAATGACGAAGGAACTTTCAAAACAGCTCTCAAACCAACTTTTCAACTTGAGAATCTCCATTTCGAGCTTATTTTTCGCGCATTTTTTCTGAAGCAACTTAAGATATGGGAAATCAATTAAAAAGGCAAGAAGGAAGTGTAGCAGAGACCGCCGCCGACGACAAAAGTAGCAACCTGAGCCAAACCGCGCCAAAAATCCCCGCCGCTCTCTCTGTGCATACAAAACGGAGCGCCGCCGTCGCTTCCTCACCGCCAAAACTTTATAGACTCTACAGAAAGCTGCGAACAAAAGGCAAAGAGTTCTTTTTTGCAACAGAAATCGCAATTTATTCTGATGGTGTTGAGAGAGCAAGGGGGAATTTGAAAGGGCTTGAAAACATTTCCAAATCCCTTCCTTGTTCAAAAAGTCGGCTAAAAATCGAATTTCAGGAGCTACAAGCGCTAATCTCTTAAAAAGTCGAAATTGCAAAAAAAAAAAGTTTTGTCAAGGAACTTCAAGTAACAAGACTTATTTTTGAAGTACCAATAGAAAAGGCTCAACTTAGGAATCACTTTGTTTTTCTTTAGTTTTACATGGACCTCTCAAGAGACTTACATGGCTCTGGTACATGTAGCGCGGTCCGTAGCTCTCCATTCCGTACATGGGCGCATTGCAGTACGATGGCGGCACGTGCTCGGTCTGCAAAAAATCTCTTCATTCCTGACTTTCTGAGAAAATCTTCTTATTCCTATTGAACTGAAGGCAACAACTCTTACTGAGGGAAAGAAATCTGGGAAGTTGGTGTATCCATTTTCGTCGCGGACTCCACGTCTAATCATCTTTCGATTTTTTGGTTTGGTAAGAAGTTCACTGCAGTGCGTTGATTTTGAATAAGTTTCGAGAGGATAATCGATTGCGAAGGGTGAGATTGAAGACAAAGGATGAACTTTTGAGAAAGGGAAAGAGAGCAATTAGACATAGATGAGAACAGAATTTTAAAACCCGCCTAAATTTGATCTTAAATATTTCTAGAGTAGTCAGCACTTCCTCAGTAGTAGAAAAAAAAATAAATTTTTAAAGAATAAAAGTTCTTTAATTGCACCTAACGAGTTAAAAACCTTCAAAAAAGTATCCGAAAATCATCAAATGAACAACTTTCGAATAGTGTTACAGCTAAAGTACACTTCAAAGTTACACGAGATGCTGTTGTCTAAAAATATTTTTAAAAACCAGACACAAATGTTCGAAGATGAACTGGCATGGCTAAAAGCCTATCCAATGAACTAGTAGGCCTTCAAAGTCAACTCTGTAGTTCATAATTAATCTAAAGAAATCTCAAGCTACTCTAGAGGCAAAAAACAACTTTTTGATCATAAAAATCGATGGGAAGCGTCTAGTGATCCTCTCCAAAGAACCTTAGGTTGACCATCAAGGTCGAACAGACGAAGAAGAAAAGAAAGAATAAAAAGTAAAGGAAGGAGAAGAGCAGCCGCTCGGAAGAGCCGCACAGCCACAAAATGAAGAAGTCCCCAGATCTCTGAAGGCGTGGCCAAGACAGGGAGGACCTTGCCACAGGCTGGAAGGCCCACCGGCACGACGATCATGACAGAAAATAAGGTGGCGCTCCTTTTAGAAGGGTGAGAATTAGCTGGTAACGGAGTGAGAAGAGTCCGTTACGAGAAACTAACACATTCTCATTCGAAAATTTCTGTTCTATAGGCATTCATAATATAATGTGTCTTGGTAAAAATCGAGAGCTTTGAATATTTATGGACTGAATTAAACTCTTAGAGGAAAAATTAGGCTAAAAGGCAAAATGACTATTAAAAATAACCCAACAAGGGAGGTCACCTTCTTTACATTTAAAACTCCTTTCTACTCGAAAAAAAACCGAAAGAAAAACTGTGAAACTGTACAAAAGAACAGAATTTTTTGAGTGCGGTCAGAGAAAAAAAGTGTTCTTGATCGCCGGCCGCTCCAATTCGTTTTAGATCAACATGTGACGACAGCGGCACGTGATATCGCCCTGAGGCGTCCGGAAAAAGGATGACCGATGGAAAAAAATGATTGAAAAATATTTCCCTTTCGGAAAACAGGAGGGAATTCATGAAGATCTAAAAGAAAAAATCGAAAGAAATTTGAAAATCTAACACTGAAAAAAATTTCTTAAAAATACCAAACAAAACCCGGAAAAATCCTATCCTTTCTTTGAAAAAAACAGATGGCGATCAAAAACCACGAGTTACAATTTTTCATTCTGCGTGAGCTTTTTATACATCACTTCATTGAACGTTTTTTCAAATCAAAGGTGAACGAACTACAGAAAAGCTTCTAAAGAGAAAGGATAAGAAGGGGTTCAGCGGTGGTTAGACTTGCACTGGCTCTTCCGAGGTCAACAACCCAGTTTAGGTCACAGTGAATATCAAACATCAAAGCTTTAGCTTAGAACTTCTTTAGAAAGTGTTTCCCTAACGACTTCTATCAAAAAAAAAAAGTCATTTTTCGGAAACTTTCTAAATACAGGGCCTCAAAAACCATTTTCAAAAAATTTTTCTTGAAGAGTCGTATGAAATAGTGCTGCGAATTATACGCAATTGATTCTCAGAAACAATAAGAACCATGAAACAGCGTCTCAAGAACAATTTCGCCACAATTCCCTTCTCAGAACACCTAAAAGTGGCAAAATGTCAACACGAAAGACCCGCGTTTTTCGCACATTTTAAACAGGACGGGAGAATGGGAAGGCATCAATTTCCCCACATCTTTATTTGAATAGAACCCACAGGCATTGTCGAATGAGATGAAGTGTTAAACGGTTTTGTCAAAGTGGGAAAAGGGCTAAGATGTTTTTTTGTTCAAATTTTATACAATAGATTGGAGATTTATAGAGGCTCAAAAAGTTTCATTCGATTGAATTTGTAGAATAAATATTGAAAAAAAACTATTGGCCAAAAAAATTAAACTAAATTATTTGATTGTATGCGGAGAAACCAAAGTTTTGACTTCACTAAACTATCGATACCATGAGAATGCTGAAAAAAACATTTCGATGATACAATCGAAATAAAAGAAGGAACACGTCTCAAAAGCGAAATTTCGTGCTATCAGCTCTTCGAATTGTTTCGAACAGGTACTTTTTTCTGTTTTATTCGAAAAGCTCCGGCGATTTTTCAAGTATTTTGAATGTAAAGCTAACAATTTTCGATAATCTCATAGTCGAAAACAGCTAATTTGGTTTCAATATGATTCAAGAACATCGAAAATTCTTGAATAACCCAAAAAGAACTGAGAAAACTGGCAAAGCAGCAGCTTCCAATATAATCGGCGCCACTATGAAAGGAATCAAATGGGAAAAAGCAATGTACGGTTCGTCTTATATGCAGCTGTTCTTCGGCGCCCATGAAATAAATCGATCAACAAAAAAAAAGATTGCTGGGAAAAAAAAAGCTATAAGCAGCCGGTCCGTATCGTTTGACAGGAATATAAAATTTAAAGAAAAGAACGTTGAATATCGCATGCAAAATTTATAAAAAGGTTGCGGTCGCGCTGCGATTGAAACTAAGACAAATCTACACTAAGAATTGAACTTCCGACGCGCGCAAGTCTTTTCGGGTCTGATGCAGTTTTAAGAGATTCTAGGCACGACCAAGGTGTTGAAAGTCAAACCTTGAAATTTTAACAAAACCCAATAATGAATACATCATTTCCTGAAAAAAAAAATTATTTTCACTTTTCGTTCCCCATTCTTCCTCACACCTTCTCATATTGAAAATCGTTCCATTTCGCGAGACGGAAAAAAAAGAAAGCGATACAAGTTGTTTGCAGTTTCACACAAGAAGAAAAAAAGAACAAATAGGCACGTAGTGAGAAGTTAGTGGACCACCAACCAACTGTCCTCCTGCTGAGGCGACCAAAAATAAAGCAGCAAAAATAAAAAAACTTCTTAGCAAGGCAACTGTCTTTTCTGCCTTGTATTAACTGAAATTATGTCTCAATCAGAGGTGTGTACAAGATCCGGAACGCGGCCGCGAAGCGGTCAAAACTTTGCCACTTTTCGAAGTTTTTGGTCTTCAAATACTCGCAAAGTTTAGAAAAAGAGAAGGAATCTAATATGCGTAATTCATCACTATTATTTTAGAGTCAGTTTCATAATAAGAGAGAAATTTTCGTAATTTTTCGACCAAAATCCCGAAATGCCTGGCTCACGCACAGCTTTAGCCTCGATAACGAAAAAATTCAAGCAAAAACTGAGTTCTTTTATTATTTCAATCCAACTATTTGTTAAGACAGCCAAAAAATAGAATCACATGATTATTAGTGTGCATAACAGCTTCCGAAATAAAAATTACAACTAGGTTGAATTTTACCAATGTTCATCGTTAAAAATCAAAAATGTTCAAGTGGTCGTTGAACAAAAACCCGCTTCTCCAACTTCCCTTTCTTTCTGATTTTCACACACTTCTTTTACCTGCTGTTGCTGGATCGGTACAAAAGGCTTGGCGTCGGCGTTGAAAGAGAAATGCTCATGCGGCAGATTTCCAGGAGATTGTGATACTTGAAAACATAATTTTCATTGATGAGTATATCAAAAAAATCTTATTTATTTCCTTGAGAAAAGATTTTTCTTCAACGTTCTTTAGAACAGTAAAAGAAGCATTTCTCATGCTTCTTGTCTCAATATTTACAGAAAAAAACAAATATTTATCGTTTTTTTAAAAATTACTTTTTAGCACATGTTCACCTCCCTAAAAAAAGGAAACCTAATGAAATTTAAAGATAATGAAGAGAATCTGTTTTTTCAACCTAAAAAGATAAGTTTCAATAAAATCATAAAAAGAGAAGGACAATTTTTCGAAGGCATTCCGAATTTTCGAGCAACCCCTACCAGGCTGAACGTTAGAGAAGTACTGCTGGTGTTGAGCGCGGTACTGAGGATGAGCTTGAGAGTGAGGCTGAGAATGAGGCTGGCCGTAACTCTGCTGAGGCTGCTGCTGATGTTGATAGCCGCCGTAGTTGTTCTGCGGAGCCTGACGCTGTTGATTTTGGTGCTGATGAGCCGGACTCCAGTGGTATTGGTCGTTCCCCCCGCCTCGATGCGGACGAGAGTAGTTGGAAAAGTCTTGGTAGCCTGAAACTTCTTCACAATCGAATCAAAAAATCAAAATTTGTTCGAAAAATTTCTTGCTGTAGAAGCACAGGAAAAATTCTTGAAGGTCTCGAGGCAAAAAGCCGTTTCCAAGGTTTGTTCCAACAAATTTTGCGTCAATAAAAAGCCATTGTCAAGGATTTTTAAAACAGTACCACTGTTGTAAGATTCGTAGGAGTCTTGATAGTTGTGCGCCATGGTCAGCTCTTCACTGTGCGACTTTTGCACTTCGAGCTACCTGCTTCTATGAAAAACGAGCCTGGAAGTCAGCGCCTTTGCTTTCAACTTCACACAAACATGAATTGATACACTTCAATGGAAAAAAAAGACGAATATATATGAATGATGACAAAACATTGCTGTTGAAACCGAAAGAAAAAACAATTTTTTTAACTTATCAAACTACTTTGTGAATATTAAACGCAAAAAAATTCAATTCTTTTGAAAAATCGCTAAATGGTCCATGAAACGCAATAACATTGAAATATAAGTTTAAAACAAAATAAGGTTGTTTATACTTTTAAAACCAATTGTCGCTAAAATCTCCAATCAAATGATAAAAAAAATTCAGTAGATCTTCAAACAGAGTCAAATGAGAAGGTTCGAAAGACGAGAAGACCTTATTGAAGATGTTTACTTGAAGAAACTTTTGAAAAAAAAAATCGAATTTCACGTGCGGATTCTCAGTGTTAGCGCGCGCGTGTGTGCACAACTTCAGCATTTTGAAAGTCTCAAAAAATTAAAGGAAAGAGCATTCATTCGATAAAATTTAAAAAAGAAATGAAAAAAAAATTAGATGACACCGAAAAGACGTAATGATGTAAAGCGCGGGATGTGGTCTACAAATGAAAGGACGATTTATTTTTGATCTATTTTGTCAAAAACTTCCAACGTAGGCTGGACTTTTGAAAGAAATGAAAAACCGAAATTTCGGAGAAGAAAAAATCAGATAATCAAAATTTCCGAAGAAAAATATTCCTTTCAAAGCAGGTCTTCTCGCTCGTTATCTCATGCTGTCTCCATTTCAGTTGGCATCGTGGCCAAAAACATAAATTGTGTCCACAAAAGCGATAAAAATGAGCCCCGAGGCGACAGGAGTGATGAAAAAGGAAAAGACAGATTGATAAAGAAGAATCAGTCGTTTGCTGAGGACCTTTCTGCAGCACTTTCCTTCTTAATTGTATCTTTTTTGATTATTAATTATTTCTCGACTCACTAGATTTCAAAGTTAAAAAATAATTTAATTAAGGGTACAAGGCCAAACCAATAAAATAGGAAATGGGGTCGATATACCGGTCGGAGCACATGTCGCTGTGCCAGATCTTCTTGCAGACAGACTCGGCATATCAATGCGTCGCCGAACTCGGCGAGCTCGGCCTTGCCCAATTCTTGGACGTTCGTTTCAAATGGAAATTCTCATTATCCCCTCTCGTGAAATGAAGAAAAAGAATGGAAAATTCAGCTGAACGAAGAGATGAACTCATATCAAAGGAAGTTTGTCAATGAAGTGCGCCGGTGCGATGAAATGGACCGCAAACTTCGTGAGTTGTTCGAAAAATTTTTAGGCTCAAAAAATGCAATAAGACCCGCTTTTTTTTCTTTGGAGTTAATTAATTAATTAAATATCTGAAGGAATGCAATCAAAAAATGGGTTTTTGGTGTGGACACTGAAGTGTGTCCGTTATTTTCTTTTTTTCGACGGTTTCTGAGTATTTTTTTCCTTTTTAAATAAATTCATTTCTTAGTTTTTAACTTAGATTATTTTCTTAAGTTTTTATATATAAATATTTCTTCTATTTAACTTTTTTTCTTGCGTTTTTTCGAAATTTTCGAGCTCGAAGATTCAAACGTAGACTCGATTGTCTGTGAATATATTTAACTTTTTCAAATAAAAAGTTTATTTAATTTTTTTAAACTCTCGATTTTTTTCAGGTTACATCGAGGATGAGATCACTAAGGATCTCATTCATATTCCAGATTATGATGAGCACATTCCAGCGCCTCAACCAAAACACATGGGTGAAATGGAGGTTGCCCTAATTTATAATTATATTTTAGAATTTAATGCAATAAACTTCAGGCCAACTTCGAGAAACTCGAAGAGGAGCTTCTGCAGATAAATGCCAATTCGGCGACACTCAAGAAGAACCACATTCAATTATTGGAGATGAAGAATGTTCTGGAGAAGGTCAATACCCTTCTCGACTCGGTTGGTTTTGACGATATCAAAAGAAGCGAAACTTATACCTCTTCTCTCCATTTTTTCTCGTTTTCTTTCCTAGGAAAGTCAGAGAAAACTGACTTCATAATTTTTTAAATCCTTGGAAAATCATTCCAATAAATCAAAAAACCTTTCAGAGGCGAAAAATGAAAGAGCAGTGATTGGTTTTTCGTCTTCTTATGAATTCTTATCAGTTTTTAGGCCAGACGTCAGTGTTTTATCAGTATAAGGAAGCAGGGGGCTTGAGAGCATGGTTTATTGGAACGAAAGTGCAGGAAAAGGCGTATAAAGATCGATAAGGGAAGATTGAAAAACAATATCGAATTTAATCTTTTCAAAATAACTTTCTGACGAGCTCATGAAAAGATTCCCAGCATATACACATTGTATGAAAGATGAAAAATTATTTTGGATTCGAGGTAAAAAGAAAAGACTTTCACCCGCCGTTTTCAATGATACATTTTAGTGGATTAAACTCTAACAATACCGCTCCTTTCAAACTCGCAAGCCTAATATGTCTTTCCTTGTCAGAATCACAAGCGCGAGGCGGCAATGTCGATCTCCGAAGCGGCGCGAGGCGAGGCCGGTCCCTTCACCCTCGGAGTTCGCAACGACTTCGACAAGGAACGTCGTGATGACACCGAACTCAAGTATTCCGCATTTCACTGCAACTTCTCATCTTCTCTAGGTTTGTCACCGGTGTGATCAACCGCAACAAGGTGATCGCCTTCGAACGATTCCTCTGGCGAATGTGCCGTGGAAAGGTCTTCGTCCGCACCGCCGACATCCTCGAGAACACCGACGTCTTCTCGGTGACGTCTTCTCATCTTCACATAGTAATAACCCTACTTTTTCAGCATAAAATCGAATCCAAGGCCGTCTTCATCCTGTTCTTCTCGGGAGAGCAGCTGCGAACTCGCGTCAAGAAGATCTGTTCCGGGTAGGACGTCAAGCCGTCTGATATCCCAATACGACATGCTTGAGCTTCCACGCGACCGTGTACAACACTCCAGAGAATGCCATGGAGCGCGGGAAGCTTCACCAGCAGATCGAGGCCCAAGTTGGCGACATGCAAAGCGTCATCCAGCAGACCCTCGACTACCGAGCCAAGATCCTCGGCGCCGCCTCGCAAAACCTCCGCAAGTGGGGCATCATGGTGAGATTTCAGCGGCTTTATTTCTTAATGGTTAACTGTCCCGAGTTGTAGAGACTTTGAAAGAGAGTAATGGAGTTCAAAAATTAGAAATTTCTTGGAATTAACTCAAAAATCTTCAATGCATGGCAAAACGAGCTCTCGAAAAAATTCTTATGAACTTTTTTTCCAGCTCCTCAAGCTCAAGTCGATCTTCCACACTTTGAATATGTTCTCCGTGGACGTCACCCAGAAGTGTCTGATCGCCGAATGTTGGGTGCCGAACGTCGACATCGGCCTGGTCCGCGAAGCTCTCCAGCAGGGAACGGTACTGACTTCTGGAAGCTGCTTTCAGCAATTCCTGTTTCAGGTCCACTCTGGATCCAGCGTTCCGGCGATTCTCAACGAGATGGAGACGCACAAATACCCTCCAACCTATTTCAAGCTGAACAAGTTCACCCAGGGATTCCAGAACATTGTCGACGCCTACGGCATCGCCAACTATAGAGAAGTCAACCCGGCCCCCTGGACCATCATCTCCTTTCCTTTCCTCTTCGCCGTCATGTTCGGCGATGCCGGCCACGGAATCATCATGCTTCTGGCCGCCTTGGCTCTGGTCGTATTCGAGAAGAAACTCATCGCTGCCAAGATCAAGGACGAAGTCACCACACTGTCGAATAAACTTGAAATACTTCAGTTCTAGATCTTCAACACGTTCTTCGGCGGTCGCTACGTCATCCTGTTGATGGGAATTTTCGCGATCTACACGGGTTTCATCTACAACGACTTCTACTCCAAATCGATCAACCTTTTCGGCTCCAGCTGGAAGAATCCTTACAAGTTTGAGATGGTTGATTTTCTGCAAAAATAATGCGATTATTTCCGCGTCGATATATAACTTGCCTGATGTTTTTCTTCATTTGCCTCAAAACTCAATATTAGGTATAGGAAGAAATATTCAATAGAAGAAACGTGCGTCAAGCTTTTTTTTTTTCGAAGTTACTTTCGCAAGTTTGGAACTTTTACCATTAAAAAAATAATAAGAAACTCTGAAAGAGGGTGAAGTATCAGATCAATTTGGCAGTTTATCTGTTTCTGGCTTAAATAATATAAAAAAACTTAACAGATTTCACAGGAAAAAAATTTCAGACACGACCTCCTGGAAAAAAATGGACTACCAGGGGTACCTTATCGGTAACGAGCTCGATCTCACCTTTCCGCCAGAAATTGCCTTCGACCATAGCTATGTACGTTTCTTGCAGAAAAAGAAAAGCTCCCGATAACAAAATTTATCTACAGCTCCCAGAAAAGATTCGAAAACGCTTTTTTTTATCACAACTTTGTCTTATGGAGTTTAACCTTTCTGAAAGAACCTGGAGTTATGATGATTTTTACTTGTAAAACTCTGGTGAAACTCCCGTTCCTTTAAAAAAGGCAGCTTTTTTTTAAAAATAATAATAATAATTTATGTGTGAACCCCAACGAGTTCACTTCGATCTACAATTTAAATAAGGAAAAAAAAGTTGAAGTAAAAAACAAAAAATTGAGATCAGTTAAGTCTTGGTGGAATAGAGGTAAAAAATTCGTTGCGAGGTAAAACGACCAATAATTTTTTCAAAGAATTAGGTGGAAGGGTGAACTTCATAGTTTTCCAAAAAAAAAATTGAGCTCCCTACGAGGAAGTTGTGAACGAAATTTCATTTCTTATGCTTTTTGACAGTACTAGTTTCAAGGGACCCTATCCTTTCGGCTTGGACCCGGTCTGGAACATCGCCAAAAACCGACTCAACTTCCTCAACCCGATGAAAATGAAGACGTCGATCATCCTCGGAATCTCCCAGATGGCGTTCGGTATCATGCTCTCGCTCATGAACTACACGTTCGTCTCTGATTTCATCCACTGCTTCAGAAAAGATGTTCAGACACAACCGATCTTTGGTCGACATTTTCTTCGTCTTCATCCCCCAATGCCTCTTCCTTGGCTGCATCTTCGTATACCTTTGCATCCAGGTGAAAAGGAATCACCTGAAAAGTCAACATTTTTTTTGATTCCAGGTAATCATGAAGTGGATCTTCTTCTACGTCAACCCGGCCTTCGTCTTCGGTCATCTGTATCCTGGTGCCAACTGCGCTCCGTCGTTGCTTATCGGACTTATCAATATGTTCATGATGAAGAGCCGCGATGTGAGTTCAATCATAACATTATGTGTATGAAAAAAACGTTTTTTTGCCGAAAATATCCTACAAAAATCACAAGTTGGTTTTAAGGTAAATTCGTCTAAAAAAAGTAAATGATCACTTTGAAAAAAGAGAAGACAATTTAATGCATGAACTTTACAAAAAAGAATCCGAGATCGAAGAATAACCTGCTTTCGCCAATTTCAAGTAAAAATCAAACAGCAATCACACTCACGTTTTTTGAGCCATTTAGCAAGCCCTTAAGTGGCTTTAGCGTTTTTTCCATATATTCTTAGCGATACATATTCGTCCGGTACGCGTTACGAGTGTATGATACTTCTCGGACCTTGATAACGGAACCGGACGCTCCCCGGACGTGTCTCAGCAAATCTGGGGGTTGCTTAAGTAAAAACGTCCGGTTTGAGAAGATCCGAGATTCAACAGAAAGGGAAAACTTTCATCGTTGGAGCGCAATCGCCTCGCCGTAAAAGTTTTTACGGCTATATTTCCACAAATTCAGCCGCAATTCATCATCAACTACGGCACGGGTAGCAAGAACGTGACGATCGACGGAAAGGTCTACCTCTACGATGACACGGACCAGTGCTACCTCCAGCAATGGTACCCCCAACAGGTAGAAGATTGAGAAAAAATAACTGAGAAAAAGAAACTTTCAAGGGTCTCGTCGAGAAAATTCTCCTCCTCGTTGCGGTTATTTCCATCCCAGTCATGCTTTTCGTCAAGCCGTTCTACATCCGCTGGCGTCACTCCCGCGGGCTTCCTATTGACATGGGCCACGGACATGGCGATGATAATGCCGAGGTTTGAAAGTCCATCTCAAAATATGTGGAGAAAAACCATTCAGTTCTCCTTTGGTGACGTCATGGTCTACCAAGCGATTCACACTATTGAGTTTGCCCTTGGTTGCATCTCCCACACCGCGTCTTATCTCCGACTTTGGGCTCTCTCTCTGGCTCACGCTCGTTAGTCTTTTCGATCAAGATTCGAGCCCTAAGTTATCGAAAGACATTGTTTATTGGGGGTTAAGTGAGCTTTTATCTAATTTCGGTTAACTGAAGTTTTCTAGGCTTGGAATTTTTTATGTGATGGTTTTTTGGGAACATATTTTTCATAGAAAAGTTCAGGATCAATAAGACGAATTCAAGATTCAATTTAAACTTCAGCCTCAAAAGATAGATTGATGAAATTTTAAACTAATATTTTTAAAATTTTTCAGAGTCAAAACCTTTCGGAATGAACTTTTTTTAGACTAATAGAGCTTTCAGTTTTCAAAAATCAAGTCAAAGAGTATTAAGAGAGGTCGGTTTGATAACGATTCAGTCAAAGATACACTTCAAAAATCTGCCTGAACCTTCAATAATAATGTTTTCAAGCATAATTAGAGCCAGTTAGTAAGGGAGCCGATCTAATGACCTTCTGGACCAAAGTCAAACACCCAAACCACTAGACGATACTTTGCAGAGCTGTCCGACGTTCTCTGGTCGATGGTGCTGAGCTTGGCTCTGAAGATGAACGGCTGGGCGGGCGCCGCCGCAATCTCCATCATCTTCTACTGTTTCTTCTCGGTCCTGTCCGTCTTCATCCTCATCCTCATGGAGGGCCTCTCCGCCTTCCTCCACGCCCTCCGTCTTCACTGGTCTCCCTTCTATCTTCAGTTTCAATGATCAACTACACGTTTCAGGGTGGAGTTCATGTCAAAGTTCTACGGCGGCACTGGCATCCAGTTCGAGCCGTTCAGCTTCACCAAGATCATCCGCGTCTACGAAGGCCTGGATCAGTAGAGAAGAAATTTCGATTATAATGTTTAATGATTGTCGGTTAGGTTGTAATAAATATTAAGATTGTTTCTGTGTGGTTTCTCTCGTTTTTTCGTGAGAGAACTGTCGATTCAGTACTTGAAGAAAGCTTGAAAAAACCTCTCACAGCATGCATATAAGCCTCAGTTTTGACAGCGTTTTCTTTCTCATGAAATCATTAGGGACACGAAACTACAACACTTACACAAACGAAAATAGTTCCTGAAAGTTTTTGAAAAATTTTCGTTTCAAAAATTTGACAGGTCTGTCTCCCTTTTTGAAAAAATTTAAACATCTCATTTTTTTTTACAGTTTCCAGAGTATTTTCTGATCTTAAGTTCCCCCATAATACATATAGATTATATGATATAATTATCAAAAATATGAACTAGACTCGGAAATCCGAAAAAAGAACGGAATCAGATCATTTTTAAGACCTCTTAGTCACAGTCTCAAATCAAAAAAAAAAATCAAAATGTTCTATTTTTCACACACACAAGTACTAAATTTCACGAAATAGTTGTCTCAAATCAAAAAACCTTATTTTTGTCTTTTTCGATGTTCGTATATATAGTAGTTACTTGTTCAGAATTTTTCACTGAATTCGAAAATTCATCTTTCTTCGAGAAATTCGCGAAACGAACAAAGTTATACCACTTTTAAGACCGGTATATGTACAGCTTGCCTCACGTAAATTGACAAGAGATTTATCATTAGGGCGCTCTTTTTCACACCTCTCTGATTCATTTTTTTTTTTCTTCCATTTTTTCGGAAATCGGTAACGCGAAACGGACGTGTTGACGTTTATGAACAGTTCTAGAGATCATTCAAGAATGCTGACGTCAGCACGCTACTAAAAGGATTACTTGAAATACCCCGACTCGTCCGATTCGATTTTTTTTTCGCGTTATACGAATGTAGATTTTTTTTTCTTCTTTTTGGGAGTTTTTCATGCCCATTTCGAAATGATTTCATAAAATTCAAATTAGCGGTCAGACAGTGAAAAAGAACTTATTTTGGAGAGTCAAAGGAAAAAATAAAATTGAATTTCGTGGTATAGCCCGTTCACGGCTGTGGCGTGTCCATCGGACAAAACGAAAATTTCTTCGAAACGCAAAAAATTGCTCCAAAACAAAAATTAGTACTGTTTTGGAGCAACTTTGGCGCACCGATGAACACGATTTTTCGTTTTATAGTCTGTTCAGATTTCAAATGTCAAGCCCTCCCTCAAGCTCCGCCCCCTAATGGCGAAATAAACCAATCAGAGAGCGAGCCACCCACAGAGCGTTTTCGAATGACGTCATTCTACTTGACATTCAAAATCTGAACAGACTATAAAGCATGTTCCGTTTCTCCGATAAACACGCCACTGGCTTGGGACAGCGAACGGGCGGTTTAACTTGCGCGGCGATGGTAGGCGGCCATACATGCGCCTTTAAAAATATCCTCATTTGATGAATAATTTTGTTTCAATTGAATTTACTTTCTCGTTTACATTAATCTCATTTTTTTCAGGTTTTCTTTCATTAAACGAAATACAAAATAAAAGAAATAAGTCATTAAATGAGCCTTTTGTGGAAGGCGCATTGATATTCGCCATGATCTACTTCGGTCGCGGAAATTAAACCGCCCGTTCGCTGTCCCAAGCCGTGAACGGGATTAAATCGATTTAATTACTTTAAACATGGCGTTACTTTCTTTTGTCTTTTAATTCCATTTAAATTCTCATTGATTTCTGGATGCTATGTTCACTGAACAATTTTTTCACTTCAAATACTTTTCTTTAAACGCACTCTGCCAGAATGGCGCACGGTGCGGTCTAGCCTTGAGCACTTCGGTGCGTAACTTGAGCCTGCACCGTGCAATATCGGTGATTTTTTGTTGCCGTACTGGGGCAGCACACAAAAAGCACTGTTTTGACACCTATACACCCGTGTGGCACCAAAAAATCACCGATGTTGCACGGTGCAGGCCCAAGTTGCGCACCGAAGTGCTCAAGGCTAGACCGCACCGTGCGCCATTCTGGCAGAGCAGAGTCCATTCGCCCTAAATGTTTGAAATGTGGTTATTTCGAGAATATGATGTAAAAAAAAACTTGTCCGGACGTGTTGGAGCGTCTCTGGAATTTCTCAGAAACGTCAGGAGCGCGTTCAGTTTTCGTTACCGAGATCCGAGACAGGGCTGTGCGAGGGCCGGCTCGTCAGCCTAACGGCAACAGTCATTTTCAGAGCCCGGGCCATGCGAAGCCTCAGGCAAAACAGGTTCAAAAAGGTCAAGATTCTTTCAAGTCAAACATCAGCTTTTTTTTTAACGACAAAAATCATGTTTCTGGTTGTTTTTTATACTTAAAGTTCAACAGAAACTACGAATTCGAAAATAAGCGTTTTTCGGTGAGAAATTTGAGCTTGGATATATATTTTTTTCAAAATGAAGTTTCAAATTTTTTGAGCATGGCCTGGTCCAAGCCCGCGCAGGCTTCTTCGCAAAAAAAAAGTCCAGCCAGACGCACAAGCCCGCACCTTGGCACCCCAAACCATACGCGCCCCGGAAGTTTCTGAGCATTTCTAACAACTCCTTCAGTGGTTTCATCGCACTTGAATTTTTACTAGAAGTTCTAAGAAACGTCCGGGACGAGTCCGATTTGCGTCACCGAGGTCCGAGCAATTGAAGCCCAAAGCAAACAAGCTTGGGCAAACAAGACCAAGCAATTCGAAAAAATTTTCATTCTCTTTTCACCAAAGTTTATCAAAATTTATGGAATGCGACGAAGGCCGATAGGTTGAAAATCTAGGCCTCGCACAAGCCTGGCTAGCCCACTGTTATTTCTCTTTTCCTTTGCAATTCAACACAGAAGAAAAAACCCTCAGCTGCTTTTAAGAGCGTTGGGCTGGTACCTGATGTTGTTCAGCCGTCCTCGCAGTTGATCAAACGTCCATGGATCCATAATGGATCTAGTCGCTACTTTGATTGAGGAAGCCAGATTTTTCATCATCTTCATCAACTGAATTTTCAAAGATAGAAAACTTCCAAATACGGAAAATAGGATATAAATATATATTGGATCAAAAAGAGCTGCTCGTAAAGGTAAATTATTTTCTCCGCAGCCAGAGTATCTGCGGCCTTGAATCATAATCGATTATTTCACTAAAAATAACTGCCGAGATAAACGCGAGGTCGGTGGCGGTACATTGACAAACTCGCAAAAATGTCGCCTTTTTCTAGGCGCGAGCACGCATTTTTCTCGGGGCGACCTCGCATTTATCTTGCATTTCGGAAATTTCAAATTGCGAGAGAAATGCGAGCTCGCGCCTAGAAAAGTGCGAGCTTGCGACCAGAAAAATGCGAGACTGGCGCGAGAAAAAAAGCGAGATGTTTGCGAGCTCGTCAATGTACCGCCAGCGTCTCGCGTTTATCTCGGCAGTTATTCTAAGTGAATTATCGCGATCGCGATATAAATTTGTACTCACAACTAAGAAAAAACCGCATATTCTAGCATCTTCGCGAGATCTCTCGAGAGTTTCTAATAACAAAATTGTTTTCAATGTTTATAAATCGGCTCAAGGTTTTTTCTGGCTTTGATTCGGCGTTAATCAGGTCAACACTAAGAATAACTGCCGAGATAAACGCGAGACGCTGGCGGTACATTGACGAGCTCGCAAACATCTCGTTTTTTTTCTCGCGCCGGTCTCGCATTTTTCTGGTCGCAAGCTCCCACTTTTCCAATTTTTAATCGATACTCCATTCGTTCTCTCTGAAGGAAAATAATTATAAAAAGTTTTTTAGATATCAAACTGCACTGCTGGAGTTTGTCGTGGGATCTGCATGGACCGGTCAGAACAAGTTCGTTGAAAGCTTCCTGCAATAATTTCAACATTGAAAAAAGCAAGACCATTGCATTTATCGAACCGCAATGTTTTGACTAATTAGTTATGTAAAGTCGTAATTTAGTTAGGAAAGCTTTATGCAGTCAGAAGAACTAACTAGGCGGTGCGCTAGAGCTCCGCTCGGCCTTGTCAGAACTAAGATTCCTAGACGCCGAAGGCCGTGACGGCATTTTCCGCGGGGGTCCCATCATCGCTTTGTCAGCATCGCGCTGCCAACAGTTTATGCTTCAGCCACTGGAATGGGCTTCAGCGTGACTTTGCGTATCCAATTTGCAAGCAAAGAGGATCGGCACTCCGGGAGTCCCGCGGGCCTATTCTACTAGCGCTTACAACTAATAGAACTATTTTGGAAATTAAAAGATTTATGGAAGTTTAAAACTCATCTTGACGTTGAATGTAGAACCGCGACGACTGTGGGGAAGCAAGAATGACATTTGAACCCAGACCACACAAAAAGAAATGACACGTTGCCACGTGGCTTTTTGTACGTCTTATTTTTTTCAATACCAAGAAAATGACGCCTTGCAACGGGGTTCACGTTTTTTTTTGCAGAGAATTAAATTTATTTATTTTTTTGATTGAAACTCTGGTTCATATGACGCAAAAGGTAGAGATATGGGAGACACTAGACTTTAAAAAGTGTTATAAAATTTTCAACTTTGGGCTCTTTAGTTATTTTTTCCGCGGTTTCGTATCTTTTTTGTCCATTTGTGGAATAATTCGCGTAACTTCGTGTCAAATTGAATTTGCTAATGCAGTTTGAATATTTTTATATTATGAATAATCTGAACTATATTATTTTTTTCTAGTTTTTTTCATGGGTTTTTTTGAACTTAATAAAAAAATTCCACCATACAAGGTTTTTTTATAATTTCTGCTTCCTATCTTTCAATTGTTTTATATTTATGAATGTTAAATCGTGTATATTCAATGGGAAGTAACATAGGCAAAGTCGGAAGGGGTCCGTAAAGGTCCATAGAAATTTTTCTTTTAGGGTGTTGAAGGCTCCTTTTTTGCTGTGTTTGCGCCATTTTCTCAGCCCATATGCACCATTTTTGCTGCCTCTCCCTTTCTCCACCATTTTTCGAGCCTTTAAAGTCCCAGAAAAATGGAAGGCTTGATAAAGGGACTCTCTTTGCTGCCTTTCTGCTGTCTTTTTTGAGCCTCTCCCTTTTAGCTGCCATTATCCACCATTCCAACTTTTGCCCGAGAATTTACCTATAGGAAATTTTTTGTTTTTATTTTGTAAAAAGTAATTTAGAGTTTTTTTTTTTTTGGAAATTTTCTATTTGTTAACAAACTTAAGGACCTCACAAACTCTCATGAAACGTCACCAAAGCACTTTATGTACAAAAAAGGTTCTCATGAGTCACAAACAAAAGAGAGAGCACCACCTATGCGGAGACACCGACGAGCAGACAGTCGGCCGACCAGCTTCATTGCCACTTTCTCGTTGGTTTTCCCCGTATTTCTCTGATCATTATCTCTTTGTTTTCTCTATTTTTGGCATGCTTACGTTTCTTATAACTACATTCCATTCATTGCAAAACTTTCTTTTTTCGACTCACAAACTCGAAAATTTTCTTTGAGATTTAAAGATTTTAATATGACCCAAAAAACGTCATTTACCTTGAGATCTTTTTTAAAATTTTTCCATGTTCCTCTGAGCAGCCTCGCGTGCATTTCTTGATAAATTTTCATTTTATTCATCAAGGAATATTTTTTTATTTTTTTAGTAACGAGATCGGAACATGGCAGCTGCGTGGCACTTCACTGGGCCGCCGGGGAGGTAGATTCAGAATTGAAAAGTAAAATGAAACGAATTCGCTTGATTTCATGGTTTTTTTTTTGAGTTTTTGAGACAAGATTTCCTTAAATTTCTTAAATGAGGTTTTTCTTATGACATTAAACTATTTTTATTCTGAATTTTTTTAACTTTTTTCTTTGAGAAAAAAAAAATGATAGGCGTTTTGAAATCTTCTCTGATCGCTCGTGGAATGGGACAGAGCATATAGCCCATTCACGATTTCAGTTTTTCTCCGAGCTACAGAACCCTTACGGGAAGCATCTCTTCGATGCGCGTGACATGTCCCTCTGCATGCGTCTTTAATATAACGGATATTTTAAGCCAAATGAAAGGTGCATGAAAAGAGGCAGGCCGTGCGGACTGGGCTATAACTGTGTCTGACTCAAAGAAACTTGCGCGTTGTCACATTAAGGAGATTGCGACAGAAATGTATAACCTACTCTGAGTAGACGTAAAGATCTTTCTCGAACTTCAACGCGACCGCGACGCCTTGAAACATTCCGCATGCGACCATCAATCAAAAAAAATTTCAAATAAGAAGATTGATATAGAATTTGAAAAACTCTGGGAGTTTTTTGCATCAACTCAAGTGGCCTAGCAGATCCAAGCCTATTCCTCAATAATAACTATCCAAAAGCAAAACTTCCTAAAGAATTATAAAGCTCAAGCATTTCTAGCGACGTAGATGAGCTGGGATTCACAAGGCCTTGGAAAGCGTCGAGTTCGAAGGAAAGCGACGAAGCGGATAGAGCCAGGAAAGCCTACGAACAGTTCTGGAACGACTACCTGCCGACGATCGTCCGACGGCGGAAACGATGGGAAAAAGCCCAACCCAGGACGAATCATGAACTTCGTAAGAATCATTTTCGAATCTGTCGAAAGAATGGAAGTTTTCTGGATAGTCGGTTCACTTGAAAAATTATAACTTGTCCACAGCATGAAATCATTAGAGCCGTAATTTCCATGCCCGAATCTCTGTGACCTGTACGCTGTGATTTCTTTGAGAACTATCAGTGAGTCTAAACTGGGAAAAGCTGTAGTTGGCCCTGAAGGGAGGTATAACGCATCTCCTATTGCTTTCTTTATAGCCCACTTTAGCTAATCACAGATGCTCCCTAGCTTCTGCCCCCTCCGCAAACTTGTAAAAGGTCGGGCGCAGTGGGCCGAAAAAGGTTCACTTGGAATATTTTTGAGTCGAGTTGTAGTGAGTCTAACTCTCAACACTATTTTTTTTAATGATTTTTGATATTTGAATAGCTTTTGAAGAATTCTATTTTCAGTTCAACGATTTATTCGAAAAGGAATTCCTGCGCCTTATCGAAAAGACGTTAGTTCTACCGAGTTTGGATTCTCAGGCTTTGAAAACTTCCAGATTTGGCTTCGTAATTGTCCTTCTCGGTCAAGAACCAATAAGGCTGAAGTTCCGCAGAAAGTCATCGAATCAATAAAATTGGATCTTCCGCGCACATTTCCAGACAATACATTCCTAAAATCTGAGAAGTTCGAATTTCTCCCATTATATTTCTGACATGGCTCGAAAACGTAGGTTTTCTCTCCGACCAGGGCAGCAGACAGAACTAGATTTAGTTTTGTCTTTTTTTTAGTTTTAAAGCATTTTCTGAATCAGCGCATCCTTATAACATACATACGTACCAAACATAAATTTCACTCGTAAATCCAAAAAACCAGCGGAATCCGATCATTTTTCTCACCACTACTTGGAGTGGTCCAAAGGCTTTTTCGAAAAATCAGAAAACCTTATCGAACCAAGATCGACCCTGGGTCGACTGTTTCAAGTCATGGCGAATGAAAAAATGATGTTTGAAATTTCTGAGTTCAGATCAAGGAATGCGCTGGGTCGAGCTCTTTTTGCGGTCGCTGAGAATATTCCATCCGTTGGATATTGTCAGGTAAGGGAGTAGAAGGATGTACTCTATTCGTCACAATCTGTACTGTCTGACTTGTCTGCGCTCTCTTCACTTTTTTTTTTGCGAAAATTGAACTTTCGAACATCCTAATCTCTGTGCGCTCTTTCCTGGTTACGTGCATTTTCATATTTTTATTGGCTCAACAGTGAGTGTAAAGAGACACAGACATGGTTGCCATGAATGGAGTACATTTAAGTTTTGGAAAAAAAAAACGGAACTTGAAGGGCCTGAATTTCGTCGCGGGAATCATTCTACTTGTTGTAAATGATGAATCAAGAGCCATCGATTTGCTGGTTCATTTGGTCTCGCAAAGAATGGACTATTACGGAGATGATATGTCGGGCCTACGGAGGGACATGTACGTCCTTCACGTCCTTATGAGGTAGTTTTTGCTTGAAAAGGGGTTGAACATTCTAATTTCGCCCGCGACTGAAACAGACTGACCAGAATTTAAAAAAAAATCCAAATAAAACGTCAAATTTTTTACCTCACATCTTTATGAGCTGGTTTTTGATGCCGCGTAAGGCTTTTCTGAAGCTTCAAAATTAGGGCGTTTCGGAAGAATTCTCAAAAAAAAGCGTTCATTTGAAACTTGAAATCTTTTCAGAACTCACTGTCCAAGGGTGATCACAACCCTTGAGCGACTTGATGTTGGTCTAGAAATGCTGATTGGAAAGTGGTTCGTCTGCTGGTACGTCGAGAGTCTCCCCATGGAGGTTAGTAAGAGAAAAATGGGAATATTGAAGAGAAAAAATCATGAAAAAGAGACCATTTTGATATCAATAACCTTATTCCATCTTGTGTAAAAAAGTGATGAACATTCTATTTTTTGTTAACTCAAAAAGTTTTTCTGACGTTATTAAGAGGCACTTTCGGCCTTAGCTAACGAAAAAAAAGCCTCCATATAGTTTCTCCCAGTAGCTCAGACAAAATGGTCAATTTTTCCAGACGGTCCTCCGAATCTGGGACTGTTTCATCTACGAAGGTGATGTCTGGCTGTTCACGGTTGCTATCGCCCTTTTCCAAGCTCACGCAAAGAAAATCGCCGCCTGCACCTCCCTCGACCAGGTTCTTCTCGCCGTTCAGAACATTGGCCAGAGTAGAGCCGCTCTCTATTGCCATGAACTTATCCAGGTTTTCTTACAAGTAAATTCAAAATCGATAATTTTATTAAGCAATGCTCATCAATACCGGTAACGCAACGGGAAATCGACACGATTCGTTCGCATTGGCGGGGCTAGAAGGGCGTAAAGAGCCGCGGCGGCCGGTCCCAGGACTCCTTGAGCATGTCGAAGTATTGCTGGGAGTGACGCGACTTGTCGATGTTGAGGTTGTCGCCGAACGTCGACTCGATCTGCACCAGAGGTCCCACCGTCGTGAAGTCCGACGGGAGTCTCAGCTGCAAATAAATGGTTTTTCATTCCACAAAACAACGAAATTGTTTGAAAACAGAGAAGAAACGAAGACTTCTGAAAGAATGCAATTCGAAGATTTGCAAAAACAACAATTTCAGACGACAGCGACAGTTTTTCAGACCAGATCTAGAGTCAGAGTGAAAAACTGCATCTAGTGTACCTAGTCTCGAGAAATCGATCAGGAAGCTTCCTCGTAAAAGTACGAAACTCTTTTTTCAGATCCAACTTTTCCTGAAGTTTGAGAATTTCTACTTGTCTATGAAATCATTAGGGATACGAAAAAAACAAGTTTTTTTCAATCGAAATTAAAAAGAATAAACAACTTTGAAATTTTTTTCGATTTGACTTTTTTTGGACTGGTCTGGTCCCTTTTTTGCGAAATAATTCAAAAAAACCTTATTATTATTATTATTATTTTTTTGAAAGTATTTCAAAAAAATTTTTTTGATTTACATATCTTATATATTTAAATATCAAAAGTATAGCTTAGACTCGGAAATCAGAAACACTAAAGGAAATATAATCCAATCTAATATTTTTAGTTATTTATTTGAAAATTGACATCTCATTAGAAAGAAGTCTTTGGTCGACTTCTGAATGAGACGAGGTTCACTAGGCGTATTTTTTTCCAGAAAGAACTTTACAACCAAGTTCCATCAAAAAATCAACTTGAAGTACAAAAAAAACTTCCTGTATTGAAAAAAAGATTTGGAGAAAAAACCTCGATATTTCAATGAAAGCAGCCTCACAAAAAGAACTCAAAGAAGGCAAAAATGAAAAGAATATTTTTAAAAAAAGACCTTGGCTAATCCTCGGAAAAGCTTCTGTTTCCATAAATGGCTGTTTATCAGAGCCACTGTCGGCACTGCATACACGTAACTGAAAAATTATTTGAGCTCATTTTTCCAATAAAATGCGAACATTTGAGCAACGCCGTCGAAAGCCGCGGCCGCCAGGTTTCTTTGCCTCGGAGAAGTCGCAACAACGCCGTAGGCCAAAGCAGAGACGGCACTAACATTCACCACAATGATACATTTGAAAACTTGCGAGAATGTCTGAATTCATAGAAAAATTATGCCTTTTACAATATTATTACGCACCTTACACGTCCTAATGTTTTCTGAGATTTGGTACCGTTCAGCTAAAGAATAGGTTCGACAGCTGTTTTCTCCATGCGATTCTTCGAAATATCGCTCGTTGATTTGGTGAATGTGGTAGTTTGCCTAAATATTGGAAAAACTACAGCTTCAAATTACTTCATTCATTTATTCATTTCTAGTGTTTATTCGCCATTCCGCAATCTGCACGACAAATACATAAAATAAAACATCAAAACAATCAAATAAATCTAACAGCTGATCTGTGGAAACGGCTGGAGGAAAAGATGGTCTGAATAGACGGTGCTAACTCCCATTTGGTGGTTAAGTTGATTCTTTTTTTAAAGTAGTTATTATTTTTTTAAATTATTTAAACAGGAAAAACTCCAAAGAAAAGTACTTAGGAACGATATGATTCATGGTTTTTTTTTTGCTTTATATATATATTGTTTTTCCATTTGCACAGTTTTTTTTTCTGCAACTTTGCAAACTGAAAAAAAAAGAAAAATTTTCGATTTTTGCGTCTGCAACTATGCGTCGGGGTCGTCGCAGAGCGATCATTTTATAGACGGCACTAGATTTTTTTTTTGCGTTTTAAAGAAAATTTTCTCATGCCGTAATTTCGTAAAAATTGGAATATCAGTTTTAAAACGGACATTCCGATTTTCAATTTTTTTTTTTTACAGCTTCCAATGATTTATTCGTGGTCGTTTTACTATTTTTTTAAGTTCTTCCGTCCATTTCGAGGCTCAATTTGCAAGATTCAAATAATATTTTTCAACAATACTTTTAAAACTTCGGGAGCTCCATTAGCGATTAATAGCTTGTTTTTGAAAGAGTTTCTTCGCATTTTACTTTTCACATAAGGTTTTCATTTTATTTTAAACGGATGAGAAACAAGTCGAAATATATGATTGCGAAAATGTATTTTGTTTATGGAAAAAACTTTCTAATCTTCATTTTTCTTGACTGTTCTTTTAAAAAAAACTGACCACTATAGTTGCGGCATTAATCAAGAGCACGAAAGAAAGCAGGCCGATTTTGATTGCAACTGAAAACAGTTTTATTATTGGGAAAAATTATTAGTCTCACTTGTTCCTATATGAAGCCAAATAGCCGTAGTATTTCCGACGATAAGAAGCGTAATATATACTGTTCTGAATATTTTCCGATTTTTCATAAATTTTTTCAGTCTCACTTGAAAATCCAAGAATGGCGACGGGCTTCATATTCGCCGACGAAATAGGTGGCGCAGGCCCGTTCAAAAGTGAAGGCCGAGATGATGAGAAAAGCTGGTCAGTTCATTGATTATTCTTATACTGTTTCAAATGTTACCTATCGCAGCGACCAGCGATCGCACATATGACGTTATTAGGAGCATAATTGGAAATTCTGTTTCTAAACCAAAAAAATCAACATTTTTCTTCATAAGATGCAGAGATTTCCCACCGAGATTGTAGCCAACCAAGGTAGACGCAGTGATTTGGAATATTCTACTGAAGGCGTAGAAAAAGTAGTGGAAAAAGTAGACGTCGTAGATCAGTCGCATATTCCGATGATTTTGATTGGTCGTGATGTTCAGGTAGCAGATTAGCACAAAGTAAGGGATGCTGGAAGTTTCGGGAGTCAAACTTAGGAACTTTACAGTGGTCCCTATAGGGGCCCTTGAAGATTCCCTTATAGGGACCACTTTACCTCCCCTCTAGGGGCCACTAAAGCTTGCAGTAGTGGTCCCTATATGGTTTTCAAGTATTGGCCCCTTTAGGAGAGCATTCTAGAGGCCCTTAGAGTATCGAATTGAAAGTTAATTTTTCTTTCAATAATAAAAATAAAACCTCAAGCTGGTAACCGTCAGCTCCACAGCCCAGTAGATTCTATAGAATTCGAAGTCGTCGTTCAAAAAAGCGTCAGTTTTGTTGAAATATGTCATATAAAAGAAGTTTTCGCTGGATAACAGCTCAGCCAAACTCATCTCTGCTCAGAAAAATTGGTATTTCTGAAAGGGGCATTCATAAAATGAACTAGATGTTCTAATAGAACGAAATTAATGAATTATTTGTTGGCGTTCAGACATGAAAAAGGGCAAAAAAATGGATAATTTCCTGTTTTTTTCTCAACAAATTTCGAACTGGGCAATCAGTCTGGCTTTTTTTGTTGGAAGATGATAAAAAAAGACCAAATTATATTGATAATAGTATATTTTTTTACAATTGAAGGAAATTTTTGAAAAAAATACAAAAAAATCCACTCATTCAGGTAAGAACACATTTAAGCGATTTTTTTCTCTTTACAATTTATAAGTTTATAAATTTTTTTGATCTGAAAAAAATTGAAAGATAATCCTTCGGATTTTTCAAAGCCAATAGGCAATCAGTATAGTATATTAGTGAATAAGCAACCGAATTCTGAAATTAAAAAAATCGGATTATACTGATTTCACCTGTTTAAGAAATGTTCTTTTATAAGTGACCAGGTGGAATTATAAAAACTTTCATATGGCAGGTGGAATTGAATCGAGACGTTTAATCAACATAAAGTTATAAGTTCGCCAAGAGAATTTCAAACATTCAAGTTTTGAGAATTTCGGAAAGTTGGCTCTGACGTACTTCTGTTCTGAGAGTTTTGCTTTGCACAAAAAAATTTGCTTTTTTCAGCAGTTCTGACGCCTCAAAAACGTCATTTTTCCTCAGAGCAAATAATTTTAGGGCCCTAAAGACGTTAAAGACAGAAGAATGGAAATCTCTTTTTAGACCAGATCCAGAGTTTTTAGAACTGCATACAAGCTATGATTCGAAAAAGATTCAATTTTCGTACTTTTCCATTGCTCTGGAGAGTGGAAACATGTATAAAATCAAGTTTTTCATTGAGTTACGTGTTGTGAGAGTCAATAAAAGCAGGAAAAGTTTCAGTAGTACAACATACAATTATATTAGCACAGATGGAAGTGTTTCAGACCGTGAGAGCTTTTTTCAAAATGTGCAACCGTGAAATTAACTTTTTTTTGGAAAGATAAAGTGATTACTCGGCTGCAAAATTTTAGAAAAAAACAAGTTCGAACTCAAAAAGCGATGAGTAAGTCTGGACGAATTTTAGAGGCTTTTTAGGATTTTCAAACAAAGGTTTTATTGTTTGAGATTTTTGGATAATCTTTTTCTTAGATAAGAAATTTTTTTCAAACAGATCAATAAGTTATATCTTTTTCATCCAATTCAAGAAATTTTTTAGCAAAGTTTACAATACGAAAGATTTTTCAAATATTTTTTGCTTAAGCCTTCCTTTAAAGCTCAAAGGTTCAAAGAAAAAGGAACAAAGACGGATTAGAAATGAGGAGAAAGCCTTAAAAAATAATTTCCCAGCTTTTTCTCGCGATACTGAATGAAAAAGCTTCAAAACCGTTTTCCTACTGTAGTTAAGGGCCGTAACCATGATCTCTGGTATAGTTTACGGCGGAAAAACTCAGAGGATTTTTTTAAAGAACAAGCTCAGAAATGAATAAATACGTCTAGTCGAACGGCCCTAACAATAATGTAGTACTTTGCGGAGCCGTGGTGGTTGTTGTGTAATGAAATTTGGTTGTGCGACCTCTCAGAAACACGAAGAAAAAATGTTTATGACAAATGGAGCCCGTTTCTCATGGCACCGGGGATTAAATAAGTTTTATAATGAGTAGAAATGCGGGATTTATGTTCTAGACGATGAAAAAAGTGGGAGAATTCATTAGTAATAATCTGCGGGTGGAAATAGACTCGATGAGAAGGTTAAAAACAATATTTTCAAGGGAGATAGTAAAAGTTATTTCAATTAGAAATTATTACAATTTTAGGGATAACAATTTGATCTACATTTTCTTTAAAAAAAGGAAAAAAACTCGATCAGTTGTCGTGAAAAAATTTTGCAATCGCATGAAACCAAAAATTACTGAAGCGAATCGTTGAATTGACTTTGAAAACTTTTTTTTTTTTGAGCTCTCTAGCCTTTTGGGGCGAACCTAATTGAACTGAAATTGAGAAACAAATGGAGAATTCGAAAGAGAGGGAATGGCTGGGCTAATTTACGGACCTAAAATAGAGGCTCTATATAAAAATGCTCCTTGAAATTGACAATAAATAACCTGCTGGATGTGTCTACTGGACTAATTACAAAGCAGAATTTTTGGAGAGGTCTCGAAGAGTCAAAAAAAAGGATAGAAAATCTGGAGAAAGGGCGCACCCGTTTGATTGACCAAATTCTGCTCTGTATATACAACGATATAAAATATATCTATCACTCAACAATCAAAAGGCAAACAGTTAATATAGTCTGTTCAGATTTTGCATGTCAAGTCGTCGCTCAAGCTCCACCCCTAATGGTGCGATGAACCAATCAGAGAGCGAACCATCCACAGAGTGTTTTTGAATGACGTCATTGCACTTGTCATTAAAAATCTGAACAGACTATAGAAGGTGTTGCAATGAATCTCCATAGAGATTACGTATATACTTTTGATTTTCGAACGAATTTCGAACTCAAAAACTTTTTTTTCTTCCGCGAACAATGTTTGAACTTTGATAAACGGACCAAATTCTTGAACTTAACAAGAATTCTGAATTTTTAAATCCCATAATTTTGATCTAATGTTTTTTGGATCATCGTTTTTATACTAAAATTAGTCACTAAAATGATAAAATTTGAATCAGGATTTTTTTAAATAGGAAGTTTGAGAATGTTCATAATTTGGCACAAATTTGATTTTTTGCGGATAGTCATACAAATACTTTTAAAATCGGAACGATTAGAGTTTTTATGAATTTATATGAATTGAACCAGAGGGTCTAAATTGTTCGAATTGTTAAAATTGTTTCGATGAACTGAAATTTTTGTGTCGGTTCGGAATTTGCTGGCTCCAGGCCTCTTTCAGCATTCCAAAGTAGTGATCCGTGTGTTTTGTCTGTTCGAAAAGCAAGTTTTGGCCGAAAGTTGATGCAATTTGTCGAGACGGCTCGACTGACGATAGTGACCAGCAGTGAAGCTGAAAAACTGGATTTTAAAGAAAGTATATAGTCTACTCTTTATTTTCCAAGAAAAAAATAATGACGCATGAAGCTCATTATCTCATGAATCTGCGCTCTCTAGAGAATTCTTGCAAGGTTTTGATTTCTATCAGCTTCGGGTTTCTAAACGTCAACATGTGGTTGCCATCTGTTTTGGGCTTTTTGAACTGGATGGCGGAAAAAGCCTAAAAAATGAGGCGATTACACATACATGTGCGCTCCATGAGAAAAAAAAACCCGAAAGCTGGATATTTCAATTTTCAAAAATATTTTTTTTCCGCAAAAGAGTCTAATTTTCTCAGTTAGGGAACTAGTCGTCATAGGCACTCTTTTCAAAACGTTGTGACAATTTCCTAAAGGCACCTTTTTGATCAACCAGACTAGCTTTTGCTGCCATAATGGGCTGTTGATGACGGTGACGGTAGGCATTGAATAGATGTAACTGAAAAATGTTGAAAATTTGCTCCAAAGAAACGATTAGTTTGCAAAAAATTTATTTTTTAAGAGCTGAATTTTGTAATTACCCATTTAAAAAATTTGAAAATTTTTTAAGGAGTAGAAGAATAAGCAAGGTACAAGTTGAACACGGAGATTTGAATATTTCAACGTTGCAATTTGGAAGTATTTTTCATCGTCCTAATCTTTAGGCGTTTTTATGCAAAGTAGAAGCTTACAAGAGGCTGGCGACGTTGTACAACGACGCCGTGAGATTCCTTAACCTTGGCGTCGAAACGAAGACGTCGCACGCCAAGGCAACGATACACGTCACGTTGGACAGAATTATACACTTGAAGATTTGCGAAAAAGTCTGAAAATTGAAGTTTAGAAAAATAAATGTTGTGAGGCCTTCTTTTTTGCTTTTTATGAGTAAATTTCAGTTTTGAAATCTCGTTTTTGACACATTTTCACATTTGAGAACCTGCAAAAGTTCGAAAATTTTCTCACCTGTTCTTGAAAAAAAAGAATCTTCATCAAGCTTCTTTTGAATACCATTTTCAGCTTAAATTACCTATTCGAAAAATTAAAAAAAGAACGAAAGGGGATATTTCAAAGAAAAAAATTCCTTCTTTCGATTACCCTGCAAGTTCGAATATTCTCGGAGATCTGGTACCGCTGGGCCAACGAATATTCACAGCTTTTTCCGATTTTTCGCCTTGACATTCTCGAAAATATTTGTGATTGATCCGCTCGATGACCATGTTTGCCTGAAAGTCGCTTTAATCTTTCCCAAAAAGAAATTATAGAAAGGCTATAAAAAAATCAGGAAATAACTGGGAACGAGACAGCGTGGCAGCTGAAGAGAGAATATCGGCCTCTCTTCAGCCTCCACACTTTCTCGTTTAAAAAAAGTTTCCGGTTTTTTTGAAATATAAAATCTTAGACAGAAATTTCATTATAAGAAAAAAACTCACGATAATCGTCACAAAAATTCCCGAGGAGCATGAATATCAAAGCGTTCAACTTGACTGTGTCTGAATTCAAATCTCGAAAATTTAATTCATATTTTTCTTAAACCTTTTCCTTGATGAAATAATATAGTTGACGCGGCCCCGTTCAACACGAGCAGCACACAAATAAGCCTGGAAAATCTTCTTATTTCTGGTTTTTTGACTGATTACGTCAAAATTGTTTGCAGAGTAGTTATTTTGATTTTCTAGATTTTTGAATTGGGCCGATCTTTGAGTTGAATAAAACTAATTTCAATTCTTGCAACTTTGCTCGTCTATGGAAAAATAAAAAATACCTGAAAATCCAGGCATGTCTTGTTGCTTCGTAGACTCCTATGTAGTAAGTTGCACATGCGCGTTCGAATATGAAGCCCATGATTATTGTGAAAGCTGTAAATTGTACTTGAAATAAAGTTTTGTGCAATTGCGACGATTCACTCTCTGACCTGTCTGCGCCCTCTTTTTCTCTCACCGGGTAGGTCACAGAAATAGGGAGGTACGAAGTGAAAGCTAGAGCGCAGAGAAAACAGACTTTCTAAAGTTTTCGAGTAAGAAACAACTAACCGATGCTTGCAATGAACAGTCGAATGTAAGAAGTTACAATTAAAAGGTCGGGGAATCGGGTTTCTGGAATTTTCAAATTTTAACATTCAATAAAATTTCGAAAGTTAAAAATTTTAAAAAGTTCACTTATTCGTTAAGCCGCTTTTGTAAAATCTGTAAAAGCCGTTCAAAATAAAAAATTTTTCGAATAAACTAAACATTTCTCGGATCTGTGCAACGCGAACTGAACGTGCCTCGAACGTTTCTGAGAGTTTCTAGTAATCACTCAAGAGTTTTTCGCTTTTTATCGTTATCTTCCGATCCTAATGAGTTGATTAGGGCACTCTGCGTCATTCCTATATACTTACCCAGCTCGTATTCGTATTTGAAATTGGCCAACAATTGAATGAGTCGACTTGTCGCATGAATTTGGTACATTGCCAAGTAAACCGTGTAGAGAAGCTGCATATTTCTGTGATATTGACTCGTTGATGCGTTGAGGTAGGATGCAAGCAGAAAATAGAGCATACTGTAAATTAATTCAGGTACACTTGAATTTTTTGGTAGATTTGCTTGATAAATAGTTTTTCGAACCTGAAGATTACTAAAGATATTTCGATTACATGGAGAATCTGATAATATAGCAATTCGTTGTGCAATATGGCATCGGTTTTGTTAAAATAAGTTATGTAGAACGTTTCCACAGCCATGTGACGAGTGACGTCTGAAGTTGTATATATGATTGAATTTAATTAGAAACGGAGTGTTGTGAGAAATTTATATGAGGCGGAACAATACACAAGAATAATTAAATAATGGTCTCCCAATAAAATCAAAGTTTTTTAAAGATTTTTTTCTGAATGAATGAATCAAGAAAAAGAAAAGGCCTTGTTGGAAACTTTTTTCAAAAATAAGGTACCACTTGAAAACGCATATTTTACTACTATCGCGCTTCTCTTATTGACACGCGTGTTCATAGGCTTTCTCTTGACCCTTTGACCTCTAGGTGAGAGAAAAGAGGGCGCAGGCACATCAGATTGTTTGGAGCCGTGGCGAAATTCAGATGGTATGAAGAAAACCCCAACGAAATTTAGAACGGCGACTTTTCCGAGTTGTTTATATCGCTAGGGAACTTTCGGACTGCGAAGTTTTCGAGTTTTTGTCTTTTTTGACAAACTCTTCGTTCTGAATTTCCCTATATCAAATAGAACTAGAAGAGAAAGAAAAAAAAATGTTAATAAATCTTTGATAAACCGAAAAATAAAAGAGAAAAAAGGTCAGAAAGGGGATAGTAGGAAACTTCGCAGTCGGAAAGTTCCGTAGCGATGTGAAAAAATCGGAAAAGTCGCCGCTCGAAAATTCGCTGGTTTTTTTTTTTCACACCGCCAAAAATCACACGCATGCGTTGCGCCTAGAAAAAGAAAAACTTTTGATCCAATACTTTTAAAAGCTTTGGGTCGTGAGTCGCTATGGATGCTATTGGAATGAAGCAGATATTTTGTATCGAGTCATTCTACATGCCACCGAATCTCATACCAGACGGACAGAGATTATCTAGATGTAGTCAAAAACCAGCGTTTTTCAGATTCCAGAATTATCAAAGATATCGATAATACCCGGTCTCCGCAGCCAACCAAAAGAATATTTATAAAAAAAAACAAGAAAAGAGAAAAAAGAAAAAAATATGGTGTGAGAATTTTTGGCCTTTCCCTCGAGTATTCGCTAATAACATGCATTATTTTTTTCTCCTATTATTTTTTTTGGCTCAGTTCAACCCGATAACAAAAAAAAAATTTTTTTTCTCACACTTTGCAAGAATTTTTTGTGCACCTTTAATGATATATTTGAAGCTGTGTTTATTTATGTTTTTGAAGTTTCAAGCCTTTAAAATGATCATTTACCAGTATTTGGCGATTTCCAGAACTTCGAATAGACTTGGCAATATTTTTTGAAGAAGCAGAGGCGAAAAGCTGTGGGAAAATTGAAGCAAAAGTTTTTTAGGTTATTTGTAACAAGAAGTTTGGTTTTTTTCAGTACTTCAGCAGGCAATGAAAAACGGAAATAAAATCAGAGGTTTCAAAAAACTTTTTGTGGTGATAAAGTAATGGATTCACCCCTCAATTTCACTAAGAGAAGAGTTTTTCTCACACGAGTAATAATCGTTGAAAAAGTTTTCAAGCAATAAACAATTCTTAGAGAGGATTTTAACATATTTCGAACAAACTTTCAAGACTAACGTCAAATAACGTCAAATAAATACTCAACGTTGCAGGTAAATCGCTGGTTGCATCAGAAGGGCGCGGTTTCGACCACTTCTGCTAAATATCGGCTTTGCGAGGAGATTAACATGTCTTAAGAAAACTAAAAACAGCTTTTAGATAATTTTGATCTTTTTACTAATTCGAAACGATTAATAACATTTGGAAATTAGAGTTTTTTTTATTAATTTAATCATAACTCACATTAATTGGGAATCAGATCTCTGAAATAATAGGATTACTTAAGGATTCTTGGTGAATTCTGTACCTAATTCGAGTGCAAACACATTGTTTACGACTAAAGAAATAGAATTTACGCCAATATTTTTTAATCAGGGACCTTTTCAATGATCCCGGCATTTTTCATTGTTTGAATTTCCCTCTTCCTCTTTTCTTGCTTTTTTTTGCTTATAAATGTATTTTTTCAGTCTCGTTCCAATGATTGTCTTCTTGATGATAAAAATTTTAACTTCGCTTTTTTTGGAGTTTATGATTAGAAGTTTGATCATTGTTCAATTATGTATTTTAGAGAGAACGATTTTTTTTTTTTTGAAACTTTTTCATGAAACTTGATCTGCCGCCTTTGGAATATATAAAACAGGAATTGAAGCACCGCGATTAGGGAAATTGGGACAGCGGCCTTTTTTCCATCTTTTTTTTTCATTAGCGATCCATTACCGGCCGCTCAATTTTTCTAGGGTTTTCGTGCGAATACGGCATTATAACTCGATGCACATCGACACTTTTTTTTTGAAATCTGGCTTGTTGATCTACAAACTATTAACGAACAATTGCAGGAAAATAAGGGATTCATTCTGACTTCTCGGTTGATTTTTGTCTTAAACTAACGGTGAATGGAGTATATAAGAATGTCGAGTTTTTCAAAAAAGTCTTTAACGCGGGTTCAGTGGAAAGTGCGTGGAAGCGCTGCAAAAAAGGCGGGTCCGGCGCGAAATTGTTCTCTTTCCACAGCTTCTAAATTTAGACACATAAAAAGTGTTTCATCCCTTAAACTGTCACTAAAGTGTTGATAATGAAATTTTATTGATTCCCTGGGTAGATAGAACATTTCGACTTTCCATCCTGGTAGGAAAAGTACTATTTTCCATGTTTTTTTCTGTTTTGAAGTCCTACAAAAGGCGTATTGAAGTCTGCTTAGAAATCCCCGCTTGAATTCTTAAAAGCGCTTTAGTCTTAAATTAATCAGAACTAACTGGAAATCGCCTTTTCGGAACTCGTCTAAGCTATATATATTTACAACTTTAAAAAAACTTGTGCAAGATAGGTTTCTATCCGTTATAAACTAAAAACTTAAACGAGAGAAGTTAATACCGAGTAGTGAAACTACCGCTTTTAATCTAGTTTTATAGGATATTTTTAATGTTCGGTTTCGTTTTTTATTCTTTCATTCTTTCAAAGCTTTCTTTAGTGACGGATTAATTTGAGTAATGTCGACCTGCAAGTTCGATTCGGGCGGGAAAGTTCGCGTCGCTCATCAGGCCTCAGCGGCCAGTTCATTATTAAAGCAAAGCATCGAATCGAAACGGTTGGCTCTGTCGAAAGTGAATGGATCATCGTCCCAAACATCTAACCATTCCTTTTTTCCAGATTGCAAATTCTCTAAACGGCAGCGCTAAGAAGGGTCATCCTCAAATCAACGCGAAGCGTTCTCTTGCATCAAAACGTGAGGCTTATTCGCTCTAAATCGTCTGAAACGTTCTTTGAAGAACTAAAGTTCCGACAAAAGGAAAATTTTTTAAAAGTAATTCTGCGTGTTAGTCAGATAAGGACACTGTATTAGTGAGTAAAATAAAATAATTTTGAAGTGATTTTTTTTCAGCAAAAAAACGAAAAACGAGCTCGGATGACGACGACGACGATGAATTTGTGGTAGAAGACGAGGAGGAAGAAGAAGGCGAAGACGAATTCCGTGACGACGACGACGATTTTGAGGAGGAGGAAGGACCGAAAAAGCGAAAAGTTCCAGCCAAAAAGTACGGTTTTTTTTTTCGAAAACAGTCTTGGAAAGCCCTTCGTTGCGCCTTTTTTGGTGTTTTTATTGGAGAAGTTTTGATCTCATAAAATGAAGTGTTTTAGAAAGAAAAGAGAATAAAATAGCCTTCTGTAGATGCTAGTAAACACGCGAGAACGGTCCTTATTTTTGAAAAAAAATGAGCTTCAAAAAACGTCCTAATGTCTTCAGAATGCCCACGAAAGGCTCTCGGAAGTTCCCTCTTCAGTTTTTGTTTCCAACAATGATTCGTTTCTTTTAAGATTCACATCGCCAAATGGAAAAACAGCGTCTGCACAGCCTTCTATTGTGTAATTTGCCGAGAATATTCACAGTAAAGTATAAAAAATATTCAGAAAGAAGAAGGAGTTCACCCTTTCCGAATCGAGCGACGAGGACGATTGGAAAGGAAAACCGCGGTTAGATGAAAGCCATTCGGTGAGTTTCAGAAAGACTGTTTTCTTGTTGAAAACGGACAATTTTCGCTGGAACGTATTTCAGAGTATCTTGATCCCGATTTTAAAAAATAAGTTTGACGAATTTCACCTTTTAGTCGAGTTATACCCTCATAAGAATGCGTAAATTCCTTCTACGCACAGATACGGAAAAAAATAGTTAAAACTTGACTAGAATCGTAAAGAAAAAAAAAATTAATATCGCTCGACATCTGAATGCAAATACGTTTCAACTAAGTTTTAAAACCTCTCAAAACTTGTTTTTTCATTGCGTTCAGAGAACAATGACAAATTATCATATTTTCATGCAGACTGCAATGAAAACTCGAGTAACGGAGAAGAAAAACCAGAAGGAATCCCGGAGGAAAGCCGTCATCGAGAGCGACGAAAACGATGAATTTATCGATGACGACAGCGATATCGAGCCCGATATTAGCCGTAAAAAGGTTTCTTAAAGTGTATTTCTCTTCAAATTTCCTCATTTTCGGGGTCAAAACTTCAGAACAGAAACTACCTGGGATATAATGTATAGATACTTTATATTATTAAAGTCGATGGAAGAATATTGAAAAAATCCTTTGCTTCTAAAAAATCTTTTCATGTTGAAACTGACCACTGTCCGTTTAAAATGTGGAGTTATGCAAAAAAAAAAGAAATTCAGAAGTCCCTTTCTCCGAGAGGTTAACTATTTTTTGCTTAATTTTTTCGCTTTCTCTCATATTTTTCACTAGCAAAATCATCCAGCCGAGGTGAATTTGTGAAGAGAACTTTATTTTCGCCCGAAAAAAGTTCATCCTACGTCATTTACAAAATTAAATTTGAATTTTTAGCAAACCCTGAAATCGGAGAAAAAAAAAGCAGCGAATCAAGTGAAACGGAAAAAAGGTGAATCGGACGACGAATGGGAAGAGTTCGTTGAAGAAGACGACGACGAGCTCGGCAGGGCCGAAGACGCCGAAACGCCTTCTGACGACAGCGACGTGGGCCTTCAAGTGGAAGAAGATGAAGATAATAACTCTCATTCAGGCCGAAGAGCGGAACCGAGAAAAACGAAGGACTCGCGAGACTCCGACGACGCGAAGTTGTCGCGAGTTCTTCAACGGCGCGACGTTAGAGGAGCTCCTTGCGACTCCACGTGTCAACGAGAAAATCGCCGAAGTCATCATGAAAAAGAGGCCCTTCGAGAACTTTGCCGACTTGGTAATCCGCCCCGGTCCAGAAGCGTTTTGTTGGAAAAAGACTGTTTTGAGGAAGACGGTATTGGGGCGGTGCCGCGTGGAAAGCAAGCCCTCGAGGCTTACATCGAGCATTTGGAGAACCGGGGCGTCCTGGAGAAGATTCTCGATGATTGCAAGGTTCGGAGAGTTTTTTTCGGTCCGATTTATAGTTTAAGGAATAGTTTACATCGATCAATGTCTTTTTGAAGTTGAAAAATGCTCATTTTGGAAAGTTTTGACGAATTTCTGTGACAAATTTGAAGCTTAAAATTTTTGAATGTACTTTTCGAAAGTTTCCAAACTTCTTAAAATCTCTTTTGCGTTCTTTGATAATATATACAGTTTTGAAAGGCAATTTTCCTAATTTTGTTTTTTTTTTCTTCTAAAGCAATTGAAAGGCTCCTTCACACACCCTAATTGCAACTCAATGAATTTTTTCAAATGGAAAAGACGTTTCAATAAAATCCATAGACTTTGCTTTTTTCCTGTCGTGTTCGAGTTATCTCCGCCAAATGCGAAACTATCTCTGACTCTCCGAAATTTAGTTGTCTTTTCACCCTTTGAACACGGCATGACCGTTGATTTGTGACTTTTTGAATTTTTCTGAGTTTCGGCAACGGTAATATTCCGCAGTTCGGAAATTTCAGGACCACGCCGAGACTGTTGCCCGGGATTTCGAGCGAATGACGGCCGGTCCTCTATCTTTGCCCCTTTTGAAAGAAGAGTAAATTTTTTTATCCGGTCTAAAGTAATTTTACTCGTTATTTTCAGCTGCACTCTCCACGACTATCAGAAAGTCGGAGTCAAATGGTTGATTATGATGTACAAAAAAGATTTGAACTGCATCCTCGGCGATGAAATGGTTGGTGTCATCATTCAGACTTTCTTTTTTTGGACTTTTCTAAACGTCGAATTATTAATTCACTGAAACTTCTTCTAGGGACTTGGAAAAACGATCCAAATCATTTCGTTCCTCTCGTATTTGAAAGCGACCGACGTTCCCGGCCCTCATCTAATCGTTGTCCCATCTTCGACCATTGAAAATTGGATGAACGAACTCCAGAAATGGTGCCCGAAACTCAAGGTAAAACTTTTTTTTTTCTGTTTATATTGGCAATTTTCCAGCTTCTCACTTATTACGGCAACCAAGATGAGCGGAAACATCTGCGACATAAAGTCAAAAAACAGAAAGAAACGGTAAGAATCATTGAAAAACATTGGATAATAGTTTTTGACAGACCGACATTGTCCTGACCACCTACAACATGATCTCTTCAAAGACGGACGATCGCAAATTCTTCAAGAACTTTTCAATGAATTACGTTATTTATGACGAAGGTCATATGTTGAAGAACTGCGCGTCGGAGCGATATCGCAACTTGATGAAAGTCCGGGTTCGTTGTTTCAAGAGTTTCATGAAGCCCATTCCACGCCAGCGTGTCAATTTTTTTTTTGTCAAAATTTGCGATGACCAAATTTGATCAAGATTCACCCCCACCTCTCTCAAGATCTTATTTTTGCAATCTTTCTGCATTTTTGTACAGAAAAGGTGCAAAAAACTGTTTTTACGGTAGATTTTTTTCCCGCTGTTTAGAAACATGACCGTAGAACGCACCATAGTATAATTTGAATTATTCAATCTTCAATGAATTTTTGATTCTTTCTCTTGAATAAAACGGCATTTTTTCCAGGGAAAACGGAAAATCCTCTTGACAGGAACGCCTCTACAAAACAACTTGATCGAGCTGATCTCTTTGATGTATTTTGTCCTCACCAAAGTTTTCAATCGATATTGTGAGGACATCACTCAGCTTTTATCCCATTTCAAGCAGGTTCGGAACCTTTCTCTGGTAGCAAAACGGAAAAATTTATTTTCAGCAAGGTCCGGCGTTAGAAGCCGGCAACGCGGTTTTGTACCAGAAAGACCGGATAGAACAGGCCAAATCCATCCTCCAGCCGTACATTTTACGTCGGCTCAAAACTCAGGTTCATATTTTTTTTTTTTGTAGTGCATCATATTGATGATCTTCAGGCTCTTGGAAACCTGCCAACGAAAACCGAGAAAGTGCTGGAGGTGGATTTGACAAGCGAGCAGCAGGAATTGTACGACACCGTTTTGGAGAGGTTGAATCTTTTTAAGCCACACTTTTTTTTTGATGAAAAAGAGGTATTATGTCAAAAACGGTTCTCAGAAGAATACAAAAGAAACTCCACGGAGATAAAAGAAGAATAAGTTGTATTTCGCAGCCTCTAGTTGAAGTTTTTAAAATTTACTCGGCTCACTTGTTCAAAGAAAAAAATTTTTTCCGAAAATTTGACGCGAAATTAGATATCTTCCTTTTATTTTGAAGTTTCACGCGAAATAAGATAATTTATTTCGAAATGAGCTTGCTTTTTAGTTACTTAGATTTCACGAAAAGACTTTGACAGTGTTCGGAACGACGACTACTACGGGGGCAACTCCTACGGCGCCCTGATGCGACTCAGACAAGCCGCCAACCATCCCCTCCTCCGTCGCTCGCACTACAACGAGTTCAAACTCGACAAGATCGCCAAAACCCTCTGTTCCAAGGTCTCCGACTGAATCCCCCTCCAAGAATTACTATGGACTTTGAAGGAGAAGCCGTACGAGACGAAAAAGTGGGAAGACGTCGCCGACGACATCTCCTTCCTCTCCGACTTCCAAATCCACCAGCTCTGCGAGAAATTCCGCAGCACTCAGAAATTCCTGCTCGACGAGCAGTTGGCCCTACACAGCGGCAAATGCAAGCAACTCGACAAAATGTTGCCCGAAATCGCCAAATTGGTAACTTTTCTTCTAAAAACGACTCCGAGTTCCTCCTTGAGTGAAATTGAAGTTTTCGAGCTTCTTCTCTATCATGGTATCGCGAAATTCCTAGTTGAAACCATGATAGTTTGATGAAAACTACAGAAAGGTGTTTTGAACAAAAAAATTATCAAGAAATTTTGAATTTCCTGTATCTTCAGATTCTGATTTTCAAGTATTTCAATCTCAAGCTCCGCCCCTAATGGCGCGATGGACCAAAAAGAGAGCAATCAATCTACAGCGTTTTCAAATGACGTCATTCTACTTGAAAATTCTAAATCTTGACACACTATATAGCTGACTCACGGCTGGCTTGAGCCATCGAAAAAAATGGTCCTGACACGAGAATGCACGAGATAGCGCCTGGCTCGTGGAGAGCGCAGACGGGACACGCCTCCTTAACGTCCAAAGCTAGCCGTGAATCAGCTATAGTTTGGGCTTTGAAGCACTTTTATCTTGATGATAGGAATCTAAAAAGTTAGGAGAGAGCAATGTTTTTTTTAAGAATATTTTTTTTTTCAAAAAAAAAAGGTCAAATGGGTGAATCAGCGCTCGTCGAAATCACCGAGAAGCTCTGTTTTTCATAAACCTAAATTTCCAGGGTGACAAGGTCTTGATATTCTCGCAATTCACCTCAATGCTCGACATTTTGGAGGTAGGCTCATTTTTTTTTTGAGCTGTAGAACTAGTTTTTAAGGTTTACCTGCACATACGGGGCTATTCTTTCAAACGGCTGGATGGATCGACCCCTGTCATGGACAGGTTTAGTCAAATAACTTCTTTCTGACCTAATAGAATCTTTCAGACAGGAGATGATCAACGAGTTCAACACGTCTTCCTCTTCAGAGTTGTTCATCTTCCTGCTGTCGACCAAGGCTGGAGGCCTCGGCATCAACTTGACCTCGGCCAATCACATTATCATCCACGACATTGACTTCAATCCCTACAATGATAAGCAGGCGGGTTTTTCGGGGACTTTTTTTTTGATTAAACACTATAAGGACCACTCTGGCGTTCCTAAGACTCTTATTTGGATAAAAGACAAAAATAAAGTAACATTAAAATCGATCCAATCGTTGTTCTCTAAAAATTAAAAACATTTTCAGGCCGAAGACCGTTGCCATCGGATGGGACAAAAGAAAGAAGTTCACGTTACGCGATTAATCAGTAAAGATACAGTCGAGGTTTCAAAATCATAAAATTCTTATTTACTTTTCGTATAGGTCGGCATGCATATGGTGGCCAAGAAGAAGCTGCAGTTGGAAAAGCAGGTCACCGGCGGAATAAAGGGACAACTTGAAGAAGGTAATTCTACTCTCTGTGAACTAAATTGTCGATTTTTTCGTACATTTCCGATCATTGAATGAAAGCACTGAGTTATTAAAGTTTAAAAAACGAATTTCTATAGGAAAATATTATAACGGTGATAGGAATCTCGAAAAAGGATTAACTAGCCTTATAGCGCACGTCAATTGTAAAAACACTGACGAACGCCTATGATTCCTCTCCATTTGCTCAAATTCACTTCTAGATGATGAAGACTCCCGGGGAAGCAAGGCCGAGGTGACGGAGAACAACGGCGAGGAGAAGCTCGACGAGAAGACGTTGAATAATCTCCTTTCGGGAGCCCTACGAAGGCGGTCACTTTGCGAGGCCGAAAAGGAGACGTCTCCCTCAGATTCGCCCACGTCTTCTAAAAACAAAAAGTCGAAGGCGAGAAAATGAAGACTGTTATTCAAGTTCTTGTTTTTATTCCTAATTTATATCGTTTAATTGTTTTTCTCCATGGTTTGTTCATTCGCAACAGCTTTCAAAGTTCACGTTTTCAACTATACTTTGTTTATATTTCAAATTTCTCTATTCGAATCTCTTTTCATTCAAGTCAGTACTCTCATTCATCCATATAGTTCATTCGTTTAGAGACTGTCCAAAATTCACATTTAAAGGCGCAACGAAAAATATAGGTTTTGTAGCGGATGAAGTATTGCGCCTTTAAATAACAAAACAAGGAGCTCATACTTAATTTGTCGTAAAAGTTTGATGCCACATAAGCTCTTTATGAATTAACTAAGTCAACATATTCATTTCCGCTTCTTTTCTGAATCGATCCATCAATGGCGGGGCCTCATTCAAACTGAAAAAAGAATGATAACTTTTGTCACGTTTGAATATTTGGCTATATACGTGTATCTCATCCTAAATTTCAAATACTTTGTTTTCTATCTGGAACAAACGATACTATCAGTGACGGGATGTCAAAAATGATCTTTTTCTGATATTTTTTATTTTTTATCGTTATTTTGGTTTATTATACCCCCGTGATTGTGCGTTTCTCAAAAATTTCCCCGTTTCCGTCTCATTTTCTATTGCGAACCCAATAAAGAAGTTGTGAATCAAATGTTTTTTTTTCCTTGGTAATATACAAATTATTGTTAGCAGTCTATCAGTTATATTTGAACAGATAAAAAAAGCTAATTTTTTTAAAAAAATTTTTTTATTCCAGGTTTTTTTGAAGAAATATGGTCAAGAAATTTGCGGGAAACATATTTCGGAGCGAAAAGTTTTTGGAAACGGTTGAGGACTACGACTACGAAAAATATGAAGGTTTTTCGGCTATTTTTTTATTCATTTTTTTCATTGAGAAAGGCGCATTTCAAAGTTTTTGTCACAACAAATCATTCAAGACAGGCGTATTTTTTTCTTTCTTCGGGCTCTTTTAAAACGGCCATTCTCGTTAGGCCAGCTCAATCGTGATCTCATGTGCTTTTGCTCTGCAGAGGGAAAAAAAGGCCGGAGTAGCTTGAAATTCAAAAAACCTTGATTTTTTTATTCTATTGATCTGATGCTGGCTTTCTGTACAGTTAAATCCATTTTTTTGGTAACCATCTCCTGTCTGCAATATGCGTAAAAAAACTGATTAAAAAAAGAAAAAAACATTTACTGTACATAAGATCCAAATTTACTATTATTATTATTATATAACATGCGATAATCTCTATATCTATCACTACAAAATCCCGCTTAAAATATGGCAAGGACATTATTCACAGGGTTGAGCAAAACAGTACACAATTTGAGCAGACATGGAGAGCGAGAAGAAATATAGATTAGTTGGATTTGCTGAGGACTAACACCGTCCGAGTGGGGATGTATACTTGAATGCGGTTGCCGCGGCCGGCGTACGATTCCGGAAAAGTGAAGAATTTCGTGCTGTTGTCGACGCGACTGTGCCCGCCGAACTCGGCGTCATCGCTGTTCAGCGCGATTCTGTATCTGAAATAGGCGCTTAAGTTCTGGGGTTTTTCAAAAACTTCTCAAAAAAGCGATTTTTCTTTAATTTCAATAAGTTCACTGTGTGACAGATTGTTTAAGGGAGGATTTTTTGATGACCGTTCGAAAAAGTTTCAAAACGATGAACTTTTCTTGGCTCAGTTCAAATTTATTCGCTTCTTCTTATCAGTCGAGGGATGGCGATTCCAAAAATGCTGAAAATCATTTTTCCGCACATTAACACAAGGTCTAATGACTATGAGGCAAAATAGAGAAATTGTTGTGGAACTCTGAAGGGAGAAAAAAAAGTATATTTCTGCGATATTCCATTATATTCTCGCAAATTTTGTGCTTATAGGCAATTTTGTTAATCCCACACACCAGTGAGTGCATTGATAAGATAAAAAGATAATTTTTTGAGTCAAAAAAATCCTATATTTACTAACTACCACTCACTCTCCAGGAACATCCACACCAACAGTGTAATCGGCGAAGCTCTTGCTGGGATGGAAGTTGAAGATGAACACGAGGCCGCCGCGTTCAAAAGCCACGACTTTGTCGTCTTCATGCTTCCAGGAAACGTGAGCCTGAATCTCTTCATCTTTTCCCTTTTTTTCCCGATCAACTCACATATCCTTTGTGCAAAAAGCCGGACATTTCTTCGAGCCCGTTCATTTTTCGATCCCAATTGTTGAGGAACTTGTATCTGAAAGGTCCATATAGAAATAATGATTTTTTTCTTCTCATCATTCAAACCTCAAATAATCTGCGTCGACCAAATTGAACTGACGGCGAGCATAATGGAACGATTCCTGGTTTCCAACTCGAGGAAAGTCCAGCCATTCCGGATGGCCAAACTCATTGCCTGGAGAATAACTCATCGACTTGTGAATCGGACGGAAATTCTCACCGATGAAGTTGAGCCAAGCTTCTCCTCCAAGGCCGTAGGTTATGAGCCGGATGAGTTTGTGCAGTGCAATTCCGCGATCGATAATGGGCGTCAATGGAGAGTCGACCGACATGAAATCGTACATTTCTTAAAAAATAGTCGTTGTTTCGGCACCTTTTGATTCTGGGAGTTTATCAAAATGAAAGTTCGAAATCACCTTTGTCCATGAGCCAGAAAGCGATCGTTTTGTCTCCAACCAAAGCCTGATCATGCGACTCCGCATAGGCGACGTGTTTCTCAGCGTATCTGTATAATTTACGCCGTGTTTTCGAGCGGAAAAGTGGCAAACCTTCGGTTCTCAAGCGTGTGGACAACGTCTCCGATTTTCCAGTCCTCATCGCGAGAATGCTTCAAGAGCTTGATCCATTTGTCAGGGATCGCCATCGCCAATCGATAATCGAATCCTTGGCCACCTTCTTCGATTGGCCGGCAGAGAGCTGGCATCCCGGAGACTTCCTAGAAACAAAAAAGTTCTTTGATCTTTGTCTCTAGTAAAGTTAGAGGATAACCTCAGCGATAGTGACGATTTGTCGGTATTTCTTGTGGAGAAAATCGTTGGCGATCATCAAGTAGACCAGGGCGTCAGTGTCGGCGTTCAAACCGAAGTACATCGGGTACCCGCCGGCAAAAGAATCGTCTGGCAAAGAGGATTTTTTCTGTTCAAGTTTCTAATCGAACCGATTCCATGCGAATGGTAAATCATCGACGTCACTCCATCAAATCGGAAGCCATCGAAGCCGAACTCTTCCACCCACCAACGCAGATTGGACAGCAAAAATCGAAGAGTCTCGATTCTGAATTAATTTTCCTTTTTTTTTTATAGACCCCTGAGAACATACTGAGTGTAGTCGAAAAGCCTCGAATCCCACAAAGAATGATATCCGCGAGAGTTTCCATGGAAATAGCAGGCTTTGGACCCGTCCCATTCATTCAAACCATCTTCGACGTTTTTCGACGCGTGTGAATGAACCTGAACACGTCACTCTATGCTTGAGTCACAGAAAGAACTAATTTACCACGTCGAGAAGGATGAAAATGCCGAGGGAGTGTGCCTTGTCTACAAGGTACTTCAAGTCGTCTGGAGTCCCGCAACGGCTGAATTAAAAATTGAAGTCTTGAAATAACGGAAGAATTCACCTCGACGCGGCAAAAAAGTTTGTCACTTGGTAGCCAAAGGACGCATAGTAAACATGCTCCATGACGGCCATCAATTGCACCGTGTTATACCCTGCAAAAGGTAACTTTAGTTGACGTCTTTGATTTCCCTAAGGTAAATGAAGGCGAATTCTCACCTTGGCGGTGAATTCGTGGCAAGACGTCATCGGCGAATGCGCGGTAGGTGTTGACCTTTCCTTCGGGGCTGCTGATTCCGACGTGGGCTTCATAGATTCTCAGTGACTCGGGACGTTCCGGCTTCTGGTGTTTGAACTTGTATGTTTCCGATGGATTGTAGAACTCCTGGAAAATTATCTTCTTTTTATGGCTGGATGATTTTTTGAAGTTTAAATAACTGGATAATCTTTCCCTGTGTTTCTGCGTGATATCTGTCTATGGAAACTATCTTTAGTTTCGGTCAGAACTTTGGGTCTACCTGGTGATAAATGACGCAGTCGCTCTTGGGACGAGTTACATAGGTGGCCCACGGACTGAGTTTGAAGCTCGTTTGGCCTTGATGCGTCACAGCGGTCTGGATAATTGTGAAATTTTATCCTTTCAGACTTGAAAAATCGATACCTTGAGGAAGGAGCCATGAGGAATGGCGCAGGAGCCGTCAGGATTTGCAGGAATCACCAGGGACCATTTTCCGTGCTCTTCCCGCTTGTAGACGTGTGAATCTTGATTCCACTGGTCTGAAAAGATTTTGTTCAATTTTGGTGGCTGGCATCGAATTAAATGGAACTAACTAAAGTCTCCAACGAGAGCCAAGCGATCGGCAGCCGGAGCCCATTCCAAACACTTGATCGAGTTGTCTTCCTGGACATTCATTCCGAATTCACGGTAGGCCGTCGTGAACTGCTCCATGCCGCCACACTGGAAAAATTAAAGAATATCCGGTTGAAAATGAAGTTTGAAAGGTCATTTCCTATTTTTCTCGAGTCGAGAAGTTCCACCGACCTCTTCAATCTTGTAGAGATAGTCCTGGAACACGCCATAACGCCTGCAGATCTCGCCCTTGAAGTCACGTAAATAACCGTCAATGTTGAAAAGGTCTTCAATTTTTGGTGGAGAAGTCATCTTCCCTTTCTGCAAGATTCTTGCCGTCAAAAATGAAGAAACGAATTGAAGAAAAAACGGAAAATCGAAAAATATTAAGAGAGAGAATGAAGGTGACTATCGTCTTAGATCCCGCGAGACATCTTCTTTGGCGCGGCTCATTTGATCTTGACTGCCCCTTTTGTATGCAAGATGAATTTATGAATTGAATTTTTTTTGTGGTGGATTAGAAAAAGAAATCCCACTTTATCAAAAATTACCCCAAAAAAAGTAAACAAATAATTTTCTTTCCAAAAGTGTCTGCGAGTAGCTCTCCGACTAGGGATGGCTTGAATGAATGGAACCGTTCTTAAGCATTCTATCTCGACCAATATGAATATAAAAATTCAATCTACATCTTAACCCAACTTCGAGCCGTTCGAAAAGTCTTGATCTATTCAATCACAAAAAAAAGGGATCATTGTTATTTCATTGACCTTTAATTATTAGAGCCAGACCGAGAAGCACAGTGAGAACCTTGAATGAACAAAGGAAATTCAATCAAAATCGACAATCCTTTTTTCCATTCAGTGTGTTTAATCAATATGAAGGGTGAGAAAATACATATGAAGAGGACATTACTATGACTAGGTTTTAGGATTTCTGAAATTTCTTAGAGGAGAAAGGGTTTAAAGATGAGAATATTTTATATCGCGCAGCCGTTTCGGGTTTCATTTCATTCTGTTAAAGATATTTTGAAAATGTTTACGTAAGCTCTGATAGCAGCCTGTAGAACAACCATGAAATTAGTTAGCCTTGGAGCGCACTTTGAACGGCAGGAGTTGCTGTTGTCTCTTTTTCGCAAACTCTCCATTTTCTTTTTTATTACCTCTTTCAGATTAAGAAGATTCCCGGGGAAGCAAAGCTGAGGTGACGGAAAACAACGATGAGAAGAAGTTGGACATCCTCTTTTCGGGAGGAGCCTGCTAATTAGTTTCTTTTTTTTTTCGAAATTTATCTCGTTCAACTGGTTTCCTCCATGTTTGATTTATTCCAAGCAGCTGTTTCAGAGTTTCAATTTTTAAATTGAACTTTGTTTATATTTTAAATTCAACTCATCTAGTCTCTTTCCCCATTCAAGCCAGTTTCATTCATCCATTCAGTTAATTCGTCCAGAGATTATCCGAAATTCACATTCGAAGGAGCAACGAAAAACATAAAATAATGGTGGTCTTTGTAGCGATTGTACATTGGCGCCTTTGAAAAACAGCGCATAGTTAGCCACTTTCGAATTTCGGCTATACGTGTATTTTATCCCATATTTAAAATAATATTCCTTTTTTATCCTCAAAATAAGCGGTACTCTCAGTGACGGGGTTTCAGAAATGATCTTTTTCTTCATTTTCGTTTTCATTTTGGTTCTTTCTTACGCCGGCGATCGTGTGTTTTTTCGTTTCACGTTTTCCATTTTTTTTACTTTTTCTTCAAGCTTTTCTTTAATCCAGTAAAGGAATTTGAATCACTTTTTGCTTTTATAATTTTTGCTTCGTTCAGTCAATTGAATATATTTCAGCTGGATAGAAAGCTATACTTTTTATTTCATTTTCAGGTGTTCAAGAAATATGGGTAAGCTTGAAGACATTTGCGGGAAATATGTTTCGAAGCGAGAAGAACGTGAAAAAGTTCTGGAAGCGGTTGAGCGATGTCTCAAGAAAGGCTATGACTACGAAAATATGAAGGTTTTTTTTGTAATTTATGTCATTTATCCATTATGGAATTTTCTTGAGCTCTTGTTGCTATACTGAAAACAGTTTGTTTTGTTCAGTATTCTGTAGCGTTTGAAGTTCAAAAGACTGTATGATCTTTGAACGATTTTCTTCGTTATTTTTGGATTCACCTATTTTTTTTTTCAGTATAAGACTGTTCGAGAAAAATCATAAAGTATTCAAATGAAGAAAGACAATCACCATCTTTCAAAAATCGTTTGAAGAGGTTGTTTTGATTTGTTTTTGAATTTTTCCAGTTCATTAAGGTCCAGCAACAGGAAACGAATATTTTAACTGATAAGGCTCACGCGGGACTATAAACGATTCACGTCATCTTTTCAGGAAAGAGTTTATTCGGCGCTCTCCGATTCGCAAAAGGCAAAAAAAGTCGTCACCGCCGTTTGCGATGAATATCCTCAGCTGCGGAAACGTGCGCGGGTATAATCCTTTGAATAAAAAGAATGATACCATCAATTCCATTTTCAGTTCGAGGAGAAGGACGAAAACAGAAGCAAACGCGAGAAACTGGAACGGGACAGAAGTCGCGATCAGAATGGCAAGAGCAAGGGTCGCGAAAAAGAAAAAGAAAGGGAAAAGGAAAACAGCAAACGGCTACGAGCGAATCCCGAAGAAGACCAACGGGTTTCCTCCAGAGAATTCGAACTTTTAATAATGAAAATTTACAGGAAAAGGAGAAGAAGGAACGCCATCGGCTGGCCCGTGAAGTTTATCTGAACAAATTGAAGGAGGACGAGAAAGAACGGACTTCGGTGGTCACTGAAGAGCAACTGAGGTTCGTTTTGAAGGGGAAAACATGATTTTCATCGAATTTGAAGTTGCTTAAGCTTCATAGCACGGCTTTTCTCATTTCAAACCGTTTTATTGGAAAATTATAACATTTTTTAAAGACCTTAAAGAAGCATACTATGAATAAAAAAAATTCATTTTTGTTTATAACTAGTTTAATGCGATTTGAATCATACACGGGAAAGTGGCGCCCTCTGGTGAACTCATTCTTCAAAATTTTTTCGTTTCTTTTTGAGAAATGAAAAATTTTAATAACATCGAAACAAGCTTCGAATACTAGAAAACTGCTCTGATTGAAAAGAAGGTTACAGAAAGCACCAATGATAAATATTCCCAGCTCTTCCCAACTTTTTTTTTAACTAGCCAGAAGTAAGAATAATCCTTCTATCGTTTTTTCTTCAGAGCGAAAGAGCTGATGTACAAAGCGCAGCAGGAGATCGAGGAACGCAAAAGAGCGTTGGCCGTGGCTTCGGGTGCCCTCCCGCCAGTCGCCGCCATCGATCCCGAGGCGGCGGGACTCGCCCCGGTGGCCAAAGGGCTGGCCCTGAGGCCCCAGGAAGCCCTGATGTTCATGAACTACTCGATGGAGAAGAAGAGTCGCGTCGAAGAGTTGAAGGTCCAGCCGATAATTATAAAATTGTTCTGCGGCACAAGCTAGAGTTCATTCAGCGCTACTTTGAGATAATATTCAATACGAATAGCGAAATAGTGTGGAAATTTGAGAGGTTCACACGATTAAACTAACAGTGATTGAAGTATAGCTGTAGCCTCGAGGGATCTCGAAAAACGTGACAATTAACTCATTGCTTTAAAAAACTACTGGTCGCAAGTATAATGGTTTCGAAGCCATGAAAAAGAATTATTTTTCAGGCAAAACTGGCAAAATCAGGCGCGGCGTCTCGTCTGGGCTCAATAACCGGCAAAACTGGTCAAACAGCGCCGGAAATCGCCAAAAAGGCGCCACAACAGATACAGCTAGTCAAGCCGGTGCCACAACAGGAGGAAAAGACGGATTCGATCATCGAGTACTTGGATCCGCGCATCGGAACTAAGCCGGCTGAGAGGTGAGTTGCGAGGAGGGGAAATATTTGAGGATTAGAAAACCATTGGAATCCGAATCTCGAATCTGATTAACTCGAAAGCGTTTAGCGAATTTAGAACTTCGAATTGAAGAGTGCTCTTGTAATAATTTGATTTTTTCCAATTGCTTTGAAATTTACGAATTAGGCAAAGTCAGATCCTTTTTCCAAGAAATTCTTCAACTCATTCGCCAGAAATTATCAGATTTCTCTGCGTCCTCTCATTTTCGCGTCTATACCTTGCCAAGAGAAAAGAGGGCGCAGATAGGTCATACCATAAATTAGCAACTACAGAACTCGAATAATCCGGAAGGAGGGGTTGACTTACAAAAAACTTGGAAAAGGAGTAATAAAGTTAACTTCAACCTAAGGGGGTAGTTTTGGTATTAACTAAAACAAGTTTTAACCTCAGGGAGGTACTGATTCTATTAAAAATAGATTTTGGAGGAGGGTTGGCTTTTTAAATGATGTGCCTATAAATGGGTCATATATTTCAAATGGTGGCAAATTTCTGACAAAAAGAAGTACGAAAATATTATCACGGTATTATTCAAGGAGACGTCGCGGATTCGCCTTCCACGAGAAAGGAGAGTTTGAGAAGTTGGCCAACAAGCAGCGTGCAATGGCGAAACTCGAAAAACTGCAGGTTAAAATCCCAAGATCTCACATGGAATCGGTTTTTCTTTCTAGTCCGAAGTCTCTTCGGCAGCTCAGTCGACTGGAATCTCCTCTGCTGTCAAGTTAGCCATGGTGACGCCTTCCAGCACCGCCCGTGTCGACAGCGGAGTCCCGGACATCGAGTGGTGGGACTCGGTCGTCCTCGACAAATTCAAGTTGGTTCTTTCGTTCCTCCTACAGAACCTCCTCTTCCCTTCTCAGTTACGACGAGATCCCGGATCTAAACGACGCCGAACGCTTCTCCGAAACTATTTCCGAACTCGTCGAACATCCGATCTCTCTGCGACCACCGACCGATCCTTTAGTTCCGCAGTACTTGAAGGTATTTTTTGGCGTTTTCTTCTTACAAAAGCTTTCCAGGTCTATCTGGCATCAAAAAATAATTGAACTTTTCAGGTCTATCTCACGTCGAAAGAACAACGAAAGATTCGCCGGCAGAACCGGAAAGAGGCGCAGAAAGAGAAGACGGAGAAGATTCGGTTGGGCCTTGAAAAAGCTCCTGAGCCGAAGGTTAGTAAAACGCTAGTTTTTTAGGATTTAGTTGTATATTCAGGTCAAAATTGGCAACCTGATGAGAGTGCTGGGAAATGAGGCGATCCAGGATCCGACGAAAATGGAGGCTCACGTCAGGAAACAGATGGCTGAGCGGCTCAAAAAGCATGAACAGGTAGAATTTTTGGAAGAATGCTGCCCCTCAGGCCCATTCAAGAGATGAATTAGCAAAAATGAAGGGACCACTTGAGTAGTGCGGCAAGATAGCATTCAAGGATCAGCTGCAGTGGAAAAGAAAATACTAGAAGCTCTTTAAGACTCATGAACAACGAGCAAAAAGATGCCTAAAATCGGAAAAAAAAAAGATTTATTCATAATAAGTATCTAGGGATCTCCTCAAGTGGTCAATTGAACTTTCATGAGCATTACTATTCGGATTTCATTTTTCTTTCAGTCAAACGCCGATCGGAAGCTCAGCGACGAGCAGAAAGGAATGAAGAAAACTAAACGATTGGCCGAAGACACATCCATTTCCGTCCATGTCTCCATTTACAGGTTTCAAAATGATTTCAGACTCTTAAACCTCATTTTTTAATTAGTATGTCAAAGGATAGGTTCAGTTTAAGAAAAGAAGACGAATTTTTCAGATGACTGGCTAATTTTTAGGATTTTGCTTTTTCAAGCTTCTTAATAAATACATGTTTTCTTTGTTGTAGAGTCAAGTCTCTTCTGCATCCGTCGAAGAAGTTCAAAGTGGAGATGAACGCCAAACAACTTCAGATGACTGGAGTCGTCATGCTGCACAAGACGATGAACGTCGTCGTCGTCGAAGGAGGTTCGACTGAAAAAAACGAATTTTTTTAGATTTTTTATAATACATTTTTTTAGGTCATTGATTTAACTGAAGGGTAGAGTAATGACTGTGATTCAATAAGACAACTTTTCAAAAAGATAGAGAATTTTGAACCTTTTTTATCTGATCAACGCCGAACTCAAATGGAGAGGTTAAAAGCCTTACCGAGGCTAAAGGGGTTTGAACTATGCTTTCTATCAGAAACTTTGAAAAACTCTTGACCATTTTTAAAACGAGTAAAATTTTTAGTTTGCTCTAATTTACTAAATTATGACTACCCTAAAAGTTTTAAATCAAAAAATGGTCATTCAGGACCAAAACAGCAAAAGTTCTACAAAAATCTGATGCTCAACCGCATTAAATGGACCGACGAGATCATTGGCCAGAAGAAAGACGCCGAGAAGGACGCTCCCGGCGAGAGGAATGCATGCGAATTGGTAAGATTCAGGCTACATGTGAAGAAGAGCCACATTGGCACACAGGAATCTAGTTTCGAAATAAGATTTTTATGCGGTCTGAATTAGATCGTTTTAAAAGAAATTGCACACAAATTGGTACCAAAATCTCATTTTTCACTCCTCGTTCTTTTTCAAGTCATGTAGTTTCATTGTGGGAAGCTGGAAAAGTCGATCTGTTTTTTTTTGATGGCTAATTTATGAAGTTTTTCGAAACTGTTCGAAAAAAAATGAGCCTCTATAAGGAACCAACCGAGTTTTCCCCTTCATTATTTGCCCCTAAAATCGGTCCTGAAAGATTTTTTTTTCATTACAGGTATGGGAAGGACAGGTGAAACGACGATGCTTCCGAGATTTCACCGTTCATACGGCTACCCTGGAGAAACAGGTGAAAAACTTTGGGTTTTGAAATATTTTATCATTATTTTCTTCAGGCCCGAGAATTTTTCGAAAAACATGCCGTCGCGCAGTACTGGGACCTGTGCTACAGTACAACCGTTCTTCTGGAAGGACAGGACATTTTGCCGACTTGTTGATTTTTCGAAAAAGTAATTCCTCCCAATGAACCCCCCGATCTCTACTTTTTATTGTTATGTTTTCGCTGACCTTTGGTTTTGTTTTACGTTTTATTGTCTACCGCAACCAGGATTCATTGATTTTACGTTATTCGCAACGACTAGAAACCTTTGGTCGCATGTGGAATGGCTCAATGCGTTTTTTTCAAGCTGACCTCTTCGGAACCGTTTCGCGTTGAGCCATTTTTCGTGTGACAAACCTAATTTAAGCAGGGGAGAATTGATTTGTAGATACGAAATTCTTTCTTCTAGAAATTCAGAAGTTCCGTCTTTTTTCTTTCATTTGTGTTCTCCACTCTGATTGTTGCTATTTTTGTCCAAATTTTTTTTTCTTCTGTTGTGATGTTAAATGTTAATTATTATGAAGGAGATTTTTAATTGAAGTTTGTTGTGAAGATGTTTTACAACGTCAAAATTCTTGGAAAAAAAAATTCGACATTCTAGCAAAGTTTTTTGAAAAAGATGGACTCCGGGGATGTGCAAAGTTTGAGGCAGAACTTGAAGAAGATAAGAGAGATTACCGAAGCTAAAAGGTCTACTTTGGAGGAGAAAATTCAGTTTAAGTTGGATTTCAGGAATATTTGCTTGGAGACGCTGTCCACGTTGGAAAATTATGAGGATTTGGCGAAAAGCCGCGCGAGACGACAACACGTCAAGCAGGTTTTATTAAATCTACATATATAGGTAGAAAGTTGAAAAAAATAAAAATTTTTTTCCTAAATTTTCTTTTGAATGTTCAAAAAACTCTTCCAGGTTTATTTCATAATTTGGCTTTTTTCAATATTTCTCACAAGCGCCCTCGAGAGGGCAAAAAAAAGCCGCAAGCCGTTTTTGTATGACTTCCGGATGATAAAAGCAAAAAATTCAGGTTTTATCGGTTGATTTTATTGAACCGCCTTCTGAAATTTGTCCTGCAAGTGTGTCCCTCGAATACTCACATTTGTACGAAGACTATGCCTGCTTTGCTCTCAGACTTCAGAACACATCCAAGGACTTGAAGCTGTGAGTTTGGAGTTCACAATAGTCAGAACTGTTGTAAGATTGTTTGAAAGAGGAATGAAGATTCCTTATCGGCTATATAAGTTATAGCCGTGCTACCTCTCTGTAATGTAATCGACTAGGCGGCGAAAAAGAACTTTTTAAGCTTGAACGAGCAAACGCCTTTGGCGAACTATAAGTTCAAAAAAGTAGTTGATCAAGTGAAATTAAGGTTTAACGGTCCTTTGTCTTGTTCTTTTGTTAGTAGTTGATCTAGTTTCGCCTTGAAGAGCTCGGAATAAAGTGGGCGTGGTTGATAAAGCCCGGAGACGTGATTCAAGTGAAAGCTTTAAAATGAAAGCAACCACACAGAATGAATACGTTAACTTAAAGCGTTTTCAAGATTGCGATCAACAGAAATATTCACTTAGACCTTCAGAGAGTGTTTGAGCAGATCTTTAGAAATTCAAGACCATTCAAATGGTTTGTATTGTTAGATTCTGTCTTACTTTTCAGAGTACCACAATGCTCGGTTCTTCCCTCGTCTCCCCTAGTTCGTATGCTCGTTTCCAACAAATGCGATTCGGTTGCCGAAATTGTCGATTTCGTCCGGTAACCCAAAAAAAAATTCATTCACCGCTCCTTGAGACAAAATAAACTTCACAGACTACTACGCACATTGATTTATCATTAACGTGAATACTCTTATCGCATTTGACTCAAGCCAGCGGTGAATTAATCAAAATACTCCTTTTCAACTTCTCAACGCGTCAGACCCATATCCACGTGTCAAATCCATGTCGCTTTCCCGAAAGAGCTTTTCTACTCGTCGGAGAAGCTGGTGATTGTCATCGACTGCTTCCCGTTGGCCACGACTTCCGCCGGGTGAGAGCTTTCGCCTTTCTACCCTACTGGCTGGGAAATGGTCTCACAGCTCAGTAAGATTTGGAGCACTAGATGCAGCTTTTTTTGAACGATAGTTATGATTATGGTCTGAGAATGTCCCATAGTGGTTGAGGTTCATAGACAAGTTAAATTTCAAAATCAAATGTCTCGACTCGTTTTACGGTGTGAAGAGTGGCATACTTTCCACATAGCTCGCTTCAAAAACTGATTTCGGGAAATAAAAAGAATAATTTATGTGTGATTTCTACCCATTTTTTTGATTTCTACCCCTCTTCCTACACAAAAGTTCAGTCCGACTTAAATTAGACGAATTTTAGCGACCACATAGTTTCACGAACACAAAGGAGGTCATTTTACTTTGCGGTTTGGAACTACCTCATACTTGGTCAGAACAATCCTTGATGATCCAAAAAATCCAAGAAGTCTCAACCTGCGAAACTTTCTAGTTATCGAGAAAGAAGGGCCCAAAAATAGCAGGCTCAAAGTTTTAGGATCATTTTCTGGTAGATCAGGAAGTGTTCCTGTCGATTTTCAGAACAATCTCAAACCGAAAATTGAACTTCCTTCCTTAACAGCAAATTCCGAGTACAGGTAAAAGTTTCTTCTGATGACCTCAGTCTTTTTCGAAACTCCCACTATTAGCTGAGACCGTACTCCAACCAGTTCCGTTTCAAAATGGACTCACTTGGCAGCTTTCCTCCAATCAGACCCAATTTAGGGTACCAGCGGATCTTCTCGCATTCGCACTGTCTCGGACGCTAGCCGACGTCGTCTCCACGCCCTTCTCCCGTTGTGTCCAAGTCGACTTTCCCACGACCTCGAGCTCGCTCAGAGATTTCGAGTATGCCGACGAGCGACGTTCGTTTTTCTTCAGTAAAATGTGCAAAAATTTTATTTTGGAAGAACTATGGGTGGAATTATAATTATGAGGATGAGAGGGGGACTGTGTTGAATTTATCATCAAAAACTCGAGTTCAGTGAACTGGATCACACTTTGGATGGATTCAACCCCGAAGTAGACTTTCAGTAAACTTTCAATTTTTCTTTCGGGCCCAAAAAGCTGGACGGAAACCGATTCACGTATGAACTAGATTTGTTTTTCATCACGTTCATCTAATAATTTGATGTCTTCTATGAAAACTGAAAAACTTCAGAAGCCGTGAAACTCATGTCGTGTGTACGGGTTTGCAGCTCACGTCAGACCTTGAGCAAACCGATTCCTCTCAAGGATTTCCGTCGATTTTTCCCGCAATTCGTTGGCTGTGACTATGAGACCTGGCAGGTTAGTCATGAGACATCGGAAACGGTTCGAAAGGACCTCAGAATTCAGTTCTCGAAAAAAAAACCACCAATTTTCCGACAGCTTAACGAAGAGCACTTGAAAAGAAGAACTTAGTTTTCGAATTTCAGGAAATTACTTTTACCCGAAGCGCTTTTTGTCGTCTTTGAGGTGCCATGACTTGAAAAAAAAGAAAAGTAATGAAAAAATGTTTTAGCTGGAATCAGAATGTTTTAAAGATTACCTCGACTGAGGTTTAAGAAGTTCCCAAAACTTTTTCTTTTTACTGTCTCAGCCAGCCAATCAACAGACCCTCACTGCTACAAGATTTGAAAAACACATTTTGAAGGTTTATTTGGGAACCGAGCGCTACAGCGGCTTGTTAGCTGTCGTCGACATCAAATCGCACTCTCTACAGAATTTTCTTTCCATGTTAGTTCATTTTTTTAACCCTGATTTATATGCTTTTCGCAGAAATAAATCGCAGTTGATAAGTTTCGCCGCTTCGATTTCGGAAGTTCAAAACAGAGAAGAAGCTGCGCAATCGCGAATCGAACCAGAAGAAAAACTCGGAATCCAAGTTGCTGATGCCAATGACAGTTTCGATATCGATTTCTATTGATATAAATTTTTATGTTCTTTCTTTATTCTACCAATAAAAAGAGATCTGGCCATTTCGCGGTGTACTTTTCTCGCGGAAAAAAAATTGAGTAATACAAACAGATCTGTGTTTTTCAACAGCTGATAACTCATCATAACATCGAGAGACAAGCTTAAACGAGTCTACATCTTCTAAATGGAGCTCAATTAAATGATAACTAACATCGTTAGCAAGCTGACGTTGAGAAGAATCGAATGATATAATTAGATATTCTGTAGCTGCTCGGCGAGCCGAGATAAAAGCGTTCAAAAATCTCTTTAAAATTAAAAATGCGCGTCAGGTCAAATATGTTGTGTGAAATTGCACGTCGGATCAAGTGCTCGTCTGAGGCTCTCATCGGTGGGTTTTTCTCGCGAAAAAGGCAAAGCTCAAAAAAAAGTTGCTTATTTTCAAGCTTTTTCTAGTGGCATCGATAGAGCAGCTTCTATATAGTACTGTTATCATATCAGTTTGGAGAGAAAAGCTCGAAAATTGGGGCAAAAAGAGGTCCGAAAAAATTGCGTTTTTCAGATTTTCAAGTCTCATAACTTTGTTTATTTTGAAGATTGAGAAAAGCTGATTATATCGATCAATTCGTCTAATCATCGTCTTTCTAATAATATGAAGTTTCACGAATCTCCATCAACTTGAATGACGTCACGAGAATTTTCAGTTTCCATCTCAGCTTCTCCCACAAACGATATGGCAACCAATCGATAGAGGGTCTCAAGACGAACCTGAAGATGTTGTTCCATTCCCGATAGCTTATCATAACATCGAGTGAGAAGCTGAAACGAGTCTGAAATTTCTGGATGAAGATCTACCAACAGATAACCCATATCATCGGAAAGCTGACGTTGAGACGAATCGAATAATATAATCAGGTGTACTGTAGGTGTTCGGCGAGCCGAGATATAAGCGTTCAAAGATCTCTTAAAAAATAAAATTGCGCGTCTGATGAAACGCGTTGGCCGAGATTGGGCGTCGGAAAAAGTGCTCGTCTGAGGCTCTCATCGGTGTGGTTTCCTCGCGAAAAAGAAAAAGCTCGAAAAAAAAGTTGGTTTTTTCAAAGTTTTTCTTAGGGCAATTGATAGAGCAGCATCTATATGGTACTATTATCATATCCGTTTGAAGGGAAAAGCTCAAAAGTTGGGTATAAAAGGGTTTGAAAAAGACACTTTTTTTGGACTTTCAGGTGTCATAACTTTGTTCATTTCGAAGTTACAGAGAAACTAATCATATCGATCGATTCGTCTCGTTATCATCTTTCCAATGATAAAGAATTTCAAGATTCTTCATCAACCTGAATGACGTCATGGAATTTCCCAGCTTAGATCTCAGCTTTTCCCTCAAACGAGATGATATGATATTCAATCGATAGAACGTCTTGACATGAAACTGTTGACGTATCCCAGTCCCTGATAACTTATCACAACTTCGAATTGTTAGCTGTGGTGAGTCTGAAGCTCCTGGATGAAGTTCTATCAGTTGATAATTAAGATCATTGGAAAGCTGAAAACAAGACGAATCGATCAATATGATTAGTTTCTCTGTAACTTCGAAATGAACAAAGTTATGACACCTGGAAGTCCAAGAAATGCGTCTTTTTCGAACCCTTTTTATACCCAACTTTTGAGCTTTTCCCTTCAAACGGATATGGGAAAGCCTTATTAGGCTTCCCCAACACAACACGTAACAAACTTCCTCTATCTATCGAAACTCTGAACCATAATAAAATCAAATTCTCTATAATTTTCTAATAACTTACTTTAGGTCATGCATAAATTCAAAAACACAGACTGAAGTCGGCTCCCCTTTAGGAACACGTAAATTTTTAATAACAAGCTGTAAAATAAAAAGTAAAATATATAACTCTAGCAAATAAAATTTTTACTTTTATCTTAACTATTCACGAAATAATTCCTTTTCAATCATTTAATTCTAAATAAGATCTCGCTTACCGTATTAGCCATCTCATCCCTCTCCAGAGAAGACAATTGCATACGAATTTCTCCCAACTCTTCGCCGATATCCTTATCTCGAGAGTTTACCTGCGACACATTTGGCGTGCCTTCGAGCACCACAAGCTGATCCTCCAGCTCCATTTCTCTATAATACTATTATTTAATACAAATACAAATGAATATAAAAATGTATTAGCTTAAATAATTAGAAAATTCCTCTCAAACAACAAATAATCCCAAAAACCATTTATAATAATATTTCTAAAACTCACCACTCACACAATATCTGCATACACCACAATTAATACAGTAACCTTCTTCCATTCATACATATCAAATATATACCAATTCAAACATCGTAATTTTACATTTTTCATATACATAACCCTTCCATACATTCTTTCCAAATTCTATGGACTTCGGGTCCAAACCTCGCCAAACTCTGTGGACTTCGGGTCCAAACCTTTCCAAATTCTGTGGATTTCGGGTCCAAACCTCTCCAAATTCTGTGGATTTCGGGTCCAAACCTCTCCAAATTCTGTGGATTTCGGGTCCAAACCTCTCCAAATTCTGTGGACTTCGGGTCCAAACCTCTCCAAAATTCTGTGGATTTCGGATCCAAACCTCTCCAAATTCTGTGGACTTCGGGTCCAAACCTCTCCAAACAAAACGGGTTGTTTAATCTATTTCTCAATTAATACATATCTTTTCAATAAAAGAGCACTCTCCTCGATGTGGTTTATACAAGGATAACTGTGGACAGCCGGAGTACAGTTATTCGCCACCGAGCGAACTCTATAAATGATGGTGGAAGACAGTCCTATTCCCCCGAAAAGCCGGGCGCCATTATGGTTCACGGCGAAAATACTTCGGCACTGTAGTCTGGAAATGCCCCCAGGCTATTTTGATTTAAAGGCAGCACACTCACAGAAACAGAACAAACAGCCCAACCAACCAACCAAAAGATAATCCCTACCTCTTTGACTTCTCTGATACTCGTAAAGCTTTAAGCTACTTCACCAAAAAAGATATAAAAACAAAAAATATAAGTAACAACAATAGAAAATTACTTCAAGAATTCACTTACGAAAAAGGAATTAGATGTAGTTCAAAATCTTGCTCATACTGCGATTTAATATATTTCTCTCACTTTATTTATAGCACAAGCACAGGATATCGCATCAACACTGTTAAATCAGCAAATGTTAATTGCAATTCCAAAAACTTGATTTACTGTCTCGAATGCCTAGATTGTAATAAGCAATATGTTGGAGAAACCAAACAAAAGCTTAAATCAAGGATATACCAACATCTTTATAGCATAAGAAACAACAAACTTCACACCTTTTTCTGTTCACATTTCGACAACATATCCCATGACAGACTTAACCCCCGCATAAAAGTATATATATTAGATAACATTAACAATGAAAATAATAGAATACGCCTAGATAAAAAGAAACTCACTGGATTCAAACTTTACATACAGCCTTTCCTTTTCAGGGTTTAATGATCAAATAAGCAAATTTGGCAACATTTCTAATATAACTGATATAATGTCTAATTCTAATTCTAGTAAACAAAAACAAATCTCCTTACTTCCAAATCAAAATTTTTAAAAACCTAACCATAAAAAGACACAAGTCCTCATCAAAAGATAAAAATATCTCTAAATTAATCAACCATTCAGACATAATAAACATAACCAATAGTTGTAACACTAAAGATCTTCACACTTGTATTTTTGAAATTACTAAACATAGAAGATTCAGATCTCTTATAGAAACAATTAAAAGTGACACTAACTTTAAAAACGCTTGCACAGAAGAAACCAAATATTTTATAAATGCCTGCTCCATTAGATTTCAACAAAAGTTTACAAGAAAACTCCAAAATACGCCAAACAACTTTGAAATCAATTTAAACTTTACTTATTCTGATGCACTGGAAAAAAATCCAACCTTAGTCATTTTTTAAAAACTCTTAAACGATAACTTGA